AAGTCCCGTTGATCACGTATACGTCTCAGGCCAGACGCTCTGCGCTTCGGCGGTGGTGGTTCCACAGTCATAGGTTGGTGTTCTTGTGCGAAAAACTGGGCCGAGCCGTGCGGAGAGTGACTGAACGCAAAGGCGTCGCCGGTTGCGACACGGATGTCTGCGGGGGTGCCGTTGCGCCGATAGACTATTCGCAGATGGCGCGGGACTGGTGGTATCCGTGGAGTAGCCGCCCGAGTACAGAGAAGGCGGTCCACCGGATTGTGGCGAATACGCGGGTACTGGCGGCGAAACCGCCTCCCGCTTGACCTGCGAGTGCGAGCGCGAATGGGTTTGTGATTGGTAACCGCTCGTGGCGAACGGTTTCTGGTCCGTCGTCTGGTAGCCACTCCCCGCAAACGGCTTCTGCTCGCCTGTCTGATACGCACCTCCGATGAACGGTTTCTGCTCCGTCGTCGGCGAGTACGGGTAAGAGTTCGATGACGGCGAGGAGTACTGCTGTGGCGAGTACGGGTCGAGCAGACTGTTGGATTGCGGAGCCCTATGCGGAGACCGGGGGGCCCGCGACGAGCTAGAATCGTGCTGCGTTTGGCTTCTCTTGGGCGTGTGGATCGTAGGACCGGCGTAATAGGCATCCTGATACGGATCAGCAGCACCCGCAGACCCGGCCGAGTTGGATCCTCCACCCTGCGGAGCACCGGGGTAGGCAATGGGCGGCGGATAGAGAGATTGCGGTGTGTGTCTCTGGCTCGTGTCGCCGTCTACATGGAACGCACCCTCCAGGTCATCTTGAAGATGATGCCGACGTCCCCTCGATGAAGCGTTCGACGAATTCCCCAGCGAGAGACTACGGGCCAGTCCACCAGTGGAGTACGGAGACGTGTTGAGACTGTACTGCTGATCTTCATCGAGGAGCTGGTTGATGCGGGGCTGCCTTGAAGAGCTTGAAGGCGGCTGGTGGATGGGCGGCAGACGATTCGGTGCTTGTGGTGGCGGGCCCTGGGGGTAGATGTACGACGCCTGTGCCGCCGACTGGGCCGCCTGCGCCGAGGAAGAGAGGTTGTCGTGCATGGACTGGGTGTGCCAACGGGGGAGATCGAAGTCCTCGTTTGTGCCGGTCATGTAGGCTAGTGTTTCGGGTTCTGACATGTAACAAGCGCAGGACAGCGGCGGGTATGGGCGTGGATGCGGCCCTCTGAGCGGTGGAAAGAGGAAAGCGGGAGTTCGCTGTGGAGGACGACGAGGACGGGAGGAAGAGCGATGAGTGAGGGCAACGAGGCCCCGATCGTGGAGAGCGCCGAGCACGCAGCGCGAGATCCAACTCAGATGACGACCCGACCTCCTCCTGACTCCCTCCACCATTACACCGGTCGTCGCTGGCCTATCGATGGCCTTATCGTCTCTATTCTGCCTCACTAGTGACAAATACATTGTGCGCTACATAGAGCGGTCATGAAGCTCGTTACCGCGCCTCAAGCATCGCCTGCGGCCTCGTGAGACTTGAGATTATCCACCAATGCCCGCTCAATCGCAAGCAGCAACTTCCCCTCCTGCCCCATCGACCCCAACGACGGCGGTACATCGATTGATAGAAAGATCTGCTTCTTGAAGCGGCGAGCTGCTCCGGTACGGCCGACGCGTGAAGGAGTCCCGTGGGGTGGTGGCGACGGACACGATCAGTGCATGTCGAGCGTGCAAAATAGCGCAGAAAAATCACCGAGACGCTGTGCCATGGATAACGCGGCCTCCGAGCTTGATGAGCGGTACAGCGGCGTGGCCGCTGCGGGCGTGCCTGACTATGGAGGTGGATGTGCAAGAATGTTCAGTCGACTCGATCACACTCGTCCGGTTGCCTCAGGCCCATTGGTGCACAAGGTAACAAGAGTACTTGGACGTACCGTCTGTCTTACCGGCATGGCGCAAGCCCAGTCCTTGGCAAGACAACCCTGCAGCGGTGCAGTCTCTGCCTGATCTGGCTCGACATCGGTTGTGCCGACCCACAGCATGTAAGTGTCCACGAGACGCGTGGTCTGTACAGCCAGAGCGGGAACTGCAAGTTCTGCCGATGGAAAGTATCGGGTATCGACGTGGATGCGGGATTCGATGGCCGCCATGGTGCCCTGCGTTACGAGTGAGATTGGCGCGATCTACGTGGTTGTTTGGGCGCTGTTGTCGGCGGGAGACGGCGGGAGAGGGCGGGAGAGCAGCGGGAGGAGGTCCTCCCCGAGCGGCTAAGTTGTGGACCTGTGACGCGCTCCTGCCATATTGGGTAAGGGGTAACCGGATCCGGAAACCTCCTGGCTTCTCTCGGTAGCACGTTGGTAAGTTCTGCAACAACTCTGCAGCAGCCACTCACTGCGGTAATGGGTGTGGCTAGATATAACGCGCATATAGCCACCCATTCAACCACCATCATCTCCACCATCATCATCGCCGACCACGCGGGATGTCTCAAGACTCGAACAACTCAGTGGAAGCCTTTGTCAACGATGTGTCGCCCGTGAACGACCAAGGTCAAATCGTTTGCTACCATCGTATACTGGCGAAGCGTTTGGTCAGCCACACCCTCGCTAATCCTGAACGGTATGTTCCGATCATAGCCCAACTAGTGCCGAGCGACTAGCTGAAGCTTACACCCTTAGAGCATTCTTCACTTGCCCGAAGAATAGCAGTGATCCCGAGAAGTGCAAGTTCTTTAGTTGAGCGTTTAATCATTGATCACGATTCATACGGCTGCTTACCGTGAGGTATCCGTAGTTTGGGAGGACAACCAGACGCTTTGCTCTGTGTTGAATTCCAAGAAACCAGCAGTTGGAATGTCGACCTCAGTCACCCCACAACGACCCTCGCAAGTACAGCGGGCCCTCTTCTCGCGGACACCAACCCTTGCTGCCGCAGCTCTCCAGAAACGTCCCCGGACGCCAAGCCCGACGCCGAGCTCAAGTTGTCTATCTGGACCCTTAGGCGCTGTGAAACACAGACGCGTCGACAATACTATCAGCAATCGCGCAGGGTCGAACGGTCTCACACCAAGCACCATACCTTCTCAGCGGACACAGCCTGTCCCCGATAGCAAGGGAGCGGCGCAGAGCGACAGGAAGGCGGCTCGTCTGAAGAGCATACAGGATGCTCTCCTCGATGTCCAGGCCACTCCTCGTGACCCCTCGCTCACATCTTCCCGCGATTTATCGGTGCACAACGACGTCGAAGGGATCTCTCAGTTTTCCTCCAACCAGAGCCTTTCTGATGTTCCACGCCATGCCGCCCCTCCTTCCCTGTCACAGAACAAACAGTATCCGCACCTATTCTCAAGACATGCAGCGGACGCTCACTCCGATGTCGGAACTTCCATCGACACCGAGGACGAGATGGAAGACATGGAATCAAAAGCGGTGCAGACTTCGCCCGTCGACGACGAGAGCTCCGTTATCGAAGACTTCTGGAGCACGACCCCACCACGAAGCGTTATAGGCTCTCCAGTAACCGTCGCCGACATCGGAGCCGGACCCTCGCGCATACATCCCGACTGGTCGCCGAGGGTGCCGCGCGCCTCGGCCGCTGAGCGTGGCGCATGGTCACCGGTCGCCCCGCAGACTCCTGGACGAGAGGGTACCTCGCGCACTTTTACTCCCGGTGGGAACGACGACGATGCCCACCCCGGCATGCTTCTGACTCCGCCGGGGAGTTCCCAGCCACACATTGTCTCTGGGGCCGGGGCTGGGCCATCGGCGTCGCAGCGAGGCAGGGCTCTTCTGCAAGAGATGCTCGCGTCGCCTACTGCCTCGAAGGGCAAGGGCCCAGAGCTCCTGGACTCCGCCAGCAGGATCCAGCAATGGCAATCATTGCAGGATGATCCGGTATGCATATAAAATTATTGAATGCCGAAGGCGATGTCCTGATGCGCCTCTTTTCCTGTTTTGCTGTCGGCTCTCGTATCGCAGGAGAACCCTTTCCGTGCCGCCAGCGTCGCACGAGGAACGGGCTCCCCGGCACCGACAGCGATATCGGTGGCAGATGGTGTGGGCGGGGGCATGACAGCGGGAGCACTGTCCGCTGACTCGATCGCTTCCCACCTCGCTGCGCTGCAGAGCATCCCAGAGTATGTCGCGAAGCTCGAACGGAGGGAGAAGGCGGCGCAGAAGAGCGCAGAGATCAAAGGGCGGAAGATTTCACAACTAGAGGAAGAGCTGCAGCGGTGCGTGCGCTTGTGTGGTGCCGCCCAGTCCTGCTCTTGCTGACGGGGGGTCTCCAAACCTATGCTAGGCTGAGGAACGAGAAACGTGCCTTGGAGGAGACCGTGGCGGCGCTGCAGATGCGCCGCTGACGGCATGCCGACTCCCCCGCCCCCCTCACTCTCCTCGGTACTCTCCGTTTACCCCGCTCTCTCTGGCAACTTCTAGCGCGCTCATGCTCTGCGTTCGCCCAACTCGTCGATCCTCCTCACGCTCTCCCATGCTTTGCTGCTCTCGTGTCTTTCTATCGTGCAACCGCATCCCACGTCTCACGCTGTCCACGCTTTCGAGGGATTTACGGAATGGATAGTCGGGGCTCTTGCCTCTTCGCTGTTTCCTTTCCGTCGGGTCACCCTGCCCGCCCGACTCCGTGGACTGGGGTCGCGGGCCCCGCTCGTTCGCTTTTGCCGCTTCTTTCCTCAATTATCCTTATGCTTGCCGTCGATCGTGTTCCCGGCTGGTATGTCTATCGGTATTCAATACGCCAGAACGTGTGCACGCGCTGACGCCCACTTTTAAAGTACAGATATGTTGTAATGCCTCCGAGCCGCACTACAGGCTGTCATGCCACCGCATCTGTCGAAGTTAAGATTCAAGATTCTGTTCCCGACTAGAGCTGCCTTGGTCTGCACGGATCTCGGCACTGTCATCATGAGACAGGCTGCAATCTGGGGAAACTCCCGAGGTACGCGAAAGTTCGTTGCCTGTTCGTTCCTTGCGACTACGCATCCCAGACATGACGATTCCACTCCGCTGCATGTACTGACGGCATACATATCATGACCGCATGGGCCGTACTGTCAGGTATCCTCGGAGCAGCTGATGCATCAGCTAAACAGTGTCCGTAAAGTGACTGCGGCGTTCCGTTCCTTCGAGACCGGCGGGCGAAACGGGCGTCAAGAAGACCATGCTCCGCGGGCTTCCTGTCACGGCGACGAGGCAGTCGAGCACATCAGACGAGCGTGGGACAACGCTGCAATGTCAGCTACACACGGGGCAACAGCAGCCGCCCGAGCTCGCAGTCTGCGCTGCAACCTCGGCGGGTGCATGGCCGCGCGCGACCTCCGTGCTCAGCGCTGTTCGCAGCCATACAACATACCGGCAGCCTTACACCGTCCGCTCGCAGCTGTCGCGCAGTAAGGTGAGCCCACAGCCTGCCAAGGAATTGGCATTGAATGACTAAAACGCCCGAGCTGCCAGCCCGCGTTCACGCCCACCCCCGGCTACGTCATCGCCGCTTGATCTCGAGCAGTAGCGGATCGACCTCCGCGACAGCGCGACAGGCGCATAGACAGCACATCGACTACCCCGCGAGGGGGCGCGCATGAGCGCGCGCACACAGGGCCCCCGCCAACGTAGTTGCCGGTGGACCGGGGGCCCAATCTGACATGACGCTGGGAATATCGAGGGCTCTCGACGGGCTCAGGCACAACACTGGCATGCGGCGGGTGGTTAGCACTGGCAGGAAGGCACTGGAGCCTGCGAAGCCACCCCTGCCCTGTTTATGCTCTGGGGGACGAATGCAATGGCGGTGCTAGGCAACACCCCGGCGGTGTAGTTTGTTGGACACACCACCGTCGAGGTTCGGGAGTCGTTCCGCCAGCGGATAACGACACGTCCTGTCCAATATCCGTCGTGCAGCCCACGATGTGCCACTGTTCGCCCACAGAGCCCGATGGCAGCTGATAATATGTAAGAGAGAGTGCGCCATGTCTCACCGTCTTACGAGCTTTGGAGGATGATTGACCGGCGCCCGCAGACATCATATCAATAATCACTCGCACGTCATTGTAACGAGAGTCAACTCAGAGTTTGCGTGCAAGGGCTCTGCCGTACCCTCAAGCCACACGGGAGAAACCAGTCCCACCGGAAGGCCCGGGGTCGGTGGCCCCCTATCAAGAGATGCATAGGTGCGAAGCGCGCGCGAAGCATGAACCACACGGCTATGGCGGATGATCAATGTGCAAGCTTCCAGACGATAGGACCATAGACGGAAGGCCCACTCTCAACTTCCATCCAATGATATGAACATACCAATAAGCGAGCTCCTTCCCCAGGCACGCCTGCTCCTCCCAATTGCGCGTGTTTCCCACTACGACCGCTATGCTTGGTGTGAGCGCGCCGAAGACGGTCGGACACGTCGGAGCCCGAGTCGGGGGCGGTGTGCACGCCATCGGCGGGGCGGGCGCAGTCAAGGTCGCGGGGGCGCAGCTGGTTGCCCAAAATTACCCGCTACCGGCACCGACGTCGCCAGGGCTGGGGCCGGCCTGCCGCATGGAGGCAGACACGCTCGAACCGGCAACTCTACGCCGCTCGAGCGTCGAGTCTAACGGTGAAAGCCGGCGACGCAGCCTTCGCCCACCCGGGAATCGGGAACACCCACCGTGCGCGTGGGACGCAGGACAGAACCTGTCACATGTGCATCGGGCGGTCGGGCAGGGCGGGTCGACGCGCATGGGGAGATCCATCGTGCGCTCGCATTCGATTTGTTCGGCGACAGTAAGATCGCGGGGAGGCATTTAATCGTGCCAGGTCGTCTGACGATGATCAGCCCGGGGAACGGTGCACGGTTTCTCATGCGTGAGTTTGTCCGGGGCGGGTGTGGGGGACGCCATTGGTCGGCGGGCCCTGCGGCAGCCGGTGGTGTGAGCGGGCGGGCGACGACATAGCTCAGTCTACGAACACTACGGCTTCCTCATTTGTATCACCAACTTTTGTTGGACAAGCCTGTTTCCTCTCCTCGTGCTCCCCGTACGTCACTTTCGCCTGCAATGCTGCGCGCAACACGCCTCATGTCCAGAGAGAAAGGCAGCACCACCACCGCTCTAGTCGCATCGTACGCACATCGCCGGTGCAGTTCTCAGAGTATGACCATAGCATAGCGAATAATATCGACACGTCGGTAATAGTACAGCGTATGTACCTGTCGGGGATATCTGCGCTACTACAAACTGCATTCGACAGTGCGGGAGGTTCGGTGACAGACCAAGGTCCAATGTCCAAGGCTCCAATCGCCCTACAAGATGACGATCTACACGGACGAGCTCGACCAGAATCGTCCGCACGCTCCAGGCGCGGTAGCGATATACAAGCGACGATCGGGAGACGCATAGTACGGGTGGAAAGAAGGAAGGGGAAGGGGGTAGCGCGACGCCTAACAAAACACCCGAGAAAACCACAGTTTGAGCCGTGTCCACCACCCGCCCTGCCAGCCATCCGTGCGCCGTTTGCTGCCCAGCCACATGGTACCGGTACCGACCTTGAGCTTGTCGTGCTCGCCATTGACCGCCTGGCCTTCTTCGATGTCGGCTGTCCGACTCGACGCACTCGTGACAGGGAAGCGCGGCAGCGTGGCTCGGGCGACGAATGACGGGAACAAGGTGAGCAGGGTCAAGAACTCCGGGTTCGGTAGGTCTGGTGCTGTCCATGTCCGCATGTATACGTCTGTCTCGCTGAAGTCGCGGCCGCTGGCAGGGGGCCGGCGCGCGAACAGATCGTCCAGTTCTGCGTTGGGCGTGATCGGGGTGAGGGGCTCTTCTGCAGCCGACGACCCCGAAGTGGAGAAGCCAGTGTTGGCGGAGGAATAGGATGTCGAGAGGGTGGATGTGTCCATAAACGGATCGCTGGGTGCGCGGGGACGTTTCGTCTGCGTCCTGGAGGTAATTGGCGGGGTCTTCTGCGCACGTGTGGGCGTCGCACTTTCAGAAGAGAGAGGTTGTGATTGTGACCGAGAGTGTATGGGAGACAGCGCGGTGAACGCATTGTATTGCACGGAGCTATTCGTCGAGGGAGAACGACTGAGCGATGCCGTCTCGTCGAACCCGAGAACCTATCACGGTGCGTCAGTTGACTCGTTACCGGTCTCTTCAGTAAGGAGACATACTCCTTTGAGCACGTCTATAGCTTCCAGCATAAAGTCTTTGCCGCTATTGAGCGGGCATTGCCGAAGCGTGATCAACGAAGCCAAACGGCGGGGATAGAGCGATGCGCGCTTACCCTGCCTCCTTGAACACTGCGTCGTCGATTTCCCACTCGATTCTGAACGGACCCGCTCCCCCGAGCTCCTGCGGGATAACCTGCAGTCGCATGACCGCCCAGAGGCCCTGGAAGAACGGCTTCGTTCCTGGCATGCCCATCGTACACCACGTTCGCACGAAGCGGTCGAACCGCTCGTACCGCTCCTTCTTGGCGAGCACCCCTCTGGGATCCGCGCGCGAGTGAGGCATCAGCGAGCCGCCCGGCTTCGTAGCGCTCAGGTGAGCCTTGAACTCAGCGTCCCGCCGCGCGTTTACGCTTGCATGGTAGGCGGAGCGAATGGAAGCCTGCAGCCGAGAAAACGGGGCGCGTTGTGAGGGCGGAAGAGTCGCGAGAGTCTGTGTCATCAGTCTGCCAGCATCGTCGTCCTGCTGATAGTACCTATGACGGAAAATTAAGCTCTCGCGTACGTCAAAGGGACGCGGAAGGTCGCACCATGCGCGGCAGCGTTCTGCAAACTCTTCTAGCTCACTGCGCATCGGACGCGACGGGGTTACAGACCGGTTATTCTTCGCATGCTTGGACGAGGGTGGTGGTGTCATCTTTCGGCCTCGGGCTGCACTTCTGGAGCGGGGACTCGTGGGAGAGGTTGGAGAGGTTAAGCGTGGTGGCGGGGTGTTTCTTGTAGGGGACCCAAGGGTGGGCGACGGCAGGTCATAAAGGAGTGTTTCTACAGCATCTTTTTTGCCTCCTCGCAGCTGAGAGTTCGAGTTCCGCAAGTCGTGCGTCCTGATCGGTAATGGTGGAGGGCGCGGACGAGGAGTCTCCAGCCGATATGATGTTGTAGACATGGTGTACAATGGAAGAGGGAGATTGCGCTCGAGGAGTAGGCCAACAAAGGACTCCTGCCTGGAAGAGTGTGTTCGGAGATAGCCTGGGTATGTTCAGGAGCAGACAGCACAAGGATCGTCGGATAGATGATGTGACAAAGAAGAGACAGACAGGGGCCGCCGAGCAGGGTTCGCCGCCGAGATGTGCGCCGTCGTCGTCGGAAGTGGTGGGCGAGAGAGAGCAGGACGGGCTCGTCGCCGTCGCGCAGGTGTCCTCCCAGCGCGGCCATCGCGCCGAGGCAGATTCCCGGCAGACACGTGGGAGCCCGACTATGGGCGCCTGTGGACACAACTCTGTAACTCTAAACTCGCCACCTTGGGCGCTCTCGGCCACTTGGTTCGTACTCTGATGTCTCGCCCAACTTTTTTGCATGTTCCTCAACCTGAGAAGCCCTTCTACGTCCCTCCAACCTGCACAGGGACCCTAAAAAACTGTCTTAGGGGTTTGGTCGTGCGCAGATTATAGCTGTGCTCTCGGCATCGTTCGCCGCCAGACTCGTAAGCCCAGACTGTCAGGTATGTTCTAGCATCCATGACGTAGCTTTATCATCCACCATCGTCCTGACGGTTTGAAAACGGCGTACGGAGGTTCTGAAGTCTACATGACAGCATCTTGTGCAGGGCCAGGCTGAGCGGGGCATCTCGCGTAACTGACCACAGTCGTCCCGGATCCTCGACGTTCCGTCTCGAAACAGCGGCGACCTTGCCGTGAAAGTCCGTCATGCCCGTCGAGCTTGCAGCTGATCTGCCCTCTCCTCTATGCCCGAGCCTCGCGGCCTCGCGCAGTACGTGACACAGCCCGAAGTAGCTTCAACGACGCGTATACTGACGTCGGTTGCTAGGCAGTAGCTAGGTTCGGCGTGCGTTGACCTGGCATCCGCAGTACAGCGCACGATCACTCGCCGCATTGACCCGGTTCCTCGATAGCTGTCAAGCTCGCACGAATAGGGGCAGTGACGCTCTAGCCCATCTACGCAAACTCGGCAGTCGCTCGTGCGTATAGGACACCGGCGTCTCTGTTCGGTTCCCCCTTCGCTACGGTGAGCGAGTCGCGAACCAGGGTCCCCATTCCTCTCGTCCGAGCTGATCACTCGAGAGCAGTGAATGCCATCCGAGGCTCAATTGGAAACTCGCTCGCCATTTGCGTATTCTCCGGTGATCGGGAAGAAGGACGGAGGCCCCGCCGCGTGCTCTCTGCGTGGTGCGGGGTCCGTGCTCGTCTAGCTCATTTAGAGACCGTTCACCGCTCACCGCGGCGATTACGCGCAAGCTGCAGCACAACGGGTCGGTACCGTGCTCGGTGACGACCTCCACCATGTCCGCGGGTATCGTTACGGGCGCATCTGCTCCACCTCCTTCGAACCCCTGGTCCTGCCGCACGACCGTCTGCTTCTCGTCTTCGCCGGCGCCCTGCTGTTGTGTGCGAGCTCTGCACGAGGATTTCATTTCTTAGAGCCTCGGGCGTTGCCGGCGGAGCCTTAGGATCTCTCGGCCTCTGTTAGTCATCGTGACGTACAAACGCGAGCCATTCAGCCCCGGCGTCTTCTGCGCGCCCACCAACATGCTTGCCGGGACGTCTGGGCGACTGGGCGCACGACCCTGGTTGTGTTCTCCCGCTCGCGTTCTGGTGCCATCGCAATGTGCACCAGTCACCCATCGGTTTTCAATCTGACGTCCCCAAAGCTTCGCGATTCGCTCTATTGCGTTAGTCCAGGGTCCGCCGTCTTTTGTCCATCTCAATGCCTGTTCGCGGCTGACGTCCCTCGGACCCTCCTCCCCCAGGCATCAATGTGGCGTCGGAGCACATGCTGCACAAGTATCTGCGGATCTCTGCTCTCTACCGCGGAAGCTTTTGATACGGCTATCTAACTCGCTGAAGACACCGTGATTTACTGGGCACTGCTAGTGCCACCGCAGTTGTACTTCGTCCGCCGCCGCTCGCAAGGAACGGCGCAGACATCAGTGCTAAGTCGATGCTCGCCGGAGAGAGCGCAAAACCGCTACATCCGCCGCCCGACGACGCGCAACGCGCCCGGCAGGGCGGGGGTCCCTCCATTCCATCATCTGATGCGTATCCTACAGACGTACGTACCCCGATCTGTCCAGTAATCGCTGACTACTCCTGCTGCCTATTGTACCGCCGCATACCCCCGGTCCCTGATGCGGTCACCCTCTCGGAATCTGCGCTGCGCGCCGTCGCTGCTTGCGGTTAGTCGGTGCGGGGGGCGGTGGCCCTTCTTCGCGGCGGCCTGCGCTTCCCGCATCGGCGGCGGTGGCCAGCGACGTGCACGGAGCGCGCGCGCCCACCTTCCTGACTCGTCCGCTGTGGCACGGGTCGCGACCGCAGAACGCGTCGCTTCACCAGCTTCCGGAAGGCTGATACGACTGCGGTGGAATGCTGCAGCAGGGGCGGCGCGATATGTTCGCGATCGCGCCCCGCGTATGGTGCCGCATTGCGATGTCGACAGCCCGAGGGTGGTTGTGGTGCGAGCGGTGCAGCCCGCGCCGGCCTCCAAGGCTCGAGCCAAAACCTTCGTCCGGCGGAGTGTCGTGTGCTTTACCGCCGGTGTGCGACATTGCGTTTGTTTGTTTTAATCATTGCGCGACAGCCTGTCCATCTGTCAGCGCGTCAGCAGCCGCGTTTACCTTGCTCCTGTCTCCTCGCCCGGCCAGGCGAAAAGAGGCATAGCGAGTCACTGGCTGCCGCCCATCATCTGCGCACAGTTGCCAGAGGATCGGAGGTGTTTGGCGAGCCGGACAGGCTACAAATTCGACAGGCCATCACCCGCCGCCGACTGCGCGTTACGTGAGTGCCCCAGGCCTCCATCTGCATCAGCCCTGGACGGCCTCCCGCGCGCGCTGTCTAAGTATGTTCAGCGATGGAGAGGGTGGATCGGAGTGGAGAGCGGTCAGCAGGAGTCGTCGGCGCACCCCTCGGGCGCAGCGCCCGTCGGCGTAGGATTGGGAGTCGCGATATCCAAGTGCGGACGCGTGCCTGGCAGTGATTGTGCGTCTGCACCCGGCACGCGCGCGGACGCCCGCTTAGATACCGCGCTGCCCGCTGCATCTTCTCCATCTTCATTTGCGGACGGTCGGGCTTGGCAGCTCGCGAGCCGCGGTCGGCAGAAGGACGCCGGGCGAGGGCCGCCCTGGGCGGGCAAAGTCGAGCTGCCAATCGCGAGGGGGCTGCCGCCTGCGGAGGGAAGGCGCGAAGGGCAAGGAGGCTTTGCGGAGTCCGGACTGGGCACCGTGACTGCCTGCTGTGCGCACGCGCGCTGCATTGAATGGCGGGCCCGCGTCTGGGGATGAATGCATGACAGGCGCACGCCGTGACGCACTGGCGTCATAGGCCGCGCCGGCAGCCGCGAAGCAGGCCTGGGAGGGCTTCGACGGCGGGGGCCCGCAGCGCCGGGTAGGGCCCTCGGACGCCTTCGTGATCCTCGCGCTCGTGCTCGAGCGCGAGCAGGGCGTGCGTGTGCGCGGAACGAGGGGGCGGGACGGGGGCAGACGCGGGGGCGGACCCGTGCCGTGGCCGTGGTCGAGGACGCGACAAGGTTTGTGTTGCGCGTCCTGGCCCAGCGCAGCGTCCAGCTCCAGACTCGACAGAGTGCGGTGGGTGCGCTCGAAGCTCGACCCGACCCAGGACACCGCCGGCACCCGCCGCGAGCCTGATCGCGCCTGCCCCATCCGGCATATCAGATTCTTCCGCGACAGGGCCATCGACGCGGGCGTCTGCGAGCCTAGTCCGCTGGGTCGCGGAAGCAAATGCGCCCGTACAAATCATGCTGACCTCCTCGCTCGACCGCAGGCGCGATCACTGCAGCAGTGCGCCAGCTGCAGCAGGAGCAATGCTTGTTCTGCCCCTGGACGCGCCATCGGACGCGATCGCGGGCCAGATACTCGTGCGTGAACGCGTCCTCCGGCGCACCCCTGCTCCCGTCGTAACCTATCGCCCTCCGCCCCTCCGCCCGACCGTGTTTTCCCAGACGGGGCGGCGCGCATGTGGGCGAGCGCGCTCGCAAGGACACACCAGCATTGAGAGCACGGGCGATCTGCGAGGCTGCCGGCTACCGATCGGGTGGGCCGCACTGATAGACACGGCCGTGCTCAAAAGCACCCCCCGCGTTCCCTCGGCCCTTCCGCTTGCTCCTGGCCCGTGTCCGCCAGGACGGGCGCGCGCAATAGCCTATCGGGATCTTCTGCGCGAGGCACGCGAAGCCCGCTCTCCAGCCACTCGCAGGCCTCCCCCGCTGGGGAGGCATACGGCGCGGGCCCTCTAGCGTGGGCACACAAAAATCCTTCCGCCGCGATTCGCCAGGGACGCCGCCGGCCAATGGCCCGTCGCCTGTGGCCATTGGCGGGGCGTGCACCTCCTCAGTATCCTCCCTCTCTCCTCAGAGAAGCTTCGGGGCCGGGTCATGCATGCGCAGTCGGGTGCTATCTCGTGGTTCCGCGCGCTCGCCGGCCGCCATTCGACTGAATGCGGTGGGTGCTCGTCATCCTGACAGGTGCTTGTTTTCTGGGGGCGTCGTGCTGCAGCGTGCTACGAGCTCCCCGCCGCGCGTCTGCGCCCTGCGCAGCACCACCGGGCGGCTTCCTCGGAGGCTGCACGTCCAAGTCTGCCGCTCGAACACGGGCGGGTAAGGCACAGAAGCGCAGGCCTGCCAGTTAACGCCTGCCCCGCGCTGCGTTAGTACGGCAGGGAGGCTGATCTGACCGCTACTCGACGTGGGTAGACGCGGACGGTATGTCTTCTTGTGTCCCCAAGAACAGGCGTTGCAGCAATGGTGGACCTTACTCATCTCCGCAGCAGGGCAGGAGGAGAAGCGGGTGGTATAGAAGCCGGAGGGCCCGAAGCCAGTGTGCCATATGGCGAGCGATAGACACCGATGGCCTGAACTATGCTGCTATGCACGGGCTTCCGGCCAACCCCGTCTCGAAGCTGAGCAGGTCTTCTGCGGGGAGCATCAGGAGTGCTCTGCGGAACACGAAGGAAACAAGGCTTGTTTGAGAGCGCGCATGTGACGGAGGGCGTCCGGCGGGGCGGGGGCAGATAGAGGAAAGCGGCCGTCGTCGATCGTACCATTGCACGGGCGTAGAGGCACCGCTGGGGCGTGCGTCCACGTCCAACGGTCGGTGCATATGGCAGAACGTATTAGAGACAGCGTGTTCTGCCGACAGTGAATTGGCGGGAGTAGTTGGCTGGGCTGGCTGTGGAGGCAGGACCTCGACCGGGCGGCGAGCAACTGCTGCCTGCGGTGATCAACGTTAAGCTCGGGCATCGCGCCTGGGCTGAGGCCGCTAGGCGAAGAGACTCATGGAGTGGAGCGGCGCGCGGGCGCGGTTGCGAGACGCGAAGGAGGAAGGCGAAGCGGTGCGGCGGAGGCGTGTTGAGGCGAGCGGCGAGGATGCCGGCAGGGCAGCGGTGCAGAATCGGACAATTAATCTGAATAACCGGGGTTGCCGTCCGGGTGTGTGCACTGGTTGGGAAGGAGGAAATAACGGTGGGATGCAGAGATGACGGGTTCGTGCGAGGAGTGAATTAGAAATTGGCCCGAGGGATAACGTCAGCGGCACCGGGCTGGAAAGAGGAAAGACGAGGGCGAAAGAGGAGGGGCCAATCGGGAGGAACGGGGCGAGGTTCGGGACGGGGGGTCGAGAGAAAGAACGGAGGAGGGAGGAGGGACGGGATGCCACGGTATGGAAATGCCACGAGCGGGGGCTGATTCGAGAGAACGCGAGATCTGGCGATGGGTCGGAGTGTGGGACGCGGTGGAGAGATGGGGGGAGAGATGGAATCGACGGCGAGTGACAGCGATGATTGATGCACGGGCGGAAAGCGTATGTCGGACGTTGAACCCAAAGAAGCCAGGGCTGCTGCATCCGTCCAGGCGTTCCTCGCAAGAGTCGAGAAGATGGGGTAATCCATCAACTGCTCTCCGCGGGAATCCCCTCCAATGCACGCGCGCGCAACGTATAAATCCAGCGCGAGCGCAGGCGGGGTGGCTGTTGCCTGTATCTGCCGCCCCGCCCTCCGACACAGGCTCTTGCTAGCCGACCCCGCTGCCCCTGCGCACGCCGCCCATACTGCTGCTTCCTGCCCTGCCCCCTCGCAGAAGGCAGATACAAGGATCACTGCGTCTGGATCACGCCGGCCGCCTGTTGTGGACAGTGAGTGCTGTGATAAATGGGCGCAGGTGATGCATGCGTACGGCTGCTGACGAGGAGGTCAATGGCAGGAGTATACTCGGGGACGCACCTCCAACGACTGAAGAGAGATGGCCCAAGCTGCCTGGCTGCCGCTTTCGGCAAGCACCGAACGCCGATCAGAATTTGGTATGTAATGGGTGATCGCGTCTGGAGAGCGACTGCTGCTCTCCGCCTATCCATCTCCCCTCCTCCCTCTTCTGCCACTCCCTCCTCCGCCCCTCCCCGCCCCTGCTCCCTCCTTCTCCCCGCGCACGCCGCCCGACCGCACCCGCTGACCTGCCGCCCAGATATCCTCAAGTCCGCCTCCCTCCATCGCACCCGCGACAGGAGCATGTCTCTCGACTTCCCCCCGTCCTCCCAGCACCCGCTCTACCCCCAGAACGACCTCGATCACCAGTACGGCTCTCTGTCGAATGGCAGCGACCTCTCCTCCACGCCCTCCCACCAGCACCAGTCCTCGCACCACGGCATGAGCGGCCATGTGCTCGACCGTCCGGACCCAATGGACGTTTCTGATCACAATGGCTACGACATCTTCTCCGGACAATCAAACCAGCGCTTCCGCAGCGGCACGTCCTCCTCCATGTCCTCCTCTTACGGTCTCGGCGTCGACTCCATGTACACCCAGAGCCCCTTCTCCGAATCCCTCCCCCACTTCCACAACCCGAGCCCCAACCCGTACGACCTCATGGGCGGCCTCCCCTCCTCGTATTCTAGCGGCAAGCCATCCCCGCTGACGCCCAACGACTCTGTCGGATCTCTCCAGCAGTCCTCCGCGTTCCCCTTCAACGGTCAACCCAAGGACTTCCATTCCGGCCACAACTTCACCGATGTGCTCGACCGCCGCATGTCCAACCTCAGCACCGGCAGCTACGCCTCCGAGTACAATGACGAGGGATACAACGGCATCAACGTCAACTCCGGCCTCGGTCTCGGCTTTAACTCGACCACTTTGCCGCCCTTCCAAGATCGCGGTCTCAGCCGCATGCAACAGGACTCGCGCTACCCGCCCTCCGTCATCCCGCCATTATCGCTGCCGTCGCACCTCCACCAAAACCACAGTCCGGACTTGATGCGGGGCGTGAACCCTCACGCAATGCACAACTCGCCCTACGACGATATCCCCTCGTTTATGGCGCCCAATCCGCATGTGGACTTCCCCTTGCGGATGCCCGGGCTCGACGACCCCATGTCGCGTGTGCGTCTAAACGGCGCGGGCGCTGCGACTGATCTGCAGACCTTTATTCGGTATGTTTCGACCGCTATCTGACTGTATGCGGTTTTTAAACGGACGCGCGCTCTCGCACAGCCCCTACCTGGATCAGTACGTCCGGACGCCGAACCGGCTCGCGTTTGGCGAGCGCACGGTCATTGTCATGTCCAGCAAGGTCGCGCAAAAGTCCTACGGCACGGAGAAGCGGTGCGTCCTTTTTCGCCTTGCATTGTCCGTCGCCGAAGCGGCCGAGATCCTGACGTGTTTGTGTGATGCCCCGCCAGTTTCCTCTGCCCGCCGCCGACTGCGATCATGATAGGCAACTCGTGGTGGTCGGACGTCACGCGTCGGGGCGAGGAGCCCAAACTTTGTCCGCCGCGCGTCGTTGTTTCCATCTCGGGCGAGCCGGCGCCACAGGAGGGCTCGATCGAGTGGACGAGCGCGACCGGCAAGGCGTTCGACGTAAGCGACCCCCCGACCGGGACGACCTACATCGGCCGCTGCGTCGGCAAACAGCTCTTCATCTCGGACGTGGACGAGAAGAAAAAGAAGGTCGAGGCGCTCGTCAAGATCATGGCGCCCTCGTCCGACGACGAGCCGGAGCGTGTCATCGGCACGTTCCCCAGCCGCCCAATCAAGGTCATCAGCAAGCCGAGCAAGAAGCGGCAGAGCGCAAAGAACCTCGAACGTGAGTCGCAGCTTCTCCCTCGTGTGCCCGCACTGCGGCCGCCCATCGGGGGTCGCGCGGTGGCGGTGACTAGGAAAAGCAAGGCTAAACCGCAATTTGTTTCCATAGTGTGTATCAATCACGGCTCGACAATTTCTTTGTTCCACCGGCTGCGGTCGCAGACGGTGTCGACAAAGTACCTCTGCGTCTCGGGCTCCGGCTCATCCTTCAAGGGCTCGGACGGCGCGCCGCTCATGGGTCTCGATCAGCGCTCGCGCGCACAAACGCCTTCCTTCATCGCTCGGACGGCCAGTTGGGGTAAGGAGCATTGCTGTGGCGGCCGCTCGTTTCACGCTGACAGGTGCTCCGCCGTCAGATCCCTTCATCATGTACATCGTGGACGTCAACAAGCCCGCCGGGGGCGTGGACTCGCCCCCGCCACCTCCGCCTCAACCGGAGTACCCCTCGCCGCCGCCAAACGCGATCCCTTTCACCAACAACGGCTCGCAGATCCCCGTGTACTACAACCAGACCGTCGTGCTTCAGTGTTTGACGTCTGGCGTGGTGAGCCCCGTGCTCATCATCCGCAAGGTCGACCACCAGACGACCGTCGTCGGTGGCGGCCTGCAGGACGGCGCCAAGGGCATCGCAGACCACTACTGTGCGGTCGGCGAAGTGTGCGGAGACCCCGTCTCGCAGCTGCACAAGATCGCGTTTGAGGTGTTCGACCCCGCTAAGGCCGCACCCGAGCCTGCAACCACCGGTATCAGTGGCGCGTTCCTCTCTTGCCAAGGCGAGAAGGTCAACACCTTCCGTCCGCTCGAGGGTCGGCAATGGCGGAATCCCCCACCGTCACGCGACTCGCCAGACGCTATCCCCGCGTCTCCGACCGCGACGACACCGACGTCGAGCACGGGCACTGCAGACTACTTCGGCTCTGGAGCGGCCGGCAGCAGCGCGCCCACGTCACCAGACCCGTCCGAGTTCCCGTCGAACGACGGTGGGCGCGTCAAGAAGGGCAAGCGCGGCTCCGGCTCGTCGAGCGGGAGCAGCCTCTCGAAGCCCGTCTCGCAGAAGGGCCGCAGGCGACCGACGTCCGCCGGATCCGCGGGCTCGTCGAGCGGGCGCCGTGGCTCGGGCAGCGACGCGGGCGCGTCCTCGGGCGCGCTCTGGCAGGTGGACATCGGCGAGACGAGCGTGTGGACGATTGTCGGCACTGGTGAGTGCTTCTTGGAACGAGTCGCATCACGGCGGCGGAGCGCTGATTGTGCGGCGCGTGCCTTGCAGACCAGGTGCGGTACAACTTTTACGTGCCGCCCGTGCTGTACGACAGCCAGAACACGCAGAGCGGGTCGTTCCCGATCCCGTCCAAGCCGGTGACGCCGTTCCCAGCGGTCGTCAAGTACCTGCCGCCGGACCGTGCGGCGGAGGCCCCGAAGAGCAACTGCGCGTCCTCACGTGCGGTGCTTGCCAAGCCGCACCCGCACGCGTCGAAGATGCTCACGCTGTACGGCGAGAACTACTCGAAGACAGACCCGGTAACGGTGTTCTTCGGGTCGGAGCCCTCGCCGTACGTGGAGGTGAGGTGCACCGAGGTCCTCGGCTGTCTCCCCCCGGAGTCGGGCAGCACGAAGCGGAGGCCGATCATCCTCGTCCGCCCGGACGGTGTGGTGTTCCCGTCGAGCGTGTACTACCCTTGAGCGGGGCTCTGCCGCTCGTCTGGTGTGCCCGCTGATCTATCGTCGCCGTCGTCATGTCCCTGCTTCATGCCCCCACCCCATGCATGCTTCGCTCCCCCTCTCACCCCCATCCCCCTCCCTACCCGCCCCCTCGCATTGCTCTTCTCAGCCGCTTTGTCCGTCCCCTCGCACTAGACTTTCGCATGTTATCTATATGTGCCATCTCCGTCCGCATCTCTCCCTGGCTCAGGAATCATAGGCTAGCTATATGGACTCTAGGCGTTCTTCGCGGTATACCGTGTGTAAATTGTATAGTAGACTCCGCCTCTCCTCTCCTGCGATTTTTTTGCATAGCGCAATGTGAATGTATGAAGTGCGCATCGCAACGCCTCGTGTGCCCCTCGCGACTGCACGGTAGTTGGAGGCGAAGAGTACACACCGATGAACCGGTGACGACTAGCATGGCAGCTTCCCGTACCTCTCACTCAAGCTCCCGCTCGGGGAGGACACGACGTTCGCGCCACAACTGTCCGGCCGCCCGGGCCGGGTGTGGTTCCCTGGAGGCGCGCTAGACGCCGGAGCGTCGGCTGCAACAATCCACTGCCGTCTCTCGGGTGCGCCGCCGTCAGACTGAACGCGGCGATGAGCTCGACTGTCCTCTCTGTCCCGCAGACTCTCTGGCATCTCTACGTCGACAACCTCGTGTTCTACAAATCCGGATCATGGGTCGATAGCGCCGCCTCGACGTTCCGTGTGCTCGCGTTCGCGACCATCTTCCCGTTCATCCTCCTCACGCTCTTTGTGCGTACCTCTTCGATTTATTCACGGCGAGGGGCACGGCTAACCTGGGTGGTGCTCCAAGGATGTCGCGTCGTACGTGATCGCCCGCACACTCGGGGTTATCGACGCGACGAAGGCGTCCACGAGCGGCGAACTCGATAACGCCGAGCAGCTGCACGCGAACAAACCGGCGATCGTGGTGCACGACGACAGCACACCCACGCCCTCGACCGACGCGGAGGGCGGCGACCACGCCCAGAGCAACCTCCCGCACACGACGCCCCCGGCATCCTACTTCCGCAACCCGACCGAGGAGGAGGGCAACCTGCGCCTCGCCGGCGTCGGCACGTTCTCCCCCGCGCCCTCGCAGCCGGGCTCGCCCACGCTCCAGCGGCGCGAGTTCCTGCAGCACTCCCACTACTACGACGGCGACGCGCCGCACCGGCCCGCATCCGCGTCCACGTCCGCGGACTCGGGCGAAGATGAAAACGAAGACGAGGGCGAGGGCGAGGGATATGCCATAGCGGGGAGCGGAGCGGCCACGCCGCGGGACGTGTCTGGGCTGGGGATGAGTTCCGCGGGCTCGAGCAGCGGCGACTCGTCCTTCGCGATGCTCGACCGGGACTCTGGGTCGGAGGACGCGGGCGTGGTGCTGCGCAGGCGGTCACGGCGACCAGGAACAGGGCCCGAGGCGGAGGGGGACGGCGTCGCGGCGTAGTGAGGAAGCGGGGGACGCGGGGCTGGGGGGCACTGCGCACGTCGGGCACTCATGGCGCCGTGCGCGGCCGCGGTCAGGAGACAGGGGGCGACTGCTCGTTGCGGCAGTCGTTTCTGGCGGGTGCGCGCGCGCAGGCCGCTGTATTTTTATCGCCCGGGTCGTATTCATACACGGTACGCAAAATACACGCTATAGACACACATCGTCCGTCTGTCCGTGCCGCCCACGCGGCCCTCTAAGCACGCCCTGTCCCCATCGGTCGACACCTCCCCGCGCGGATCTGCTCGCGCGTGAGGGCTACCAACCGAATCTCAACTGATCTCGAGAGAAGACCGGGGGCTTCCAGATGACACACTCGGGGTGTATCCGCCTCTTCCGCTTCTCCTTGGCCTTCCTGTACCTCTCCTGGACCGCTTCTGGAATGCTGATTACATGCTGCCCCTTGAAGTGTTTGAATAGCTGCAGCGTCGTGCATCTGTTCGGCCCGCGCACAGGAGGCAGGAGCCCGAAAGTTTGTTAGCAATCCGCAGCGGCGACTCGAGAGCGAGGGAGCAGACGTACGTGTTCATCACATCGGCATGCGTGATCGAGGTCTTCTGCGCAATATCGTCGATGCTAACGTCCTCGGTCGTGGTCATGAGCAGGTCAATGATCGTCTCTGCCCAGTAGGCACGGTAGCCGAGTAGACCCAGGTCGGAGAGCGGCTTCTCGGGGCTCCCGAGCTTCCCCTCGCGTTTGCTCAGCTCGTACGAGAACTCGATGAGGAGTTTGCCGTAGCCATGCCGTTGGTGCTGCGGGAGTGTGAGGATGCAGGCGACGTTGTAATTGTCCGCGGACTCCTTTTCCTTGGAGAAGTAGCCGACCATATGACAGCCGGAGGAATCCCGTTGGCACTGTCAAAGGCGGCGATTGTTAGGCGATCGGCAGCGAAAAGGGGAAGAGCCAGGAACGAGCGTACCATGACATAGTACAAGAATGGTGTTACATCGTAATATAGCGTTTTGCTGCAGGGAAGCGAAGTGTTAGTGTGCACTAGATAGTTCGGACGTGATAGATTACGCACTGGTCGAGGAAGCACTTAGAGAGTAGGCTGAGGTTGCGGCAATATCCCAGCTGTCGCTTTCCGTCGAGCTCAAAGAACGATATGTCTTCATGGCGATATATTTCATTGCCAGGCGGATGTAGGAGGTTACACCGCTTTCGGTGTCTCGATAGCATGAACTCGGACCCGTAGTACGACAGGCAGAACTCGCAGAGGTATAGCACGGGCAAATGGGCGTACTCCTGGGGATATGGGCTGAAGTACCATGCGTCCACTTCGTGCTTGCCTATCTGCAGGCGGTTCAGGTTCTTCACGCGCGCGATCTCGGATATGGACTGTGTCATGGACCCCGACGTGCGCAGCTTCTCAATCTCCTGCTCCTTGCTGAAGGCCGAAAGTGGTGAGGGAGCCTGCGGGGTCTCGCCACCGTCGAGGTCCAGCACTTCGCCCTCCGCGTCGACGTCCATCTCACCCTCGGCATCGGCATCGAGGTCCTCGTCTTCCTCGTCCTCGTCCTCATGCAAATTCTTCCGCTTCTGGCCGATGGACGGCGCGGGTGACGCGCTCGCACGCGCTGACGCCGGAGTGGATGGTCCAGGAGTGCCGGGCTCTGTCTTTACGGACTTGCCGACGGCGAGCGCATTCGCGGTGGCGGCCCGCTTGAGGAGCGACTGCTGGCGCTGGTTCTTCGCGGGGGTTTTCTTGCCCACAACCTTCTTCGTCGCCGACGACGCTTTCGGGCGGGGCCACTCGAGGTCCCTGCTGAGGACGAGGCGGGTGCCGGAGACCCAGTCGTCCAGGCGCTTGTTGAACTGGTCCCAGTGGACAAAGAACTCCAAGCGCTCCTCGGGCCTCAGTGGCTCCTCCTGTTTGACCTCCGCGCGCAAACGCGAAACATAGGGATTGACGGGCTTGTCGCGGATGGAGAGGATCTCAGCGAGCCGCTCCTCCTCCTGACCGTCGGGGCCGGGGCGGCGGATGTAGAGCTTGCAGCCCACGGAGACGGTCTGGGTGAATCATGTAAGCCATGCGCTGGCTGTGGCGCTAAACAACGGTCGCCGTCGTCGTCGATGGCGGGCTCACCTGGATGCTATACGTCCCGCCGGGCGTGATGGGTGGGGGCGGCTGCGCGCCCTCGTCTTTCGGTGCGTGTGGTGCCATGGGGGTGTTGGAGTCTGCTCGAGTGCGCCGCGGAGGACGTTGGCCCCTCCGTATGTTACGCTTTCTCGACATGTTATGTAAGCGGGCGTTCAGTAGCTAGCGCCCGCGTACCGGGAGCGCTGAAGATATACTTTTCGCGAGGCAAAGATCTTTCGAGTACTCCCCTCCCATCTCGCTTTGAGCATCCGCATCTGCTCAGCTGCCATGGACGACGACATTGTTCTCAACTTTGCGACAGAGGACGTCGTGAAGTCGAAAGCAGGCCAAGGACAGAAAGGCGGGCGGTGGACGGACCGGTAAGTCTCCCGCACATCCACCCTCAGCCACTTCCTCATAGCCCGCAGGCTGAAAGCTAAACGAGTAGCCAAACGCAAGACGCGCCCCGAGCCGTCTCGTTCTTCTGCACCACACGAGGGCGCTGCTCACGCGGCTGAAGCCCGTCCCGCAAAACGGCCACGGAAGGAGCCCAGCGCCGCACATGAAGAGCACGACCAGGAGCGTGCCGCCGCTGCAACCGCTGCTCGTCCTGGTCAAATCATATCCTCACTGTTCACGTCGAACCCGAAGATCGAACAACATGCCCCGCGTTCTTCCTCCAGCGCCTTCGCAAAGCCGAGCAATGCGCCCATAGACTCCTCTTCCTTCACCGGGCTTGGGCTCGACCCGCTCATCGTCGCACATTTGGCCGGCAAAATGAGCATCGAGGCGCCGACATCTATCCAGCGGAGTGTTCTACCCGCGCTCCTGCCCACTTTGGAAGACCCGGCAGCGCGGGACGTCTTCATCCAATCGCAAACGGGTTCCGGAAAGACCCTGTCCTTCCTGCTACCTATCCTCCAGGACCTCCTACCACTTAGCAAGCTGTCGTATATCGACCGCTCGATAGGCACGCTCGCGATTATCATTGCGCCTACGCGCGAGTTGGCGAAACAAATATCCGACGTACTGGAAGCGCTGCTCCAGCTCCGACTCCGGGCCCACGACGAAAACGCGGAGGACGCTGCGCCTCGCCTAACTCGCTGGCTCGTCTCGGGACTTCTCACCGGTGGCGAGAACCGGACACACGAAAAGGCACGTCTGCGGAAGGGCGTGCCCATTCTCGTCTCTACCCCTGGGCGACTGCTGGACCACCTGCAGAACACTTCTTCGTTCAACGTGGGCAAGTGCCGGTGGCTGGTTCTTGATGAAGCCGACAGACTCATGGAGCTAGGCTTTGAGGAGACCATCCAGGGTATCTTGAGAGGGCTTGACGGGCGTCAGAAACTAGCGGTGCAGGCCGTAGAAGAAGGGAAGAGCATGGAGGCCGGCGGGTGGGACTGGAGTCGGACAAGACGCACGATCCTCTGTTCGGCGACTATGCGCGAGGACGTCCAGAAGCTTGCCGGCACGACGCTCACCAACCCTATAGTAATCAAAGCGCTGTCGGATGCGTCGGAGACGGACTTGCAGACTATCGTCCCCGGGAGCCAGAAGTTCACGCCGCCTTCGCAGCTCTCGCAGAAATACGTGGTCGTGCCGCTCAAGCTTCGCCTGGTTACGCTCATCGCGCTCGTGCGCTCGTTGCTTGCGCAGTCCCAGAACAAGAAGGGGACGAAAATCATCGTGTTTTTGAGTTGTACGGACTCGGTAGACTTCCACTGGAATCTGCTCGGTGGGACGTCCATGGGAGACGATGCCGACGAATCAGGTTCGTCGGAAGAAGAGAAAGAGGCCGAGGCCGAAGAAGCGGAGGAGGTCGCGTCGGACGCAGAGGGTTCGCAATCCTCACCTAAGCAGCCCAATAGAAAGAAACTGGTAAAACAGCGGGTAGAAGTCAAGTCTGATCTTCTCCCCGACACCTCCATCTATCGCCTACACGGTTCGTTACCCCTGCCTACCCGTCTGGCATCCCTGAAGGGTTTTTCGGCCAACCCCGCTTCGTCGAAGACGCCCATCGCACCCAACTCCATCCTGCTCTGTACATCCGTTGCCTCCCGTGGTCTCGACCTTCCGCTTGTTCGTGCCGTCATCCAGTACGACCTGCCGACGGAGGCCGGTGCTACTGAGTACGTACATCGAGTTGGACGTACGGCGCGTGCTGGTAAGGGCGGTGAGGCGTGGAGCTTTGTCTCGCCGAGCGAGACGGAGTGGGTGAAATGGGTACAGGATCAAATGCAGGGCGACGAGAAGGGAGGAGAGGGGAACGTCACGTTGGACGGAGTCTCGATGGACACCGTACTACGGAAGGGCTTTGGTGGCAAAGGCAGCGAGTACGAGTCGCGTGCGACAGAAGTGCAGCTGTCGTTCGAACGATGGGTGCTACGAAACAAACCAGTCAGTAGTGCTGTTCCGTCCTCTCTGCCATTTATACTGACACCGCTCTTCAGAACGCGGACGTCGCGAGGAAAGCGTTCCAGTCACACATGCGTGCATACGCGACCCACCCGTCGGACGAGAAGCACATTTTCCACATCCGCCATCTCCACCTCGGTCATTTGGCGAAGGCGTTTGCTCTACGGGAAGCCCCTACCGCGTTCAACAAGAGCGCGAAGGCACCCAAGGCGAAGCCGTGGCAGAAGCAGAAGGACGCCGCCCACAGCGCGTCCGCTGATGCCAAGCCGTACCGGAACAAACGGCGCATTGCGGAGGGCAGCGACGACGAGCAGGATGTCGCAGCGGCGGAGAAGCGCATGGAGCAGGTTGTGCGCGCGCAGGGTCGGTTGACGAAGAAGGGGGGCAAGATGGTCAGCTCTGGGACGTCCGAGTTCCAGATCGCGGGAGGGTACGACTTGGAGAAGCTAGTCAATCGGACATAGTGTTGCTTTCGTTGTACATCTGTTCACAGTGCGATCATTTTCCCGAGCGACATGCGCACACTCTATCAAATGTGTTATGCAGCATATGTTGCAGACCAGGGTGCAGACCACGTTTCGATTCCTACGTTTCCTCCACACTTTCCCACGCCTCCTATTTGATTGTCGCACTCCACTCAACCTTGCGCACCATGCACCATGTCCCACTGCCGAAGCTTCGCCGCGCGCCGGGGACCCATGTCCAGCTATTCCAGCATGACCATCCTCTGAAGCCGTAAAAGAATCAAACCGAGCGCCTGGTAAGAACTCAAAGTAGTCACTCTGTCTCTCAGATATATGCTAATGATATATGCTAGGTCAATTCTTATATCCCACCATGAACGTGGCAACTCTTATCCCTCGGCGGAGAACAAACGACGCCATAATCGCCCATGTACCCGCACCAATCCATCGAGGTGTTCGCGCACTGGGGAGCTCGGTGGCCGGGTCGACTTAAATAGTCTAAGTTACAGTGGTACACAAAAAAGCCATCAGCATAGCGGAAGTGCAGCTCGCCGACAGCGGTGAAAAGCGCTTGTGCAGCATCGAAGCTGTTCCCGAGCTCCCAATGATGGCGGAGAATAGTGACAAGATAGCCCTCTGGTTGCGGCGTCAGCCTGACGCCCCGGGAGGTTCCATTCCCATCCGTCGCCACCGATGGCCCTACTACGGATCCGAGAAAGACTTAGCCACCCACTACCGGAACCTGTTCCAGGACGTCTACACGCCGTACCTCGAGCTCTCCCAGGCGACCGATACCAGGCAAAACTTTGATTGGTTTGAAGTCCGCGTCCAATGTTCCTCCCCAGCACACAACACGCCGATCACCACTGACCTATGCTTCACCCACGACCTCGCATGCGACTCAGAGGCCGCGTTTGGATCTACCGTTTTGCATTTTCGAGGTCCTAACCGACAGCGTCTGGGACAGTCATCGAGCAGACGTACAGGCTCGGATCGGCGCCCCCCGTACAATATTCGGACAAGCAAAAATTGGAAGAACGTAGTGGATGTGAAGATACCGCAATGTTTACTGAGCGCTCTTGTGTCTTCGGCCAGCCTAAAAATACCTGTTACAGTATTGATGAGTACTGAATATACACACTGGCCACTACAGAGAATAGAGTAATTTACAGAGGTTACACTTACCTTGGCCCCAATAAGGGTATCTTCGGGAAGACCGATTGACTTCCACCCCGAACGAGAGGCTGATTACGAACCTAGGCGTATACTATACATACGTTATTTCAATAAGACAACTCCCTATGCAGCTGCAGAGCTGCCACTACCAGGACCCCCGATTATAGTAGGGGAACCTACATCACGACCTCCCAAAAATGGCCCAAAATGTCCGCGGATTTTTGGCCGTTTTGGACCTCAAATGTCCGGAAAACATCCAGCTTCCGACCCATTTTTGGAGCCCAAGCGCCCAAAATATGGCCTAAAATGGTAATTTAGCGCTCGAAAACGTGCCTCCGACCGGCGTCTACGGCGCTCCAGGTCCTCCGCCCGCGTTCTCGAGCAGATTTGTCCGGAAACTCCGCGCGTCTAACTCAGGGTTGGGTACCCATTTGACCACCTTTTGTCCGGAAAAAATCTAGCTTGGGGGGTCTCCAGAGGCCCAAATTTGTCCGGAACCACATCGGGGAGACCCTACTATAGTCGGGGGTCCTCCACTACCTCGAGCTCATTGAGATAACTACGTCACCAGCGCGCCGTGCGTCAGACTCCAGAGGAGCGAGGCAAACGGTGACCGGCCCGGGATAGAGTTGACGCGCATGGCTCCTTTGCGCTGAACCTCTCCTCCTCATTCTCCTTCCTCCACCACACTCTCATGCCTAAAACCAACTCCTCGCCGACAGACCAGACCATACCTTCAAGCCCAAGCCCAAGCGCTTCTTCATACGTCTATCCAATCAGATCTTTGCTTAGTGGCATTCAACCAGCAGGAGGGTCCAGGGATCATGGTATGTGGACACATCTTCGTGTCTTTCTCTCAATTCCTAACTCTCGGCCAGACGGCGACACACCAGCGGATGTCCGCTCTCTACCCGAAATGGTAGACACTTTCCATCGATCAAGTAGCTCTGGCAACTTGGCGAGCATGTCGGACTCCCCAAGACGAGATTCAAGACCTCGCAGTGCGGTCGACCTCGCATCCGCATCTGGTCCTTCCAACCGTCGCTCCCATAACGGAAAGCGCGGCCCCATCCCCAACTACCGCGACTTTTCGCCAGACGAAAGCCCCTTCTCTCCCCGAACATTCGCTTCCGCCCTCCCTGGTACTTCGCCATCAGACTCAGACATCTCTCCCGGCGTAGACGCGCTATTCGCCCCGGAATCTGAGGATGAAGCCGTGCTTTATCTTCCCAACGCTGGCACGAGATGTACCACTGGAAGGGATGATCCTCGCCATCCATATCCTTTTCCGGAGGTGGCGACGGAGGCATTGGCGGACTTCGCTTCACGCAATTCGCTGATACCAGGTGTAGCTACCGAAGACCACCCGAGCGCGTCACCTTCTGCGGGCTCTCTGGCGGAGCTCCTTGCACATGAACCGTCAAACTTCTCGCAGTCTGGCATTGTTCATCTTGCCCCCCTAGACGAGCAATCAAGGTCTCGATCCAGTTCAGGAGGTCCCAACTCTGGACGACGGAACAGCCCTAGAGTGCCGCACTCAGGTAATGGTTCCGGGGGCTCGTCACCACATCTAGGGCTGTCTAGGTACAGCGGCTCTGGCTCGCGTGGACAGTCTACCGATCTCTCCACCTCCAACCCTTCCTCATACTTGAATTCAGGCTCTGCTAGTCTTGTGAGCGGCTCCACTGGCTCTTCCCGACCACACACGACATTAAGGTATCAACATGTTGAAGATGAGGATGGACATCATCTCATTGTGGGGCGGGAAGGCAAGTTGACGAGGTGCGAAGATGAGGTAGGTGCCACAGCTTATCGGTCGCACAGATAAACTAATGAGCATTTGGAAAGCCAATTCGGGCCCCCGGCGCCGTGCAGGGATTCGGTATACTTATCGCTGTGGAAGAGGATCTTGAAACGGGGAATCTGGTAGTGCGACAGGTTTCCGAGGTATGCCTGCAGATGTTGCGGCGGCGGTCCGTCTGCTGACATTATGGCGTAGAACTCAACTGAGTTGCTTGGACTCCCTCCGTCGTACCTTTTTGGTCTGGAATGCTTCTCGCAAACGTTTCCGGAACAACAAGCGGACGTGCTTTTCGATAATATCCAGTACCTCAGCGACACAGCGCTGACAGCCGAAGAGCAAGCAGAGAATCTACATGTCTTTATGGTGAGTGGATGGGGCGAACCGGGGTCTGCCCTGTCCGAGGAACCTGGCGGCGATGTTCACAACAGACGAACCTGGACGTGCTGGTGCGCCGCACACAGACCACAACTCGCTGTACCCGGCGGCGTGGCGGCAGGAGAAGATGGCGTCGACGCTGCTTATCAGAACACCATCATCCTCGAGTTTGAGTTCGAGCGCGATCCTTTCAACCCGTTGTACCCGCCTCCGCCGAATGTGGAAGACGATGTGGGCAGCTCTGGGGTATCCTCTCCGTCAAACGCTTCTACCACAGAATCGGGTAGCTCCGGACGCACACTCGTGTCCAGTCCAGACGAGAGCGTAACATTGGATACGCCCCCAGAACCCGCGGAATCTTCCATGGTGGTCGGCGATAATCCTCCCGCCTCAACAACGCCATCGATATCGGAGCCTATCTCAGGTCACAATGTACCAGGCAATGACGAATGGTTGCCCAGCCCCGAAGATATCCTCGAGAGTACGACAAGTCGATCGAAGCCACTCCCAGCGCTTGAGCGCCTTCGGCGCACCAAGCGTTCTTCTATCGAGGACACGCCCTCCTCTGACCACGGCAATGGCGCTCGGCCTCGGGCTAGCCACCGTCGAAGGCGAGGGACCGGCGCGGTCGGTATGATGGATGTCTTCGCAGTCATGGCGCAGATTAACGAACAGCTGGGCGCGGCTCCCGACCTGGATACGTTCTTGAAAGTCACGGCCGGCGTGGTGAAGGATCTCACGCAGTTTCACCGAGTGCTGCTATACCAGTTCGATGAGGCGTGGAACGGTCAAGTTGTAGCGGAACTCGTTGACTGGAACCAGACACACGATTTGTACCGTGGGCTTCATTTCCCCGCATCGGATATTCCTGCACAGGTCAGTGCTATCTTACAAACCCTGCTTGATTTATCTGACAGCTCGTGTAGGCGCGCGAGCTGTATGCTTTGAGTAAGCTCTTTACAGTGTAGATGCGTCCGGTTTACGTGAACGTGTTTATAGACAAAGTCCGCCTGCTGTACGATCGTGGGCAGCCTACAGCCCGCTTGGTCGTAAGGAGCAAAGCCGACCTCGCGAAGCCACTTGTATGACGTATTCAGTCGCATAGTACATCTCGAGGCTGATCAGTGACGTTTTTAGGATATGACGCATTGTTATCTCCGAGCCATGAGCCCAATTCATATCAAGTGTATGTCGTACCCGTTGCTCCGCCCAGTTCCGTTTGACTTATCGGGCCTCGCGATGCATGCAGATTTGGAGAACATGGGCGTCCGTGCCTCGATGTCTGTGGTGAGTGCTCCCCCGTAATCCACTTGCCATATACACGCTGATGAGTTGGGATGTCCGGGAACTCGGCGTGTTCCTGGCCCTGGCGACTGAACCGATAGTCCATCATCGCATTTGGGACGCTGTGGGGTTTAGTCGCCTGTCACTCCTACGGTCCACAGGGTATGCGCGTCTCGTTCCCCGTGCGGCAGATGTTGCGGCTCCTCAGCCAGTCCATCTCGCGGAACATCGAACGGCTGAGTTATGCCCAGCGGCTCCATACGCGCAAACTGGTAGGTTGCTACATTCAGCGGATATTCAGCATACTCAGCCATCGTGCCTTCCCATACATAGATCAACACAATGCCGACGGACCAGCATCCTGGAGGGTACATCGTCTCGAATGCGGATGACCTGCTCGGGCTATTCGATGCCGACTACGGTGTCCTGGTCATAGGCGAGGGCGCAAAGATCCTGGGCCCAAACCAGCATGGCCAGGAGATTCTCATTATTGCAGAGTACCTGCGACTGAAGCAGTTTACGTACGTACCGTCCATCCATGTTACATCCCCACAGTGGTGCTGCGCTGACGCTTGCCTGGATTTTGCAGTACGCTGCAAGTCTCCCAGGCAGTGACAGTCGACTACCCGGACCTCCAGCTCACTACTGGTCTAGAGGTCATCGCCGGGCTATTGTATGTTCCTCTGTCGGCGGGCGGGCGGGATTTCATCGCGTTCCTACGCAAGGGCCAGCCGCGGGAGGTGCATTGGGCAGGGCGGCCGCGGAACCCAGGCGAACGTAACGTTTTGGAGCCGAGGCGGTCATTCAAGACGTGGGCAGAGATAGTCGCTGGACGGTGCCGCGCGTGGACAGACGAGCATCTCGAGACGGCAGGCGTGTTGGCTTTGGTGTACGGAAAGGTAGGTTGCCATTTGTTTTGCAAGTGATGCGCGCTTGTTTTCTGAAGAGTTTTGCCCTCAGTTCATCGAGGTGTGGCGGCAGAAGGAGACTGCGCTGCAAACAACCAAGCTGACGAATATCCTGCTGTCGAATGCAAGTCATGAAGGTGTGTACCGGCGTCCTGTTTAGCGTCAGGCCTCAGCGCTCACGACGTATGAGTTAGTACGAACGCCGTTGAACCATATCATCAAGTAAGTCCACGCGCACTCTCTCCAAAGATGGCCTTCTCGCTGACAGTCTCTCAGCTACTTGGAGTTGGCTATGAATGGTCCCCTGGATATGGAGACACGAGAAAACCTGAGCCATTCTCATGCCGCTTCGAAGAGTCTGTTGTTCACGATCAACGACCTCCTGGTGCGTGGAAGCGCTGTTCATGCACTTACTGCTGCTTATTCGACCATTTCCAGGACTTGACGCGTCTCGAAAGCGGTCACGAGACCTCTTTCAACGAACCTTTCGATCTCCATCAAGCAATCGACGACTCCATCCAACTATATCGGAATGAAGCTCGCAGACGCGGGCTCGCCTTCATCCTGGACCTCGAGGCCTGTCCCAGAGAAGTTGTAGGGGACTCGCGGAAGATCCGGACGGTAGTTGCCAATCTCACGGCGAATGCCCGTAAGCCAATAGTCGCACACTCTAGACTCGTGCTAACCCTCTGGTCAGTGAAATACACGGCCCAAGGGTCTATTTCCGTGCGATGCAAAGCGTTCGAGGAGCCTACAGGCCTGAGGGATACCGGCGATCTCGCAGTGGAGATCGTTGTAGCGGACACGGGTTGCGGTATTCCCAACGATAAACTGGAGAGCATCTTCCGGGAGTTCGAGCAGGTGGAGACTGCACCACGCGCGCACTCCCCCGGGCTTGGTACGTGGTCTTTTTGTCTCTTCCACTGACATTTGCCTGATGATACCCCAGGTCTCGGGCTGGCTGTCGTCGCTCGCATCGTGGAGCAGCTTGGCGGTCAACTGCGAGTGGATTCGAACTTGGGCCAAGGAAGTCGCTTCTCGTTCTTGTTGCCTCTCACCACCGACGTGCATAGGAACAGCGTGTCGAGATCTTCCGGGTCGTCCCGGTCGTCCCTGGTGCTGACGCAACACGGCGGCTCGCGAGGCTCGGAGTTGAACGACTTGGTCGACGCGCTATCTGTTAGCCATATGGATGATTCGGTAGCTCTGCCCAGGCCATCGAACGACCGTACCTCCACAGGACGGTCCTCCACCGGATCCGCTGGCGGGCATGTCGAGATTCAAGATTCCGGGATACCTTTGCGCCCCGTGAAAGTCGATGAGTTCTCCCTCGACCGTCCGGTACCTCAACCTATGAGCTCTGTCAGCTCACAGGCCCGGAAGAGTAGGAGCTCGCCCGCGAAGCGCTCGCCGATTGGCCGCTCTCAGTCAGAGTCGCTTCCCAAGCTTCGGATCTTGATTGTTGAGGTAGGTGCTCCGGGCGTATCGAGACAAAACCCCAGCGCTCATCGGTACATGCCAGGACAACGATATCAACCGCATGATTCTCGCGAAGAGGCTATCCTTGGATGGACATACCATCGTCAACACGACGAACGGACAGGAGGGCCTGGAGATGGTGCAGTCTGATCGTCACTTTGACTGCATTCTCATGGATATCCAGTACGTTGGCTTTTGTGCTGTGTGGTGGCGAGCTAACATGCGTCGCAGAATGCCTCTGCTCAACGGTTACGAGGCAACCGAACAAATCCGCATCTTAGAGAAAGATGTTGAACGTCTCGACCGTGCCTCCCACCAGCAAAACGGGCGTATACCCATCTTCGCCGTCTCTGCCTCCCTGTATGAAAACCAGCGAGACGAGCTGTACAGGCTCGGCTTGGACGGCTGGATCCTCAAACCGATCGACTTCAAGCGGCTCCGTGCGATCCTGAGGGGCGTCGTCGAGCCCGCCCAACGCGAGAAGGACGTCTACCGCCCGGGAATCAACTGGGAGGTCGGCGGCTGGTTCTCGCGGCCCGCGGACAAGGCTCCATGAACAATGTCTTCATCGCGGACACGGAAATCACTGGCGGCCTACTGCACTTGCTTTCATATTCCCTCGTCGCCTTGCTATCGATCGGGCTACCGCAGCATTCATCATATCAGACCCGTCACGCCCGTACTCATACCGTAGCATTTCTAGGGCAGACAGAACACGCATCCGCACACACGAACGTTCCGCGCCCGTGTTTGCATACCATATCATGTTTTCCTTATAAGGCTGCTCTCTGTGGGTCGTTTCATGTTGTATCACTCAGGTCTCCCCCTTCCGTCATTCGCGGTTCTCGCATATCCCTTGCATCTCGTATCTTGTAGCCATACCTCCAGTACATACACGCGCGCTGTGGTTCGGCTTGCGACTGTCTCTGCTGTATTATAGCATTTACCATTGGGGAAATCTGTAGGCTCGTTACCTCGCCAGGGAATCACGCATCGTTCAACTCTACATACACAGCGGACCATATGCAGCGCCGACCATGTGGCTGGGTCGGCGAGTGATGCGCGCAGGCGAAAGGGGTGGCCCGGGTCCGGCCCGCGAACGAGTCGCCACGTCTGCTCGAACTGGGCGCCGCGTAGCGGTCGCGAAGCCATCTCATCTCTCTTTCTTCCCCCCACCACCAGCCATGTTCTTCAGTAGGCTCACCCTCGGTTTCCTCCTCGTCACGGTCGCCGCGTTCTTCTGCGCGCAGTCCGTCGAGGCTGCCAAGGGTCCCAGGATCACCCACAAGGTCTACTTCGACATCAAGCATGGCGACAAGGACATGGGCCGAGGTGCGCGGGCTCGCACCAACGTGTCCTGGTGGGAACATGAGAGCTAATTCTATTGCATCTGCAGTTGTGCTTGGTCTGTACGGCGGCGTACGTGTTGATTCGCTGGAGATACGGATTGAGAGTGTTGATGCCCGGACTGCGCTGCACAGACTGTCCCCAAAACCGCGGAGAACTTCCGCGCTCTTGCCACCGGTGTCAAGAAGGACGGAACCGCTCTCCCAGAGGGCTTCGGCTACAAGGGCTCGAAGTTCCACCGTGTCATCAAGAGCTTCATGATCCAGGGTGGTGACTTCAGTGAGTGTAGCGAATCTGCACGTTTGAAATGTTTTCTAAATGCTCGAATTGTTTAGCCCGTGGTGACGGCACTGGCGGCAAGGTTAGTGCATCGTTACTTCAGAGATCAATGTATGAATCCCTTCGCGCAGTCCATCTACGGCGACCGGTTCGCGGATGAGAACTTCAAGCTCCGCCACACTCGCCCCGGGCTTCTCTCCATGGCTAACGCGGGCAAGGACACCAACGGTATGTTACATCTGTGTTATGACGCGGATATCTGTGCTAATGCTTCCTGTGTCTTAGGCTCCCAATTCGTAAGATCCGTTCATAGGGGTTCTCACTGCCCATGTCTAACCTTAATACCTTAGTTCATCACCACGGTCATCACAAGCTGGCTGGACGGAAGACACGTATGTCATATTGAGTCCCCATACTCCATACTCTGGTCTAACATAACGCAGGTTGTCTTTGGCGAGGTTCTCGAGGGTATGGACATCGTCTACGCTATTGGTAAGCTGAGGAGACATCTCGCATGTGATTATGTATTGACCATCTGTTGCAGAGGACGTGCCCAAGGGTGCCCAGGACCGCCCTGTCGAGGATGTCGTCATCGCGGACTCTGGCGAGGTGAGACGAGCTTAACAGACATCATTTGGAACAAGACTGACATGTTCTACCCGTAGCTCCCCGTTGAGTCTGCCACCACTGAGTCCAAAGAGGTACCTACCCACGCTGAGCTCTAATGCTCGGTTTCCCTCGGAGATAGGCAGTGTATCAATGAAAATTTGCTTCGTTGTTTACAGGGTGATGTACTCATCGAGACTGCTACACACGCCGAGCCCACTGCTGGTGCGACCTCAGGAAGCGAGACGACCGGTGTTGCTGTCCCTGCCGCCAACGAGACTGCCAACAAGGAGGCCGCTGCTACCACCGTGAAGCCCGTCGAGGATATCTCTGAGCCCACGGGCTCTGCCTCTTCCGAGGGCTGGGTAGATGTTCAGGAGGGCTGGGGATTCTTTTCGTACCTCTTCTTCCTGCTCGTCCTGGTCGGAGCTTGTTTCGCTTTCTGGCGATACAACGGCGCCAGGTACGTCAAGCTTGCCTTCAGTGGGCGTGAGCGGGCAAACTACCGCCAGGTTCGCGCGGATGTGGAGAGGTAAACTGCTGCCTCTGGAAGGTCATGCTGTTGTGCCACCCGGAGGTGTTTAGTTTACGGTTATCTTGCTTCGTCTCTCGTTCAACATAGACACTCTTTGCGAACACTCGTGAGCGCTTTCGAGGTCGGAGTCGTATTGCTATGCGACGTCAAGCTAAGGGGCCGGAATGCCACCGGCTCTCCGAGACGCTGGTTCTCGCTCTCACTCGGGAAGAACCTAGCTTTTCATACATCCGCCGCAAACGACGCACATCGGGCTAGCCGGCGAACGTACAGATGTGCGGTGCGTCTTTTGTCGCCCGGAAGGCATCGGCACTAATTACTTATTAGTGGCAGACGCCGCAGGGGGACGATGAAACGTCCCTGATCCACCGAACGCTGTCCGAGAAGTACGGGCTCGGGCGGCACAACGTACCTCCATTTGGTAGTCTGTGTGGTTCAACAACTCGTGGTGGTCCCGAAGTTCCACCATCATCCTCCACCTTGTCTCCTAGAGAGGGAGGCGGGGGGCGGTTGACCCGGGACATGCAATGCATTCGGGCGCGAGGTTAGTGTGTGACGCTGTCGTCGCCTTTCAACGAGAACCACATTGCTATGTTCGTGTCGCCCGTGGTGTGAACTCTATCAGCGGCACATTGTGTGTGTAGCGTCCAGGTCCTCATATATTAGGAGGCATCGGTGCGTGACGGGCCTGCATCTACCCTCGGCAACAAGAGCCACTCAATTACCAGAAACGACGAGTCTACAGTAGTTCCCCTGCCTGCGACCATGTCGCACACCGGTGCGTCTTCCGTTGCGTCTTAAATCTGAGCATTATCATAACGTTTTCCTCTCACTTAGATTCCAGTGCGCGCGCGCCTTCGTCTCCTATCTACCACCGCATTCGCCCCGACTTCACCATCCCTCGAGAAGTCCAGACCCCCGACCCATTCAGGGATGAGTTTTGCACCATAGGGGATTCGCCGCTGCCGTATGCTGGCATCCATACGCGAAGGGACGTCGACGAGAAGGGTGTGTTCAAGGGCGTCCAGATTATACAAGTTCACGGTATCAGGACCGACACAACCAAGAGAAAGGACCCGAGGGCGATTGGCGCGGCCTGGCTCAAGCTCACGCACTACTACGACCTCGTTTACCATCACTTGAAGCGGCACTGGATCATCTCCTGCGCCGTCGTCATTGTTACCATCGTGGGTTGCAGTCTCGGCATCGGCTGGGCGTTCCGCCTCAGGAGATTCAACATCGCCGATCCGGACAACATGAGTGGTTCTATGGTACGCTGGCATCCACTGTTGCCGCACAGCGCGGGGGCTGACACATTCATATCTGTGTGCGCAGGTTCAGCTCTCGGCGAACATCGTGAATGTGGACCCATTAGAGCAGAAAATGACCTTGGATTGGGTCATCGACTACAATTGCGAGGCCATCGGATGCCCCGACGTGAACATATATTTTGACTCGTATGTTTTTTTATCCATAAATATGGGGGTGAGTGTTGCTCACCGACCGAATGTAGGAACACCCTGCGCACGGACTCAGCCAGCTCGCAAACACCAAGTAACACCAAGCCCAACCCCGTCTTCACAGTCAACGGCGACAACGTGCTCGCGAGGAGGAACAACACTGATAGACGGGCAAGCTCGCTGACGTTCCGGACCGACGTTGCTATCTCCAACGCCGACACGCACCGTACGCTCCAGTCATACCCTTACGACAAGTAAGCATTGTGCAGCGTACAATTTTAGCGTGAAGGCACTGAGAGGCCATCTCCTAGATATGACACCGAACTCGTATTCTTCGCGGAGGTGATCACAAACAACTCAGTCAGCATCGCCATCGTGAAGACGACCGGCATTGCAGTGTAAGTGTTATCGACCTGTAGCTCTTCCCTCGACTGCACATGCTTATGCTCCGCTGCATACTAGCGGTTTCGAAATCCAGCTCCATAACACAACCGACGACAGGGACAACTTCGGTACGGTCATAAAAAACATTGAAATCACTCGCGGCACCGCAATCAGGCTATACGCCATCTCCATCGTCCTCGCCATATGTGAGGGCTTATAATCAGGAGAAGAGGTGATCCCGGTACTGACCGTTTGCATGGAACAGGGCTCGTGACGTTGATGTTCATGACCACTTGTGTCGTAAACGTGTTCTTCGGGAAGGGCATATCCGCAGGCGTCCTCGTCCTGCCCATCGGAACGCTCTTCGCGTTCACGCAGCTCCGCGCGACCCTTCCTGGCGCACCTGAGGGTTTCGGTACGCACGTTCCTTTCGCATAATTTATTGCCTCAGCTAACGCTGTCCGTCCCCTTGTGCTGCTAGGTGCCGTGATCGATTTCATGGGGCTCCTGCCATGTCTAGCCATCCTAACCTTCTGTGTACGTCAACTGCGTTTTTTGCGACCACTGTGGTGTCGCTAACTGTCGCCTGCTTGTACAGTCCGTGTTCATGACCGCTATATTCTTGCACCGCAACCCGGAGCACGATGCCCCGCGCTGGCGCCGGATTACGCACGGGAAGAGAGGACGCAGCAACTCGTTTCCCGCTTGACGCAAGTGCGGCTCCGTCACCGCTGGCACGCTGAAGGAATACATACAGTACGTTGTGCCATTTGAAACGCTTCTAGGACGACCATTGGACACTGTCTCCTACCTTATACCATACCGCGACCCCACTCGCACTAAATTATCTCTAGTAATAAATAATGGGGGCGCTCGCTGCCGACGTCGTAACGCACGATAGGAAGGATGGTGGTGTCTGTCGAACTTGTCGCGGCCCTCGCCTACGAAACTGCCATTGGATTTTAGATTTGAGCGAGCGAGCGTCTGCTTACCGGGGCTTGCCGAAGCATGCACTATGACCGCGTGCGAGCCGTTTTTGTACACCATCCCTTTGCCTCCGTGCTACGACCACAACGCCACTATGTACGGGACAACTGAAATCTGCTCTGTTTTACTCCTGAAGACTCTATTTATTGACTGCACCGACCTGGACTAGGGACTGGAATTCTGGAGCATGAGATGTAACTTGAAGCAGGCTGGGAAAGCATCGTAAGCTCCCGAAGATCGTCGTAGGTCACTCTGCCTCCGCAGTGATACAAGAATTTGCAATCGTTGGCCTTGGACACATTCCCACATCGCTGTCTCCGCTGTTCTCCTCTTAGCCTATTTTAGCTGAAATGATTGGTGCTAAGTACAGCCATTGGTGCGCTCGCCACTGGTTACTTCCTCTTGGGCGGCACGCTCGTATCGCAATGCGACATCGAGCTAGGGGCTGGACCGACAGCCGTCATCTCACCCGCTCTCCGAGACCCGATGTCAGATCACTCTCGTTCTCACTGCGCTCGGGAAGAGTCCGGCCTTTCACACGTACGCCCACAATCGATTCACGCCGGAGCAGCTCGTCTGACCTGTGCAGTACAATTGCTTCCGTCGAACGTGCAGATGTGCGGTGGTCCTTTTGTCCTTTATGCTCGAGAAGGAGTCGAAGTTGATTATCATTCGCAGACACCGCAGGAGACGTGATGAAACACTTCATTTTGCCTGATGCTGTCCGAGAAGTACGGTACCGGACGGCACAGCGTACCTGCATTTGGCAGTCTATGTGGTTCAACACCTCGTGGCGACGGGTTCCACCATCATCTTCCCCCTGGTCATGCACCGCGCTAGGATCCGCGGACGGCCTAGAGGGAGGCGCTATGCTGTTATCCCGGGACGTCCAATCATTTTGGGCGCGCAGGTTGGTAGGCGACGTCGTGGTCGTTGACTGAGGAGAACCACATTGTGATGTCCATATCGCCCATGCTGTCTGAACTCTATCAGCACGGTGCGTGTACAGAGCGTACATATACCAGGATGCATCGGTGACGGACGGTTCTGCGCCTGCCCTCGACCAGCAGCCTCCCGGCCCCCACTCGGACGAGATCGGTGACATCCCCGCCTGCTACCATGTCGCACAACGGTGCGTTTCCCGCCGTACCTCGTTGAGCATCATTATAACCCTTCGTCTCCCGACTAGAGTCTAGCGCGCGTCCGCCTCTGTCTCCTACGCACAATCACGTTCGCTCCGAGCCCGCCGCTCCTCAACTGGTCCAGACCCCAGACTCTTTCCGGGATGAGTTCTGTACCATGGTGACTTCGCCACTGCCATACACCGGCACGAACGCCCGAGGGGACGTTGACGAGAAGGGCCTGTTCAAGAGCCAGCAGATTTCGCAAGCCGGCGGTGAGTTCGGCGCGGACGAAGGCAAGGTCCTGACGGGGGTGATGGCGGCCTGGGTCAAGATCGCGCACTACTACGACCTCGCGTACCACCGCCTGAAGCAGCACTGGATCATCTTCTGCGTCTTCCTGCTCGCTGGGATCGTGAGCTGCAGCCTGGCGATCGGCTGGGCGTTCCGGCTGAAGACATTCAATATTGCGGACCCGGATAGCATCCATGACTCCATTGTACGATTACTTCACTCTTGGAAGGTGCGGAGGCCGACGTGTAATTGTTTTGTGCAGGTTCAGCTCTCGGCGAACATGGTGGACGTGGACCCGTTAGGACAAGAAATGACCTTGGACTGGGTCATCAACTACGACTCGTGCGAGTCTATCGGGTGCCCAGACGTCAACATCTACTTCGATTCGTATGTGTCTTGATTCTTGCATGTCAGCACTGGTCCACTCGCTCACCGGGTCTGCATAGGAACACTCTGCGTGCGGACCCCACCAACTCGCAAACCCAGAGCAATGTCAAGCCCGACCCCATCTTCACTATCAACGGCGGAAACGTACTCGCGATGAGGAACAACACCGATAGACGGCCGAGCTCGCTGACATTCCGGACCGACGTCGCGATCTCGAATGCCAACACACATCGTACACTTCAGTCATACCCTTACGACAAGTGAGTGATTGTTACTAGCTTTTTGGAGCAGAACACTGAGAAACTGCCTAGATATGACACTCAGCTCGTATTCTTCGCCGAGGAGGCGGGCACAAACATCTCCGTCAGCATCGCCATCGTGAAGACTACCGGCATTGCAGTGTAAGCCAAGTTGTGCTCACAGCTCTACCCTGATCAGGGGCTTACGGTTCATTTCGCCGGATAGTGGGTTCAACGTTCAGCTCCAGAACACGACCGACATCAAGGATAACTTTGGTACGGTCATCAAAAACATCGAGGTCACCCGTGGACCTGTGGTCAGGCTATATGCCATCTTCATCGTCCTCGTCATCTGTGCGTGGATTTCTCCTCATTATAAACTGACGCGTGTACTAACTGCTTGCGTGCGATAGGGCTGGTGACGCTGACGTTCATGGCGACCTGTGTCTTGAACGTGTTCTTCGGGAAGGGCATATCTTCTGGCGTCCTCGTCCTACCTATGGGCACGCTCTTCGCGTTCACACAGCTTCGCGCGACTCTCCCCGGCGCACCCGAGGGTTTCGGTGCGTGTCCCTCCCCCGTCTAATCATCCACCCCAGCTGACCCACTGACAGGTGCTGTGATCGACTTCATGGGCCTCCTGCCGTGTCTCGCTATCCTAACTTTCTGCGTACGTCAATTGCTCCCGTTATCACCACGGTTGTGCTGCTGACCATGGTCCGGTATTGCAGTCCGTGTTCATGACCGCCATATTCTTGCTCCGCGACCCTGAGCACGACATTCCGCGCTGGCACTGGACGAAACCCGGAGAGGGGCGACGGGGCACCACCTACTCTGTTTGATGACCTGACGATTCCGCTACGACTGATACGCACAAGACGATCGATGCGAGTAACATTTACTTCACGTAAGACTATGTATGTCCACTCTGAAGACACAGCGCTGTGCCACCAGAGACGCTTCGAGGATGGCCATTGGACCCTATGTATCCTGCCTTGTACCCCGCTCACGCTATATAATTTGTTGTTTGTTGTACATACGCGGCGGTCTCACCGTCGCACCGCACGCCAAGGCACAGCGCGACAGAGTATCCAGAACGTATATTACCTCGAAAAGAGTCCGGTGCAAAACATACAATATCATACCGCACAGCACAGCACATCCCAGAAAACGTCCCGCTCAGCTGATATACGGGCTTGGCTGGCGCTGCAGCTGCGACCCGGATGACGTCGCGCACTCGTACAGAGTGAACGCCGTGAGCAGGTGCAGCGAGATCGCGTAAAAGATGAACGCGGTCCGTGTCCGCCGGTTGCCCAGCACCGCGCGCGTGAGCACAAGTACACCGCGCTCCAGCACGTTCAGCGACTCGTATGCTCGTGTTGCCTCCTAAAATGGGCTGTTAGAGACGTAGAAGAATGGTTGAAGACTAGGGGAATACGCACTCGACCACGGAACGCCTGGAAGGGGTTCATCGCTTCCTCGCTATGAACGTGCCATACGTTAGACACGCCGCGAGATATACAATGGCGGGCTGAGATACGTACTATCGCGCTCGATACTTGCTCATATCGTCCGACCTGCCAGCGGCGCTGGAGGATGGCAGCGGGTCGAGCGTAGACGGCCGCGCCGCCGAGTCCTCGCGGTAGCTCTGCATGTAGCGCACCTTCTCGTAAAGCTTCAAGTTATCTGCCTGCAGGCTCTTCACTTCTGCCCTCAGTTCAGAGATAATGTTGAACTGCTTGCGAAGTTCCTGCGCTGTATATTAGCACCGCTGTTGGGCTTGGATTAGGAGAGGATGATTACCTCTTCAAGCTCGGCATTCCGTTGCCTGAAACGATCTCGTTGGGCGGTCACAATGGGAAGGATAGAGGTATCGGCCGACGGCGCGAAGGGTATAGGCGTGGTCCTCGCTGGAGAATCCTGTGCACACAACGTCATCAATATTTCGGGAAAGCTTGGTCTGAGGTCTGATATATAGCACTCACGCTGGTTTTCTTTCCCAACTCCGCTAGCACGTCCACCGGCGTGGCCGAGCCATTGACATGAGATGGGGTGAGGCCGCCATCGGCCTTGCGCTGATCCATCTGCAGCAGGTCCGTCTCCAATTTCTCGTTCAGAGCTCGCTGCTTCTCAAGCTCTGACTCTGTAGCAGAGAGCTGTACTTCCATGGACTGCAACGCAGCCTCGAGTTCTCCATGCAGGATCTGCGGTCCGAGTATGAATGGTGCGCAAGGGCGCGGATAGAAGAGTGGGCGTACCCTGAATTTCGTGAGTTCCTCGAGGATGCGTTTGTTCTTGGTAGCTAGTAGTACCTCGAGCGGCTTCCCTTGCTGTGCGTTCGCCTTGGCCGCGTTAGGGTTTGGCAGTTGCAGACCGAGGGCGTCACCGTTGAGCGTCAACTCGTCGGCATCCAAATCATCGTCGCCGTCTAGGCCCGCGAACTCGACGTACTGCAGGGCTTCATTCAGTGATGCTGCCGACGTGGTGTGCGGCAGAGGACCAACCTTCATGATCTCAAGCTCGCGCTTGATCTCGTCGTAGTCTGAGTACTGTTTAAGCTTGGTCCGAAGCTGGTCGACCTCGGCGGACTGAACGCATGTCAGTGCAAAAATTCGCTAAGCTTCCCTAAGTAAAGACCAACCTTCTTCTGAATTTCCTTCGTGAGCTCGTCCGCCTTCTTGGAGGCAACAGTCCGTGCTTCCTCGGCAACGTGTTTCTGCGTCTCAAGGGCCTGTGACAAGCGGTCCGTCTCTGACTCTAGCTCGGCGACCTTGGACTCGTACTCCTTTATCCTGTGGCGGCGACAAGTAAGCATGCTTGGCAGTAAGCGCGGCTGGTCCTAATGAGAGCCTCACCGCTCCGTGCTCTCGTGTCCGGTCTTCATGGCCTCAATCTCAGCGCGAAGAAGTTCCTGTAGTCAACCTCGTCAGCTTCAGTGGAGCCAGCGGCTGGTAGCGTGATAAGGCATACATTGCGGCGTTCGACAGTAGCGACGCGACTGTTGGCATGCTCGAGATCCGCGACTACCATGTCCAGCTCGGCCAGCTTCGCCACAACCTCGTGGTCTGCACATGCATGGTCAGTTTGTGTGCGCGAAGGCTCAGCCATTCGCCGTTGATTTACCTTGACGTTGAGTGTGGTCGAGTAGCTTAGCCTGGTTAGTCTCATGTGACATGCGAAGATCGCGGAGCTGGTTCTTGGTCAGAGCAAGCTGGCGCTGCAAGTCTTGCTCTCTGCAAACCAACCATATGTAAGTCATGTCGGCCGAGCACCGAGACAGTCGTATCATACCGCTCCTCGTAGTTCCGCATCTTCTCGTCATACGTCGCGTTGAGCTCGTTCTCCTTCTGGGTGACCTTCTCTTGAATTAGGTCTTCCATCTAAGGGAGACTGTTAGTCACCACTCGCAACGATATGCTACGAGCGAACCTTCTGCTCTAGCTGTTCAACACGCGCGTCCACTTTCTTCTTTGCACTCTCAAGTGAGGAGACCTCGTTAAGCCGTTTCCGCAGATCCGCGTTCTCCTCACGGGAACGCTGGAGTTCCAGCTCGAGTTCGCGCGCCTCGGCGACCTTCACGGTCTGGTCCTATGTTGTGCAGCGGTGAGCACCATCCGTGCCATGGTTGTGGCATGTCAGACATACCACGGCTGCTTCCAGCAGAGGATACGGGTCCGGAGCTTCCGCGAATACTTTGTAGACATTGAGGAAGGCGCTCTCGGCAGCTTTGGACCGTTTCGTCAAGTTGTCGATCTCGGTCTGGTATGCTGCGCATTGTAAAGCACGTTGGTTCACGTACGGGGACGCGTGCCGTTGGACTTACCTTTGAGTAGTGTCTTGATTGCGGTGAGCTTCTCCTCATCCGGGATCCTCCTGAACTCTGTAGCATGGCACGTCTAGTATTGCAGCCAAGAGGGCACAGAGGCACACTGGGCACGAACCTTTGGTGCGGTCCGCGAGAGCCTTGCGGCCGACGACGCTCTCCTTCTGGTTCTCGACTACCTCGATCCCTTGCGCGTCAAGGGTCTTCTGCAGTTCGGATAGATTGATGTCTGCACAAGTCTGGGCACACGTTCATTCCGCTCAAGAGCATCCCACGCACCCTTCCATGTGGCAAGAGCACCAGAGAAGTTCTGTTCAGGAGCGGCCATGGTAGGGCTGTACAGCGAGTGAGTGAACCCTAGTTTTCGCGTATATTAGACACAAGAACAGCAAGAGAGACCCGCTCTTCCAGCCAGCAAGCAGTGGAAAACAGCGTAGACGGTCGAGGTCGAGGCTGAGGGAAGCGCGGTGGCAGGCCGAGTCCAGTTAGCAGGGCGCGCTGCCCATGACGCCCTCGCTATAACAGGAAGGTCGTTCCCACCCGCTACCGGGAAGCAGCATGGGCGCCTGTTCGCAGGACTTGCACATTTCGGCGACAGCGTGCTCGTTCTCCCGCTCATCCTCCTCATCCTCTCTCCCCCGGCCTGTCCGTGTCGCCATGAACATCGCCAAGCAGGCCGCCGGGGGCGCTCTGCGCTTCAGGGCGTACGCGACCGCCGCCTACGTCCCCCCCGCGTCCATGGAGAATGTCCAGCGCGGCCGGCTCCCCCCGCCCAAGCCAAAACCCGAGTCCCCGACGTTCTACACTGGGCGCGCGACGTACTACGACCAGCTGCTCGCGCTCGAGAACGCGGCGAAGCAGACCCGCTCTGCGCTCCAGCAGCTGCAGCTGCTCCCGCTCTCGCGCTTTGCCCAGCAAAATCTGCCGCCGCTGCACCCGGTGTGGAAGAGCCAGGTGGACCTCGCGGAGCTCATGGAGGCGAAGCTCACCACGTCGCGCTACCGCCGCTTCGTCTCGCAGCTCAACACGCTGAACCAGTACCGCCGTCTTGCGGAGGTCGCCGGGCATTTGGCACTGGCGGAGCGCCTCCAGCGCGTACTCGACATGTTCGAGCGGGAGAACAAGGAGGCCATCCTCGCCCGGGGTAAGGCGAAGCCGACGAAGTTTGACGAGTACGGAAGGACCTACACTGTCGGAAGGAGAAAGGAGAGCACGGCGCGAGTATGGGTTATTCGGTCCCAGCTGTCACCAGGGGAGCAAGCTGCTGCGTCTTCCTCGACAGCATCCTCAGAGCCTTCACAAATGCAAGCATCGGAAGAACCGGTACCTACACCAGTGCAGACCGTCGAAGACCCAATAGTGCACTCTGCGCCAGCAGTAGGCATTCCCGGCTTCGAGAGTGGACCTCTGTCCATCGGCCCGACTCAGGTCAAGGTGCACACGACGAACATCCTGATCAACAACATCCCTTTCACGGACTACTTGTCAGTACACTCTCTTGCTGTCCAGCGTCCCGACGAATGCTGAACCTCTGTTGAAGCCCGAACGTTGCGGACCGTGAACGCATCGTGCGTCCGTTCCGCATCGCCGGCCTCATCGGCGCCTTCAACGTCTTCGCGCTCGTCCGTGGAGGCGGCAGCACCGGCCAGAGCGGTGCGCTCACGCTGGGCATCGCGAAGGGCATTGCGGCGCATGCGCCCGAGGTAGAGCCTTTCCTGCGTAAAGGTGCGTTTCCTCGAAAGATATTGCGTTAATGTGGAGGATGCTCACACATCTCCCGTATCCTCCAGCGAAAATGCTCAAGCGTGATCCTCGTATGGTCGAGCGTAAGAAGACCGGTAGGGCTAAGGCTCGCAAGGGTGTACGTCCCCTATCATTTCTACATGATCTTCTCACTCACTCTGGATGTTCTTTAGTACACTTGGGTCAAGCGTTAGATGGAGACCTCTGGGATACACTGGGCGGCGTGCTATGGAACTCTACACAGTCGATGTCTATCATCATAATTTACATTGCATACACCCATCCAACGTGTGCGCTATGCAAAATCAAGCAATGCAGATTACTCTACTCAGGCTCTCGCGTAGCTATCGTCCTGTGTACTTTCACTCCGTGCTGCAAATCAGCATGAGGACTGTAGAACGGTACGTGAATCCTCCAAACTTTTAAGGCTGCATCCATTTCACACTTGGGCCTACTCGGGCTCGCCAGAGTTGCAGAAAGTATGGATGATTTTTATTGAAACTCTCACTACGTGTATACTACCCAGTCGTACCGTGTACGACATCCCGACTAACCCATAGGACCCAAGATACCAGGGAGACAGCATCTAGCAAAGCAAATCGTCAGTAAACTGTCGAAAGCTCGCAAAAAGGCGCAGATGGTGTAGAGAATCAGAATTGCAGAAGTACAGAAGTTAGTCATCAATTGGTCGTAGACCATTAGACTGTTGAGCTTGATATGTGATTGATGTTCATCTTTTGGTGCGTCCCGCCCAGCATGGGGGGCGGGCGCGAGGGAAGGCAGGCAGAACAATAGAGACAGTAACTCACCATTCGAAAGCCATCCAGGTTGTGCTGTAGTCCCTTGGGTATCACTACATCCTGACAGTGAGCAGAGGGAAAACAGGGGAAGCGCAGCGAGAGAGCAGAGGATGAAAGGCAACGGAGGCTCGAGCAGAAATTTATACCTGCAGACGATGTTCCCACGGGACGGCATCGCCCGCTCGGCCCAATCCGGCAAGTGTAGTGAACCAGAGCGTCGAGCCTTCAGGTTACACAACTGGTCCGATGGGCGTCCGAGTCTTCCCTCGAGTTTGTTTGACGACAGAATAGCAGTAGCAGTGAGCACGGAGATAAGGATACATATGCACCGCCTCAAATGAACTCTGTCGTCTCTCGCACATCGTTCGTGAATGCAAAGCTCCAAAAGGCCGGTGATTCTACCCCACACAATGCACGGACTGGAGATACACGGACTGGAAATTGAGATGGGATTGGCTCGTGATAGTAGCAAGCGAACGTGAGCAAAAGTCATAAACAGTAGAAAACAATAAGGTAAGTACACCAAATATCCGCAATAAGCCAGCGTCTGCCCGAACCATCCGTCGCCCGCGAAAATGCGAAGACACGGTCACTGGAAGTACAGCTGCTGCACTTCGCCCTGAGAGAAAGGAAGGTTGCACGCCGGGCACTTGCGCTGCCGCGTCGCTATTCGAGCCTCGACACACGACTTGCAGAACGCTGTGGGCGACGTGAGCGTGAGCACCGAAGAACATGCTGCGACGCGAGCGACTTACAGTGCATGCACTTCGTAATGACGGTGTTGCGCATGTTCATGTGACAAGTAGAGCACTTGAGGAGGCTCTGCGAGGACGTCAGACGCATGACACACGAGAACAGGCCAATACGACGACGTACCATGCACTTGTCGATCTCGCTCTGCAGCTCGGTCTCCTTCGCGTTGCCCGAAGAAGTAGACATCGACTTGAGCTTCGTTGCCTGCTTCTCCGCGTCCTTCTTGGACTTGATCAAGCTCTCCTCAAGCTTCCGCAGCTCCGCTCGTTTCTTCTCGATGGAGGCAGACTGCTCGGTCCACGCAGTACGAATCTGCAAAAGCATTAGGAACGACCGCACGCGACCTCGATGGATAACGAATGGATATACCTCCTCCATACTCTTCCGCTCGCCCATGAAGCGCAGCCGCCAGCTGGTGGTCTCGGTCGACGCAGCACCGACTTGCTCTTTCTGGAGCTCCGCGACCTTCTTCCACTGTATGAGCTCCTTCTCGAGATCATGCTGGGGAGTGATATCAGCTTCTGCACTACGATCGTCCTGGAAGAAACGCTCACCATTCGTGCAGTAAGCGCCTTCTCGCTCTGCGAGAGCTTGTCCACAGCCTTGCCGGCTTTATCCAAGTTACGCGCGAGGTTCTTCCGCTCTAGATCCACGCCCTCCTTGTCGCGCATCGCTGCGTAGAACTTGTTCTCCGCTTTGGCTCGCTGTATTCCGTTATGGCATGAGAGCAGTTCAGTTGGACCGGCAGGAAAACTACTCACGTCAACACCCGCCTTGGCGATGCGATCTTCCAGCGCGGATAGATCGTACACCTTGCTCTTGACTTGGCGGTCAAGCGTTTCCCAGGCGGCGGAGAGCTTATCCAGCTCAGAATACAGAGCGGATTCGGCCTGCAGATTCACGCATGAGTTTAGGCTGGAGAACACCGAGCATCAGCACGTAAGTACCTGTTCACGTTGCTTGTCCTGTATGCGTAGCTTCTCGATCTCGTCCTGCTTACGCTGCAGCTCCTCGGACAGTTGCGCAGTCTCTGGTGGTAGCGACGAAGAATCGCCGTAGACCGCCTGATACTTCTCGAGCTGTTTCTGGACCTGCTCGACTTGCCGACGTAGATCCGCTTCATTCTGAGAGACCTTGGCGATGTCGACCTGCCCGTCCCCTAGTGAGGACAAAGTCTTCTCCAGCGAGGATGCCCGCGCCTCTGTTTCGCTGACAATGGAACGGCCTATCAGCGTAAGTGTACAACGTTGAGTTCGGGACAAATTGCACGCACGAGAGTCTGCGCTTCAAGTCCTCGACATAGGAAGGACCTTCAGAACTACTCGACCACAAGAAGGTGACAAGATCATTGTCCCCCTCATTGGCAGCGAGGCGAGTCTTGAGACGTTTGTTCTCTGACTCGAGGACAGCTATACGCTCCTGAGGATGACGTGAGAATCGAGCGCAACTACGAGGGCATAGAAACATACAGCTCGTGTTTCCGCCAAAGACTCGAACTCTGCCAGTGAAGACGTCTTAGCGGCGTCTTTCGCCTTGCGCTCGTTGAGTTCAGAATGGTACTGGTCCCTTTGATCACGAAGACGTAGCGTCTCGACGTCACGTTTGGCTAGCAATGCCTTCATCTCTTGCACGGCAGTCTCACTACCAGCCTGAAACAGATGAGTAAACGCGCACAATATACTCTCGTAAACATACCTTGACAGAGTCCTCGTACTGTTGCCTCGTAGTCTGCATAGTGTCTAGTTGTTCTGTGAGCTTCACCAACTCCGCCTTAGCCTCCTGGTTTGTGTGGTCCAGGAGGCTCGCTCGCTCGAGGAGGTCCTTATACGAGGCTGTTTCTCGGATAATCTCGTCTGGGATTGCTTTCAGCTAAAGCGATTAGGTGAGCACATAGCAACACCAGAACGTGCAACAGCCCTACCTTGAGCTGCGTGACCTGCAGTTGATCCTTGAGGTCGGAAACTTCCTTCTCGTATTCTTGGAGCTTCGTTTCCCTGTATTCGGCGAGATGCTGCCACTGGGAGTCTGTGATGTGGGCACCGTTCACTACTGGTGGCTATTTGCGAGGCGATATTGACGGTACATTAAAGAATGCTAGTCGAAGAAGCTGTAACGAACACTTACTTGGGGCGACGAAGCCTTCTCTTCCGACGGTCCGTCGGCGGACTCGTCCTTGACATTGGACGCACTAGGGTTCAGGGACCTGCTCTGCAGCCGATCTGCGCGTTTCTCAGCTGCGACAAGTCCCTCGCGGAACTTCTCCTTCTGCGATTCTGCGTCACGAAGCTTCGTCCGTACCAGCGACAGTTCCGACCGAAGAGCGGAGTTCTGGAAACCAGGCTGAGCCACCACGCGATAACGGTGCGTATGGTTTCGCGGCTTACCTCGGCCTCTGTTTCCTGAACGCGTCTCAATGTCTCCTCTTCGGAAGGTCCTCCTTGACCTTGCGCCCTTATATGCACGAAGGCCTTGACAATGTCAGCGGTGGCTTGCATCTTGTCCCGTAGAGCATCAACATATTCTGGTTCCGCTTCGGAAGAGACGTGTACTGTGAGGTCACGGATATCTATATGTCGCGTCATGAGTGTGAAGACCCTCTAATTCGTTGATGAATGCGGACTTGCCTGCAGATTGCTGCTCTACAGAAGGAATGTCTTCGGGCTTGACCAAGGAGCGTATAGTGCCAATCAACTGCTCGTGACATTAGGACAACCCTATACGCGCGGAGCGTTTCTACTCACCTGCGTCCAGCATGCCTCCAATGCTGCAAGCCCGGCCTCGCACTGACTACGCCTCCGCTCCAAATCCGCAACCTGAGCCTGGTTTCTCTCGGCCTCCCTCGAGTATTGCTTCATCCGCCGGAATATGGCCTCCTTCCTGAAAAGCTGCGATGACCATTTGAGCTACATATCCCTACACTCTAACTTGAAGGTTGAGCCACCTCAACATTGTCGCCGTCCTTAGGCTCATCACTATGGGATAAAGTGCCATTGAGATGACTTGGCGAGGCACGGTCGTCCGAGACCGCCCGTTTCTTTGGTCGTGCAAGGTCGCCATCGTCAGCGTGTGGTCTCTTCCTCGACTCCATGGGGGTGGGTGCTGGGAAGGGCGTGGTGGACGGAGGCGACGCTGGCCACAGCGCACTCGAGAATGAAGTCGACGACGAAAGGACGCCGAGGTGATTCAAACTCCGCAAAATGTTGGACGCGCTTTGTAAGCGCTCAGCCCTGTCCTTCCCGCGACTCGTCCCTGTCCCGCTCCGAGTCTCCTCCCATCCATCTCTCCGACCCTTGGATATCCTCCGGGACTACGGTACTTCGGCACTGTCTACTTCTGAAGGCAGGGCGGGTCCAGTACTTTTTGAGGTGGAATGTGCGCGGAATTTGTCCTGTCAGCTCGAACACGCAGCCCCAAGGTCCTGGTCAGTCAGTTCCTCCTCCACAGCTCCTTGTATCCATATATTCGCTTTCTTCTCTTTGAAAAATATATATAAGTCTCTTCTCTATTTTCATTTATAGGTGGACTCTTGATTCGACAGATACACCAACTGCTTGAAGTGGTCGTATCCATCCACTCCGGCGGTCCTCCGATCACTTCCCAACAACATAAACACATTCTGCCCCCGCACATGTTCATTTTTCCGTGTGGGATGCATACCCCTCGAAGCGGCCACTCTACATGTGGGCTATGAGATCATACGCGAATACCTAAATGGTCATCTAGATTCTACGACGTGATATCGGACGGCTCGTCTTTCTACAAGGTACGTACTTCCCTATGGACTCCCACCTGACACAATGGCCAGCTCGTGGTATGCTGCGACGTGATAGTGTGGACAACTTACATCGAGCTGTGCGTGAGATTTCGCTTGTGAGCCTTCGTCTAGATAAGTTGAGTACTTGGATAACTATCGGACTACGCGAATCTCAGTCATTCTGTGTCCTTGCCGTCCTTGTATATTTATATTGGCCAGCCTGTCGCCCATAAATATACCCCCTTGCGTAGTTCGTACAGACCAGTACTCTAGTGTTTCTTAAATTGCGAGCGCAGTATGAAGGTATCCTGTCGGGGTACTGCACGTGATCGCGATGGGTGGATGAACGCGACCGCAAGAGAGCGCGTACTTCACGTCCGGACCACCACCATCGCCACCACGACTTGGCTCCCTTGTCTCGCTTTTCTACCACAAACACCTATTTTGCGTCCATATATCTCACCAGAGCCCAAGATGGACTCGTTTGATCTCTCCAACCTGCAAATGCCTCAGAGCGGCTCTCAACTACTCGCCGAGCCCACACCAGACATCAGCTCCAGCTCCTCCCGCACAGGACACGGGGGCGATGACCTCTCACTCTCAGAACTCTCGCTCTCGGAGCGCGCACAATCAAAACCTGGACACCGACGTCCGTTCAGCCTCCTCGCGCGACCTGAATCGCCCGATGAGAGCGCAGTGGCGGACGGGGACGCGGAGGAGAGTGAGGAGCCCGATATGGATGGAACAATGACGCAGGAGGATTTGGAGAAGGCGAGAAAGCTAGCGGCTAAGACGCGAGAGGAGAAGCTTCAGCACGACCTCTTCACTCTCAAGAAGCTGAACGCCGCGTTTGAAGTGTACAAGGAGGCGCTGCGGGAGACGAAGTCAAATACAGATGTAAGTCCTCAGTGCTCGCTTACACGCGTTCGGTGGACTCATCTTTGTCACAGTTAGTTGCCGTACAACTACAACATACAAACGCGCTCCTCGACAAATACGTCCGCATATTGGATAAATCCGAGAAGATCACCAAACTTATTCTCGACGAACGATGGCAAGGCGCCGAAGCCGTGAGTGCATTCCCCACACTGACGGTGCATACCGCACACCATAACGCTGGGTGCCATCTAGGACGAGGAACAACTTGACCGCGAAGAGCAAGAAGCGGAGGAGCGTGCGCAGAGGGAAGAGGAAGAACGCATACTGGCGGAACAGCGCGAGCGCGAGCGGCGAGAACGAGAGCAGCGCGAACGAGAGGAGAAAGAGCTACGCGAACGCCTCGAACGGGAGAAGGCCGAAACAGCTAAATCAGTATCGCGGGGCAGCGGCGTAAGAGGCGTGCGCGGGACGCGTGCTTCGATGCGTGGTTTGCGAGGTGTTTCTCGCGTCGGTATGTGCTTAATGGTACAGGATCTATTGGTGCTGTGTTCTCATCGCAGCCCAGCGGCGCCAACACCCAGTACGCGTGGGATTCCACGCGGAGGTACAACTACTGGCAGCGGTGGGTCGGGGATTAGGCGTCCAGCGACCACCTCATCTACTCGAGCCTCAGCCACAAGCGGGAGGGGAGGTATTCCGCGGCGTACATGAATTGCAGGTTAGTTTTTCCACCCTCATGCCTGTTGTAAATATGCTTACAGACTACTTTCCACAGGACCACTGCGAACCTCGTTCCCGGGCCTGATGCTGCCCGCTTTGTTCAGGATGGGGAACGATATGGCCCGTTCCTTTCCAGTACGAAGTGGGCCATACTCACCGTTCAGCCACGGGTGTGGATCACGTCCCGCCCGCTCTCGAAACGCGCGCACATCTTAGGGTGTAGCATTTTGGCGACATTCCCAGCCTCAAGTCGGTCAGAAGCAGCGGCATGTTTTGGGGATGCCCGCCTCCTGGATTTGGACGATGTATACTCGCATATATCGGGGCACCCTCCAGGCGACTATGACAGTATTCCAATCGACCCGCCGCCTTCCCGGGGACTTTGAATCGTACCGTAAGATTTGCGACGGCTGTTGTGAGAGCAAAACTACGTCCGCTTGAGCGCTAGGGCAACTTTGGGTTGAACTTGGCTGGCGCACGGTCCTTCTAGAGCGCTTGAGTCTTTGAACTACACAGGTGGGCCGTTGTGAATGGAGGTGGGGACTTTTGTACATCAAAATAATTCCGTAAGCGTGAGCTGGCCACGTCGACAGGTATATAAGGGTAGACTTTGCCCGTCCTCTCGTTGTCCACAACCCCCATCTCGACCCGCGTTCCCCCTCACCCATCCACTTTGACTTCTTCCTTGTGCAGATCCGTCATTCACCTCGCATACACCGTGCATCATGCCCCACCATAAGCTCAAGCGTTGCCGCTACGAGTCAGACAGCGAGTCCGACGAAGCCCCAGCGCCCAAGCCCAGGGTGCCCCTACTCCCTCCCACAATATGTAAGTGTCCAACACCTTGTTCTCCGTTGTAACCACCGCTCACACACAACCAATCCGCAGCCGCCGCGTCGTTGAACGACGCCCAAGGACGCCGTCGCCGTGCTCACCCCCGCCCTCCAAACACAGCTCCTCGAGCCTCCTCGCCGACCCCAGCGTGTCCCCGACCGCCACCCGCCTCCTCGAGGCCATGTACCCCACCGCCGTCCCCGCTCTCGCGTCGGACATCCGCACCCGCTTCGCCGCCGCCCTCGCCCCCGTCCAAGCGCGCACCGCGAACGGCAAGGGCGTGGACCTCAGCGACCTGACCGACTACGTCGGCGCCGCGCTGCCGCTGCTCCCAGACGTCGCGCGCCTCGCGCGCGTGCCGTACCCGGGCGCGGCGCGGGAGGCGTACACGGTGTTGATTGAGCTCGTGCTCGCGACGGACCCGGTGGAGGACTGCGCGATCGCCGCGCCGCAGGAGCGCGTGCCGTTTGACGAGGTCGTGGATGATATACTGGTGAATATTTCGGAGCAGCGCAAGGCGGAGGAGGGGGCGGGCTTCGTGGTTGGGGACGAGCTGAAGGCGCTGAAGAATACGGCGGCGGGGCTCAGGTGGCATTACGATATGAAGACGTCGTTTGCGAAGTCGATTGCGCTCTTGGAGGGGTATGCGGCGGAGCAGGGGGCGGCACAGGCTTGATTGTGTGTTTGCGATGTATTTGGTCTTGATACGCTTGGGGATGATTAGATGCGTTGACCAGATTTAAACCAATGTATCACCGCGCGTAAGACTCCTCACGGTAAAATAAACGCAAGGTACATCGCAGGACAGAGGTATACACTACACTACACCACACTACATACGCGGACATATTGGTTGAATGGTCAAGCAACATGGTCACATTGCGACTTCTTCTCTATATCCTTCACAATATATCGTCCTTCACGCTTTCTACCATCCTCCAAAATAGCGAGCCTGAGAAATCAAGCATCCTTAGCAGGCCAAGTCTACACCACAAACGAACCCCCAAACCGCTCCCGATAGCTCTCCGCCACCAGCCCCGCCGCCTCCTTGCTCATCCTCGCGCCCGGGTCCGCATACCACCCACACACCTCCTCAAACGTCACCTCCCGCCCCTCCTTCTCGCGCAAGTGCCACAGGATATTCCCCGCATCCTGCACGTCCGTCGCCCTCACCTCCAGCCCGCACCGCACGTCCCGGCTCATGCGCGCCAGCTTGCGAAACAGCTGGAAGCGCCACGGCATCGCATACAGCACCAGATGCTCCGCGGCGAACACGACCTCGTCCTGCGCGAGCGCCGCGGCGTACGTCGCCCCGTACGGCGGCATGTGCGCGTAAAAGCGCACGGCCGGGTTGAACCAGTAGTGGCCCAGGTCCCCGTCGTTGACGCGGCGCACGGCGTCGGTGGCGGCGAGCCGGACGAGCGACTCTTCGAGCGCGCCCTGGGAGGCGTCGAGCGCGAAGTCGACGTCGAGCGTGGAGGCGCGTGTGTTGAACTTGAGGACGGCGAGCGCGCCGCCGGCGACCATCGCGCGGATGGGGAGGGCGTCTTGAGTGAGCCCGAGGGATGCGATGTTGGTGCCGATGGCGTCAGAGAGGGCGTGGAGACCTGTTTGTAGAAGTTAGCGAGGTGCAGACGTGAGGGGGCCTTGGTCGGAGGAGGGAGAGCGATACTTGCCTGCTTCTATCTCGGCCTTGCCAAGCCTCTTTTCAAAGCGTTGCAGACGATGTGCCATGGTCTTCGTCAAACGTGTAGTGTGATGATTATGTTGAAGAGCTAGAAACTGGGCTATCGTTAACGATGTGGTCTGCGCGAGCCTTGCATGCACAGGCTTGGAACACTAACCTCGATCTAACGTGTGGGTCGTGGTTTGGTGGTGGCAACTCGAGATTGTGGCAGAATGCGGGGCTATACTTATATGCATACCGTTATGTCTGTGCCACTCGGAATGGCCACATCGGGGGCTAAGCAGCGAGTGGCGCCTTTGGTCCCTTGTTCAAAAGAACAAAGTACATGATGTTCACCTTTCAAGTTAGACGCCGATGTACATACCAGTCTGTACTTGGTCTGTACGTACTCGTAAGCACGATCGCGAGCGGATCAATAGCTTCGACTGGACCGTCGAAAGTCGCGAACAGGAGATACAAATATAATCGGGCGCGTGCATTAAGCACGTAACGGTAGTACGAACCACATATCACATATGCTGCATTATTCTACGGTCCATGTGCGGAGGAGGGTCGGTGCGTGTCTACAGGTCGGGGGGCACTATACTATACAGTACACACTATGCTGTCGTTGTCATGCGTGGGATGGCATCGTCCATATGTATATACGTGGGGTCGTGCAAATAAAAAAGCGTGAACGCGAACGTGAAGTCGAAGCATGAGAAATTAGTGCAGGAAGAGTCGTGAGCGTCGTCGAAAGAGGTATAAAACGGAACATCGAAAGGAGGAATAACTTAGGTATACAGCTGAGGCGGCAAGAGACCCCTCACACGACAGCCTCACGCATCGCCTTGCTCACCAGCGCCCACACCGTCAGCACAAGCAGACACAAGCAGAACGCCATCAACCGCGCCTCCTCGCCCGCCGGGCTGCGCTCCACCAACAGCGCACCCAGTCCCTTCTGCACGACGTCCGGGTGCCCGCTCGGCCTGAGGTCGCACACCCACCGCCGCACACGCGCCCGCCTTCCGGACTTGCGCGCCGTGGCCCCGTCCGCGCCCTCACCGCTGTCGAGCCCAAACGTCCGCGCGCGGCTCTCCAGCAGCAGCAGAGGAGTATCGACCCCGAGTGCGCCTGCAACCGCCGCAAACCACTCTGCGACGCCGCCGCCCACGCCTGCGCCCATCGCACGGGGTAGGGAAGGGGGTAGTGGGAGCGAGCCGGCCCCGGCCCACAGCGCGGGCCACGGCCAGAGCCAGGGCACGGTGTGCCACTGCGCAACACGCATGCAGATGGGGATGCCGTGGGTGTCGCATGCGAGCTCGAAGGTGCCGCGCTCGAGCGGGGGGACGGTTGCATCTGCGCTAGGATGCGTGGGGATGAACGCGACGGAGAAGCACTGGAGGCGCGGGTTGGCGAGCGCGATGCGGGACGCGCCGATATGCATGGGCTCTTCGCCCGGCATGCGCACGAGGGAGAGCGCGAGGGTGCGCAGCCGCGTGAGGCCGCGAAGGACGTTCGCGAAGGCGTCCTGAGAAGCATGGATTAACGTCGGGGAAGCACGACACGGATTGTGGGCGCACTCACCAGGAAGAACGACGGCTTCGTCGTGCAGGTGATGTCGAGATCGAGCAAATGCGGGCAAGATGCCACGATGGTGCGGAGGATGCCGTTACTGTCGTAGCCGCCTTGAATCGCGAACGTCACTTTGAGCGACGTCAGCCCGTGCAGGCTCATCAGCACGCGTGAGACCGTTAGGGGCGTCAGGTCGCGCAGGTGCATCGCATGCGGGAAGCAAACGCGCTGCAGCGTCTTCGTGAGAGTCGTACTTCCAACCGCCGGCGGGTTCGGATTCGCGTTGGGATTCTGCGCCTGTGGGTCATCGGGCGCGAGACTGGGCGTGCGGTCCACGAGCATGCGTAGGTGGTTGAACGACCCACTGAACTCGGTCAAATTGGGGAGCGCCGAGTGGTCTAGCGCGGAAATGTCGAGTTGGTTGGCGCTCGGTTTGCCTAGAAGATGGAGGCTCTCGATGGTTGGATGCGCTTCCAAGAACTCCTTGAAGTCCGGGGCGGTAGATACGACGTCTGGCGCGTTCGTATTCCATACGAGCGCGCCCAGAGTGAGGCTGCGCAGCTTTGGCCACCGCGCGGCGTACAAACGTGCAGCCTCGGACGGCTCGGAGGAATGGCCGACGACGCAGAGCGCCTCAAGCGCAGGGCAGCGCAATGTGAGCATGTCCCAAAGTCGCGTGAACACGGGCTCGCTCTCTGCTTCGGCGTCAGCGCGATCGCGGACGTGCTGGTCCTTCGGGAGCAGCAGCGGATGGGGGCCGGGCAACCCACCTCGGCTGGGGACATGAAGCGAATGCGCGTAAAAGCCATCCTTGAACGTAAGCGCGAAGCCGACGAGATCGCTGAACTGGAACAACTATACGAAACCATGATCGGCGGGCTGGCCACAAGCTATGATGTCATAGGGCACGTACGTTGCTGGTGGGACGGGGCAAGAAGCAGCCAAACGTCGTCCCGACGCGCTTCAAGCACGGGCATCTTCATGGCCAGTGCGTTTGAGCGAAATATGAACAGACGCGCCGGCGCCGGCGCGGAGAAAGAACGCACCTCGCGCGCAATTCGGCCCACATACGGTCGTCGGGCAGCATGTCCTCCCCATCCCACTCAAAGTCATGTAGTGCATCGAGGTTTCGGGCAGCGCGCATGACACAGCGTGACACGACCCCAGCGTTGTCCCAGGCCCTGTACTGGTCCCGGGGGCGCGGTGAAAGCTCGTGCTCGGGATGCACGGTGAGCCTTCGGACGTGTCGGGCGACCTCGGGGCATCGCTCGATCATGCCAAGGGTACGTTCGCATTGCTCGGCGCCATGAAGGTCGACGTCCGCATAGAGCGCAGGGATAACTTTGGCGTACACGGACGTGGACTGTGCGAAAACGTCAGCATGCACTACATACCGCCGGCTATACGGGCGTAGCGCGGAAGTGCAGCCCGGACGCACCACTTGACTCAGCTGAAGGACGTCAGAGCGTGAAGAGAGATAGGTGGCGAGCTCGAGAAAGATCTCGGCCGGAAGAGACTCGATGGAGGTCATGGCGCGTGAGGTCGGGAGAGAGGAGGGCGCGTTCATGGTGTGGGCGTGAGGGGTCATATATGGATGTCGTCAAGGCGGTTCAGGCCTGTTCGGGCGCGTGTGAGTCGTGTTCACAGCTCGCTGGCGGCGGTTGCAGCGGAACCGGGCGAGGGCGGGTGGACAGGGTGGGAGGACGAGAGAGGTGCAGGGTCATCGGCACGCATTATTATATACAGTTCCGGATGAGACAGTCGAAAGAAGCCCGATCGCTCGCCTCCGGTGCAGGCGCCCGTGGCCTACCATCGTTCCTCGACCCCGCGCGCGTCCCTTTCCGACTCCGCGCGACTCATCTCACCCCATCTCGGCCGTCCTCTCTCGTCTTTCTACCAACCTCCTCCGAAAACCCGAGTCAGAGTGCGACTGCCGCACGACGCCCAATTGTCTATTCTCGCGTGCACCCGGGCCGACGTTCTTGTGATCACATCCGAATCGATTCGTCTCGCGTGCGCCTTGTCGTTGTGCTTCCGCGGCGCTGCTTTCCCCATCGCTTGATGCTCCTGATCCTCCGCGGCGCGAGCCGGCGGCTCTCCACCCAGGCCACAGCGCTCAACTCTCGCACGTCTTCTGCGCACCGCCTGCTCTGCGGATGCACTGTCGTGCACTCACACTCGCCGCCGGCTCTCGCGCCGGGGGCTTCGACACATCTTCGAACACGATGGCAGCTGCCACATCTGCTTCACCGCCCGCACAACCTTCCAGCTTCGCGCCTTCGCCCGACCTTAAGCTTCTTGTCTTCCGCCAACACCGACAACAGACGTCTCACGCTGCGACTTTGTCCCTGACGTCGAAACCCCGCTATAGCCACCTTGGCGGCATCAACGCCATCCGCGTACATCCCATCGATATCAGCTTCCTGCACTGACCCCAGCTGTGTTCCTCTGCACGCCTCCGTGCCCCGGATCGCACCTTCATCCATTCTGATAGAACGGAAGCACGGGTTTCCATCGACACCCATGGAGGTCGGAACTGCACATCGGAACAGCTCGACGACGTGTCCCGTACGTGCGTTATTCTAGGCATTCTATATCAGGTACCACCGGTCAAGCAAACCTAAACTTACAGCATATGAATGGTTCACGCCATTCAGCTTCAAATGGATGTCAGGCGTAAGGGTCATTTATACGACGCGACGACTCGTACATCAGGCCATACGAAAGCCACTTCGCATCCTGCAACACGGACGGGGGTCCTAAAGCATGTCCCCATGCATCGGACCGCCCGCACCCCTCTCCTCCGGGTCTGCATGCATCCCCCTCAGTACCTGTCGACGCCAAGCGACCCGACCGGACGCAACCGAGGCGCAGGATGCCACGCGCAGACGAGCACAGAAGCGACCCGACGGCAAAAGCGCGCAAAGTTAATCACGACCTGACAAACGGTCAGCGTACGCCCCGCGCCCCGCCCGCAGCCTGCAGCCCGCAGCTGGAGGAAGGAAGGAATGACGCACATCTTGTACTGGATCTCCTTCGCGGGCTCGCCCTCGGCCTCGTACGTGATCGCGATGTCGAGGTCGCGCGGGTTGCGCCCGTTGGGCGCGCACGAGAGCTGCCCGGTGATCTTCTGGCCCTCCGAGACGGTGATCGTGTCGGGCGTGTAGAACACGGTCTGTCTGCGGGCGCGGGCGCGGTTAGTCTCACGTGGGTGCGCGCGGGGATGTAGGATACTTACTTCCAGTGCGTGTACTTTGCGTGGGGACCGGTGGAGAACTTGACCTTGGTGTGTGTGCAGTCGAAGAGGATGTCGAACCACGCAAGGAACGCGTGCGCGTCTACAGGTATAACTCGTGTCAGGAACAGCCTGGAACGTGTGCGCGGCGAACGTACAGTCGTTCCGGGTTCCCGTTAATGAGAACGGCACGGTGAACGTGAGGTCCTCCTTCTTGACCGTACGGAGGTCGATGTGCTACATTCTCGTATCAGCAAGCGCGCGAGACGCTAAGAAAGCAATCCAATTACCTTGATGAGACAAGGGTCGGTGACGACTGCCTTGAGCTCGACGGTGTCGACAAGCGGCTCGCGGAGCGCGATCTCCTTGATGCACGAGTAGTCGAACCCGTACACGTTATCCCAGACTGTCCCGGCCTGCCGTCAACATCCACACCACACGCGCAGGGGTGCAGCACGCACAGTTGATCTTCTCGTCCTTGTACTCGGAGTCCTCGATCGCGGCGAGGTACATGGTCGCGACGTCGGGGAAAATCAGGCCATCGGGCTTCAGGTACTTGTCGCGCGCGAGCAGGACGGTGTCGAGCATGGACTCGTAGAGCAGGAAGTAGCCCATCCACTCGGAGATGATGATGTCGAATTTGTCGAAGGGGAGGGTTACCTCCTCGAGCTTGCCCTTTACGAGCGTGATGGCTATAGTTGACGGAATTGGTGAGAAACCCGGGATGATCACACTGTGATGACAGGACGTACTGTCTTTGAAGCCGTTCGCCTCGACAATTTTGGTGGCTTGGTCGATGATGTTGGACATGTCAACCTGTCAATAACATGCCCGGATAAGGACCTGCACGGGCATGCCACGGGTTCACGATACGTACGCCGACGACATGCTTCGCGCCCGCCTTGGCAGCGAACATGCTGAGGATACCCGTACCGCAGCCGACGTCGAGGACGAGCTTGTCCTTGAACAAGTGGGGGTTGTTCACGATCGCATTGCGGTACGAGCCCGTGCGGACGGTGTCCTTCAACATCTCCTCGTGGATGCCTGGGGGCGCAGTCAGCTTCTCGTCCGCACATCATGAACTTAAGCCCGGATACTCACCGAAGTGCGCGTACGAGTCCGCATAGCTGAGAGAACGCGTGCATCAACGATGCCGCCTAGGGAAGTACGAGAAGGAAGGACGCACTAGTCCTTGGAGGTCATGTTGTCCGGGGAGACCTGATCCTGCTGCATCGGCTCCGGGGTGGAGGAAGAAGGGCCTGCGCTCGCCATTTTATGCTACAGACGTTGGTGGGTGTTATGCTCTACAAAAACAGATGTCCAGTCGCGATCGTGTACAAGGAAGCACGCGATAAGCAATACAGAGGGCGCAGAGGAAAAGCGCGAAGGGGGAGGAAGAAGAGAGTCGGGATGGAAGCAAGAGTGGCACGCGGACGAACGCCTGCTACAGATTACCGCACAAGCGCCCGATGTACGAAAAAGAAAATCGTGCGCGAGGCGCCCGCGGCTCGATCGCGATCAGCGTTATACGTGACACGTCACAAACGACGCGCCAGGTCACGCCTGCCGCGGGTAGCCGCGGGTACGTGACAGACGCGTAGAGGGAGCACAGCCTCCAGGGGAGCGCAGCCGTGGCGCTGCGGGGAACCGGACTTGGAGCAGCTCGCTGTGCTTCCACGTCCGCCCGGCGCTCTCGGCCGCTGCGGGCCACGGCTTACAAAACCCCATGCCGGCGCAGACTTGGGGCAGCCTCAGGCTCCACCCCACCACTACAAAAGCAGAGCTCCCCGCAGACAGCCATGATCGTCGACCCCTCCACTACTCTCATGGTCTGTCCCTCTTCTTCCTCTCGCACCCGCACTTGCAGCTGACCCCTGACTTTTACTTGTCCAGGCTAAAGACACTCAGACTGGTTATGACGCAGAAGGACAGCCCATGCAGGCTCCTCCTTCATATGACACGGCGGTAGCTGGTGGAAACAGTACGTGACATCCTCACCTCACCCAGACCGTACACACTCGCTCACTGAAGTACTGCAGTATCTGGATCTTACATCCCTGAAGGCGCCGCAAAGGCCCAGGATGTCAAAGTTCCTCCCCCCTCATCCGACCCGTACTCCGCAGGCCAGCCGTCCCCCGCGCAATACGGCCAGATGCCCGCCACGACGGTGTACAACTACATCAACCCACACAACGGCGAGCGCATCGTGTCGCTCCTGGCCCCAGACCACCCGCAGATGGTCTGCTTGCAGCAAGGCGGGCACGTAGCGCGCTCCAAGTTTGGCATCCTCGGTGAGTCACCCGGACCCCGGATCGCCGTGCTGCGCTGACCGAACGTGTGTGACAGGCATATTGGCTGCGGTGTTCTGGTTCCCTCTCGGTGTTGGGCTGTGCCTGCTCGACCGCAAGGTCTACTGCGAGCGGTGTGGCGTCACGATGGACGAGGGGCTGTGTTGATCGGCCGATCCACGCGACATTGTAATCACGACTTTCCTTTCCTTGCTTCGGGACGTTGGGCTGTGTTACCATTTGTACATGTAGCTGTATACCTCTGTCCCGCGATGTACCTTACCTTCACCTTACTGTGATAGACCTTATATGATGACCCCTCGTTTTGAATTCGGCTCATGTGCGTCGGTGTGTCGGGCAACGAATTGTAATCAACCGTGTCAATACCTGGTACATAGCAAACACCCAATCAACTGTTAAGCCTTCGCCGCCCCGTCGCGCACTCCCAGGAAGAAGTCGATACATATACGAGTGGCTCAGACAAAATTCCCCAAGCAGCACCATCAAGCCCAATCCAGGTATCCCGCGCCGCCAAGGAGAACGTTGCGGTCCAACCACGGCCGCGCGCACGTCTTTTCTCCGTCCTTCCGAAGCACAACCAGCGGGCCCGGGACCGGCGGCACACCCGCAGCCCATGCAGGCGCATGCTCCTCCGGCACCTGTACCTCCCGCCCCTCCTTCTGCAGCTTGCCGTAGAACGAATACGCCAGCCCCTCGCCTAGCCGCGGGAGCCCCATCTCGAAGCGGTCATTGAAGGAGAGCGCCATCATCTCGACCAGGCCTGCGAGGATGGCGTAGCGGACTGGGTCCGGGTCCTTGGGGTCCGGGACGTTCTCGAGACGCCACTCGGGCTCGGGATGGGAGTAGAAGTATTGGGCTTCGTACCCGAAGGCGGGTTCATCGCACGCGCACGCGAAGGCGTGCATGCGGTAGAGCGATCTGAGAGGGGTGTCGCGGTCGCGGTATGGGAGGAAGGGGCCAAGCCGCCAGGAGTCGTGCCCGAGCAGGTCGGCGAGGTCTCGGTTGTTAAAGTATTCCTCTGACGAGCGCAAGGGCGGCAACGCGAACTTCCGCGGGTAAGGCCACAGAAGTAGGAAGAGAGTATAGAACGGCCGTAAGGTTTCTCTGCGGATGGTGACGGCTAGGTCGAACGCCCAGCCCTTGCGGGTGTTCTCCTTGATGAACCGCACCTCCTCTGTGTCCCGGAGTGTTGGGATATGCTCTTAAAGAGGTGTTAGAGGGGAGCAAAAACAGCCGGTGCGCAGACCTACTTGAAGACCACAGTAGTTTGAACAGCTTCGCTAGCAGGTTGTCTATGGCATTTATCCCAAGCTTGCTGATCGTCGTGGCGATGGACACTGACAAAAGTGGTGAGTAACGGCACTTTTGTGAAGAGGTAGACAACAGTTACTGGTTGTAGTCGTGGTGAATCAGCTACAGAAGGTGTGCCACTCGCCGTCGCTGGGGCTGCTGCTGATCAAGTACGCATGGGCCACTGAGATTTCAATTTAGGCGCTCGTTGACGCTAGTAGCTTCTGATTGTTCCTTGTTCTCTAACAACATCGGCCTCGAGTTGCGATACTGAGACAGCAAATAGCTGCGAGTTGGCAGAGCCTAGACGCCATATGAGATGTGCCGATGCTACCAAGCTGCGGAAGATGCACAAAGACGGTGGTAGTGGTGACCCAAGTTGGGCGAACGACGAACGGACGCGCGCCACATACGTGGCGCTTACTTCGTAAGTACCTTAAATTGACCCCATAGGCGTCTACATCTTTGCGAGCGACTACTACGCTCTATTACAACACCTCTTCTTCAGACGATGACCAAAACCTCCGACCACTCTGAACTGCTACCGGAAGGAATAAGTACGCGCATTATCCGAAATAATGCTGATCAGACCACGTCTGCAGGGAGTGCGGTCAGGCCAACACTCAAGAGCCTGAGTACTAGTGTATGATAGTACAAGTATGTATCTCCTAATGCACATCACCTGTCGCTTATAAGTCCTAGGAGTGTTTTGGTTGGGCACATACGAGCCTAACGCGTTGATGGCTGAGATCATGCCTCATGTCGGCCTCCTCCGTCGTGTATACAGAAGACTTCTGATGCGCATGGTCCTGTGCCACTGCGAAGTTCGCACCCACCAGGTGGTACTACGTCGAGATATCGAAGATGCCATTGTCTGCGTCGCTGCTATGCATGCAACGTGTAAGCAGTTGAAACGATGTGCTACCCACGCTCATCGGAAGAGGTCCAAGCACGACCTCGATGACCATGAGATTCAACGCAACGACCTCGGGACGCCTTGACCTACAGAACCATCGATCCCCGCCCAGGCCAAGCGTATCAATGCGCCAACGCCATATATAAGGACATTGTGCTCTTTGGGGAGCTGCAGCATACCATCTCCGACACCTACCCTTCACCGAGTGAGCCATCGACATGCTACTCAATCTCCTGTAGATATGCAGACTGATGGAGCCTTCACGTTTTCAGAACACAACATCCCACGCACCTCCAAAAAAACAAGATGGCATCTACCCTTACCCCCCAGAAGAGGCTCCTCACGAAGCAGGATATGCTACAGGGCAAGTGTTCTTCGGCGGTCTATTCCTCCTCCAAAACCTAATCGCATTTCTGGTCGTGCGCAGGCTTTGTGGCGCTGTCAGAAGCCCTGCGTGTCCAGGGCCCTGAGCTCGGCCTCCAGCTCCCCATCCGTGCCGTGGTCGCGGGTGGCGCCGTCGCCGTCCTTAAGTTTGGCGGGCGGACCATCACGCAGGACGTTGACTTCGCACTTGACGCCAACCAGGTCGACCTCGAGGACGCGATTCAGCGGATCGCGGACGGCATCACGCTCTACAACACGAGCGACGGGCCGGAGCAAAGCCTCTTCAAGTACTGGTTCAATCCCGCTATGAGTTTCTACCTGAACGGGAAGCCATACCGGGGCGCGTACCAGGAGGGCCTCGCACAGGGCGAGATGCTGTTCCACTCGGACAGCCTCGAGCTGTACATCGCGCCGTGGAAGTTCCAGCTGTACCGCAAGGTCGGCCGAGTTGTGAAGGCGCTCTGGCAGAACGGGGAGCGGAGACAGACGGACATCGACGATACCGTTGACCTCATCCACCAGTTCAACGCGCAACGCCAGCAACCTGTCACACTCAACGAAGTAAAGGGCTGGTACAAGGACCCAGGTGCGAAGCTGGACCACAAGGTGGCGCAAGACGCCGCACGGATCATCTCCGAGCGGTATCGCGCGAAGTACGGAGGAAACTTCACGCTGTAGAAGAAACGACCTCGAAGTAACGACATGCTTCACGACTCTTACGATCCTCTATGATTGTTCTCGTACAAAAAACATGGCAATGTACCAATGCACTTCACGACTCTGTAATGATTGTATATCCGAGCGAAGTTTTGCATGGAATGGAATGAATACATCGCCAAAATGTCATGATAGTCGTACGAAGTACAACGCTCGGTGCGTGCTAGGCCCTCATTCGTTCACGTACATGGAGGCACTCCGGCAGGGCGAGATGTTCTTCCGCTCGGACGCCTTTCATCGCCCCATGAAAGTTCCCGCTGTACCGCAAGATGGGGGACGTTAGTACGAAGGCACTCTGGCAGAATGACGAGTGGAGGTTGACAGACATCGAGGACACGGATGGTCGACCTCATCTACTCATTCAACACACAACATAGCAGACCTGTTACGCTCAGGAAATTGGGTATGCGGGCCCTGGCGCGAGGATGAGTAAGGAGGCGGCGGGGCTGGTTGCGGAGAGCTATCAGGAGCGGTTTGGGAGTCGTTTGTGGTGTAGACTGGGTCTGCCTGGGATTCCACCTGAAGGCCTGATTGCTCGTTTTGTAGGATGGGATGCGTAGACGATGCATTGTCAAGGATACAAAGAAGAAGTTGCGATGTGACAATATTACCTGTAGTACGTATCGGATCTATGAGAAGTTGCAACGGTACTTGTGGCAGCCAGTTCTATAGGAAGTAAGTGCAAACTCGGGAGAAGTTGATACACACTCGTGAGGAAATGCAGTCCCAGGCGAGAGATGAACGAAACTCCTAACAGCGCGATTAAGCCCAGTCCAGATATCCCGCACCACCGAGAAGAACGTTTCGTTTCTGCCATGCCTGCCCTCCCGTCTTGTATCCGTCCTTCCGTAGTACCACAAGAGGGCCCGGGACAGCCCCCACGTTCGCAGCCCACGCAGGCGGACGCTCCTCCGGTACCTGCACCTTCCGTCCCTCCTCCTGCAGCTTGCCGTAGAACATATACGACAGACCCTCGCCTAACCGGGGAAGGCCAAGATCGAAGCGGTCGTTGAACGCGACAGCCATCATCTCGACCAGGCCAGCCAGGATAGCGTAGCGGATCGGGTCCGGGTCCTTGGGGTCCGGGACGTTCTCGAGGCGCCATTCCGGCTCGGGATGGGAGTAGAAGTACTGCGCCTCATAGCCGAAGGCGACTTCTTCGCACGCACATGCCCAGGCGTGCATGCGATAAAGCGAGCGGAGGGGTGTGTCACGGTCGCGGTACGGGAGGAAGTGTCCCATCCGCCAGGAGTCGTACCCAAGCCAGTCAGCGAGACCCGGGGTGTTGAAGTACTCGTGGGACGTGCGCAGAGGAGGCAACGCAAACTTGGCTGGATAGGGCCACAGGAGGAGGAAGAGGTTATAGAACGGCCGCAAGGTTTCCGCACGGATGGTGAGGGCCAGGTCGCGCGCCCAGTACTCCCTGGTGTTCTCCTTGATGAAGCGCACCTCTTCTGTGTCCTGAGGCGTTGAGACAAGGTCTGAGGAAAGTGTCAGAGGGGCTTGGAGAAATGAGTGGCGCGGACCTACTCCGTGACCAGAGCAGCGTGAAGAGCTTCGCTAGCAGGCGATCTACGGTGACTTTTCCAAATATGATGACCTTCTTGGAGATAGGCACTAGAAAACATGGTGAATAACAACACCACTGCTAAGACATGGGCGATAATTACTAGTGTATGTGGTGGTGGATCAGCTAGAGAGTGTGTGCCACTCGCTCAGTGAAGTTCGCGTTGGCCACTTATACCGCAATCTAGCGCCGGTCCCGGCACGCTAGTCCATGGTGGTCTATGCTGCCTTGTCCTTCTAATGTGCTTCAGGCACGATCAGAACGGATGCGCGAACGCATAGACGTCGCTTCGCATGTGCCGCTACCGCTTGGCTGCGTCGAGGGAAACGCAAGGCGATGGATGGTGGTGGTGGGAGGACTGCAACTGAGTCACCGCGCGGACGAAAACTGGACGAACCTACTCGATCGCCGAGCCTTTGGGCGTCTATGCGTCTCGGATGTTGTCCGCGTTCCGTTCTCCGACAACAGCGCGGTACATACGCCCGACAGCGACGACTCGCTGCTAGCTCGGACGATATTTAGAAGGCGCAAACCTGTAAGCATGCAGCGAGCACTGGTACTGACCAGACCGCGTTTGCAGATCAAGATAGCCCGCTCACCTCATGGCACCAACTTGAACTTGAACGGGGTTCGCTATCAAGCTCAAGCTTCCAGAGCGCCATGCTTCTGCCTCCCTTACAGGAGTGCATAGACCAGGACATACTTGGCGCATGATTGAGCTGATGGTCAGTCTCTTGCCACATGCACATGTCATCACTGATGCGCTTGGTCCCAGAGTCAACCTCTAATGCTCGATCACCCGTCCACTGCAGCAGTCGCACCGTGATGCAACAGCGACATTTCGTTGAACTGAAGGCACTAACATGCATTCCACGGGAGTGGAAAATCTTCGTATGACTTTGGATGAATATGTATACTTCTTCAGAGATAGTGAGTACTGCGAGTTCGAAAGTATTTCTCAAGCGCACAGGACGAGGACCAAGTCGAAGCGGCGAGTATGTAACGTAGTCCGTCCCGGTCGCCCAGTCCAAGCATGTCAATGCGTCCACCGTCAACTCTGGGATATATAGCAGCGCCGTGCTTGTCGGTTCTGGGCAACATACCTCCTTCAACTACAGCACTTCTGGTGAGTGAGCCGTCGACATCTCTCAAACTACTTTCAGACGTACATACTGACGGCCACTCCACGCGCTTCAGAACACAACTCCTCAAACTCCTCTCAATATCACACAATGGCACCTACTATGCTTCCTACTCCGACCCAAGAGAAGATTCTCACGAAGCCCGACATCGAAGAGGGTGAGTAGATGCTGTCAGCCTTTCTTTCTTCCCCAGCTGATCATTGCCCCAATGTGCGTAGGCCTAGTGGCGCTCTCAGATGCCCTGCGCATCCAGGCCCCGCAGCTCGGCCTTCAGCTCCCCATTCGTGCCGTGGTCGCAGGTGGGGCAATCGCCGTTGTGAAGTTCGGCACACGGACCAGCACGCACGACGTCGACTTCGGGCTCGGCGCAAACCAGATCAAGCTGGAAAACCTGATCCAGCAGATAGCTGACGGCGTGTCGGCCCCCGCGGCGGACGGCGTACGGGCGCACAATCTCTTCAACTTCTGGTTCAACCCTGCTTTCAGCTTCTACCTGAACGGGCCGGCGTACCAGGGCACATACGCGGAGGCGCTCCGGCAGGGCGAGATGTTCTTCCGCTCCGATAGCCTTGAATTGTACATCGCGCCCTGGAAGTTCCAGTTGTACCGCAAGATGGGGCGCGTTACAAAGGCACTTTGGCAGACTAAGGAGCGGAGGTTGACGGACATCGAGGACACGGTCGACCTCATCCACCAGTTCAACACGCGACGCAAGCAGCCTCTCACGCTCAACGAATTGCGGGGCTGGTACCAGGACCCATCTACGAAGCTGGACCACCCGGTCGCACAGGAAGCCGCGCGGATCATCTCCGAACGGTATCGCGCGAAGTATGGCGGGAACTTCAGGCTGTAGAGGAAACTACCACGACATGATGACATGTTTCACGACTCTTACGCTCTCTTAAATGATGCCAATGTAACGATGCACTTCACAACTCCATGATTATTGTATGATTGTATATTCCGGCAGAATTATGGATTGATTGGACTGACTGCACCGCTACGATGTTATGATAGTCGTATTTCAAGCGCGACGCTCCAGTTTGTGCTAGACCCTCATTCGTACACATAACAGAGGTATCCGCCAGTCGTGTTCATGACGTCCCGGATGGTGACTTCAGGGAACATTCCATCCGCAGGGATGGTCGAATCCAGCTTAAAGGCGACGCAGTCGTCGTGAGCCTCAGCGCGAAGGCAAAACACGCTAATACTAAGCTCACCGTGAGCCCGGGGGCCATACCGTTCGGCCAGTCCTTCAGCGCCTGTACAGACGTGAGGTTCTGCACGGAGCCTCCCTTGTACGCCCAGAAGTTTTCCGGGTTCTTGTTCTGCCAGTCCGACCAAACCTTGTCCACCATCTACAATCCCGATGTTCGGATAGTCAGCACTAACCAGTGAGCGGACTGGGATACCGGGTACTTACGGCATGGTGGAAAAAGAAGATTGGTTCTAGGAGGTTGCGTGATGATGATAGTCAGCAGGTCTGAACAACGGCATCGGACTGAAGAAACTAACCATTGGCAGAGAAGGTTGGCTGCGGGATGCAGTCGGCCGGGGAGCCCTTCGGGCACTCGCCAGAGAGATCGCTGCGGCGCCAGTCAGTCCGATCGACCTGCAGTTAGAACGGATTTTGTAGAACCTACCCTCCCAAGATGAAGTGCACGCTCGCATGCGGACCCTGCGCGAAACACTATCAGCTGCCCAGCATCGGCCCACCCAAGACACACCGTGCGCTTACCTCCGGATACTCCATCGAGGCTTGGAAGCCGACGAAGTCGCCCGGGGTCCAGTCGAGCAGGTCCCGCACGACCTCCGGCGTGAAGCTCTCGTTCGCGTACTTGGTCAGGTTCGTGAACATCGGCACGCTCGCAAACGGGAGGAATGGCTGGAGCGTGAAGTTGCGCCGAATGATGTGGGGGATGGGGTATACGACCTCGAGGTGGCGGAATCCGCCGTTCCGCACCTGGAAGTCCTTGGACGGGTCGCCCCACCCGCCGAGCCCGCTGATGGGGTTGTGGTCGCGCAGGAGAGGGCTATTTTTCACGTCGTGCGCGTCTGGGCGCACTGGCATGAGCGTCGTCACCTGCTGCGCGTTCTGGCAAAGGCACTCACCAATCGACCAATCCCAGTACGGGAAGGCACCGGTGAATCCGCAGCGCTCTTTCATTGCCGTCTCAACCGCATTCACATAGAACCGATGGAACGGATAGAAGAGACCCGTGTTATGAATCTGTTGCGTCTAAGTCAGCGACGAGAGCCCACCACCAGAAAATCCGCACTCTACGTACCCTGGTATTGAGATCCATATGGATGTAGACGATGTCATCCCAGTAACCACCCGAAGTGTTGACCGGTGGGATATTGGATATCGAACGGTTGACGCTCGGTGTGAGGGCATCCGTGTGGGGCAATCTAGCCAGACACTGCAAGGTACTACGTGGTCAATATGCCGCGGAATCGCCATCTCACGGACAACGTCTGAACGTACGTTGATTGCAGAAATAAACTCCGCACGCTCAGGGATGCTGAGTTTGCGCCATTCCCTTCTGACGGAAGGATGGGTGCACGATGCGGCCTCGCTGCCAACGGCGGAGAAGCCCAGTGCTAAGGCAGCAGAGAAGAGGAGTTTGGAAACGCTGAACATAGTTGCAGGTTGGCGAAGGGGTTACTCCGGCCTGAATTCCGGACCAGATCCCTGGGGCTTGCGGCTTATATGTCTCCTCTGCATCTAGCTTGGAGCATAGGCTTCCTCGTTAGGGGCCCGACGTATCGGCCCTCGCTATCGCGCAGAACGCGCTGTGTCCATAGGGCGGTGGGAGCCATGCGACGCTCGCTCGTCACTTGTATGTGCGCATGCCTGTCAAGAAGCTTGCCGGATGTCACTTTCCGCGTTATTGCGCCCCCGAGGGTCGGAGCGGCGCGCTTCAGTGAATAGCGAGGTAGGTGTGGGCGGAGCCTATTGCGGATGGCACGGCGCTCCAGCAATTGTCGGGTCCAATTAGCGTCGAGTACATGCTTCTCTCTTCAGCACTTCTGCAGGGGGTGATCATCGTGCGGCTGCCTCGGGCGGTGCGGACTTTGGAGGTCTAGTGAAAAGTACCGTCGGACGTTCGGCGTTTCCTATCATGAAATAAGCTTTGTGTTGTCAGAACTTTCCGGCTAGTTGACAGAACACGTACGCCAAGCTTCGAGGGTGTTTCAGACGTGAGTTTGAGGACCACGATGGGACAAACGAACCAATCCGCGGTCGAGGCCGAAGCGCGGAGTTCAAGGAGATGCGGGAGCGGCACATCCCGCGCGATGTAGTAGCTTCGGCCACTCAACAGGCACTAGAACCACCCTCGACGTACCGAGGACTCCTCAACCGACGTTCGGCCGACCGACGATTGGTCCGGTCCAGCTCACTTCCTGGAATTGACCGGAGGCATGCATCATGGGACCTCCGGCACCGAACGTCGTGGAGGCAATACCGACCGAACATGAACATGTACTCACCGCTTTATGTACCAACAACGCAACATCGCACATCAGCTGTCTTGAAACGATAGTGATGGAAGTCTTCAGCTCCACTAGTGCTAGGGCGCGCAACCGAGGCCAGCCACCCGGCCGGGCGCGGCGGAAGAGCGAATGCGAGTTGGATTGCTATGGATATACGTACAAACTCTATTCCGAGCTCCGCGCAGCCAGAACGTTCCGTATGAAAGACACCGATGGGAGGGGAGAGAGCCCGAGAAAATGCATGCGTGCGGCTGGCGGCGAAATGTGTACAGATGGGGGGTGCAGCCAGGCAGGTGAAGGGTATCTGGTGAAATATACTAGTAGAGCCTAGGGCGCGGGGAAAGATGGCAGACAGACAGACAGGGCAGAGTGGGGACGGTCAGTAGCGGTAGCAGTAGAAGTAGCAGTAGCTGGGCATACGGGTCTATACGCCGTAGAGTAGAGGATATACAGGGCATGGCGTATGTGCATGAGAGGAGAGGCGGGTAGTCTGTATGAACGAACTTGAAAGCGGCCGGCGCGGTCTGCAGCAACGGCAGGCTTGGGGGTAGGAACCAGTATGATACACCAGGGTTCGAGGACATGTAATGGAAGGAAGAGCATCAAAGTTACTTCGTCGACGGCGGGGCCACGTCCGAGAACGTGATCGCGAGGCAGCCCAGCCACGCCATCTCGACCGCCGCGCGGCCGATGGGTGTGAGCGAGTACACTGGGTCGAACGCGTCCATCATCTCCTCCTCGTGCACGGGCGACGGCGGCTGCGGCGGCTCGCTCTGCTGCGCGAGGCACAGGCCGACGCTCGCGAGCCCCTCCGGGATGAACTCCACGTCCTTGTCGCGCCCGGAGCACATCCCGATCACGACGTCGCCCGGGTGCTTCTCGCGGATGCCCGGGGACGGCAGCTGCGCCATCGCCTCCGCCATCGAGCCCGAGATGCTCAGGCCCTCGCTCGGGAGGCGCACGCCCGTCCCGAGGAAGTCGTGGCACCCGACGAGCCGCGCACACACGCGGAACGCGGACTTCGGGATCCCCTTCGAACGCGGAGCGGCTGTGGTCGCAGCGGAGACAGACGAGGCGCGGGCACGCTTCTTGCTTGCGTCGCCCTTCTTCTTGTCCTTGTTTTTCCGCTCGTCGAATGGCACATAGTAGACAATCAGGTACTGACGCTCCTCAGCTGGCAGGATGTACTGGGACTGGTCTTCGCCGGGGATCGTTGACAGATCGTCCGTCTTGCACGGCCACAGCGGGAGAAGCATGTGCAGCGCCTCTGGGGGCACTTCCTCGAAGACGTTCACGCCTGCGTTGTTCTTCATCGGCTGCTTGCCCTTGCTACGCTCGCCGCGGGTCGTCTTGAACGTGGGCAGCAGCCCGACGTCCTTGAACGACTCGCTCAAGTTCTGGATCACACGTTCGCGCTCCTCCTGCTTCGACCGCGGCGCGAGCGTGACCCATGGCGGCGCCGTCGACGTGAACGGCATGTCTGACGAGGGTCCCGCGGGCTTGCCAGACGACACCCGCGTGTTCTGGCCGCGAATGCGACGCGCGAGTCGGTCGATAAGGCCACCACCTGCGTGGTCGTGGTCCGTGTGTTGCTCGGCGCGCCCGCGGATGTACTCTATGCGTCCGGAATCAAGGGTAGCGAACGCCTCGGCGTGCGATGTGCGTGGTACATTCGATTGCTCGTCGTCCTCGTCCAGATCCATATCATCTTGGTGCATGGACATGCGGGCTATCGAAGGTGCGGTGCGGTCGGCGGGGGACATGGTAACGTCGAATGAAGAAGACGGGGAGCGGGTATCCAAGGACTCCCGTACGGACATCGTAGTAGCGGTCGTAATGGAAGGAGCATAGCTTGCGGTCGCGACCGCGGTGAAAGAGGTGTTCGGAAGTGACGGAGACACAGGTGCAGAGGGCGAGGACGGCGGCTCTGAGTTATGGCGTTTCGACGAGCGGTCGTCGTCGGTCATCTTCTGTCCGGCGGAGCTGGCCACGCTGCCCATGCTAACTGTCTGGCTCGCGTCCGACGTCTGGCTGGACGTTGGCAAGCGCTTCTGGGTCGAGGTCGACTTGCGCTTCTCCTTGTCCTTGCTCTTCGTCTTGTCTCGGTCCTTCTGATTCGCCCGCTCCAGGCGCTCGGCCATCTTCGCAGACGTTGCCTCGCTGTTCAGGTGGCCGTACGTGTTCAATTGGCTCGTTGTTCGTGTGCTCGTGAACTGCGTCTGCACCTCCATGGGCGCCAGGAGGATCGTACCGCTCGTGTGCACATGGAACGACGTGCCGCCCTGCTTCTGCGCCGAGCGCCCGAAGATGTCGTATTTGCGGAAGATGCTGAATGCAACCGCGCGCGAATGTCGATGAATGATAGAGTGCGGGCCGCCGCGCGTGTTTCCCCGCGAGAAAGGATCGGCTATGTGACGGACGTTTATACGCTGCGTCGGTGCCTTGGACGGATCTGTCGTGAATTGTGGCGTGTCAGCAAGCGGAGACAGGGAAGATAAGTGATCATATGCGGACATACGTTCTGTCCACTGCTTGTCGACCTTGAACCTGCCCACATACTCGTGCCGCCACAACTCGTGAATGGCGGGTCGACCTGGCCGCGTCGTGATGGCCAATTGTTGCGCTGCACCATCCGCATTCTCTTTCCGGAAACTCCATTCATCCCGGCGCACAGTATAGCCCTTGTCGAGTTTCCGCAGTTGCGACGTGAACGCGTCGTCGCTCATCGTTGTCGTACTCGAGCGTCGCCCACTAGAGATGGAGTGCACTTCCCACGGCGCGATCGACCCTCGTCGCGAGTCTGAGCCTGGGGCGATGTAGGACGGCGCGCCGGACGACCACGATTGTCGAGACGGGTCACCAAGGACGTACTGCAGATTGAAACCGTCGTATGCGTCGCTCGCACTGATTTCCGGCACGTTCTCCTCTTCCTCAGGTGGTGGTTGTACGTGCACCTGTGCTGCCAAATTTTGCCAGTCGGAGCGGGTGGTGGGTTGGCTGGTGGGCTGAACAGAGGTGCTGGCGGTAGGGCCCAGCCCGAGCTCGTCGTCCATGCTTCGGCTCATGCGCCGTCCGCTGGCGAGGATCGTCACTTCGCTGTCCTCGCGATCGCGCGCCGAGGGCATGGCGTTGGGGATGTTCCATGGCACGCTTCCGCGCCGGGACTGCGAGGGGGAGGAGACAGGGCTCGAACTCGACTCGCCGCTGCTGTCGCGTATTCGGGCGAACGTGACAGGAGAAGACGTACCCGGGTCCCCGCGATCATCCTCGTCGTCCTGCTCGATGAGGCTCATCGTTATGCTCAGACTATCGTCGCCTTTCCCCGCTATTCGGCTGGTGGGGTAGTGCCCGACGTTTCCGCCACCGAATGTGTGCTGCGATGCTGCGTCGGAGATGTCCTCTCGGGAGAAATTGCGATAGTCGAATTCGACGTCTGTGTCGAGCTCTTCTCCATCGTCGGCGGGGTCGAGCTCTGCTTCCGAATCGGTTTCGATACGTGGAGGCGAAGGTGAATTCGACGGCCCTGACTGCGCGTTTATGGGAAGAGAAGGTCTACGGGTGCCATCGTCTATGGCGCGCATCTTCGCTCTCGTCTGCCGTGCGGCCTCTTCTTCGTCTTCGTCTTCAGGACCTTCACTTGGGTGAACCCTGGGTGTGCGCGATCCGTTACTGAGCCCCGAGACGGACGGACGTGGGGTGCGATCCGTCCCACTGGTACTTGCGACAGTGAACGGGCTGATATGCTCTGTGCGACGAGAAGGAGCGTTGGGTCGCGCGGCCCCGAAGGTGAAGGTTGATAGGTTGGAATAGATGTCGTCCGTGGCGGTTAGGAAGTTCGCATTGTCGCTGATGGTGGTGGTGGTTGGCGGTGACGGTGCCGTCTTAATTGCCGGCTGATGGAGGATGGTGGGAAGAGATGTTCTGCGAGAGGATGAAACCGAGGACGATGGCGTATGTGTTGCGCGTCGTGGGAGGGGACGTTGTTGCAACTGGGGAGGACGTGACACGGTCGTGCTACTTTGCGCTCTGAAAACGGAATATGGGATGGAGGAATAGATTTATGGGAGAAGATTACACACTGGTTGGGAATGGATCTACGCCTTGAGGATGGGAGATTGCCGGCTAGCTCATCAATGCCAGCACGAGGAATGATCGGTTTGCCAATGTTATAACGAGCGCGGTCGGGGTCGCGAGAGTCGTCGGCAGGATTGTAACCTAGGAACGCAGATGACGACGAGGCGGAGGACATCTGATCGTCAGACGCGGTAAGAGGGCCGTTCGTCGACTGGGGATCAAGAGGAGCGAGGGGAGCGCGGCGAGGGAGGAGATGGAGGTTTGCCGCGGCGGAGGCAGAGAGCGAGGACGAGGAGGAAGAGCGCGTAGAGAGCGATCGGGGACGAGACCTAGGCTTTTCAGGCTGGCGAGACTGGGACGGGGCGTCGCGCTTGAAGTGGAACATGGAATTGTGCGAGGGTGCGGGGGCTCGAGGGAGGTCGGAAAAGCAGACGAGAGTCAGACCGAAAACATACGCGGGGGTGGGGAGGAGAGGGAGGAGGAGGAGGATGGGTGTCGAGGACAATGGAGGGAACACGCCTCCCACGTGGGCTCCGCTCTTGTGCCCAGTTTGGACGTGCAGTTGCCCGTGTTTCAGCCAGCGGAGGTCTGAGACGCCTCGAGGCTCCCAACGCTTTATACTCCTTCTCTTCTTCCGTCTCCCACTCTGTTCATCGCCGATGGGACGGACGCTGCACTGGCCCTCCGCGTCCGACGCGACTGTAACGCACTGCAGCGCCCAACTCGGGGCGCTGCGCCCCCCGCACACGCCGACAAAGACCGCCCGCGCCGGTGCCCAGTTCGACCGATCCCAGATTCCTACTCTGACTCAATCTACGACGCTTCTTTCTTCTGGCTATCCACAGCCAAGTGAGGGCTGTTATTGCTAGAGCGCGTCACGAAGTGCACCATTCATAGCATGTCAAGACCGCCCGCCTAAGCCTGTGCAAGACGTCGCGTCGATCGACTGGCGCCCGCCCGAATGACAGACATACGGACATCCTGAGCGGTTCACTCTCATTAACGCACAGGTCTGCCGCACTAGAGCCGCCTTCGCCTTCAATCCGTGGCGTTATCTGCCTCCATGTCGACAGCGTTGTGTACCGAACTCAGCCTCGGCGCCACTCGGTGTACTATCCCGGAACCGCTCCCGCGTCTCGAGTTAGGCTCGTACACCTGAAGGTGGACGATAATCATCACTCCCCGGTCTCAAGTATCCCCGCCAAGATAACGCCGGGATTCAGAACTCGGTGTCATAGCGACCCTTGGCGGAGAACGGTGAAGTCTACTGCACTGAGGTGCGTGCAATGGCCGCCCTCGCTCTGCGACTCCCAAGCTGCGTTTGTCAGTCGCGTGTGGTTGTACCGGCTTCTTAATCTCCTTCGTGCAGAGGACTGCAACGTATAAACGGCATCCGTAATAGCCACGGATCAACGCCATCGCGCAGCGTTCTCGGCGGCGCGGGACGCTCGTGCCCTCTTTACGTGGGACTTGTCAGCGGCCTTCTCCAGGTGGGTCCCCCCTTGGTGGACCATTTGGTCCGGACAGGCCGGTGACCTTCGACAAGCCATTTTGGTTCAGTTTACCGTCCAAACCCCTCAGACTAGTAGGTGCAACGCCTCGAAAAAAAAACCAGATATCGTGGAGAGTGCTCGAAAACTCCTCAGGGAGAGTTTTAGATCTGATATTGCGTTGAATCTTCTTCTACTAATTACATTGCACACCAGCAGCGTGATATCATTCTATTTCAACCAAACTGCTCCGTCGGATGACCAGCTCCCGATTGAAGTGATCCGAGTTCCAGTAAGCCGTCGTGCTCAGTGCTTGTCATGATTTCCAGTGCGACAGACCAAGCCGACGGCCGCGAGTATGGCCACTTCAACTTCAAGCTTGGCTCGCCCCCGGCGGGGAACAAGAGACAGGACGTTCTCCGCCTGCATCCGTCTGAACCACGAGTGTATGACTTCTCCCTAGGAATCCAAGTCCGAACGCCGACTGTAAGCTTTGCAATCTCGTATCTCCGAATTCAAGTTGGTCCGGAGTGTTTAATCTATGCCCGCTGGAGCTTGAAGGTCCTGGCCCGGTTAGGGTCTCCCGACGCCGATGATGCGCACTGCCAGCATGAGCCCGCATGCAGACAGCTCCTGCGACCGGGTCCCCGCAGCGCAGGCTTCTCCGGCAGCTCGAGCGGTGCGACGCATATGCGCATCTGACTACATAGTCCCGACGCGCTCCGTCGGTCGCACTTCTGTGTCTCGCATATGATAGCGCCGGTTTCTTACCCACATGTCTCAAGACCGCAGACCCAGCGCAGCTCCGAGACCTGTCTCTCCGAGCCAATCTTAGCCAGGCGGCCGATCCGAGCGCATCGCTCGCGCACAGTCAGCCGCGGCGATTTGGCAATTTGCCGAGCGGGGAAGAGGGCCCACGCGGAGATCGAAGGTTCATACTCGTTACGCAAACCCGGGATCACGGATGTGCTCGTCGTGGTCCCCGTGCGGCGCGCGCCCATGCCATGGAGGGCGAGCGGATGGACGCGTTGGGAAAAATATCAGATATGCCCGGCGTTCTAGGGCGTTCATCGCCCTACTGTGATCTATGGAACACGAAGCGGGCCCGGGCGGTGGGCCCTGCAGATGCAGAGATGCAGATGCCAGGCACGATGGGTGCTGTACCGTGTTTACAGAGAGGTGCGTCAACGGTCAAAACGAGGTTCCTGTGTGTCGGGTCCATCGCACATCGCACATCGCTGACGAACGCGACACAGGGTCCCGCGATCCGGATATGCGCAGGCGGGGTCGGGCGGGCGGCACCCTGAGCAGGAGACCACAGCGCGACTCGGGAGTTCCTGGGCGCGCGCGGTTTGGTCGGACATCTGCATACGAAGTACAAGAACGAGCTGTCCGGGTATCCAGATGTTACGGCATGGAATGGGCCCGGGCGACATACGCCCCCCAAGAAAAGTACGGATGCAGTGAGTAACCAAGGTATGTAGACTTCCTGAACAACACCGGGCCTCATAAACGCCATCTCGGCTCGCCCGGGAGGAGGCCACGATTCTTCCGGATGTAAAAAGCCCGTAATCCCAGCGCGAGCAGGGCCCCGAAGAACATGAAACCGGCGTTGGTGTAGTGGCCAGTGGGGAACGCCGGCGCCTCGGAAGCCTTGTAGATGAACGTCCCTGCAAGAACATCACGGGAGTCAGCTCTCGCCCGCACGCGGGCCAGGGTGCGGAGTAAGCTCACCGGTGATCTGGCCGATGGACGCAATGGACACGTTCAACGGCACGGCGAGCGTCGACGCGCCGGTGCTGCGTAAATTCCCAGTGAGCCAGCTGAGGCTTGGCGCGGAGATGGCGAACGCGAACGGCAGCGCGACACACAACACGCCATAGCGCGCTGCGAGTGCGGTCGACGGTAGTGACGCTGGCGCAGAAGCAGGTCAGTGCATCAAATCAGAAAAATACAACTATAATCGGAATACAATCGTCCGGAGGGATGATTATATGGGGAAGAAATTTTCAAGAATAGCAACTCACCTTCGACGAGGAACATGATACCGCATATCAGGAACGAGCCCGCGGCGCCCAGAGCTCGCTTCTCATACTTGTCTGCCGCCCAAGCGACGCAGACACATACAACGAAGCCGATTGCGTACGGGGGCACCGTGAAGAGCTGCGCCCGGAGGCCCGCGTATCCCAGTTCCTGCACGATCGTCGGCGCGAACTGCGTCATGCTCGCGTAACCCACAGAAAACGCGACGAAGAGGAGGTAGTGGGCGTACAGGCGCCAGTCTCTAAGTGTCTCCCGCGCCTGGGGCCAGGTCAGCTTGTCATGCCCGAGGGACGCGATGCCCTTGATGCGCTCGGTGGCCAGCTCGCGCTCCGCGGAGGAGAGCCAGGAGACCGTCTCAGGGAAGTCCGGGAAGGAGAAGTAGACGACGACCGCGCAGAGGCAGGAGGGCGCGCCTTCGAAGATGAATAGCCAGCGCCAGGCCTGCAGGCCCGCCAGTCCGTTGATGAGACCTACTCCGTATGCGATGGTGCCGCCGAATGCACCGCCGAGTGTGGCACAGGCGACGATGAGCGCGATGCGGAGGGCACGCTCGTTAGGCTTGTACCAGAAGGTGAGGAAGTAGACGATCCCGGGGAACAGCCCTGCTTCGAATGCACCTAAGAGAAAGCGGAGGACGAGGAGTGATGCATAATTCCGGCAGGCTGCGGTGATCATAGTCATCGCACCCCATCCGAACATGAGGAAGGCGAGCCACCGGCTAGGCCTGTACTTCTTGAGCATGTAGTTTGAGGGCGTCTCGAATATAGCGTATGAGATGAAGAATATCATGAGCGCGATGAGATATTGATGATCTGTTAGACGGAGGAATTGTGCGAGGGAGTCGCCAGCATCGTTGTTAAGGATTTTAGCGTTGCCCTGATTGTAGTTAGTGGGTGCATGTGGCAAAGTAACAGCCATGGACGCACAATGTTGAACCTATCGATACAGCACAGGAAGTAGAGAAACATGGATGCCGGAACAATGCGCAGGTCTAGTCTTCGTACCAGTCTGCAAACTGCATGAGCGCGAAGGGAGTGAGTGGATTCAGGGTCTGCATACCTTCTTTCGGCATCAGGGTCTACCACATAAACAGAGCTATTGGCGCTTCCAACGTCCTCGTAGTGGTGGATTGATGGCTGTTTCTCCTCTTTCTCGATCTCGACACTTTCAATGTCAGCCGGAAGAGTGGGACTCGGAGGAGAACCGTGAAAAGCCATCAGGGACGTGGAAGATGTGGCGGGTCCACTACGCCTCCTCCGCGAGCACCACACTTTAAGTACCCAGTGCCTAGGCATACGGTCTCATTTGGAGATGTCCAATAGAGAATAGAACCTGCGAAGGAGGGTATAACGGTCATCTGAGGGTGCGCACGAGGTCCCATGCACGGCACCGTATTGGCATCTATTCTCGCACAGGCCTGCTTCGCAAAGGCACCACAGCTTGACCTGACGAGATGGAGCAGGAAGTCCTGCCATAGGGAGCTATAGGGAAGCGTTCGCGGGACGCCGGTGTTCGTGGCAAGCGAGTTACCGATAGAAAAGAAGACAACGTGGCGCAGCAGCGGTGAGAGCTAGCACAAGTATAGCATCACAAGCTAGGCGATGCAATATCATAGACCCAGGTAATAACAGACTTTGGCATCGAGGCGTACTCAGCCGTGAAATCGAGCTAGATGCCAAGATACATGCGCAGGTCGGTTCGACTGGACAGTAGTACTAGTATGGCTGCATGAGTCCGGGCGGGAGTTAACGGCCCAAGGAAAGAGCGATGATGTATCCAGCATTCGTAGTCCGAGATACAGCAGTGCAGCATGTCGTCGTAGCGTTGAAACCCCAGTGGAGAAGGAACGAAGAGGCTGTAGCGCGCATCTGATGCCCGCCATCAGTCGGGATTTCCCATTTATGGATAGCGTGCTTACGTGATCCATTTTTTGGTCTTGCGTCGATCGAGTGGTCTCTCGAGCCGCGAATGCTTGGCCATCCCTTCATCTCTCCTTACACCACCAACCGTCCTCAAAATGCCTCCGACGAAACGGAAACATGCCGAGTCTGCTAGTTCCGAGTCCGAGTCTGACGGCGGCTTCTCCGAGGTTCCTCTCGACGATGCTTACTCTGAGGATGAAGTGGACATCTCTTCTGCTCTGACCGGGAAACGTGCTAAGGTCACCCCGCGGGTCAACAGCAAAGGAGCGGATGACGACGACGACGACTTGCAAGAGTTCATCAGGGAGTCGATAGCGAAACGGGACGTGAAGGAGGGCACCGAGATGATCAAGAAGACGAAAGGAAAGTCGAAAATCGTCAAGGGCGAGGTTGGCGGAGGAAGTTTCCAAAGCATGGGTATGTGCTTTCACGCCGTCCGATTCTATCCTTTGACCAGTGACTGATCTGTCCGCAAAACTGTCAGGTCTATATCCCTGGCTCTTGCGATCCCTGACCTTGCAGGGGTTCCGTATACCTACACCCATCCAACGTCTGGCTATCCCTGCACTACTCTCCAGTCCTCCTCGCGACCTCGTTGGAATGGCTCGGACAGGTTCTGGGAAGTCTCTTGCGTACATGGTCCCTCTAGTACAACGTCTCGGAGGTCGGCATTCCGGTACCTTCGGAGCTCGCGCTTTAATTCTGCTTCCCGCTCGTGAACTTGCGCTGCAAATTCTCAAGGTAGGAAAAGAGCTTGCGCGCGGGTGGCATGCTGGCGAGGGCGACCACGCGGGCGAACACAAGGATACGGAAGACGGGAAGAAGGGTCAAAGCCTGCGGTGGGGTCTTGTCGTCGGTGGTGAAAGCTTGGACGAACAATTCGAGATGATCTCAAGTAATCCCGACGTGTATGGATCTTTCGTCATTGAATCCAGCAGTCGCTTATCTTTCTTGCGTCTCTAGCATAATCGCCACGCCTGGTCGTCTGCTTCACCTCATCGTCGAGATGAACCTTGACCTCAAGTCGATAGAGTATGTCGTGTTTGACGAAGCCGATCGCCTGTTCGAGATGGGCTTCCAGACCGCCCTCTCCGAAATTCTGCACCGTCTTCCCCTCACCCGACAGACGCTCCTGTTCTCTGCAACACTCCCGAAGTCACTCGTTGAGTTCGCAAAGGCTGGTCTCCAAAACCCCAAGCTGGTACGACTCGATGCGGAGACAAAAATCAGCTCCGACCTCCGGATGGCCTTCTTCTCTGTCAAGCAAGCTGAGAAGGACGCATGTTTACTCGTGCTTCTCCGCGACGTAATCGGCGTCCCCTACGGCAGCACTGTGCCTGAGGTCGACGAGGCGTCTGAACATAGGAAGGGCAAAGGCAAGGCGAAAAAGTACTCCGAGCACGCGATCGCCCCACACCAAACGCTCGTCTTCGCCGCCACAAAGCATCACGTCGAATACCTCACCAATCTGCTCAGCACCGCCGGCTACGCGGTCTCGCACATCTACGGCACGCTCGATCAGACCGCTCGCAGCGAACAGATGGACAACTTTCGCCGCGGGCGCACGAGCATCCTCGTGGTCACGGACGTCGCCGCCCGCGGTATCGACATCCCTGTCCTCGAGAACGTCGTCAATTACGATTTCCCGTCGGGGGCCCGCGTGTTCATCCATCGTGTCGGGCGTACCGCCCGTGCAGGCCGCCAGGGCTGGGCTTGGAATTTCGTCATGGCCGCAGAGCTGCCGTACCTGCTCGACCTGCAGCTCTTCCTCGGGCGCCCCGTGAAGAGCGACGTCACGGGGACCAGCGATCAGGCGTACACCGAGTCTCTCATCCTCGGCCCGTTCGAGCGCGACAAGGTCGACGAGGAGGCGGAGTACGTCCGAAAGCTCTACGATGAAAACCACAACCTGAACATGCTCCGCGACGTCATGCGCAAGGGCCACGGCATGTACGAGCGCAGCAAGGGCAAGGCGAGCCCCGTGAGCTACCAGAAGACCAAGACGATGCTCAAGGAGAGCCGCTGGGGGTACGCAGGCACGGAGTCCACCACGCACCCTGTATTCTTCCGGCGCAACCCCGATGCGGCGGTAAAACTCGCCGAGGACGCGCGGCGGCGGGCGCTGCTCAAGGTCGTCGACTCCTTCCGTCCGGTGGAGACTACCCTGGAGATTGGCGCGAAGGGAAACTCCGAGATTGCACAACTGATGAAGCAGCGGCGCAAGGCCCTGAGCAAGGCGGCGCAACGTGCTACCTTGGCGTCAACGTCCGCCGCGGCGATGGTAGAGGACGAAGATGCTGGCGACGCGGAGCACGGGAGCGACGAGGAGGCGCCGGAAATGGCAGACGAGGCCGACATTATGGTGCGTGCCTCACGCGCTAGTGTCCAGGTGCAATACTCATGCGCACACACATACGATCCAGGCTGTGTTTGACATGACGGCCAAGAAGGCGCGGGGCTCGAAGTTCCGTGACTCCGAGTTTTACATGTCACACTACCAGAAGGACGCCGACACAGAGAAGGGGTACGATGCGCGCCTCATGCACGAGACAGGGGTGGACGTGGCTGACGCTGTCCACACAGGTACTCACTCCGCGACGGCGCTAGCTTCGTCGAGCAGGCCCAGAACGTCGCGTTTGACTTGGCCGGCGACGACGGGCGTTCGCAGGAGCGCGCACGGCGCGAGATGAAGTGGGACAAGAAAAAGAAGAAGTTCGTCAAGGGCACCGGTGAGGGCGCGGACAACGTGAAGATGGTCAAGACGGAGAGCGGCGCCAAGCTGCCCGCGACGTACCGGAGCGGGCGCTTCGACGAGTGGAAGCAGCAGCACCGGGTCAGCATTCCCCGGGTCGGTGAAGCAGAGGAAGAGGGCCCGCGGAGGGGCGGCGGCGGTCCTGGCGGCCGGAAGTACCGCCACAAACAGGTCGTTGCTGCGAAACCCCTGGATAAGTTCCGCACCGACTACGAGAAAAAGACCAAGAAGTTCAAGAGCTCCGAGCAGGAAGGTGGCGGAGATGGGCCCTCGAGGGGCGGTTCTTCGCGGCCTCCCCCGGGGAGGAAGGGTCCCCGGTTCGGCGGCAAGCCAATGGGCAAGGTCAAGAACGAGCTCAAAACGGTGGATCAGATCCGGAAGTCGCGCAAGGTCGCAGAGCAGAAAAAGGCCAAGAACGCGCGTGCACCGCCCCGCGGAAAGGGCAGGCGGCGATAGTGCTGTTTACATTTTTTCTGCTGTATTCGATCTATCGGAGTTGTATTATGCCGCATCGGAATACTCCCATTTTGTGTAGTCTCCAGGATTGACCTTGACGTCGGGGCGACCTTCGAGCAGATCAACGCCCACGCTCCTCAGTGCGTTGACGCACCATTCCGGGTATCCTGCGTCGCCGAAGAACTTCGCGAAGAAAGTTTTGAGGTAGTCGGGGAATGTTCCGTTCATGATCGCGTCTCGCGCGCCGCCCATCACCCGGGCCTGAAAGACCAGGTTGTGCTGTGTTATTGCTGCGGGGAATGAGTAAGCTTATCACTTCTGCTGGGGACAAGTCACGTACCATGAGCGGCAGCGGTTTCAAGGGTAATGTTGTGGTGCAGTATCGCCCGCGATGTGCCGCTTGCACATGTGGGACAAGGACAGCCCGCCTCGATCGGGGACATGTCAGCTGCGTGTTTGCTTAACCCTAGAAGACAAGTTTAGATGCTCCGGAGAACATAGCGGTGTTTTTTCAAAGAACCTACGAAGGTTCAGAGGCCCGTTCGATGTCAGCGCAACGCCGAAGCGCGCCGTCCGTGTGGGAAAGACACAGTCTGCCTATACGGAGGTGAATTATATCGGCAGGGAGAGGTACATGAAATACTGACCATATCCACTCCAAGAGCAACGCAAACGAGTAGGTCTATGTCACTGTCAGCTCAGTCATGTCTACTAGCGTTATGCCGCATATACCTTCGGCGAAGCCGATACCCATGGAGTACCGCGGCCCTAAATCACGTCCTTCAGTGGTGCTGGACACCAGTAGTGTATGTCATGACGACTTACTATCTTCCGGAAGCTTGTCTGCGCATTGTTTTATTCTGGAAGAGAGGTAGGTGAAAGTGACCATGAGACGGCACAAGTTACCTACACTCGCCAGAATATTTCTTCGAACCGAATCAATCTTCCGCCTCTTGAGATGGAGAAGTTTCATTCTCACCTTTCTCTTCCCCGCCGCTCAGGCCGCCGATAGCGTAGCCTGCAACTTTGTCCTTACGGGCGATCATTTCGTCTAGGCACTGGTCGCGAAGATCGGGGTCGAGGCCGCCCTGAACGATAGCAAAGAGGTTTTGTACGTCGTCCTTGCCCGACCTTTGGTGGAATTCGATACATCGGTCGAGCCATCGTACGGTCCTCCACATCGCTTCCCCGACGCGAGGTCCTACGGTGAGGCTGGATACTATGGAAGATGCAGTCAGTACGCCTCTCCACTATGTTCGACGGAAGACATACCTACGTCGTCCAACTGCATAATGATGTCTGCGCCTATTGCGTGCTGTATGGATATACTCTCCTCGGGCTATGGGCCGTCTGAGGTTAGTTTCGCCATAGATATGGCGTTCGAGCGTACCGTGAGCATAGTAGGTTTCCCGTCAAATGGACTTGCGAAGAGGGCGCCTTCCTCTGTGATTTTCGTGAATTTGCTCAATGATACCAGCTGGAATCCTCCGCTATCCTAAAAGAGTGTTTAGATGCTAATCGGAGGCGAAATGGCGGGCGCGCGCATACAGTGAGGAGGTTATGCTTCCACCCTTGGAACTTGTGTGCGCCGCCAGCTTCTTTCAGTACTTCTATACCCGGTCGTAGGTTCAGATGATATGTGTTGTTGAGAATGAGGTTTACGCCGAGCGCCTCGACTTGCTGAGGCGTCAGCCCTTTGATAGCGGCCTGGGTGGCCACGGGCATGAACGTAGGAAGCATTGTCACGCCATCTGCAATGTAGGACATGAGTTACAGAAAACATTACATGTGATTGAAACGTACGCGCGAGCCGCATTTTCGATACCCTAGCACGGGTCGTGTGGCACTTGGCCAGTACTTCAAACTGCATCGCGATGGCCCTCAGGTTGGCTGCTTCGACGGGTTTCTACTGCCGGTCCTCGAGGAACAACTCGTTGATGGAGATGACCCTGGATGCGCTGATGGCTGATGGGGGTGAGCACACAAAATTTGGAGAAAACGTGGTGGCGGTAGTGTGATGAGGCTATTGGCTTCCCGATCCGATCTGCCCTCAAGATCCCGACGGCGCGTCGCGTCTCGCGGGCCACTTTCACCTCTACCGCGTCTAGCTCCCCCATCGACATGCGGCTCTCGCGCAATGGTCTTCGATCCATAACCTCTTTGAATGCGGCCGTCTGGCATCCTCAGCGGCGACAATGCCGTAGCGTACACTCCCTGGGTGACCTGTTTGAAGACCTGAAGTCGCGTGAGCTGGTGGCAGATGTGACAAGGTATGACCATATGCTTCCCCTCCTTTTGTTTCTCATTCAGTCAGACCTACGCAGTTTCAGTCGGCGACTGAGAAGCCTATGACCGTCTACGTCGGGGTAGACCCTACCGCACCCAACCTACACGTCGGTCACCTCGTACCTCTGCTATGTCTACTACACTTTCAGCTGCGAGGCCACCACATCATTCCCCTAGTACGTACAATGGCTCACGCATTCAAACATAGATTTGACTCAAGGACAGATAGGAGGAGCTACGGGACTTGTGGGAGACCCTTCAGGACGTTCGACGGAGAGGCCCATGGCTACGCCCGAGACCATTGCGCACAACGTCGATAAGCTGACGACGGGCATCACTCGATTTTTCGAAGGGGCAACGAAGTACACGGATAAGCACATCGTGCCGATCATTCGACCGAACATACATCCGCCGAACGTGCAAAATAATCTCACTTGGCTCAAGGAACTCAACCTGCTCGAGTTCCTCCGTACAGTCGGCTTCCACAGCAGAGTGAACACCATGCTCGCACGAGAGAGGTGAGGGACATGCTTGATTTCACCCGTGTCAACCCTGACGTGCAGCAGTGTACAGGCCCGTCTCGCTTCACAACAGGGTATCTCTTTCACGGAGTTCACCTACCAGCTCCTGCAGGGGTACGACTTCCTGACACTGTACAAGAAGTTTGGTTGCACCGTCCAGATTGGGGGGTCTGACCAATGGGGCAACATCATCGCGGGGATAGACCTCATCAACCGCACCAACTCTGCGCCCGGAACTGCGCAAGACGGCACAGCGGAGAAGGCGTTCGGCCTGACCACCCCGCTCTTGACCACCGCGTCCGGGGAGAAGTTCGGGAAGAGCGCGGGGAACGCGGTCTCCCTCAACGGTGAAGAGACCAATGTGTACGATTTTTACCAGGTCGGTTGGTTTACCCGGGTGCCCGCTATGCTGGGCTAAGACGATGATATCTCAGTTCTTCCTGAGGACGTCAGACGCGGATGTCGGTCGCTACTTAAAGATGTTCACGCTCATGTCCCTCGAGGAAATTGATGGGCTTATGCTTGAGCACAACGTAAGTCTTTGCCTCGTACAAGCCAGATAGCGTACCCACTAACCTCCTTGGCAGCGCTCCCCGGAAACTCGTGCGGCCCAGCGAAAACTGGCGGAAGAAGTGACCCTATTGGTGCATGGAGGTATGGCTCCCTGACCACAGCCCTCCACCCCCCTCGCGACTAACGGTACGACAGTGGACGGCGTGTATTGCGCGAAACACGCAACGAAGCTGCTGTACGAACATGACATCGCAACTGCCAAACGCAAGGACGTGCTTAACGCTCTCTCGGATAATCCGGTCATGCATCTGTGCACCGCGTCTGAGGTGCTCGACACCCCGCTCGTCAAGCTCGCGGCCAGATTCGGCCTCGCGGCGTCAAATAGTACGTGGCGTCCACACGCATCACCTGGGCTCGAGCATCCCGTGGACGAAGGACTGACAAAGGGCCTCGGCCTCACAGGTGCCGCGCGCCAGCTTGTCAACGCCAAGGGACTTTACTTGAACAATACACCCGTCGCCGACGTGCACCAGAAGCTGTCCGCCACAGACCTTATTGACGAGGGGGTTGTATTTTTACGCGCCGGCAGCCAGAAGCAGGCTGTGATTGTCCTGGTCGAGAAGTAACGGTTGTTGTGGGCGTGTAATTAGTGCTGCATATGTAGTCGGCGCGTCTAATAAGATAAAAAAAGTATCGATACCAAGAGCACTCCTCCCCGCGGAGGTGGCTCGGCGCCCCGTATAAATACGTATGCAGCGAGCACATGTGGGACGCGAGGACCGCCCTAGTCCACACGAATAGCGCTGTACAGCCTGCGCACGGCCCAGTACGTCGCCAAGAACCCGATCGTACCTAGATGCGCAAACGGGGTCAGACGGGTGCGGTGGTGGCGGCTCTGCGCGCGCCACGCGTTCGGAGGCGGACGACGCACCTGTGACGAGGAAGTCGAGGAGCGCGAGGAGGAGCAGGTACCCGAAGTACAGCACCGTACTCGAGAACGAGTCGAGCGAGAGCCGCGACGCCCAGTACACGACCCCGTAGCCGAGCAGCCAGAAGGCGCTGCCGCCGCCCGTGAGGAACGCACGCCAGTGCCACCGGTAGTCTTCGCGACAGAGGATGAAGTACGTGAAGAGGATGGTGACCGTGGCGGTCGTCAGCGCCACGAGCGCCGCGGTAAGCGCGAGGAAGCCGAATGCGTAGTATGCGCGCGAGGCGAAGAGGCTCGAGAGCACGAAGTACAGCTCAACGAACGCCGCACCTGCACGGTGGTAACATGTCAGTCTCGGTAAGGAATTGGAATGTATAACAGGCGTACCGAAGGGCAAGATACCCGCCAAAATGGTCGTGGCCTGTCGCACTGATGTAAGCAAGAGGGTTCATACTCCCAATGAATCGCGTACCCATGGACGCAAATAGGTCGGCTGCGGCGGAATCTGGCGCGGAATCTGGTTTACTCTCACAGGATGGGCAATTGCCTGCGTGTATGGGTTCAGCACAGGACGTGACGAGCTGCACCGTGTGAGCCTACCCCGTGTTTGGAACCGAAGTAGGAGCCTATTGCAGACAGAGGGGCGGAGATGCCGAACCACAGGACGATGATCAAGAGCAGGGTGCCTGAGGGGAACGCGGTGAGAATCGAGAGGCACACGGAGAGCTCATCGCGTCCGATGTAGACCGGATGCGAAGCGAGTGAGGGACGTACCGAAGGGCACGGCACCCGAAGAGCCCGCGGCGACTAGGAATAGATCAAGTAGGAAGACGATTGCGAACACGACCCTGTAACGCAACACGGGGGGCATGTCGGAACGCTGGGTAAGAGAAGGGGGGCATGTATAGCTTACGTGGGCATGAGGGTGGCGGTAAGGAATGAATTCTTCCGCTTGTTGGCGCCTCCCACTGACGCGTAGACTCGGCTTGAGATATAGCCACCGATGCTGTTCAGGGCACGACAGGTCAGCGTGAGTACGTACGGAGCATTCTCTGTGTAGGGTCCTTACCTGCCGAAGAAGGTCCAACAGATCATCATCACGGTAGCAAGTGAGCCGCGGTTGGATGGCGACAGGAACCCAAGTAGCGCGAAGACTAAGAGCCCATAAGCCTGTGTGTTCCGCCACGAAAATTGCGGCGCAAGAAACTAACCCAGGGTCACTGCGACCATCGCGCATAGCTGTGCACCGTTACCAGCGAGGATGGAAAGTACCATCGGGTTCTGTGGCGTCCGGAACACTTCTCCATGAACTAGCTTCCAGCCCCAGTCCTCTTGGACATCTTCCTGCGCATATAGTCAGCATCTGAGCGACCGTACATTAGGGCGGCACATACACTCAGGTCTATGGCATTGTACCGTGATATCTGGATGGAGTATTAGCGCGTTCGCAGCAACACCGTGGACCCGCCGGCTTACATCACGCGACACAGTACGCAGCAAGATCATAGACACCATGACACACAGGAAGACCACCACAATGACGGCATTTATGAGGCTAAACCAATGGATACGCTGCCAGACAAACCACTGTCAGCGTCCGCGGTTCCCAACTGTCTTCGTCACTCACAGGGTCGAAGATATGTAGGTAATTGTCCCATCTTGTGGCCCACGGGGTATCCGATTCCTGTACCAAGACGTCAATGGGAGGTTCTATCCTCAAGTTTTGACGTGCATACATTCCACATGATTCGGTAAGTGTACCGCACTTGGTTGTCTGACGTTTCGCTTAAGATAAGGGGTGGGACAGACGAAGCACAGTCCAATTCTCCATTGGCTGGCGCATCCTGTGACCCTCCACGACTGTGGGAGGTGGACTGGAGTCAGACACATAGCACAGGTTCGCACTGCATGTACATTACCTGGTGGGCCAGACGAGAACACCGACGATGCGGTAAACGCCAGGTGTGGGCGAGTGGTATCTGTGTATCCAGGGGTGTTAGGTAACGGAGAATTGCAACAGCTGTCAAATGCACCGACCTAAGTACGATGTCGTAATGGTTGTGCAGCGCAGGCATCTCCTCGAACTGCCCCTCGTCGTTGCCAAGATTGAAGCCCATATCAAAGAAGAGCTCTCCCGTCCGCTTATCCTCTTTCATTTCAGCGGCAGGAAGGCCGTCCACAAGCCAGTTGATAGCATAGTCTTCCCGTATGCGATCATTGATGAACTTGGCGTCCCCAGATGATATGGTTTCCGTGCACAGAGCCCGACAGGTTGCATTGTCTTGCATCATTTTGATCTATATGTATCCTTAACAAAGGTCGAGGTGGGTCCACAAGATATATGCATACATCGTATGGCGAGTTGAATATACGGTCTCCGAACAGGATAGACCCCAGAGACTCGGGCTGCTTGGTCGGGCCGCCCTCGGGTTTGCAGAAGTGGAAGGACGGGTTGTAGTAGTCATCTGCGGGATGCTGTAGCCATTGCACGGGTCCACGTCGCGCGGCGACTTACAATTTATCAGGGATTTCTACGCGCGAACGGGGAAGCGTGAGTTCGTTCTAGCGGTCAAATGTGGGCTAGCACGGAACGCACGAGTTTGGCGTTGTCATTCCCCGCTATCATGGGTGTCAGGGCGTTGACGAAGAGGTCCACCGGCTCTCCTTCGTGGAAGTCATGCGGCGCCGCGCCAGGCAGATAGAATGCTTGCGCGGTAGAGAGTAGCGAGAGCGCGAGGAAGCACAAGGCAGCGCGCGGCATGGTTGCCAAAGAGGGTGATGCCCTTGCGGGATGCTGCCAACGGCGGCTAGCAGAGCTTCCGAGTACGACGAGTTGGGAGGTGGTGGTGCGGTGTAAAGAGCGGCGATGGTGAGCCCGCAGCAGAGCCTGTCCGGAATGCCAGTATGTGTGACGGTGGATGGCCGCTCGCGCCTGTCCAGAAGGCCCACGCGCTGGCAAGCGCTGGCACACGCTGCGTGACCGGCGCGTCGGTCACTAAACGTCACGTTCTGTGCCCGATCGGGCGTCTATCGTTGACCTCCATCTCAGCCGATGCATCCATCCTGACGCCCATGCTGCACGGCGTCTTCTGAGCGCTCCCACCGCAAATATTAGTATCTTGGGCGGTACTTAAGGTGCGGATCGTTGCAGACAGGGGAAAGCGCATAAAGCTGGCTGTGTTGTTCCCTTATATGATCCCCTCTGCTGACACGCTGACTACCAACACTTGTGAACGAGATAGGCTTCAAACCCGCCGGCGCCCCCAGTCCAACCATCATCCACCCCACATGCTTGCCTCTGTCCGGCTCACCCGACCCGCATCTGCGACCCCAAACCAACTCTTGTAGAGGAAGTGGTTGCGTACAGCCTTCCTGGTATGTTCTCCGCGCAGGCGCACAGGCCACCAGCCATGACAGGCTCCCTGTGTGTATATCGGTAGACTGTCGCAGTGTCCACGAGGTCGGCGCCCGAATTCCGCCCGCCCTTATATTCGAGCCCGACGGCCCGTGGCGAGCCATACAATCCCCCCACTCTCCCACCTTCATATCTACCATGAACACCTCAGGCTTCATGGACAGGCTTCCCCCGGAGCTTGTCGCAAACGTCTTCGACTATGTGCAGGCTGCGCACGCACTTTCCGCCGCGATGCTCGTCAATCGGCAGTGGTACATGCACGGCGCACGGAATCTACATGCCCGGCTCGTTCTAAGGATCGGCCTCAACATGTCTATAGATTCACAACACGCAGTCATGTCACTGATGAAACGCCTCGTTTCTCCGACGCTCTCTACTGCTCCTCTGGTCCGCCACCTGGTCGTCGATGGCGTCGCAAGCGCCGAAGTCCACATCCTCCTCCTCGACATCCTACATCGCGCCACTGGCCTGCGCTCGCTCAACGTATGGGGCCTCGGCTTGACGCAAAATCGGCCATTCTTCCCACCCGACGCGTTCTCCACGCCACATTTTCTTCCCAGCATTGTGGCGTTCAACGTCAAAGCCGGGTTTGCGCCATACCTCGGGCCCCTCATCCACGCACGCCGCATTCACGCGCTGCGTGTACACGAGGCGATAGATGACGTGCTCCTCCGCCGCATTACGGACTCTAGCGGTACCCTCGCGAGTGGGATCCATAGCCTAGAGCTCGTCATCTCGGCCCAGACCGGTGCTGTTGCTGTAGAGCGAATGGAGCACCTCGCGTCCGCGCTCGAAAGCGCTCCCTTGCGCGCCCTTGCGGTGCAATTTCGTATAGGGTCCGTATCATGGATCGAATTCGAGGTTCGTCTAATATGACATTTCGTGGAAGCCGTTTTGTTCACGATATTTTAGGACGCTATCGGGCAGATGGGCCCCTCGTTGCGTAAACTCGGCAACTTAAGCATCCTCGGCCTTACTACCAGCCCTGATCCGATTATGCACGTCTCGGACTCGGCGGAACTAGGGACCGGGAAACAGCGGCGAGAGCGGATGACACGGTCATTGGCTGAGCGGCTCATTGCGGACCACGGCCTTTCGCGACTCAGCCGCATCGACCTGCGGTGGCACGGGTGGAAGGTGAAGGACGGACAGCTGCACGCGGTGGCTGAATCGGAGCTTCTGAGGCAGCCGGCCAACTGGGTCTACAAACAGTTCAGCATCGAATCCCCATGACGGTGTCCTCCCAAACGGTTATATCCGCCAAGGCCTTATCCCACAGGGAGTGGTCAGTGATGTCAGTGCTTCCAAGCGGGGGGCTTGGGTGGCCCACCGTGCAGTGTTCCGTTCCAAGTCAAGGTCAGTCTAACCTTCGGTCGTATTGCTGGGTATGATGTACTCACACGATGTCGCTCTAGAATCCCAAGACGTCATACGCCTTCTTCGAACCATCAATGTGCGGACATTAGCAGCCGAAAGCAGGACTAGAGAACCGCAAAATTCACCCGCTCGCACATTTGTGGTCGAGAAGCCTGGGCGGCGTACGGCGTCATGATCTGTGCCTCCAGTCCATATGTGGCTTCCGCGGCTTCCAGGATGGTTCTCATGCATCGGTCCTCTTTCCCCCATTAGACGATTCTTTCTCAGCTACCCATACATACACGCATCAACTAGCTGAACTATACGTCGTCTCTTCGAATAATTTGTGACCGCATTGACAGGCTAAGAGCTGCTCGCAAGGTCGACTCGTCGGGGGTCGCCGCTGGGGAACTCAATTGAGTGGCAGTGTCGAAAAATCGGAGAAGCCCGAAGACGGCTAGCATGGCGATCTTGGTCCAGATTCTCCGCGCGTGGCCCCTGTCTGCTCGTCTTGTCTTTCTCCTCGTCCTCCTCTTCCCAGTCTCGCCCCTCTCAAGCGCAAACCACCACTTTCGACGCCGTACGTTGCTGTGCGCGAACGCAACTTTAGCACTGACGTCGTGGCAGAAGAAGAAACGCGCCTGAGTCAAGCTTCCTGTCAGTGGCTCAATCTCGTAACGCAACAACATCATATTCCTCGAACTCTACCTTCGCACCAAGCTGCGGACAGCCCTTTCGCCGGATTCTACTCGCGGCTGCGCTGAGAATCAACCTATCTCCGCCTCATCTTGACGCGCATACATTGGGGTTTCTTGACGTCCAGCTGGCATGGCCGGAGCGCCTCCAAGCACCAGTCCCCTCTCCACCTTCCAATTCACCGCCATAGGAAAGCCCCCTACTCTACTCAACCGACTTTCGGCTCCGGACTCCGTTGCACAAGACGCGGTGCACTCCCCGTCGCCGTCCCCCGTGGCCTCTCCGAAAGCGCCCGCCTCAAACATTGTCCGGCCCACATCGCGCAAATCGCTTCTGGAGACCCTCGGAGGAATTGAACCGCGTGACATTGAGATTATGCGCGCAGACCAGGGCCTACCGAGGATAGAACCCGAGACGTCGCGTCCATCTCGTTCGTCTTCCAGTGGCACGTCGTCTCATCAAGCTCAAGCGCCCAACGGCAAAGTCTCTCCCGCTTCAAACGGACACGCGCGCCCGTCACCCAAGATGAATGGAACCCACTCCCCCTCCCCACAACTTTCGGCAGGAGAAGCCTCGCACGCGTCTCAAGCTCACACCGGGCCCGTGAATTCGAGTCGACCGGCTTTGAGTAGCCTACTCCCCGTCCCGAGCATCAGCTTCCCCGCCCTGAGTGCTATGTCCCCGAGGCTAGATCAGCCTTCGCTACAACAAGACGACGCGCTCGACGGCTTCCGGCACGCGCTTGAACGGCTGGGTGCCGAGAGTGCCGACTACAAGCTTAGGGCCGAAGAAACGCGTCTCGCTATGTCGCGGCAACAGGAACAGGCGGCCCGTTGGCACGCGCGGGCGGATGCGCTCATCGAGCCGCTCTCCGCGCTCTTGGCCCAATGTGAACGTAGACTCGCGAGCGCGAACAATGTCGTTGCCGAAGTCGGACGCTTGCGGGAGGTCGTACGACACCATGAGGAAGACATGGCTGAAAAAGCACGTGCGATCGCAAATCTCGAGGCCCGCAATACCGAGCTCGCTCGAGCCCTGGAGGAGCAGAAATCACGCGCAGTGGACAGACAACGCGTTACGGACGCATGCGCGGCGGAACTCCGTCAAACTGCCGAGAGGGCTGTTGCGGAGAAGACGGACCTGGAGGTCAAGCTCCGGGAGGCGATCGCTCGTGTGGACGCCGCGGAGCGACAAGAGCTCAGCTCGTCTGCAGAGCGTGAACGTAGGCTTGTGGCGCAGCTTGCGGAACAAACGCGGGTCGCCGCACAGGAAAAACGAGTGCTCCTTCAGCAGCTTGAGGAACAGACACGCCTTGTGGAGCTGGAAAAGCAGAAGCGCGTGGATGGTCTGGAGGCAGAGAAGCGTAGACTGGACAGCCAGCTCCAAGCTGAGCGGGAAGAACAGAGCCGTGTTCAGCAGCGCATGCAGGGGCAACAGACGCAGAGCAACCATGGGGGCTCGTCGCTAGACGAGTCCCGAGCCTTGGCTACGTCCCAAACCCCTGGTCAGGCCCCACCTTCTGAACCAACTGTCGCGCCCGCTGTCATCCAGAAGTCCATCGCGCAGGCCAATATGACCGCACCGCCGATGACTCCATTGCCATTGTCTAGGAACGATCCTATCGTCCCCTCCCAGCCGCCGACCGCTACTCCTGCCACGCGGAAACGTAAACCACCATCACCCTTGCAGAAAATCGAGCCTGTCACGAGTCCCCACGCTGACCGGCATATCCCGCCCCACATATTTCCGACCATTAAACCGGAGCTCGCGACTCCTAGCTTGAAGACGAACCAGTCACAGCCTGCCCATGCTTCCCCGCAAACACCAGCCCCCGCGCAGACTCCGACCGCTAAGAAGGTCAAGCCCGAGCCAACCACGATAGGGCGTAAGCCTGCCTCTCAATTCTCTTCCAATTCACCGCCTGGTGGCTCAAGTGTCAAGCCAGAAGCATCCACGCCCTTCATCGATCGATTGACCCAGGCGTTCAGACCGGATGACTCGAGCAACGGCCGTTCTTTGCGGAGGGAACAGTCGCTGGATTACGTAGCTCGACCATCTAGCTCGAACAACGCGGTACCTGGTGCTCAATTGGCGAACGGAGCCCCGTCTTCCATCGGACATCCCACGACTCTGTCAAACTCTGTACCGCTGCAGCAACCCCTTCCACCTCGTCCCCCCACAGCTGCCCAACTTACTGCGAAGTTGAATGCCGTCAACAACCCTCCCCCCGTGGTGCCCGCTGTGCTGGCGTCGGCGCAATCGTCGTCGTCACAGCCAGACCTCCCCGACTTGGCGTATCCGTCGCGTGACCAGACTCCCGCCTTGATGATCTCCTCGCTGCCGTCCGACGACACCGCAATGGGCGTAGGTATCGTCCACCCGGATGACAGAGGCGTTGGCCCGTCGGCGGGGCAGCGGTCACGAGGGACCACTCCCCCGCGGACTCAGGGCGCTCCTGCTCGAGGGCGGGGGCGCGGACGGGGACGGGGTATGAATGCACCCGCCCACCAGGTTGTGCAGACACCGGCGCAATCGGGGCGGCCAGGAGACCACTGGTCTCCTACACCCGATCGCCCCCCTTTGAACCGTAACAGGTACTCTCCTCCCATGAGGAACAAGCGGGGACGTGAGGACGATGAGTCGCCAGAGAGATCACGCCGCCCGCGACTTTCTGGCTCGCCACCCCGCAATGTCTACCCTCCTCGTCGGCCATCCGGTCAGTACGAGCGCAGTCGGTCCCCGTATAGTAGGAGTAAGAGTCGGACACGGAGCCCGAGCTCGAGGCCTTACTCGTCTTCCCCTCCCCTACGCGATAGGAGCTTGAGTCCTCGCCGCGCTGCCTACTCTCCCCCCTCGCCCCGCCGCTATCCGCGCAGCCCCTCTCCCCCGCCGCCATCGACGTACGACCCCACGCGCGGCCGCGCCCCGCCGGCCACCGGGTATGCGCCTCAGCCTCAGCCTCCCGTTGCACATCCGGAATCTGAAGCTCGTCTCCCCCAGATGGTACCCGCCGCCGCGCTCGCCCCCACGGTCGTGGCGAACGGAGGCGTACCCACAATACCCACAGTACACGACATACCGACCGCTGCCCCCCGCGCCAAGCAACGCGTGGCGGCCCCGGCCACCAATGCCGCCCCTGCGCGTGCCGCTCGAGGAGCGCCTCAGGGACGCGCCGCGCCCGGTCCTGCGCCGGAGAGCTTGGGAAAGATCTCCCTACTAGAACGCATGCAGGCGGGGCAGGCCCCGGAGGACGGCGAGCAGGACAAGAGCACCCCGGTGAAAGGCAAGCGTCTTGCGTCAAGGGGTCGTGGGGGTACAACTCCCAGAGGAACGTCTGCTCCCCGAGGAGGGGCTACTCCCAGGGGTAACCCTACTCTCAGAGGGTTGTCCTTGCGCGGTCAACGTGGTGCTCACCCCGTCCGGGGTGCCGGACCTGCGCGAGGCGGGGCATCTCGTTCACTTGCGGACCGAATCAGTTCGGCTAACGCGGATGGGCTCTAACGGTTCTCCTAGTCGATCTGGGTTTCTCTTTGGTGTGGATATCGTATTACCCGGTCTCTCCTGCATGTCACAAGCCTTTCCTGTTTCCTTCTCCCAGATGTTGTAAACAAAATGTGTCCAGTTCGCCTTCAGCCTCGGTTCCTTTCCATTCGCGCCCATTGTCACGCCATAATCCAGCAATTCCAGTATACAAACCTGTATAGTGTCGAGTCATGTCTTTCCACGTTCTAATGATTACACGAGCGCACGTATACAATTGTAGGGCATCCATCGGTCGGGTCGTAGGTTCGGTTGAGAGGGGTTGCAGGCCGGAGTACAGGGTAAGTGTGCGGGGGGTAGTGGTACATCTCGGGGGTCGTACATAGTCAGACAACAACACGTTCAACTGGCACCGCAAATGGTCAACTCCCTCATCTCCTGCAGCACGCTCTCCACCTGCACCAAACATAAGTCCCTAATTTCGTTATCAATACGAGCAAACGACGCACCTGCGCATCCAGCTGTCCACCAGCGTAGTCATCCCGAACATTGTCCGCAAAGTATCTGGAAACTCCGCATTAATACTGCGGAATGGAGTAGGCGAGGGTATATCGAACCTTTGTACGCCCCCGAGCTTCTCATAACCTTCTTCGGCGAACTTGCACTGCATCCGGATCATGGCCTCGAAGCTGGGGTCGAAATACGGGATGCGCAGGTCAAGCAGTTGTGGGAGCTCCGCGATCAGCTGCTCGTTCAACAAGTCGAACACCTCCTTCGCCTCATCGTGCTCGGCCTGGGCCTGTGCAGAGCGTCCTAGTTAAGTTGCGACCCTAGAACGAGGACAAACGGCAGGCGTACCCGTGGGAGCTTTGTGGGATCGTCGCTCGGCTTCGCGATGAGCTTGTTCAGCTTGCTGCGCGCGGAGTCGTAGTCGAGGAGCTAGGGCCGCGCGTGAGCAACATGTCGCGCCGCGAGGCAGGGCGCAGGGACACACCTTGTGGTTGCGCTTGTTTATCTGCTCGTTCACCACGGGGAATATCGCGTTCATCTTGCCCAGCGGTTCCATGACGGTCGTGCGGTAGGGCGCTTCCTGGTGGCAGGGACAGGCTCGAGTTCAGCGAGGCACAGCAGCGCAGCAGTAGAGGGGACTTACCAGCTCGCGCGCAACCCCAGTATCAAGGTCGTCGACGGCTCGTTTGTACGCGTGTGCCGCCATGGCGGACTCCGATGCTTTGTCCGCAGCGCTGTAGAAGACGTCGATGGTGTCGGCTAGGCGGCCTTGTGTTGCGGTCATGGCTGGGCGGACATCAGGGGGACTGTAAGCGGAGAGGTATTCCGAATGCCGCACCTTTCATGGCATCTGCGTAGCCCTTGGCTGCCTTCTGCAGCGTCTGGCACTCCTTCTCGAAGCTGTAGGGGTCATTCAAGACGGCTTCACGGTGAGAGGGCACGGCGCACGTACGTCTTGTATTTGACCTCCTCATCTGCGAACTCCCTGTCTACCGTGCGCTCGATCTGGCCGGTCTTCTGTAGTAGCTGTTACGGCGGCGGTTCAGGATGGCGCACTCAAGCGGTCAAGACCGAGATGGCATTACTGAAGTTCCTGCGCGGGAGATACCCTTCTTGAATCTGAGGTTGCCGCTTGTCAGATACTGAGAAACGCAATGGTACGGGTTACTCACCCTGTCCAACTCATGGTGACGTGCGCGAGTGAGAGTGAGGTAGGAGGCAGGCAGGAGAGATGGCGGTGCGGAGTTCTTGGACCTGAGATCACAGTTATGGGCGCTTGACCGACGCGCTAAGCCCGCATATCCGGATATGGTAAATGCGATCGTACTACCGAAGTTCCTAGAACGCCTCCACTTCCGCCCCAAGCCCCCCTACCCCACACCCTGACTGGCCACTAGTGAACTGGCATTCCGACTGGTTCAAGTAGAAGCTAAAGGTTAATCCTTTGAAAATAAAGCTTCGATGGCGTCGGAACATATGTACGCGACCGTATGTTGTCTCAAGTTGGAGGAGCGTACTCAGAACGGTTCAACGGAGACTTCTAGCTGGGCTCGGCCACGTAGTCAAAAAAAATGCAGTGGAGCGATTCTTCTACCACATTGCAGCAAACATCGTTGGTCTTACGGGCCCGGTTTCAAGTTTGAATGTTGACATTGTGCATCGAGTAACTCGCAGGTAAACCATTGGACATCAGCCGTTAACCGCCGCGCATTTCTTATCGTGAGCCAAATAACGTATGATCATCAATTTCTACGCAGGCGCGCGGTTCTCCTCAAGATATCTCATAGTATATAACCGATCGGAATTTGTAATCGTGCACCCCTCATATGGGTATCCTGTCCATCTCCTCCAACGTCCAGTATTTCTTCATGTTCTCGCCGCCGAGGTCCTTGACCTATTTACGCCGTACCAGTCAGCATGGTCCGACGTGCCTAGATGTGGATGTTCCCAGAACGGAGATATCTTACCTCCTCGTCCAGGTGGCTGAATAGGACCTCGCGCCAGCTGTCAAGAGATGCACGCATCTCCTCCGGGTTGTATGTCGACGGCTCGTCGAGCCACTTCCGCACCAACCGCGTCATGTCATCGATACCTACACGGAAGAATTGAAGCGGGTCAGAACCGACATCCACGGAGTGAGTAGAGGGCCGAGGGCTTACCGTGGTGGATCGCCTCGTGCGACTTCAGGTGCAGCTCGTCGTCCGCGAAGTGCTGCATGCGCTTTCCCAGTATCGGGAAAATGTAGCGCTCCTCGATCGTATGGTGCACAGTCAGGCCTGCCGCCGGACCGTCCGTTAGCAGCAGTTCAATTTCGCTTTCCCCTTTGACATCCCCGTGCCGAGCGCCGCTGCCTGAGCGGTGCGCGCACGAAGACGAAGACACAGATGGGGGAGGCCGCTGGCAGGGAAGGGAAGCTGGACGTGCCTTTTGCCAATTGCGCCGCCATCCTGAGGTATGCGGGCAGCGACATGCCCTGTTTCGCGAACGAGCCGTCCGCCAGCTGTGGCGCATGGCGTTAGAGTACTGTTCACGGGGGTTTCGTGGGCCCACGCGGGCTAGAGCTCACCCGATAGACGGCGTCATCTGGGCAGGTCGAGAGATATGATTAGCGAAATGTGCGCCTGAGGGACACCTCGTCGCGCTGAAACGCACATTCGTGTTTGAAGTGGTCGTGAAAATAGGTCATCGACTCCGCTAGCTGGAAACACCGAGCGTTAGCATCATGCAACTACTGTTCTCCTCGCGTGCGCCCATAACGGGTGCGACGAGATTGCGACACCGGTGATAGCGACGGCCGATCACTCACGCGGTTCCATCTCGCCTCCTCTCTTGAGCTGGACATTGTTGCTACAAATCGGCTGCGCCGGTGCTGAAGGGTAGAACTGGCGGCGGAAGATGGCGCGATGTGGGGAGGCAGGTATGTTGGGAAAGAAGCGCGGACCCCGCGGAGGCTATAAACTGGCGGAAAGGGCCGACGAAAAAGATAGCGCAGCGGCGCTGCGAGCTGGGAGCGAATTTTGATAGGACCTTGTGCCACCGTGCTTCACGCCCGTTTTCAAAACAGACCAGCAAATTTGCGGGCGGGTGCGCTGTGCGTGTGGCGGGCGTGCAGTCGCGACGGTACTTGGCACTTGCGGGATGCCGCGAAAGGTGGAAAAGCATTGCCACAAGCAGCCGGAACCTGACAAAGATAGGCGCGCGGCTGACGCGCGTGGATAAACCGATTCACGCAACCACTCGCGCGCCCCTAGTTGTGTGGATGTAGGTATGTGCCTGTCGGTCTACGACAAATATGTACAAATCCCGACACGAGTGTCGCATCTCGACTGTGCAGTCACCCCGGCAATCGGGAAATAAGTGTGCTGGAAATTCAACACGACTGCTGCCCGACTATCAGATAAGTATGCTGACAACAAGAGCTCGTTCCAAAGGAAACTACAGCACCCATCATGTTCGACGAAAGCGTAATGTCGTGTTGCACCCATGACGAGGTAGTAATTCCAGATTTCGGATAACAGGGCCGAACTAAAAATCCGACACCCGGCCCTTGAAGCTCCAGTCCCCGTCGCCCTCGCCCCACCGACCAACAGGCTCGCGCTTGGGGCCACCCTGCTCGCCGGTAGCGGGGTTGACCTCGCCCTCGAACTCCGGCACGATCGGGGCACGGGCGTCGGGGTGCAGTGCCATATCTGCTTCCTTCTGTGAGGGGTCGATCCTTTGCGGGGTAGATAGGGGCGCTTGCGCACTCCGTACCAGCTCCTCAAACTCGCGTTGCTGATCCCGCGGGAGCGGAGGCGGGCCGGGACGCACGAGGGGGTGTCCTGAGGACATCAACCTCCTGGACACCGTTGAGGCCGCCCTGGAAGCGGAGGCCCGGGTGGAGGCGTGAAAGGTCGTAGGAACGACGAGACGGAACATCTTGGTGGACCGAGCGGGGCGTTGATGTTACACGAGGATGAGCGTCACTGGTTGAAAGATAGGCTGATTAGCTCTCACCAAAAGATCTGGAAACGGGTGTGCTACGGCATAGTGAGCATAACAGTCTTCCTAGCGACAAGTAGCGGCGCGTATGACGTACAATATTGTTCTTGAGCTGTCTGTGCAAGAGGGTTTACCAACGACTGCAATGCAGGCCTGTAGGCTATATGTCGCCGCAAGCCAAGGTCGTGGTGTTGGATGACCAAGATGAAGTGAGTGGGCGCCGGGGCAACCCAAGGCCACGCGGGTTTAGGCGCGCGGTGAGCCGAGGCTAGTGTGCGCTCCGGATGCGGAAGGAATGTTTTGGGCAGGCGCCTGCGTCTCTTTTGAGTTCTCCCGGCTCACAGGGCCCTGTGGCCCGGACGACCGCGACACCGACCGCCATGCCGCCGGCACGGCAATTAGCACATTAAATATCACAAATATCAAGGCTCCTCGAGACTGCTGTCAGTGTCACTGCGTGGTGGATGGGGTGCATGCGCATTGATCATGCGCGTCGTTTGGTTACGAGAACGAGGAGACGCGCGGTGAACCTAGATGCAAGGTTGTGGATTGTGTAAGTGATCCTCGAGGGCTTTTCGGTTCGGCTGGCAGCACCCTCGTCGAGAGCTGCATCGTCCGGCGTACCTCGCCAGCAGGCCGCTGTCCACAAGATCGTGCATGGTGGCCACATTTATATGCCGCGCCTGGTGCGGGGTAAGCGTCTGCGAAACATCGGAGATACTGGGATGCAGCGCACGGCGCAGGACAACGGCGCATAGAGTCGGACCCTCGCGAATAAAGGCTGTTTTTATGCGGAGTTCCATCGCATTTCCGGCGTTGTGTGCGTGAGAAAGGAGGGGAAGGGGCTGAATTACGAAAGAGTCACAGGAGCGAGGGTTGGGAAACTGATCGCGCCTCCAGCGCCCTGGCTGTCCTCCGCGAATAAGAAGTCCGCACTATGCTACTCTCTCTGCTCCTCCATCCTCTCCTCGCCAGTCCGCCCTCCTGCTCGGTCTAGCCTGCTCTCGCCACGGCCTGCGCGCACCATGCACCCTGGCGGTCTCCACGGGTGGGCGCCCGGACAGCCCACCGCCGTCATCGACCTCGGAGAAGAGTTTGCGCCTGATCCGTCTAATGCTTCGTCGGCCGCCCTGCAGTTCTCGGCTGCCTACTACTCTATCGACTCGTCTGCTGAACGGAACGGCTCCAAGAAACGCAAGGTCGAGCGTGCCTGTGACTTCTGCCGCAGGAGAAAGGCCCGCTGCGATGGGCCCCGAATGCCGGACAACGTCTGCAGCAATTGCGTCACGAACGCGAGGACATGCACCTATTTGTACGTCCTCGCATTACTCTCCTCTACTTGCCTACTCAAGCCGAACATGCTGCCCCGTTCAGAGAGGGCTCGAAGCCACGAGGTCCTCCAAAGGCGTAAGTGCCGCCTCAATTCCCCCGCACCCACTCCAGAGCTCACCTCGCTCTGTAGCTATGTCGTGGGACTCGAGGACCGCGTCGAGAAAATGGAAGCGCTCCTCAAGAGGGTAAGCGTTTCATAGTCAATCAGTCTCCGCCATTACATTGCACCCTGGCTCTATTTCGTGGCGCATACAGTAGGGCACAGCTGACGGCCCCTTTAGCTACGTCCTGAGGCCGACTTTACAGCGGAGCTAGGCCCTGCCGTCGTCCGTGACTCCTGGAAGACCGATCCAGCACCTCCCCTATCCTCGTCTGACAAGGCAAGATCCGACTCGCCACAAGCTTTGGAAGGTTCGTCCCATGCCAGTATAACACAGTCCTCGGTATCTCTTACGGCTCCGCTCCCAAATCGCGCCGCGTGGCCGACTACTTCCGCCGTCACAGGACGAACCGACTCTACGTTCCGTCCCACAGTGGGCAGGAAAGCCTCTAAAGTCGTCAAGACGCGACAACCCTCAGGGCAGGAACACTCCTCCAACTCGGATCAGGACCCATCTTCCTCATCTCTGTCTGGCTCTTCTGATACCGACGAAGCTGGGGAGCTCAGCATTGTACGTGGCCTTAAACGGCTGACGCTTCGTGGGCTCGAGCCCACGGAGGCGACCCCAGATAGATACGGGAACGACAACCAGTGGCGGTTTCATGGGAAGAGCAGTTCATTTAAGCTAATCTCGGCCGCGCGAGATCTGAAACAGCAACGCATTGTCGAGAACGTTAGTACGTCTAGCGACGGTCGACAGTCGTATTCCCCGGCTAGCGTTCAGCTGCCCCCTGTACCTAGCACTATACGGCCAGAGTTCTGGACCGTGCCACCGGTGCGTCTCCTCTGCTTCTAACCGTGCACTGTGTCTCAGTCCCTCGTGTTAGTGGGAGAAAGCGTATGAACATGCGGACGACCCCACGGTTCTCCCAGACTTCCTACTGCCCGCATTTCCTCCCCCAGACCTGTCTGAGACGCTTATCCGCGACTATTTTCAGTACAACAACACTACGTTTCCGGTACGCGTTTGGGCGGCCATCGTCCCGCCGCAGCCTGCTGACCTACCCGCGGTCTTCTAGTTACTTCATCGGCCGACGTTCGAGCGTCAGTGGCGTGATAAACTGCACACACGCAACGTCTGGTTTGCGTGTGTCTGTATGGCCATCTTCGGCGTCGCCAGCCGGTGGAGCTCAGATCCAAGAGTGCTCCCGGACGAAGTCGCGGACAAGGCTCCCGCAGCTGGCGAAGACAACGGGATCTGGACACTCGCCGGATGGAAGTACATCGCGATCGGGACGAGTGCGTCACACGCGTTTCGCATCTCTACCCTCGCGAGTTCGCTGACATACAGCGGTGTCGCCGCCGCCCACCCCGTCAGAACTACACGAAGAGCGTCGGAGCGTGCTGCTACCGCCGGAGCTGTTCGAGATCCAGAGTTTTGCCGTACGTCCTTGCGCGCGCACCATCTTCCCATCGCGATGTGCCCTGACGTGTCCCTAACCTAATGCGTGTGCGCGTTCACACACACCCACTACCCTGCCCGCGTTCCTGGATGACGCCGCACATAGCTCATCGGGCAGTACTTCCGCGGGACCGTCGCCCAGCAGGGCTCGTGGTTCTACCTGAGCGTCGGCGTGCTCAAAGCGCAGGATGTCGGCGCGCACCGGCGCAAGATTTACGGGCGTGTTCCAACAGTCGAGGAGGAGCTCTGGAAGCGCGCATACTGGCACCTCGTCGCGTTCGACCGCATCGGCAGCATGCTGATAGGCCGGGAATGCTGCACCCGCGAGGAAGAGTAAGCGTGCGCATCACGAACCGGTGCGCGCTCTACTGACCATATCATGATTATCAATCAGCCTCGACCTGGAGCTCCCGCTCGAGGTGGACGACGAGTATTGGGAACACGAGAACCCGGAGTTAGCGTTTCGGCAACCCGAAGGGAGGCCGTCGATTGTGACCGGGTTCATCCATTGGATCAAGCTCAGTCATATCGTCGCGTTTACATTGAAAACCTTGGTAAATTGTTTTCATGTGCAAGCGTGTACGACATCGTTGCTCATCCAATTTTACAGTATAGCGCCAATAAGCCGGATGCTCAGCTAGGGGTCGCATCATCAAGCGAGCAGGTGGTAGAGCAGCTCAATGAAGCGCTGTCCAAATGGCTGGCGGAGCTCCCGCCTCATCGTGAGCTGCCTACAAACTTATTCTCTTTTCCGTTCTGACCATAGCGCAGTGCGATGGCGTCCAGACATGGAGGACCGCGCATTCGCCAGCCAAGCCGCAACGCTATACACCACCTACCAGCTCGTGCAGATTCTCATCTACCGTCCCTTCATCCGCATCCCTCGCATCCCGCGCGGCCCGCACCCAGCCCGGTCGCCGTTGTCGCGGCGGCAAGCATTCTCGCAGAAAGCGCTCGCGATATGCTTGAGCTCTGCCCGCGCGGGCGCTTACATTCTCGACGTGCAAATCCAGCGTGGCATGTCGAATCTCACCAACGTGGTTCATGTGTCGTTTGTATGCGCGGGCGTGCTCCTCACCCACCTCTGGGACCTCATCCGGCAATATGGCGTACAACGGCGCGTGTCCGGCGCGGACACGCGCCTGCAGATGTCGCAGGAGATCTCGTCCGTCTTGGGCGAGATTGGCGACTTGATTGCACGTCTGGAGGAGGTCAGCCCCAAGTATGAGCTTGCGCGCGAGATGATGTACGTTCAGAGCAGTCAATAGTCTGGGATGTTGCGTGCTGACGACCCGTTGTGCAGAGACGAACTGAAGGACGCGCTTCCGGACACCCCGACTGACGACGGTCCCCCGCATGCTGCCCACCCCTCTGACCCAGAAGCGTACCTCCCTGCGTACCAACCCATCCCCATTTCTCGTTCGCATCACGACACCTCCCCCGGATATGCGCCGCAGATCTCCCCGTTGACTCCACCCGAGCACTATGTGATGCAGGAGCCGCCGCCGCTCGCGCAGCCCGTGCCCCACGCGCCCATACCCCGCTTCACAGAGGCACACAACATGCCCATGCAGATGTCCTTCGACGGCGGGCTCCCGCAGCTGTGGGATATGGATGGCGCGCCGGCGTCGCCGCCGCCGCTCCCCAATTTCAACATGTACATGCAGCCTGCGCCCCCGCAGCAACAGTTTGCCCCGAACCCCGTGCACAAGCCGCCTGCCCAGATGGTATACTCCAGCCAGTCACATTCTCATCACCATTCCAATCCGAACCTATCACACCACTCGAACCCGAGCCCATCCTACGGCCACGTGCAGCACAGTGCGCAACATCCGCACGCGCAGCACCGAGGCAGCTACCACGAATCCCCACCGCCGCATATGTCACGTCAGTCCCACCCAGGTTATGCCGATCAGTACCAGCAAGTTCCACAGGGATATCGCCAGGAGGTCAATCGTCTTCCTGCGAACTACCACCCGTCGTATCTCAAGCAGGAAGAGGCGCCGCTCGACGACCACGAGTGTCTCCGCCTGCGGCTGCTGGAGGAGGCGCAGCACCAGCGACAAATGGCTGCTGCAGGGCGCAGCGTGCAGGGCCACCCCAGCCAGTATGGCGGACCGTCTAATCCCGGGAGGCACCCGTCGGAGCAGTGGGGGAACGGGGCCAATAGGTGCGTACACGTTCTTTCCCGTGCCTTATAGTATCGTGCTCATGCCGTGCCTCACGCAGATGGTCGTAGCTGTCAGTAGGACTAGTGTCGTCCCATGCGTGTCGCCCGTCTCGTCTCGTCTCGTCCATCTGTATCCATACTAGTTTCATGTCCGCGCGCCGTCTTTCCTCCGAGGACCCCTCTGGTGTCGCAGTCACGCCTATGCTTTCTTGTTGTCGATGTCGATTGTACGTGCCCTTGTAATGACCAGCGGACTCGCCTGTATACCTAGCCAGCATACCCTCCGAACGCAATGAACCCGTCTCGCCCGTGGAGCTAAGCCGCGATATGCCCAGGTAACTACAGACGGCTCGAGACAAGTATCCCAGTGCTACTCAGAACATATCAGGTATCACCATCCTCCGCGTTTTTCTCGAGGATAGCCTCAGGACGTCCCTCATATTCCGACTTCATACCGATATTGTGCACCTCTCCTTGGGTGCAGCTGCGGTTATCCCTGGGAGGCAACATTGTCGCTATATAAGTCAAAGACACGTCAGTACAAATATCAAAGGTAGGCGCGAAGACACCCACTTACCACCAACGCGACGGGAATTGCTCGAACATATCACTCTCGTACATCGCCCAATAGTCGTTCTTGATCCTCCACCTATCGTCCACGCGCAAAGGCCACAACGCCCCGGCGGTGCCCTCGAGTCGTACGGCCGCGACGTGCGCTCGAAAAGGCTGCAGCTCCTCCTCGCTAAGCTCGGGCGCGCAGACCACAAGCTCCTGCAGGGGGTATCCCGCTCGTACGCGTGCGGCAGTTACGCGGACGAGGGCGTCCAACTCGCCGATGGAGACAGCGACGGGAAACTCGATGGCTAGGGAAACGAGGTGGGGCGCTGGGATCGGTACCGCACATCCATCCATGCCCTCCGCCGCCCCCAATTGCAAGGCCTCCGCGACGGCCGCGAGCGCGGGCTCGCGCGCCCCTGCCTGCACCCACGGGAAGCGGATTACAAGCGTCGTGAGCGCAGGCAGACTGGCCACCATGGAGGCCAGCAATACAATATGGGCGCCGGAGAAGGCGAGCCGCGCGGTGGTGATGTTGCGGAGTGGGAGCGACTGCTGGAGGGCTTGGAGCCGGTGATTGGGCAACGGTTGTATACGTAGACGGGGGGCCATTGGTGGGTCCAGCATCATCCAGAGGCCGCATCGTTGCCCGTCGGCGATGATGTAGTGGCCACCCTTGTGGGTCCCGCTGCAGTCGACGTCGTGTTGCTTGTCCCGGTAATCCATGATGTCTAGAGATGTTACATGGAAGGTCGAAGTGAAACGGGATAGGCCCTCTAGGAGGCGGCGGTGGAACGCGACAGGATAGTAGAGTCCGTCGTGACCCATTAGTGTGAGGGGGACGGACAGACTAGGAAGGTGCAACTTGGTGCAAGAGGGTGCGTCGAGATAAGACAGCAACTTGAACGCGGAGTAAGGATCCAAAGTCAGCGATGTGGTGTGCAGGCGGCACAGTCGAACGGATTGAAGTAAATCTGGAGACAGTTGGTGGAAGTCAAACGTTCCCGTGCTCGCTATCCACAGAGTCTCTATCTGCGGCGCGTTGCGCAGAAATTCGATTAGGTGTTTCTCATCCAGATGAAGGTGGGGGAAGGAGAGCCGGACGTGCATAAGCTTTCCCAAATTATTCGCCGGGAAGAACGAGCGCGGAGCGTGCAGAGCTAGTGCGCGAACGTTGGCCATCCCGCCCGCGAATAGGACGGGCATTGAGGAATATGGGTGAAACCGGGTCCTATCAGATATGGCAATGACAAGGCATTCGAGGAGGGGAGCAGGGTGGGAAATGGCTTCAAGCAACTTCGAGGCCGAGAGATCATTGGTGCGGTTGTCTGTGTATACGAGGTAAAGCTGTTGCATGCGATGAGCGTAGTTTTGCAACAGCGCCGTGGCAGTGGCCATGCTTGAATTGTCACCTTCCAGGAGGGTGACAGACATCCGCAAGGGCATTGATCCGGAGCGTAGTAAGAACGGAGTGACGAGCTTAGAGTAGACGCAGTCGGGAGTGTCTGGAATCGCGGGGATGTGGCTCCATAGGCGTGCACAGCCAAAGGAGACCTGCCGCCAGTAGCGACACACGGAGACTAGCGAGGATAGCTCTTGCACCATTCCGGCGACTGGGCGGTGCAAGTCTTCAAAATCGAACGGGATACACAAAGCCACCTCCTCGAAGATTTGCATCAGCACCTCTGGTGGCATTTTGCTTATCGGGATCTCCGAAGTCCTGGTCATGCATAGGACAGGGTCAACGTCGCTGACCTGATAAATCGAGCCTTGTCAGGGTGTTAATATTCAGTATGAAGTGACGAAAGGCGTACAGTCCCGATCCTGACAATCATGATCAGCTCAGGTCGCTACAAGCGGAGAAATGCCTGTACTGACCGCATACGATCTATGTTCTCACCTAGTGATAAGGTACACACATCCAACGAAGGGGTTTCTCGGATATTCTCTGACATCTGCATAGGAAGTAGATTCGGAGAGAGACGAAGGAGATGGGCTTGCGATTTCATGGGAGGTGCACTGGCTGCTATTTGTCCCTGTTAGGATCAGAAGCTCTTGACAAACACAACCATATAGGCTCGTCGAGTCCCCATCCGTTTCGGGCATGAACGGGTTGAGGCACGATGGGGATTGGCTCGTTTAAAACGGGTCAACCGACGAAAAAATGACTACGCCGGTGGGATTTCTTCAAAGCGCGTGGAGCAGCGCCCGGACTAGGTAGTACTGGCTTGCGAGTCTATGGAACAACCACATACTTACTTATAGACGACTGTTTCCAGCTCTTTCCTCATCGAGGATTTGACCCGATTGGGTTTGCCTATGCATGTGGAAGAAAGTGTCTGGAATATCATCAATATTTCACACCGCAGATATCAAGCCAGATATGTTTGCGCTGGATTCGCTCCTAAACTGACTTTTCTGGGCGATGTTTAGCCAAATCGTCTTCACACAAGTGAGGCCGATCGATCACAGAATCGGCATTGGCGATCAATATGTGCCAGCGCCTCTTGACCCCCGCCTCCTCGTCCCCTTTCGGATCTCGCTGCCCCCCTCGCCCTCGCTAGCACGCTGTGTAAACCCTGTAACTAGACTGAATTCCACGGTAAATGCATGTGGTGCCCAGTGCACTGTACTGGCGATCGCGCCCCCTGCGCCCGCCCAGGCGATGTCGATTGACAGCAGGCAAACCGGTCTCCAAGAACGCCGCGACATGACATGAAGCTGTCTAGAAGGCAGGAAGCTCGTCAGCAAGGTATAAGGTCGCAGCGCGGCCACTCCGACTCACACAGTTCCCAATTGCCTCCCAGTCCGAGAACAGCCCCGCCCCCCGCTCCCCGCACACAATCATGTCTGAGTCCTCGCCGCACAAAGCGCCTGCCACGTCCATCCCGCATGTTCCTCCTCCCCATGCTGTAGAAAGCTGGGGAGCGCCTGGCCATGTGCCACAAGGTCCCCGCTTTATCAGGTCGCCAGTTTGACTGGTTGTTCCTATGGATACAGAATGTGAAGAGACATGGTATGATACAGGTGGTTCAAAGCACAATTCCCGCATCACTTCGCAGCAGCAAGCCTCGTCCGCACAGCGTCCTCCGCGTCCTCCCACACGCCCCGCCCACCCCGCACCGACTCCTCCCACTGGCGCGCGGCCGACGAGGGCGCAAGCTCAGCAACGATGCGCAGCGCCGGGCCCCCCGCGGCCTCCGCCGTGCGGTTCAGCGCCTTGACCGTCTCCGCCGCGAACGCCGCGTCCTTCTTCGCCCCAACGACCTGGATGAGCACGAGCTGCAGCGCCGGCAGGCACACGTCCTCGCTCCCGTGCGCCGGCGGCGGGAGCAGGCGCGTCAGGTGCGGGATGATCGCCGTCGGGGGCGTCGACCCCGACGGCCGGTACACAATGGCGAGGTGCGAGAGCGCCGGGAGCGCCTTCAAACGGTCCCAGCCTGCCTCTTGGTGTGGGGTGTTCGCGAACGCGAAGGGCGACTCGGGGCGGCTGCTGTCGAACGACGCGAGGTGGATACGGAGGTGCGTGACGGTGGGCCCAACGAGCCCCGCGTCCCACCCGTCGCGGCACGCTGCGCCGAGGAGGTGCTGCTCGCGCGGCCGCCGGAGGGCCTGCACGGCGTCCGTGCCCTGCGTCTGCAGGTACGACGGGAGCGAGAACCCGCACGCGAGGCTCTGCACGCCTGCGCACGCGGCGAGGACGCGGTCAATGCTCTGCACGGGCCCGAGGGTGAATATGCCGAGGTTGCGCACGCGCGTGCGCACGAACTCGGATGGCTTGTTTGCTATTGCGGCGATGAACGAACGCAGGGAGCGCGCGGTGGAGAGCACGACGGTGTCGTAGAGGATGGGGTCCGTCCACTGCTTGACGGCGGACGAGACGAGGGTGAGGCTGCGGGCGGTGGCGCGGTCGGAGTGGGCGGCGTGCTCGAGGATGTCGCGGACGAGCTCGACGGGAAGGTTTGAGAAGACGAAAGGAGCAGTCATGGTGCGCGATTAGGGCAGAGCTGCCAGGCCAGGTATGTTGAGTAGCTGGGTATATGCGCGATAGGCGTTAACTGCAGGGTATCTTGGGTGCAGACGAACGTGCTGCGACGATCTGCGCGACGACGAAGGAGTTGAGGTGAAAGAGAAACACGTACCGCAGCTGGGGCATATAAGTACTGGCCGGCGTGCTGGCTTTGCGTGGTGGCAACCGGCGGTGGAGTCGCCCGCGCGATTTGGGGTGCTCGGCAAGACAGAGGAAGCGTCCGCTCATCAGCACGGCCGATACGGAGTGAACCTTGTTCAAGTGCGCCCGCTGCACTCCATATCCGGTCGGAGGCGGCATTTACGGCGAGCGACGACTCCCTCGGACGACGTCAAGCACATCCTGGACGACGACGAGGGCTTCAGAGACGACATCGAGAGACAGAAAGCCGCCGTCGAGGTCGCGATCGCTGGTGAGCAGGACGTGGTCGATGACGTAGCCGCCTGATCGCTGAGCGCCACCACGAAAGATCTGCTCAAGATTCGACACGCTCCGCCCAAAAGGGAAGTTGTCCACGAACACATCGCGCGCGAAATCACTGCCCTCATTTTTCTGCCAGCGCATGTGGGACCGCGTTCCATTCTTACAAGCTTTGCCTTTGCGGCGGCGCTGCCGTTCTACTGGTACTGCTACACGAATAACGATACACACACGAGTCGCGAGTCGCGATATCCCTCCGCGCGCGCCCCCTGATCGTCCATCCATATCCCGCCCGCCTTCGACTTCTCTCTTCAGTACAATGGGTCATGTCTGGGGAGTGCCCGCAGAAGCAGAAGAGGAGGGCGATGTCGAAGCAGAGGATGCGGGCCCGGATGCTGCCGCAGAAGGCGGCGAAACAGCGTTCGGCGTCGTTGACTGGACGGCGGCGGGAGGCACAGACGAAGGAATTCCGCTCGCGCAGGACGCGGCGTTACTCGCGGAGGCGGTACTTCCCGCAGCGGCGGCGGAAGTCGCGGTGCCTGCCGGTGCCGCCGTCCCGCCACCTCCGTTTGCGTAAGACGCGGGTTGGCTCGGGGTAGCAGAGATCCCACTCGCGGCCGTCGAGCCGTCCACGTTCACGCCTCTTGACGTAAGAGCGTTGAGGATTAACGCAAGGCCGCTCATCTGCGCAGACTGCAGGAGCGACAGGTTGATCTCCAAGTTCAGCGTGCTCCCGTTTGTGGACTTGATCACCGCGGGAGGCTGCGGGCCTGCCGACGGCACAGACGCAGCAGCAATAGGGACGATCCCCAGGGCGCTCAATGCGTTCAGGGAGGTGACGGGAAGCTGGACGGGAACTGCCGTGTTGCTCGCGGAGGCCGGGTGTGCTTGCGCCTGCTGCACCTGTGCCGAGGCGGCGGATGTTTGTGTCATTGTCGTCGCGCTGGCCGGAGGCGAGTAGGCAGGGGTCGTGGGGGTGGAAGTGGCAGCACCGTATGAGGCGGCACTCCCGTAGTGCGTCGCGCCATATGCGTGCGGGTTGTAGGTGTACTGCGTGGTGGGATACTGCGAGTACGAGTAGGAGTATGGCCGGTACGGCGGCATGAAAGTGGCGGTGGTAGGCGTCTGGGATGGCGTGGACGTGGCAGAGGGATTGTAGTAGTTGGCCGTACGAACACTCATCGTCGGGCGCGAGGCGGCAGCAGCCGGTGTGGGCACCGGCGGAGGTGGGGCAGTAAGCCGTTTCTCTCGTTCGAGTTTGTCCAGTTCCTGGCGCGCCGAGCGTAGCTCCTGCTGCAGGGCCGTCGTGTCCGCACGCTCGACCTCCAATACGGCTTGTGCCAGAACGTAGCCTTGATCGGCAGGTGAAGCTCGCTGCGAAGCTGACATTTAGACTATGTCATCTCCGAGGAAACGCAGAATTACGTACCTTGCCCTCCTCAATCCTCGCTTTTCGGAAACGCTTCTCAAGAGCCCGCCGCCTCTTCCAGCAGTCCAATGCAAATTTGGTGTCTGGATGGGGAGAGGTGGGGGGTATAAGCTACCGGGGAGGTTATAAGGGAATAGAGCATCATACCTGCGATCTCTGCGCGAAGCAAATCTTCTTCGGTCGCCTTGCGCTTTCCCTTGCGTGAGGGGTGTATGCTCCCAGACTGCAGGACCGCGTCCAAATCTTCCCTAGGATGCTGAAAAACATGATACGGAAGCAGCCTGGTTACCACATCCACTTGGTCGGCGAACGGAGTGTCCGTGTCTGGCGCAAGGGCAGCACGCTGGTCTTCAGCCAATCTCGACGCAATCCTACACAAAACGTGTCAGCGAGCGAAAACACAACATAAGATCCCTTGTAAGCTCACCTTAAAGCGGTCTGCACCATCGCAGTCTCCTCCTCAATCGTCCTGCCTTGTTTTCGACTCCATGTAGTCACCCGGGCGCGCACCGCATCCAGGTCCGGGCTGATGCTCGCCTTCACGTCCTGCGGCCGCCTCCTCTCTTCATTCCTCTCTCCATTGCCGTTCCGATCGTCTGCACGCTGCGTATGCCCGTTCACCTGCCGGTCCAGGCTCTCCCCCCGTCCCTCCGTCTCCGCGATCGACTGGGCCCGGGCGATGGGCGTGGGTGGGGCGGTGGCGGAGGTGACCGCGCTCGGGGGCGTAGACTCGACATCGACGACACGCCTGAGCTTCGTAGAGATCGCTGGGGGCTGCTGGGGGCGCACGGAGAAGGAGGAGTACGAGCTTGGGCCTGCGAGACTGGACATCTCAGCGACTTTGTTTATTTTGTTACGTTGACGCCGTCACAGTCGCCTTCGCCGCGCGTGACTGCGTGATATAGGCGCGCGTGATGCATGCCACGTTATTGTGACTCCCGTCCGCTTTAGGGCCGGTTTCTCCGTGCAGGGTCCTGCAGGGTCGCAGCAGGACTTGGCCGGCGTTCCCAAACGTCCCGACGTACGGCGGTGAACGTGCAGAACATAGACATGGCACCGTAATACAGCGCAGTGGTGACCGGAGGCTTTTATTCACGTACAACAACAGTCCAAAAATACAGTTCACCTAACGCCATTGAGTCGCTAAGCAGCAGAAGGACCCTCGGACGCCGCCCGTCCCTGGGCATTGGCAGCACTTTGTTGCTGCTGCTGACGCATGGCGGCGACGGGAAGGTGCCGCCTGAGAAGCTCATTGGCCTGGGTGACTTCCTCCGCATTGCTGACCGCGACCCATTCGAGGTACTGCCTGGCCAGGGCAAGGTCTCCGCCGCCGTGCAGGATGTGGTAGCGCGCGACGTACACCGCCGACTTGGACCACTCCTGGATCGGCTTCTCTGTGTGAGATGCACGTCGTAAGCGACGCCCTGGAACACAGCGACACGCGAAAAGCACGCAAGGCGTGCGTGCGCGAGCAAGGAGGCCGGGAGGAAGACTCACGGGCAGACCGGCAGACTTCGACGATACGGCGATGATAAGCTGCGGCTTCCGCGTATTCGTCGAGGTCGTAGTGCAGCTTCGCGAGCTTCAGATGGATGGTCGTCTCCTGCGGGTCTGCACCGATGAGGGCGCGCCGCAGGCACTCGGCGGCCTCTCGTAGCCTGCAGTGACAGAGGGACCGAAGGGACGCCGTCAGCACAGCAGCGGACATAATGCGCGCGCAACGGCGGGACAAAGTAGGGATGGCACGTACCGCCCCATTTCTTCGTAGCACATTCCCTGTGCTTGCCAAATGCGAACGTCATAGGGTCTGATGCGCACTGTCAGAGGGCCTGCCAAACGACCGGCCGAACGCACTCACCGCAGCGCCGTGGCATGCTGGTAGTAGTATAGAGCGTACTGGTGCATGCCTAGAAGCTCGTACGCCTGAGCGAGACCGTACCATGCACGGTAGTCTTTCCTGTTGACGTCTACATTAGGAACGCCACGACGGCCATTAAGTCAGTGTTGGGCAGACAGCACGGGGGTTCAAAGAAGGCCCTACGTACCCACAGCCTTCCGATACGCTTCTATGGCGGCATGAGAATTCTTCATTTCCACGTACTCGTGACCCATTAAAGTCCAGGCCGCTAAGTAGGTCCGGTCGAGCTGAGTCGCCCGTCGGAAATATTTTACCGCCTTGTCGTGGTCCGCGCGCAGAGAATAGTAGTTGCCTGGGACAGCAACGGCAGCGGTTAGACTCGCAGGTACCCGGAAGCTAGAATGGCACACACCGATGATACAGCATATCTCCGGACGGTCCTTATCGATTGCGAGGTAGTCATGGGCCAGCTTGGACAAGGCGTTGGAGTTCTCCGAGACGTAGAGGATGTTCGATAGAATATCGATGTCCTCCACCCTGCAAGAGTCAATTGCAAGGATCTTCCGGAACTGTGCCTCCGCAGAGGTGAAGTCTATGGTGAAACAAAGAAGGGGCTGAGCGGTTAATATTACTCCACGGCGTTCCATCAGTCGGAGGCTCGTACCATGCAGGTAATAGAGGACGTTGCCTCGGAGCGCCATGATCCACATGCTCCGCGGGAAGTATTCGTCGCTTAGCAAACGGTCACACAAGCCGAGTTCATTGTCTGACGGGCTGTTCAGACTGTTCAGGGTCTTGACCTGGAACATCATCACAAGGGGATGATTTGAAGGGAGCGGGAGCAGCGGGAGAATCGAAGAGAGCTGTTAGAGCGTGTCAGCGTCGTGAGCCTAGATGAGAACAATTGATTCACTTCATCCCCATCCGATAAGCAGTCGCCCAAAGCTGCCCATGTGGACCAGTTCCATGGGTATTGCGCTATGGACAATACAGCACTCTCCATAGCTGACGTTCGCCGAGACATGCGGCAGAGAAAGAGAGATTTGCTGTTGAATTGTTAAGCACGTTCGGTATAGAGTTGTAATGAATCAACGGCATGCTCACAGAAACAAGAGCCATGGGTCCGTCGCATCCGTCACAAGTTCGAGAAGATCGTGCAAGGCGGTGTTCACGGGCTCAGCTGGCTGCTCACGGGTATCTTCCGAGAAAGCGAGATTAATTACGTGGGGGAGGGGGATTCCAGCACAGCTTACTTTCTAGCTTGTACCATTCCCGTAACGCGTTCTTCTCGCTCTCCTACATCGCAGAATTCGTTCAACGAACAGGATATTTGATTGAAGAGACAATTACCAAGAACTGACTGTAGACACGGAGAAAGGTCGCTTTCGCGCTTCGACAAGGCCTTAGCCAATGGATAACTCTTAGATACTCTTTGGAGTCCATGAAAGTTTTGGCCATGGCAATGTGATCGGCATCCTCCGCCTCCCATTCCGCTTCTCGTTGCCGGACGTCGGGGGTTTGACCCTGCAGCATTGAAGCGTAAGGTTGATGGGCAACCGATACGAAGGCGTTGGTAGGTTCTGTAGCAAGTGGAGCTGGTGTTTGCGCAGCGAATGAGATAGAGGGCCGAGGCGATCTCGAGCGGGCGGGTGTGGATGTATGAAAGGTTGTCTGAGCCACAGGGGCGGTTTCAGGACGCCGTACAGATGGTGGCAAGGAGCAGAGTAGCTCAGCAGCCCTGTTTTACGCGTCAAATCAAGCTTAAGTTGCATATGAAGCGTCCAACTTACCATTTGGATGCGTACGACAAGCCTCTCTCGGAGCAATCGCGCACCGCGTTCCGCAATGCAGCCACCACTTCTCCGTCGACCTTGAACGGTATTTCTGCCATCACGTTGAGCAAGGTTTATTATGCACACGCCGTAAGAGTAGATCCTGAGCTGTGAGAGAGGCACCGGAGCCACTGGGTATATGCAGTCGATGTGGAGAGGAGAAAGAACGTCGGGCGCGTCCGACGCGCCGCCACCGCCGGCTAGCGCGACGCGTTCCCAAAATGGCAGGTAGTGAGTTCCAGGTCACGGTACCTGTCACGGCGTGCAACACCGCGTTGGTGATGCCAGCTTGGCAACTTCTTCGCAACATGTCGCGGGGACGTGGCCGAGCCTCCCTGCTCATTCACCTCCCGTTTGCTCCCGTATAATTCACTCGGTCTCCCTGAGAGCTGTCTAACGCATCTGTGAAGGCGTAACCGGCCGCTCGCGTCTATTCCATGGTCAGGCAGCTCCACTGCCTCCGACTTTACGTGTCCCCCGTTAACTCATAATTATTCAGGGTTTTGTTGTTTACCTTTGCCTCGGCATTGGCTTGGTCGCGATCTTGTTCCTAGCACGGCTCTACACCCTTCTCACAGTGACAAGGGCTGCCAAGCGTGGCGGGCGCCGTCGCCCCGCAGACAGCACCTGCAGCCTCGCCGTCTTCCTCGGCTCAGGTATGCCTATCTACACGCTCGCCGTCGGCGTTACTGAAGGGACAATCCCCCCAGGAGGACATACGAGCGAGGCGCTATGCCTTCTATCGGCGCTGGATTTCTCCCGCTATTTCCCGCGCACTTACTTTATCAGCGAGGGGGATTCGCTCAGCATGCGAAAGGCCCTCGAACTGGAAGCACTTAAAGCCGCCGACGCGCAGGGGAGCCCCCGATCCGTTCGTATCTCTTTACCCGAACTTCCTTTCCCTGGGCTGTGCACCAACGCTTGACCGTATATCAGAATCCACGGACGGAGACGCCTTATACATTCGTGGTGATTCCGAGGGCTCGGCATGTGCACCAGTCGCTCCTCACCACCCCAGCCACCGCGGCGGTCTCCCTCGCTGCCGCCGTATGGCACCTCACGATAGCCCCTTCGGTCCATGGCACACCGATCTCCGAGGTACTCCTACTGAACGGGCCCGGGACCTGCTTCGTCCTATGTATCGCGGCGTATCTGAACCGTGTATGTGCTTCTGTTCGTAGCCGTCGGGATTAACCATTCATTCGCCTAGATTTGCGCACTGAGCTCCCCGACGCTGATCTACGTCGAATCCTTCGCTCGGGTTCGGCGACTCTCCCTGTCCGGAAAGCTGTTGAGACGGCTTGTAGATAGGTTAGTCAAGGTGCTTATTCTCCGTGGACATGATTGCTCATTCCAGTAGATTTATCGTGCAATGGCCAGACCTTGCGCGAGATGACAAAGGTGCCGAATATCGAGGTTGGCTGGTATAGCAGTTAAAGCGAGCATGCACGCCTCCGGGGCCCAGTCGTTCGGGCGACATGATGATCAACCATAGCAATAGTACAATATATACAGACACAGGGAAAACACGCGCAAGATACACGAAAGCGAAGCAGACATGGCTGAGCAGCAGCGTGAACCTCACTTCCGAGTCCACCTGTCCTCCCCGTCGTTGCGGCCGCCACGCTTGGCGGGACTTGCGCTCCTGGCCCGAGCCCCTTCTCTTTTGGTGGGTTCCCAACCACCGCCACCAGTAGTCTGTGTAGGGTTGAGGCGCCGTTCTAGACGCTGGCCGTGGCGAAGGGAGCGAGCGAGGTCCGGGGTCGGGAGCCGCAGATGCATGAAGTTGCAGAAACCTCCGCGATTACACTCCCCGTTCTCATTTTGGCGACAGCAAGCCTCCCGGAAGTCGGTTACAGGGGACAACTCCGCGTACAGAGGACGGCCTTGACGCGTCATAAGCGTGAATTCTACACGTCGACTGGTTCCAGACTCACCTGCATACCAGCGGTCATTCAGGTTGTCCACCGCTGCCTGTGCCTCCGTCTCCCACTCGTACCGCGCGTACACGTTACCGATGAGGTGGTCGCCAACGTTGTCGCAGACCTACCAAGTTGAACGTTTCAGCACATTCTCCACAGCGAACGAATCAGCAGCTACTCACGTGAAGCTCCAGGAGATGCCCAAACTTCGCCAGCTCGCAGTACAGATCTTCGTACACCGCGTCAAATCCCTCCTGCAGCTCCTTCTCGGTCTTCGTGCACACTGGGTCGTGCGCAGGGTTGTGGTAGACGTTGGGAAGGAGGATGGTCTGCGAGAACGCGGGCTTGATGTGCTTCCTAGAGCAGCGATCGCCGTGACGACATGCGCCAATCTGGAGGAGGAAAGGTTATGTGTTGGGCAGGTCGAGAGAAACACAAGGTACGCACTTTGTAGTAGAACGAGCAGTTCACCCGATCTTGCTCTGTACCGAAGATATTTGCCTAGCCCAGGTCAGCGTCCTCGTTCAAACAGCACCGGAAAATACGCAACATACCAAATGCGAAGCCATAGTGAGCGAGGGCGTACAGGCTGGAGATGAATGAGTGCGTCGCGGATGCGACTGCCCGGTAATATAGGTGGCTGAAGCTGACTAAGCACGTGGCGACTTCAAAGTTTGCCTTTTCGAGATCTTTCGGGAGCGGTCCGGAGCGGTCCGCCTGTCCGGGCGCTAATTCTAGGGACAGCGTCGACTGGACTGATCGGCCAACGCTTCACTCTCGCCATGATCAGCTCCCTTTCGTCCCATTCGTACCATCTCTAGCTTGTCGGACAAGGTGAAAAGATGTGCCCAAAAGTAGGCCGTACCCTTCCATCGCATTTGCGTCATTTCAATGACATTTCAACCGCTGTGTGCAAAGGTATGAGACCGTCGAACCCAGGCTCTCGGAGGTTCATGGCTACGGTGTCAATTTATGTTGCTTATCTTGAGATAGAACTTGTCCAGGTCAGCCTCGAAGTCAGCAAGTTTCCCTCCCGCTATCATATTGTTAGAGGACAGGCGATCTTTTCTAGCGCGCCCGATGAAAGCATTGTACTACAAACTGGGAAAGGCCGCTCGCCTGCTGCCCTGCGGCCGTATAGCCCCCGAGTGACGCAAGAAGAACTCCCTCACCATCGCCCCTCAGAAGCACTTCTGGTGTGCAGGCTCTATTTCTCCTGGGACCAATGTTTTGAGTATGTATGTCCTCCTTAGGGATATCTGTACTTACTTTTTAGACGAAGTGCCATCATGGTACTCGGTCTTCTCTTCTTGCCAAGGTCTTCAAATCATCTCAGGACAGGAACACTGGCTCCCTACACCCAGGTATTACTGCTGTTCGGGCCGAAGCTACAGTGCGTGTATCCAATTATCCTGTACCCTTTTCCCCCAGGCGCCGCAGCTCTTTTACTGATGCAAGGCAGGTTGTCCCCACAGCAGCAGCGAGCGGTCCGCGTCGGGTGCAATTCTGCGCGCTTCTGCACGTGGAGCGTGTCAGCAACAAGTCAAACGATTTCCCGACGTCCGTCGGAGTCCATAGCGGCCAAGCGTGTACGGCACGATACGCCTGGATGGTGCGTTGCTCTCACGGCGGGCATCCGACCGTATTTCAGGATGCGAAATTCGTGTCATAGCCGAGTAAGTCAGTTACCTAAGTCGAGTATATAGCACGGTTATCCCTCGAAAGAAAAGCTAACATATCGCAAGGATATCCCACTCCCATGACGAGTGAATCGGCGCTTGGCGCGCAAAGCAGTGTCCAAAGACCTTTAGCGCCCCACGGTTAAGTTATTTGACGGCGTACAGCATGCGATAGGAGTGTGTTATCCTTGTGATATGTTAGCTCTCCATGGGTGGGATAACCTTGCTATACACTCAAGAAAGGTAACTATCTTACTCGGCTATGACATTGATTTCACACCCTGAAATACGGTCGGATGCCTGCCGTGTCTGCAGCCGCGAAGGTATCCGCTGGAGCTTGGCGCAGCTCCCAATAATCTTGGCACCTGCTTGGCATGTGAACCGGACCATAGACGTCTTTTCCCCATCCCGCGCTGAAGTTACCTTGTTCGATAGACTCACGCGTCTCCCCTTCCCTTGGTTTCTCCGTCCATCCGGTGTCACTCCTGACATGGGCTTGTCAATGACGAGCCCCGGGGGCCTTGTCTACGCCATAGGTCGTCCTTCCCTTGGATCATTCGGTAGGGTGCGCTTTTTCTACGCAGTTTACCCAGGCTGCATCCTCTTCGCACGCAGTCAATCCATTCGCGCGTGCTCCTCTCTGGGTAAAAGGTGCGATCGCCGTGAAAGCTCTCACATTATCTGATAAGATAAGATTGCAGCACACAGGACGTGGCTTGCGCTGCGAAAAATGTGGCTGCGACACGCGCAGTTCATGTAAAATTCATGATTCAGGTCCATGATCTCATCTGGCTAGTTTATGGGCAACATCCACTCCACCGGGTTTGCAGTATGATCCTACGGCTTTTCACCGGCGTCCGGGTTTTGTGACTGAATAACTCACTCATGCGCATGTTATTCGGCAACCTCCGTCACATTCCGCGGCCAGCCTGAGTACACATGATGGTTTATTGGGCTTAGCATGGGGCCGCCTAGTGCTGTGCCTTCCTGCGTTGAGCAGATGGAATCATGGGTAGCATCAGATGTCTGTTTCTGCCCTTGATTGCCGCTTCGCTGTCTTTCCGTCGTGAACATCGGATTTTCACATACCGCGCTCGCTGTCTTTGGATGCTCACCAGTCATTTTGAGCCCAGAACAGCGCGATTGGGCCATCGGCGGGCCAAGGGCATCCCGCTAGAGACGACGGCGCACCCGCGCTGATACCGTACGAACGTTCTTTGCGGACCGCATGGGTTTCTATTTTCCCCACCACCCTCGGAGGTTCGTACGTTGCGGTCCCGCTGCGATTCACGTCCCCGTCGCCCGCCAGGACTAATGGAGCAAGGCGGACGACAAAAATACCAACTCGACGAAGGCGCATTCGGTAACTAGAGGCCGCTCCGCACGCTTAGGGTATAGTTTGTGGGCGCGGCCGTGCCCTATAAACAACAATATTGAGGGGCCTGCTGATCGAGGGCGAGATTGCGATTTGATGGAATCTCGAGTTCACGGATCTCGCGCGACCAAAATAGGTCCGCGGCTGCACGCTACAGTGCCGCATGGTAAACAACACACAGGTTAGAGGGCTAGTCCGCGCAATACAGCTATAAATATGTACAGGGTATCGAACTCTATCCAGCGGCGACCGTCCGAAGAACTTCATGTCAGAGCCCAGCCCCTTGCGACCACTCAGAAGGCTGCCGGAGCGGCTCCCACGACATGAACGAGTCGTCCCAGGGCGGGCTGGGGTAGGACTTGAAGTCCCATGCACGTGGAGACTGGAGCGGGCCAGGGGCGAGCGCCACCGCAGCGCCGTTCTGGGAATGTCTTTCGCCCGTGTAGGGTGCTCGTCCGAAGGCCCCGGGAACGGGTAGTGGCGGAGTTCGGGGCTGGGAAGCGATAGGCTCTGGGGGTGAGACGATGTTGCCCAATGCAGTCCTGCAGGGCGCGACAGAGAGGTTATCAGCCGCCGAGAATCGCTCCCAAAACCCTAGGCGACTTACGTCGTGAACCTGTCAAGGTCCGAGATCCTCCTATGAACTTTGCAGTCAGACTGCGCGCTATGTTTGGTATATCGCGACAGTATCTCGACCGCGCGCCGCAATCGCAGTGATAGCTCGAGGACGGTGCTGTAGCTTGTGTGGTCGTTGAGGCAACCGCAGTGATCATCATGGCCATGGCCGCTCGGACACGGTTCGGGAGCGCTGAGGAGAGACTCCAGCATGTCGTTCAAGTAGCCATCGGCGACGCCACCTTGGGCAGATGCAGGGGAGGATGACAGAAGAGAAGACAGGTCGTACTCCGCGGCGAGCATGGAGCTGAGCGCATCCCCGCCATGGCAGGAGTAAGGGTCGGTAGGCGAATGGGCCGCTGGGGAAGGCGTGTTGAGTGGGGACGGCGGTCCAAACGCAGAAGGACCGGCGGAAGGGCCAGATGGTGCCTCGAGCGTCGCGGAGGGAGAGATGGGGGTTCGCTCTCGTGTTGTTGGGGACCTCGGCGGTATAGCGAAGTAGCCCGGGGAATGCCCTCCTGCTGAAGGTGGAGTCGCCGCTCCGGATTCGTCCGCTAATAGACTGGCTGGAGAAGGGCAGTTGGCCGGCGCACTTCCAGGCTGGGCCCATCGAGGATGCGGCTTGTTCTTCAGCTGCGAGGATCGATGAATCAGCTACTGCGCGAGTACCGTAAGCAACGTGGACGCACCTCACGGATAATGCTCTCCAGCTCGGCAACTCGCTTTTGCAGTCGGGCCGCCTCGTCCTGCGCGTTTGCACTATCATACGGTTGTCAGCGACGGTCGCACCGAGCAATACAATCCGCTTACCGATGCGAAGAAGGATTATCAACTTCGTAGACGCAAAGGCCCGTCTGCGGTACACGCGTTAGAAGTCGCGTGACGTGAAAGTCACGAGTTCCTCACCAGCCCCAGCTGTGTGCATCGACCGCAAGGACGTTGACGGTCGCACTGGCGAACGAGACGGGGTCAGCACATGCTGTCGGGCTCGACGAGGAAGGCGTGCTGCCCACCATGCGCTTGGAAGTATGGCAGTTTAAGCATGATTGGGTGGGACGGTTGCGCCGCTTCCCTGCTTCGGGGTCAATATGTATGAGAGTGTGGGGGTGGGCGACGCTCACGTCGATGGTCGTCCTCGGACGTGCGCTTCGGAGAGGCAGCAGAAGCTCTCTTCTTTGCAGTAGCGGAATCGGTAGACATGATTCTGGGGGCACAAACCAATCGGGCGAATCGCACTGGGATGACTTTATGTACGCGCCTCAATCAGAGGGCTTGGCACTAGACCCGGCGGAGGGGCTACGCATAATGCTCTGAAAGGCAGGTGGTGACTGGGAAGCATGCCTAGGGCCGCTGGAAATGCTCGAGAAGGAGAACCGAAGGACATTGCGATAGGCGCACGCCGAGGGTAGGCGGAGGGTGCTGCGTCGGACACCGGGGTGGGAATACTGGGAATTATTCCGGACGGCGCAGCGTGAGAGGTGGAGAACACCGGAAACGGTCGTCCATCAGCGTCTCGTGGGTCCCACCGACGACCGTGACAATCGCATCGAGGAAGGCCGGCTCCTTTCTGCAGGGGCGATTGACTCTCAGAGGAGAAGTCGGCGCGCGCCAAGACCGGCGGGGACGCCTGCGCACCCACGTCAACAGAATGAGTGCATGCAGGGACCCACGACACCGTACGACACCTTCGCTGTCCGCCCGGCGACAAACGCCTCTGCCCCGTTCCGAGTGCCTCCCGTCGTGCTGGCGAGGCTGCCAATGCTGGATCGGCGACTTGCTGTCTGAATACTAGCACACGTAACGCATCGCATCCTCGCCCCCTGCCGCCCGCGCCGCCGCCGATACCCTTCCACGGACCGGCCTTGTGATGTTCGCGAGCGACCCCAACGGACTCTCGAAGCCATGACAGCTGCGGCAAGGTGTGCGACCCTGCGGGGGATGCGGTTAATACAGAACGTCGCGCGCGACACAGTCATGCACAACCAGGATCCCTAACTTGTACCGGCGCGTACCTCCGTGGGAAGCAGGGGGCTTTTCCGGCCTTGGACGTGTCCATGAATCCCGGGCCATGTCCCATCAGATCTCGGACGGCTTGGCACTGGGCAGCGCCGAATAGGCAACGGCCTGTGCGCCAGCAACAGGCATTCTGCAGTCGAGGCTCCCGCACGAGCTTCGGCAGGTACACCGTCTACCACTATTGTTGATGAGCACCCCAATCTGTCCGAAGATCGACGGCGGCGGGTGCGCGTGCTCCCTGATGAGCACTACAGGTACACAGTTGCGCCTTACTCGGCCCTCTTCTCTGGCAGCCAACGAGATAAGGCCCCCAGTGCCTGGGTGGCAACACTCGGGATGTGTGCAGACGAGATCCGTCATACTCCTTGCGTTTGCGTGCGTGCCATCTTGGCACTGTCCGTGTGCCCAGACCATTCACCGCCGATGCGCACCGGAGGTAATTCTCAAGCACGTAACGGCGGGTGTGGCAGTCCTGCCTATGATCGACGGTTATCTAGTTGGCGTGGTAAGATGCATAGAGGGCGATGCGTGAGATGCATCAGCGACGGCCCGCCATTCATCCTGTCTCGGTACGCCCACATATGTCACATCGCGCCCGCGGTGAATGAGAGCCCCGCCGCGCCATTGGGGACCCGCGCGGCGGATTGTCCTGCTTCCAAGCCGTAAACGTACGTTAGAGCGGCCGCAGTGGAGTCCAACATTGACAGTTGCGACTTACTAGTACGACAAGCGGAGCGCGTTGCACCGAAAACGCCAGCTCCCGCACCAGCAGCGTGAACCGAGTCGAATTAGTACGTCAGACGGCGCGCTGATGGCTTGCGCTTCTCCATCGCAGTGAAGGTGCCTGCTCCATGTTTCTTGACTTCTTCAGCATGGTGGGCCCGACGAACGTGTGGGCAAGCGAAGGTTGATGCATGAGATGCGGCTTGGCACCGGCATTCGGACAGGAGGCATCCAGACGCAGTAGAGGAAGCACCCACAGTGCAGCGCTGGACGCTCATGACGTTTAACTCGATGTCCCGGCGGCGGGGCTGCGTTCCGGCACTAGCGAATGTCGAGCATAGATTTCGAAAGGGCGTACGGCGATAGGCGGGTCGATAGGCGGCGCTGCCCAGCACTTTACCGGCGCAGTACAGAGGGAGTGACTTCGGAGAGAGAACCTTAGAGCCATGCCAGTAAGACAAGCGTGCACACCACCCTTGCGCTCAACAACACCTGGGTGGTCAGCGATCCTCATGGCGCATGGTGCCTAGAGTGCGATTGCCGGGGTTCGCGGAAACAAAGCACGCAGCGGCGTCAGTTGGAGTCCGTCTGGGCAGGAGGAACGCAAGACGGAAGCAAAATACCAAGCTTGATCGCGATGACGGGGGACCCCCGCAGACGAACAGTATTCGCCGACCTGGCCTTGGCGGGAATGGAAGGCGACGGCCTCGGTCGCATGGTCCCCGCCGCGGGCTATGCACGATCCAAACCGAAATCCACGAATCTGACCTCTCGACGTGGCCTCCGGAAAGTATCCGTGAGCCTGTGCGCCTCAGGCGAGATAGCGGATGGCATTCACTTCGGGGGTACAAAGGCAGCTGCAGCTAACCTCAGGCTTCAGCCTTCTCGAACCAGTGCAAGGGAGAACGGGCAAAGGTGCGTACCGGGTGTGGTAACCATAGATCCTGGAGAACCCAGGCGAAAGGCCATGTCGGGCCAGCTCCGGTAGGCACGTGCCGGGCTCACCTCCCGCTCGCTCCGACTCGGATACGAGGATAAGCCCATAGAGGTCGATCGAGCGGGCGCGCGGGGCCCTGAACCGCACCAGACTCGCATACCAGCGCGCGACCCCGGCGGGTACAATTCATAACGCCACAACGGCGCCGGGGACAATACGCGCGCGCTCTGGACATGACTGCACGAGTTCCAATAGGCGCAGTGGGAGCGAGGCTGTGAGGGGTGAGAACGCGACCCCAGGCAATGTAGCGACAAGGTGCGGTATCGAGAAGGGCTTGGCGGATGGTTAAGGTAACTCTGCGTGCGAGTTACGGAGTCGCTCGGATGCGCGGGCCTCGGGCGGCGTTTGGAGTGCAGAGGAAGGCGCGAACCGTGCCCGGAGTCTGAATCTTCACCTCGAGTGCTCGGGGACCGGGGAAGGGGTCCTTGCAGAATGCCTGCGCCGGCAGCGAGGGCGTTCGTAGGTTAGCACGGCCTCGAGAAGACCCAGCGATAGAGCGGGAGTAGAGGGAGGGCATCGGTCCCTAAGGATTTGCGAAGCAGGCTGGGTGGCGGATGGGAAGGGTGTCGGGGACTTGAATAGTAGCATGAGGTTCCGGAGCTTCGAAGTGTTACCCTGCCACGCTTGTGCACGCTAACGTCCCGACTCCGCCTGGTAGAGCGTCGGTCAGAAAGCAGCGGTACTTCTCGCTGGAGGCGAATGCTGTGGTCCAAGGGGAGTCAATGGGGCGGCGTGAGCATAATGGCATCAAGTGTTCCTTGCTCCGATAAGTCTCCTGCGTCAAACGTAAGGGCAAGCGCTCCCGAGGCACTCAGACCCACGTACCTTGCCCAAAGCGCAGCGAGTGCACAGCACAAAATTAACGCGAACCCAATGTTCCAGGGGCCGTCACTTTGTCTTCATTGAACCTACTCCCATGTCGTACCGCAGGAGGGAGGCGGGACGGAAGGCGCCCCGGTGCGGGCTTGGCAGCATCTTGGGCGCTTTCCATCAGACAAGAACGCGAAGACCTGCGAAGACTCGCCCGACGCAGGTGGGAATTCGTCCGTCATTCAGTGCTGACTCATGCAACGGCAGTTCCGGAGGCGGCGGGGTCATCGAAGTTTATCCCGCCATCTTCGTAGGGATCGGCGCTGAGAACGCCCTCGGGGTGTGCGGTGGCGCGAGCCAGGCGGGGTCACCTGTGGCATGCGATCGTTGCGGAACCTTTGCGACGGGCACGTTCATGCCTCGGGGCAGTCACTCATTGGCATCGTGACAGAAACAGACAGACGCACTGTACGGATCCAAGGGGTTTTGTGATGTTCTGAAGGCTTTGGTGGCGCTTACCACACGCCGGCGGGCCCAATCTTAGCGCGATGCTTGAAGGTCTTCCGGGTGCGGCATTAGGCATACGTGCGGCCTAGACACGCTGGGGTGACATCGGTCCATGTTATGAAACGCTCCGTTGTGGCGTTAGAACCTACGAGACGGTGAGCTTGATTGACTAAGCGGTTTCTCCGGAGAACTCAGCGAACCTTACTGGTCTCAGCGCTCATAATACCTAACCCCGTTCGTGCATGCGCGTAAGATCGGAAGTGCCTCATGGAACACATTTCGTCATAGCAAGCTGCGAGAGCCGCATTAACGACCTGTCGAGCTTGCCAATCTCGCCCAGGCCATCGAGGACATGAATAGCTCACATCACAAAACTTCTCCCGGTAGCTGTTATTGACGGAGAGTTCAGCTAAGCCTATGCAATTATCCAATATGAGTCCAGTGAAATGACTGATCAATTAAACCCTAGCAAGATACGAAGTTACACATGGGCATTACACGAGACAAAACGTAAGGATTGCCTGTCCGAAAGTGTTCAGCAAATGTGCATTGTGTTAAGGCATGCAGAGGAATTACCGTTACAGTATCGTCATGTTCAAACATTCCCATTCGCTTGGTACTGAGCAGCAGCAGCCGACGCACTGGCGATAGCAGCGAGCATCGTCACCCACCACGCGCGGTAGAGCGTCTGCCAGCCTTCCTCGTCGACGATACGCTTGAAGCAATCGACGAATCCGAGGTAGGGGTCCTTCTCATGGCGGAGGCTAGATACCAGTCAGTAAATTGATATTGGCTTCTGTGTACTTGAGGCGCACCCAATAACGTCTTCCTCCTGGTTCGAGTATTCCGCGTACTCGGGGGCGTCGATGGCGTCATCCTCGACTTCCTGCTCTACGGAGTTGTACTCCGCGCTTGCGTGGTTGCGCTGGATGGCCAGTTTCGTCGCCATCACCTCCAGGGGGCAGGTGATAATAACACTGAGCATCTCTACGCCGAGGTAGATGCCGAACTTGAAGGGGGAGAAGTTGTTGGACAGGAGAAGAAGCCGGAAGCTTCGCAGGACGATAACGTTGTACAGAATGTGCATCATCTCGGTTGCGAGCAAGCCAGGGGTGAGGTACAAAGTCCAAGGTCGGCGCCCCTCAGTCGGGGTGAGAAGGATACGCAGGGCGTAGATGGGCTTGAAGGAAGGGAGCTTGTAGGGCGTCACGATCGCACTGGAAACTAATTAGAGGTAATACCAATATGGCGGGCCGGAGACTTACCGGTAAGTCACTATAGCTGCAGGAAGTCCAACCAACATGCCAAAGGTCATGGCCGCAATGGTTCCAAGGAAACTGGTGTCGATAGTGTCGACTCTGCTATGAGAAGCGAGCCCCCGGGAGTCCATTGCGGCGACGGCGAAGCCGGTCATTACAATAGTGGCGAGAGCAGTAGGCACTGTACGATCGTTCAGCCCATGGACGGCAACAATCAGTGGAGAGGCTAATACTCACTGACACCCTTGTACAACCCAGCGTACCCCTGAACGACATATGGGTATCCAGCATTGCGTAATGTTGGCTATCTGCTTACCTCGATACGATACACTCGCCTCAACATTCCGAAGAAGCCCGTGACAATCGGCCCAGTGTGAACATGCGCATTTCCCTCCGGGTCCAACTGGAGAGCCTTGGGGTTGTAGTTGGCTGCGGGGGTGTTAGTCTCGGCGGAGCGCTGCTTATAAGTATGGGCCACCAACCTCGCAGTCGAACGATAGCTCCTGTTAGGGGAACAGTGATCAGGAGCGACACCGCCAGAGACAGCGTAAGCGTGAGGGCGAGGAAGAGGAGTTCTCCAACGCCGAGCATAGTGAAGAGATGGTGGTGGGGAGCAAGTACGTGTCTGCCGGCGCCGCGCAGCACAGACGAGGTCACCCCGCCCGCGCTCGGGCGCGCAGCCGGGCCGTTTATGGAAACCCACAGCCACCCGGCACCGCCAAACCAAAGCAGCCCAAACGCGCGGCCAAACTTTCTCAGGCCTCCTTGCTCTCAACCACCACCATCCCCTCCCATCGATAACGACTTTTCTGTCTTTCCTCCCTTAGACCTCCTCAGTGTTAGCTCGGAGCTTTTCTGAGATGACAATTGGCTGGATCTCTACTCTCCAATGTGCATGTCGCGACGTTCATGTCGTTGCGATGCCTTCCATGGTCGTTACTCGCTGTGACGTGGCAGAGGCAAAATGCGATCTGCAAGACGCAGCAAGTTTCACAACTTTTTGGCCAGAAATGTGGCATGTCGCATAGCTCCAGTTGACGGATCTCGCGGGCGATTACTCGGTTCCGGCGTGCTCGATCCCGAGAGGGTCGGCGACACACGCTCATAATCGCACGGAGGAGTTGCATAGGAAAAGGTGCGTTTTTGACGCTTGTGTTAGTCCTCTTCCAGATGCGCTAAATCGAAACACGTAACAGGATCTCTAGAGGTTCATCTGGATTGCGAAGGTCCTCCGTGCCCGCACGAGGTCGGAGCAAATACCTGGATGAGCGCAAGCTTCGCGTGACATCCTCGCGACGTTGTTATAATCACCTGGTGCAATCTCGTTGCTTTTGTTATGGGCCGCTCACATTTGGCTGCATCAGATCCTCTCTAATCCAACTGGAGCTGTGCCGTCGCATCGATGCGACGGAGGGGCGACATAATGCACGCACGTGGAGCTGCAGTCTCTGTTCAAAAGCATCTCACTGCTGCATGCTCTCTGTTACGTCGATCAGCTCCCATCCTGACACCTTGCCGCCTGGCTCCCCGTTGTTGGTTTCAAACATGACTACGCAACAACACGCTCTTTGCCGTCCTGCAACTCGTGGTCAGCCCCAAGCGTCATCCACCTCCGGACTTTGCCATTGCTCTTCATCCCACCTCATCTTCGCCCTCATCTCCTCGTAATTACATGGGCACTCCATGGCAACACACTTCGATATCTTGGGCAAGGAGGCGACACTCCGTTTCCATCTGGCGGCATGCGTCGTCGCTTGGTGCTCTAGGCTCTGAGTTTCAATCTGCGTCTACTATATCCTCGTCCAAGTCATGGTTGCGGCCAGTCAGCTCACTTATATCGTCGTCTATCATCTACATCATACGTACCCACTACCTCATAGATGGATGCAGCACTCGGTTGTGTAATCCGCATACGGTTTCATACCCGAATATAGTTTTCTTGTCGCATCTCTCATTCGTCTGTGTTGTGTGACCGACATTCGCGTGCTACCTAGCTATCGCTGTACTTATCCTGACGAGTTGTCCTGTGCCTGCGGGTCATGCAAAATGTCTGCAGTCTCTCGATGAAGTATGTGAGTTCCGTTGTGCACTCGGTTTCCCATCCGGAGGTCCTGCATGCGTGGGGCATGGCGCAAGCCACTGTGCTGTACGGCGACGGCGACGTACGAGCGTTTGGCCACTGCAGTTTGACTCTCCGATTCTAGCCACATCAGTAGCGTCCCTCCACCTTGTTGTCTGTCTCCCACACCCGCACGTCCATCTCGACCTCTGCCTTAACACATATCTTCTTCTCGTCCGTCTTAGACATAATCAAACATGTCTCTCGGACCAGATGCCGCAGCAATGAGAGTTAGTACTTCTGAGTCGTCGACGTGTATGCGTGGGTCGTCGCTGACCGGCTTGCCCGACCCCCTTGCAGAAGGCTGCTCTAGAACAGCTCAAGTTCAAGAAGACTCAGAAACTACAGAACGCGTCTTCTAGTCACTCAGTATCTCCAGCGCCGCCGTCGTGGACCAACGGAGGCGACGCGGTGGTCGCGCCGCCTCTCCAGTCGCGGGACGCGACAGCCACATCGCGCTACTTTCCCGTACAGCCATCGTCCTCTGGCACTATCCTCGTTCCTAGCTCAAGCCCTCTGCGCTCCGATTCCGTTATCGACGCCAGCAACGCCGCAAGCGCATGGAACCTCTTCGATGACGACGTGCCCGGGCTGACACGCACGGAGGCGCAAGCCCGCCCTTCCGCGCCCTTAGCCGATCCGCTCACGGCGCCGAGTGGCTTTCGACTGCCCCCAGGCGTGTCTAACGCGTCCTCCGCGCGTCCATCGGCGGCGAATAGTAGGAAGATATCGGAGACGGAGGATGCGGATGAAGGGGACAGACCTCGTAAGCGTTTGAATATAGGCCCCACTGCCTCACAAGACCCCATCGACCTCCTCTCCTCGAGCCCGCCGGAGTCGCACAGGACTGGTCAACGCCTCCCCGGAGCTGACACGTCACTGTCCTCCTTATCGTCCGACGACTCTTTCCCGGACGCGCACGCCTTTACCAATGGTGCGTCGAAGCCTCGGATCGTCCGCGACCTGCCCCGGTCTGCGGAACAGAAGCCCCCACCTTCGTCTTCGCCACCACAACCGTCTGCCGATGAAGGTCGCTTTACCCGTTTCCGCCTCACTCAGATCGAGCACGACACCGACGTTGTGCGTGCAGCGTGGACGGAGGCTGCTGGGGACGTTCCTAAGGCATCCGCCTTGCTCAACGACCCTACTTGGAAACCGAAGGCCAAGACTCCGCCGCCGAGGGACCCGGTGCCGGCAACCGAAACTGGCCGGGTCAAGGAGGTCGTGGAGGCCACGAAGGCGCAACGGCTCGCGGCGAAGGAGAAGGGCAAGAAGTCGCTGATCTACAAGAACCGTGTCGTCTCGGACGGGAAGCCTACCAGCGCTGCTGGACCATCGACCCCGCCGCCTTCGTCCAAAGTGACCCCCATGGTCGTTGACACGCCTATGAGTCCGGAGGTGCTCAAGCCTCGGGCGAAACGGCTGCGGAAGAAGGTCGTCGACTCGGACTCGGAGCCCGAGTACGTCGAAAGCGACAATGAGACTCTGCCTCAGGCGTCTCGTGGTGGTATTTCGGATGAGCAGCGCACGCTGGACTACTTCAACGAGACCTCGGCGGAAGGCTTGCAGGAGCTGACTGGTGCGTCTAATGTGTATGACCTGTGTTCGCACGCTAATCGAGCTCGGCACAGGGTGCACTCCGGTGCAGGCACAGAAGATCACAGAGCTTCGACCCTTCCAGTCCGTCGAAGACCTTAACGCGAAGCTGGGGCAGGGCAGGAAGAAGGCTGGCCCGGCCGGGATCAGCCCACGCATGTTCGAGGACTGCGCAGCGATCTTCGAAGGGTACGGCAAAGTCGACAGCATCCTCGAAGACTGCGAGGGCATCGGTGCCGAGCTTCGCAAGGAGATCGCGAGCTGGACGGCTAACAAGTCCAAGGGAAAGGCGCGCGACATCCCCGACCCCTCGCGTGACTCGTCTGTTTCCGCAGAGGAGGGCGCTATTAGCTTCACGCATCTGGAGTTGCCGGAGCATAAGCCGAAGTACTTCATGACCGTACAGTCGGCGCTGCTCAAGCCCAGCGTCAAGCTGAAGGAGTACCAAATGATCGGAGTCAACTGGCTGAGCCTCCTGTATCAGAAGGGGTTGAGTTGTATCCTCGCCGACGAGATGGGTGAGTTCGTATATGCGCAATCTTTCGTACAGACGTTGACAAGGATGATTCCCAGGGCTGGGGAAGACTGTACAAGTGATCAGCTTCTTTGCGCACCTCAAAGAGAGGGGTCGCGAGGGCCCTCATCTCATTGTTGTTCCGTGAGTGACTTGGTTGCTACCGCCGATGTCGCGTTGTTGATGTGCCCTCAGCTCCTCTACCTTGGAGAACTGGTGTCGAGAATTCCAGAAGTTCGCAGGTGACAGCATGAACGTCGAGACGTATTACGCCGACAAGGGCGACCGACCGAAGCTCCGTGATATGCTGAACAACAACGTGGCTACGAGGAAGCCAGGCGGGTGGAACGTCCTCATCACGACCTACAACCTCGCCCAGGGCGACGATCATGACCGCAAGTTCTTCCGCAGGATCGAGTGGGATGTGAGTGTCACTCTGTATCTGATCTAAACCGGTATTGAACTTGAGCGCGGTTAGACGTGCGTGTTCGACGAAGGCCATGTCTTGAAGAACTTCCAGTCGCAGCGCTACCAGGCGCTCCTGAAGTACAAGTCGCGGTGGCGGCTGCTGCTGACTGGCACGCCGCTGCAAAACAACCTTCAGGAGTTGGTGGTGCGTGTTGTTGCTACATTGATGCGCAGTTGGTTGTCTGAGTGACGTGCTGTAGTCGTTGATGAACTTCATCCTGCCCGACCAATTCGCGGATGACCTCGACTCGCTGCGGGCGGTGTTCAAGACCAAAGGCGACTCCAAAGTCACGCTACTTGCCCAGCAGCGCGTTTCGCGGGCGAAGAAAATGATGACGCCTTTCGTCCTCCGGCGGCGCAAAGATCAGGTATGATCTTTTGTCTCATGTATGGTTTCGTGTGTGCTCAGTCCGACTCAGGTGCTCCAAGACCTGCCAAAGAAGACGGAGCGCATCGAGTGGTGCGACATGACGCCGCTCCAGAAGTCGATCTACAACGACGCGCTCCAGCGCTCCCGCAAGACGATCTTCGACCTCGAGAAGGATGGCGCAGAGACCCCGGACGCGCCGGCGGCTAACGGCCGTGCGAAGGCGGCGCCGAAAAAGAAGACACGCGCGACGACGCGGACGAAGGACAAGATGTACCTCGAGAACAGTGCGAACGTGCTTATGGACCTACGCAAGGCGGCGTCGCATCCGATGCTGTTCCGGAGGCGATTCACAGACGACACATTGAACTCTATCACGAAGCTTTTGTTGAAGGAGCCGGACTTCAAGAGGCGGGGAGCGGTGTTCGAATTTGTGAAGGAGGATATGGAGGTCATGACGGATGCCGAGCTGCAGGTGTTCTGTGCCACGTACAAGGTGAGCTCCATCCGTTCGCAAACGCCGGCTGTGTTGCTGATAGCAGTGATAGTCATTGCGGAGGTTCGTGCAGGACGAGGACTGCTATTTGCAGGCAGGAAAGATCAAGGTCCTGCTCAAGCTGCTCGACCAGTACAAGGAGGAGGGCAGGCGGATATTAATCTTCTCTCAGGTGTGTGCCTTCTTGAGTGGAGGTGTTGAGCAAAAATTGATGTCGCTTGCGTAGTTCACCCAAATCCTCGACATCATCCAGAGAGTGCTTGACCACCGGAAAACCAAGTACCTCGTCTTGACCGGCTCCACGCCCGTCGACGTCCGCCAGACGTTGGTCGATGAATTCACGGAGGACGAGAGCATCCCCGTCTTCCTCCTCTCTACGAAGGCTGGAGGCATGGGCATCAACTTGACGGCCGCTAGCGTCGTGATCATGTACGTGCCGGCCGTTTGATCCAACGCGGAGGCTTTGGCTAACACTGATGCCCCGCAATGCTAGGTTCGACCAAGATTTCAACCCGCACAACGACAAGCAAGCGCAGGACCGTGCCTACCGTATCGGTCAGAAGCGTGATGTTGACGTAGTGAAGCTGATCACGAAGGGCTCGATCGAGGAGGACATGCTGGCGTTGGGCATGACGAAGCTGGCTCTGGACGAGGCGGTCGCAGGCGAAGATGCGGAGGAGCGCGTCGAGCGAGACATGAAGGTGTCGCTCATGAACGCGGTGCGGCGGAAGCTGGTCACCGCCGAGGATGCGGACACGAAGACTGAGGCCGAGGACGTAGAAATGAAGGTGGAGACACCCGCCAAGGACGATTAGACAGCACACATCTCGAGATTTGGAGTCCGTAGTACACTATACCCGCGCGCGCAGCCGCACTGGTAATTTCTCGCATAGCTATCGTCTGTATCTATCGCATGTACTGTAGCGTCGTCTTGGATCCTTGCTATCGATTCCGCGCTGCGTTTTGTAGCTAGCATGATCAGACGCAAGGCATGCCCCTCCGTGAGCGCTTAGGTTACGGACCCTACGAAACACGAGATGGGCGTCCTGTGCAAAACCTTCTTAACACTTCCATCAAGTTGTCTCCCTGCTGATAACGCTCGCTTTTCTCTCTACGTGGGGTACGAACATCATTTTCTGTGCCATAGATGTAAATCGGTGCACATATCTCGTGCGACGCTATGGGCTCATACTTACTCGACATGCATGCAGTGTCTCGGAGTTGTCGGAGTACGACCCTCGCTCTCCGGATCCGCTGGATCCGTTGCTTGCTTCCGCACCGCGCGGACGTAGCCTACTACAGCAACAAATCGACTAGCCGGCTCGACACGTCTATGCGGCGCACGACGTCTCTCTCGTCACACGACCCATAGAGGCACAGACCGTGAGTCAACCACGACAATCGCATCAACCTGCGAGCAAGATGGACTCGGATTCGCAGCCTCCTGCCCCTTGCGCAGTCAGAACCTTTTCCCGTATGCGAGCCACCATAAATGACGTTGCTGATCAAGCTAACAAAGTGCAATTAAGCTTCAAACTGCTTCACCTCTCTACTCTGCATCGGCCGTTCGGCTATAGCTGTTAGATCGACGTACTCCCATCAGGGGCCGCACCAGCACATATAAGACCAGAAGCTGACACACGACGGGGTCCCAGCACCCCACGCTCCTCCGAGTCCCATCGACCTCACCCTGCATAGGGTGGTTGCATCTCACCAGGTCCGAATCGTTCCCGTCCAGTTCTCACCATGTCCTCCAAAGAATCTGAAGCTATATCTGTCAGTGACGCAGATGTCGAGAAGAGCGGTACCCAGGCGCCTGCACTCCCCGTCCCCGACGGCGATGATGGTGAGGCTTCGGACGGCTTCGAAGTCAAGCTTGAGCCGGCGGACGACCCCAAGTGTCTGAGCCTGTGGCACAAGTGGCTTGCGGTCCTCGTGATCTGCACGTCCACGCTTTGCGTGACCTTCGACAGTTCGGTGGTACGTACACTCTCGTCCTTCGGTAGATACACTGCGCTGACTAGTTTGTGCTTGTGTTTGTAGGCGGCGTTCACGGAACAGGGCCTGGCACACGATCTGCACACCTCGCATGAGGTGACGATCCTCAGCTTGAGCCTGTACGTGCTCGGCCTGGGTATCGGGCCCCTGTTTGTCGGCCCGCTCTCAGAGCTCTACGGGCGGAACGCCGTTTATCGGGTGTCGTATGGACTCTTCTTTGCGTTCACATGGCCCACTGCCTTCCCGCCGCACATTGGTACGACGCCTAGCATATCTTCATGTGTATATCGCTGACGGCTCTTCGTTACAGCCGTATTCCTCGTTTTCCGCTTCATCACTGGACTTTGTGGCTCCGCGTTCTTGAGCGTAGCGGGCGGAAGCGTCAGTGACTTGTTCGACAACCACCACGTCGCAACGTAGGTGTCACATTTTGCTTCACGAGTGCGCTACCCTGATACAATCTAATGCAGACCCATGGCGGTTTACACGGTGTCACCTTTCGTCGGCCCCGTCCTGGGTCCCGTCATGGCAGGGTTTGTGGTCCAGGTCAGTACATGCATCCAACTCGAGAATGGGCGTACTGACAGTCGTGACAGAACGCTGATTGGAGGTGGTGTTACCGTGTGCTTCTCATCTGGCAATTCGTGCAGATTGTCATGCTCTACTTGGTACGCTTGCTCTATTTCTTCTTCTCTTGCCGTTGCCAATACTCGTACCTTAGTGTGTTCCTGAAACATACGTCCCGGTCATCCTCAAGCGCAAGGCACGCAAGTACGACAAACGACTCTATACGATGGGTGCAACTTGCTGACGGTCCTTAGGCTCCGTAAGACCACGGGTGACAGTCGATACTATGCGCCGCTAGAGCATCAAGAACATAGTCTCGCCCGCATGATCCTCTTCAGCTGCTCAACGCCTTTCAGTACGTGTCATGTCTATTTACTCATGGCAATCCTCTAACCGAGCCCTGCAGAACTTCTCATGTTCGACCGCTTGGCCCTCGCATTGGATGTCTGGTCTGCGCTGTTGCTTGGGATTTTATACCTCGCTTTTCAGGCGTTCCCGATCATCTTCGAAGAGGTGCACGATTTCGACATCCAGTCTACCGGACTTGCCTTTATCGGCATCGGCGTCGGTATTAGCGGTGCCCTTTGCACCCAACCGTACTGGAACAGGTATGTCTATATCTCCACCCCGCGTTGTCCCGAAAGCGATCTGACTCCAAACGCAGCCGCTTCCGTGCAGAGGCGAAGAAGCACGGCGGACATCCGCCTCCGGAAGTCCGCCTCCTCATTGCCCAGTTCGGCGGCGTCCTTGCCCCCATCGGTGAGCACCGCGATCTCCCCTTCTCCCGCACCTTACTCGGAGCACTCACCGTTCGTGCCCCATAGGTCTCTTCATTATGGCGTTCACGACGTACAAACGCGTACACTGGATGGGCCCCATCGTCGGCTCGGGCATCTTCGGCGCGGGCATGTACTATATCTACGCGGGCGTGTTCACGTACCTCGTGACCGCGTACCGGCCGATCGCGGCGTCCGCGATGGCGGCGAACAGCGCGCTGCGCTCGTCGTTCGCGGCCGTGTTCCCGCTGTTCGCTGGGGCGATGTATCATCGGCTGGGTACGGTCGGCGCGACGGCCTTGCTCGCGGGCTTGACGACGCTCATGACGCCTTTACCGTGAGTTTGCGTTTGTGTGGCGCCGAGACTATGCAAGGAGCTGACCTGGCTACACAGATTCATCTTCTACAACATCGGAGGGAGGCTCCGCGCGAGCTCTCGTTTCGCTGTGCCGTGAAGATGCAGTGCGATGTATGTAGTCTCACCGGATAGTCTTGTGGTTTTTATGTGCCTCTCGGAGGCGACTGTGGCAGCTGTGATCAATCCTCCATGTTGATTTTCGCTTCGGAGTGGTACGAATATTCGCTTGAGGTTTAGAAATATAGTACTACACCATCATTAGGGCAGCTGGGAGCCGCTCAGGTATGTTATCCCCGGACAGGTGTCGGTGCGTGTCACGATTCCCATGGGAGCATTTGTAACACAAGCCCTGAGCAAGAAAAACTTGCGTCGAGAGATGTATCGAACCTACAGTGGGCGGGCCATGAGAGGTACTTCACCTCATGTGGTTTCATACGTGAGCCACCCGAGAGGTCCTCCGCCAACAGCTCCTCGCAAGACTCAGAGAACGAGGTGTAGGTGTTGTAAAGTGGGTGATTCCCTGATCTTCGCGCTAGTGTAGTCTCACTTCTAGCTAACCGGAGCTTTACCATCGACCGTCAGCTAGAATGCGGTTCACCAAGAGTAGGTGGTATTTGTATGACAGTACACTGGGACTCATCTCAGTTGTTGGTGCCACGACAATATGGGGTTTGAGCACAGATATAAATTCAATATGGAGGGTAGACAACCCGTGCTGGTCTACGTAGGCCCCTTCTGAGACGGTAGGCAGTCCATTCGGCCGATGTGCTAGAACGAGTGAGCTAGAGGTGATACACACGCACAATGGAAACACATACATGTGGCCGTCAATCCGTGCGTAATAGTGGTCCGTGTCCTCCAGTGCGATCATTTCACCGGTGCCATGGTCGCGGAGGATACGATAGGCATTCCAGTCATTGGGGCCTTGCGGCGGGAGTGTGAGGGAGCAGATAAACCGTATGGTCGTGCTGAGGGGGCGCGCGAGCGCGGAGAGCGTCTCTCCGACTGTTCCTGCGTCGTCCGCATCTTCCAAATCGAGATGAACTCGAAGAAGTCGAAGATGCGTCAGAGGCGCGAGGGCATGCCCGAGGTCAGCCTTCCGTGCATACTATCAGTAGGAAATAAATGGATGGAAGTCTCAGTCGTACTCACCCAAGACGTAGTATGTTGAGGGTGCTCCGAACTCTTGCGGTAACGGAGAAATTGAAGGAAGGTGAGTGTCGAAAATGCGGTCGCAATGTAGCGCAAAGGCTGAATGTCTTCGTCGGACTCCTCAAACTCGATGTCGAGGTGCCGAAGACGAACGAGGGACGAGCCACAGCGACGTAGGACGCCCAGTATCTCGGCAGACGATGAGGGGAGCGACGAACACCATCCAGAGTCGTACATGTGTCTTCTGATGAAATCGCCCTCTTTTCCCGTAGCAGTGGCTACATAGTGGCGAGGGAAGCATCGGAGGGTGAGCTCTTGCAGGCTACTCGGTAAGTGGGCATATAGTCCATCGTCGGGGTGCGGGGAGGATACGGTCAAAACCTCCAAGTTTGGCCATGGAAAAGCGCCCGCCCAACCCGAAGGACACACTCGGTGAGGACCCTCTCCAGAGCGCCGCGCTAGTTCGAGCTTGAGGACGCGAAGGTTTGGCATACGTCCCAAGATCTCGACCATCGGCTTGGATGATTGCTGCGATCCGCCACGTAGAATGAGCTGGCGAAGACAAGGCCAGTCATTGTTCATGAACGCTCTCAGAGGCGCAGTGTCGCTTGGCATCTCTGCTATTTGAAGTGTATGGTGGATTTGGTTGAACAGGCAATGAAGAAGATCCGCCTCTGCTTGTGTCCGCGAATACCTCTCGAAGCTCTGGAGGGTTCGGCGGAATGAGGTCAAAGAGCAAACAGGACTCGTAAATTGAAGATCCTTTGGGAAACTTGGATCGAGTTTCACCGGGTAGCACATTGACGGGCCAAATTGAACGGACTCGAGCTGAGGAGTCGAGAGGATAGCGTTCAGGATATAGAATGGGAGACCTTGGTTAAACGGCGTGTTGACGACGAGATTACGCAGGCGCCCCATTCCGCGCAGGGCATTAAGTAGAAATTGATGGTCAGGAATATCAAGCACGGGGAGAACGGTTACCAAGCAGTCATCTTCATCGTATTCGTGGTACACGAATTTGTACTTGTGAGTGAACTCAACGGTTCTGATCTATAATCAGTTGATGTAAGTAGACTGCACTTGTGCTCATACACACCGAACATGCGGCCTGATACTCTCGGGAATGAAAGTTTCCTGGGTGAAATGGCTGGGCAGAAGGCGGATTTGCTCGAAGAGAAGGGGAATGGACAATCCACGAAGCTGACGACAGGTAGCAGAAATCTTGCTCAAACATTGTTGTGCGCGAGAAATCTCCAGTATGAGGAGGAGAGAATCAGGATCGAGCGAAAGGATACTCTCAGATGCCTCCATAGTGGTGGTAAGAAGGAGAGTTGAGATAGCGGAGTTGTCGAACTGGAGGACATGCCTAATTTGGTTGTGGCATCAGATCTGAGATCGATCGTCCCTCAATTTCGCAAACTCTGGCCGTCGATCAATACATAGCGCTCCCTTCAGGCAGCACTCTCGCACACATCTGTACTCTTCAACCATGGCAGACACATCTGAGCACTCCGCAGATATGGACGTCGATGCTCTCGTCGCCCAGGGCTCCGAACTCGTCGACGCCATCCTCCGGCGGACACCGCTCGCCGACGTACAGTCCCTGATCGAAGCGGGTGCCCCGGTCTGGTATCAAGACGACGAGGGCACATCTCCCTTGCATGCTGCGGCGTACATCGAGGATGACGCGCTCGTCCGCATTTTGATTGATGAAGGCGCGGTGTGGAATGCGGGTGCGTACACCCATCGCCGGAGGACTGCACAGAGAAGCTGACTGTTGCCCCGCGCGTTGTCACAGTGGACAACCTGCACAACACCGCCGGGGACGTCGCGTTGTCGCTGAACAACGAGAAGTGCTACACCATCATTAGAGATGCTGGGATCCGCTCCGGTGCGTTACTGCGCGATAGCTGTCTCTCTGAAAACTAAGCCATGATGTCAGAAATGCTGCTCACGCTGCTGTCGAAGCGCGCGTCGGCAGCGAGCTCTCCGATGAGCCTTATTCTGAAGGCGACAGACACCACGCCTGCAGGCTCTACGGACGCGTTCCTCTCCACCCGACTGGAGTACACCACGGACCAGCACGGCCAAGAGATTTGCCTTGTTAAGGTTGCGGACGAGGAGGAAGTGGGCGTGATGATGGGATGGGAACGCGGTATAAGTGAGTCCGATGCGCACTAGCCTTCGCAGCGTCAACTAAGTGGGCTAGTGCCAAGTGCGGGAAACTGTGCGCAAATTGTGCTCGGATCATGAGAACTTGGACGAAGGATTGAAAGTGCTCAACGTTGGCTTCGGACTTGGGATCGTGAGTTTCTTACCCCTCGACGATCGACGAAACGGGCTTCTCTCTGATATCAAAAATATCACCACCTAGATCGACACCCTCTTCCAGAGCCTGCCCACGAAGCCGTCACTGCATGTCATCATCGAACCCCACCCAGACGTACTAGCACACATGCGCGCGCAGGGCTGGTACGAAAAACCAGGCGTCAAGATCCTGGAGGGCAAGTGGCAAGACTTCGTGGAGGGCGACGAGCTTCTGAGCGTTGGCGGCTTCGACGTCGTATACACAGACACGTTCTCTGAGGACTACTCAGGTGCGCTTCCTGCCCCCTATCTCCTTGGAGGTCGCTCACGCGACCGATATAGCACTTCACCGCTTCTTTGAACACGTTCCCGACCTGCTCGCGGGACCAGAGTCCCGCTTTGGGTTCTTCAACGGACTTGGCGCTACGAGTGCGTTGCACCTCTCCGGTTGAGTGTGATCATCGCTGACGAACGTCACCCGCAGACGCCCTCTTCTACGATGTGTACAGGCATGTATCAGACCTGCACCTGGCGGACGTAGGCATCGACGTCGAGTGGAGTGATGTAGATGTGTTCGAGGGGGACACAGATAGATGGGGGAAGACGCGCGAGTACTTCGCCATGCGCACCTACAGGCTTCCGACAGGGCGGATGAGGGCCTTCTGAGCTCGCCGGGATCCCCGCGGTCGAGCTCTCTGCGAGCTTCGGCGCGCAGTCATGAAAACGCGCAGCAGAGTACTGCTTGTTGCACTTGTACTCACCCTAATGCACCCTCCATATGCTGCGGCTGTACATTATAGATAGCAGCTACTGCGACCAAAATAACAATCAAGGGCATTGGAGCAAGGGACAGTTGTGCGCAAGTACCATCGCCATGGAGGCGATCGCGCGACCCGCGATTCCCGAGGCAGCGGGCAGCTGCAGCGCCACAGCCCGCGCGTCCCATATCGCCCGCCCGCCCCCGGCGCTCGCCCCCTCGTCCTCCCACCACCACCCGCTTTCCCCCACTTCGTCGACCGGCTCGACTTTCTGTACTGCTCGCTTTCTTCTTCTAGCTCTTCTGTATACTAGCAGCCCGCTTGCTCGACGCACGTCCCTTGCCACTGCCAGTTCCCGGAGAACGCACCAGCACTTCAGTTTCCACGCACACGTCTTTCTTTGAGCAACACACGACAAGATGGCAGCGCCATACGCACCGCAGCAGCAGTGGACCCCGATCCAGAACATTGCCCTGGTGCGTTCGAATCATGTTCGGCCTGGTTGGTGTTGCGGAAGGGCGAGGGTCTGACAATGGTGGATTGCAGCGCCTGCCGATCAACCAACGCCCGACGGAGACCGTTCCGTATGATCTCCAGAGATACGTGAGTAGTCCATCACAACTGCACGCTTCCCCCAGTCAGCTCAACGGAACGATGCTCTCGCACAGTACTCGCGGGACGTCTGGGTTGCGCGGCAGCGCGCCGTACTCACCAAGGGCGCCCGCTACCTGAAGCCCCGCTTCGAAATAATCTTCACTCTCTTCATGCTCCTGTACGTCCCGCTCCTCACCACGCCTTTATGTCGATGCTTACCCAAGGGCCCGACACAGCGCCTCCTTTGCGGTCCCGATCGTCGTGTACTATCTCGTGCTGAACTCGCTGCCGCGCACAACGGAGACCTTCAACGACCACGGCCGCAACTTCTCCGTCGACGAGCAGCAGTACTGGCAGGCGCGCGCGGCGAGCATCGGCGCGCTCCTCGGTATCGTCTTCCTCGGCTGGGCCCCCTTCTTCCTCTGGAAGGCCCATGTGCGTGCCCTACTCTCAATCAGATCGCAGGTTGATGCTCACTGTCATCCGTGCATGTGTATAGGGTAAGCGTCAAGTCAACACGATGCTTCGCAAGTTCAGCGCGGAGGACGCGGCGATGGCGGGTCAGAGCGCTGCACAGGTGCCGGAATGGACGATGAAGATGCCTGGCATCGGAAGCAAGGCCATCGTACGTTTCCGCTGTCCTCGATGTGATGCCGAACATGGCTGAACGCATACCTACAGCATCTGTTCATTTCGTACCCGCGCCCGATCATGGCTACCGCATACGCGCCGGGTCAGCTTCCTCCGGTGAGTAGACAGCCTGTGATTGATCGGGTTGTCCAGTCACTGACCAGCAAACAGTACTTCGTGAACCCGCCGATGGACCAGCAGTACATCCCGTACATGGCACCCGGGCATGCGCAGGGCCAGCCCCACCACGCGCCCGTGGACAACATGCAGGGCGTGCCGCTGTACAACGACAGCGACGAGAAGATCCCGGATTACTCCGGCCCGACGTCCGACGCGTACCTCCCGCACGAGAAGGAGCGTTTCGAGGACGTGAAGGTCTGAGGCCGACACGGACGCGGCGCTCGTGTTTCCGTGACATGATGTCAAAAAGGTGGCGGCAGACACGCAGGGTTTGGTTGGACATTTGACGCGTACGTGTACTGCGGCGCTCCCCCTGTGCGGTCGGGCTGCCATCTTGTTTCCTGCTCTTGTGCTTGCTGGTCTGTGTGCTTTCGACAAGTGGACTTCACCTTCTATTGTTGCTTCGATGTATCGATTATCTTGAATGCAACCGCGTGGGCGTAGCGGGACATAGCAAGCGGCGGGCGTGCGATACGGGGTATGATGATCATTGAAAGACGGTAAGGCCGCGGACGAGCCGGTCCGTGCTCATGCGGAAGTAGTCGTTGTCGATCCCGCGCTCGCGCGAGTCGGCCTCGACGAGTGGGTTGCGCACGACGTACTCGAGGAACGGGCCGGCGTAGATCTGGCGGAGCACGAAGCGGAGCGAGTCCGCGCCGGGGTCGCTGAGCATGACGAACTTGAAGCCCGAGTGCGTCTCGTAGAGGTGGAGCTTGTACGACGACGTCTGGTAGTTGACGAAGTTCTCGTCCCTGCGGGTGGAACACGGCACACACGAGAGCAAAGATGGAGCGCTCGCGGGGAAGGGCGAAGAGGAAATGGGGTACGCACTTGCCGGACAGCTTCCTGATCATGTTCCGCAATGAGAGCACCACTCCGTACACGAGCTTCGACTCCTCGTCGAATGAGAGCGCGGACGTCGGCGCGGGTGGTTGTGGCGCGATGGGGCTGTAGAGCTGCTGGGTCGGCAGAGACGACTGCGGGCCCTCTTCGTCGCCGTGGTTCACAGCCACGACGATACCAGAGTTGGAAGAGAGGGTGTTGCGGTTGCTGACGGCGGCGCCCGGGCCCGAGGGGTAGACGGGGGCGTATACGGCGGGGAGCATGCCGCCCTCGACTGCGGTCTTCGGACGGACGGTGCGGTGCCAGTCCTGGTAGTACACGCAGGTGCAGTGTCTGTCCGGGTGCGGCTGCGTCAAGCGCATGCGCCGCTGCGGGATCAGCAACGTGCGGGCGTACCTGTCGAAGATATAGAGGCTATAGATGGTCATGATCGAGGAGAGGGCGGTGAGGGCAGGACGGAGGAGCAGTTGTGCAAGACGCGCGTCTACTCGTCCGTCGCGGGGAGCGCAGATCACCCGATGCGACCGGAAGCGGTGCACAGCCACCATGTGGCCACATATCCGAGTCCGTGCGACCTCCTCCCACTCGACCGCACCCAGAACCGCACCCGACGGCACCGAGCTCTTCATAGTTCGAACCCTGAGCTGTCGCACAATGTATAGGTGGGGGTGCAGTCCCTCTGATGAACTTCCGCGTGCTAACGGGTAGGAGACGCGAGCCCGCAACTCGGACCCTCTCTTCAAAATCGGCTTCGAATCCCGCGGCCGCCGACGCAATAAACGCACCGCCCGACCATTAGTGGCCCGCATCTTCGAGACGGCACGGCCGCTATTTTGAGACTCATACTGCATGGCCAACCCGCGCGTTGCATTGGGCGGCAAGTGTCAAGCAGATGCCATCGATGAATTTGCGTAGTGGTCGGCTAGCAGTCCGATTCGCGCAGCATCGAGGGTGCGGATATGTCGCCTGGCAGGGAGGCTGTGCCCACCATACCAATGGCTGCTACCGCGGCATCGAGACCTCGGTCTTGATCCCCTATATAACACAATGTGGCCGAGGCAACAGCGATCTGTACGTTTTCGCCCTCACCTACCACCTCAGCGTCATGATTCTCGCCTACCGCTACGTCAGGGACAAGAGACGAGCCGCGAAGGCGGCCCGCGAAGCAGAAGCTCAGGGAACTCCTGGAGCCGAGCTTCAGCCACTTGGGGCTGCTTCTTCTCATAGTCGACAGGATGCCGACTCGCAGACAGTAGCGGACTCACCCGCGGCGGCCTCGACATCCCATGGCATCTCCTCATCAACCAAGTGGAAGTTGCTGCTGATGGTAGCGCTGTTCATCCCCGTCTTGTTCGAGACACTCGACTACACAGGTCAGCATATTTTTATGATAGAAGAATAGCGTATTTACTGACGTCTTGGCACTAGTCGTGGCCACCGCGCAGGTCCATATTGCTGTACGTCAGTATTTGCTCCCAAAGACGACTCGTGCTGACTCTCTTTTGCAGTCGGTCTTCAACCGCTTGGACCTCCAGAGCTATATCGGCACAGTCTACCTCCTCACTTCGACCGTCTTCTTACCCCTCTTCGCCTCCCTCGCGGACGTATGGGGCCGGCATTGGGCGCTCCAGCTGTCGCTCATTCTCTTCGCAATCGGAAGCGCGATCAGCACAGGGTCGCAGAACATGGCTACCATGCTGGCTGGGCGCGGAGTCGCGGGCATCGGTGCGGCAGGGATGTTGTCGGTATGTCCACCAGAGTGATGCTCAAATGGCCCGCGCTGATTGTCAAGGAACAGATTTTCCGAATCATCATGGCCGACTCCAGGTCGCTCGATGACAACAACTGGCAGCAATCCCTGCTTTTCTTCTTCACCGTCGGCTACTGCATCGGACCTGTCATCGGAGGGGCACTCACTACCGTCTCCTTCCGCTGGATTTTCGCCATCAAGTATGTCTATGATAGTCCCCCAGCTCGCTCCCTTCATTGACAAGTTCTCAGCCTCCCGTGCGCTGCTCTGGCTATCGTGCTCTCATTCCTCATCCTCCGCGGTAGGACGAAGGGCCCCCAGCCGCGTAACAGCGGCCTTCCCGGATCTGAACCCGTACCCGAGACCTTCACGCAGAAGATGCTCCGAATCGACTGGATCGGCGCGCTGCTCTTCATGGGCGCCGGCATCCTGCTCCTGCTCGCGCTGAACTGGGGCTCGTCCGCCGAGTGGAACTCCGCGCGCGTCATCGTCTCCTTCGTCGTCTCCGGGGTGCTCTACCTCGCGTGGATTGCGTGGGAGCTCATGCTCGAACGTAATATCGAGGCGGATGCGGGCGCGACCGCGCGCAGGCCCGCGCTCCTATGCATGGAGCCGATGATCCCGCTCGTGCTGTTCCGCTCGGTAGACCTGTGCATCGTGCAGTACGCGACGTTCGTGAACGGGATGGTCATGCTCGTCATGTTTTACTTTGTCGCGATCTTCTTCGCGATCGTGCAGGGCCTCTCGGGCACTGAAGCGGGCACGCAGCTCATTTTCTTCGCGCCTGGGCTCGGTGCGGGCTCCCTGAGCTCCATCTTCTTGTTGAAGGTCTTGCGCCAGGTACGTCCAGGTCGGGCTGCGCTTGGGAGATAGGCACGGGCTGACCGCAGTTTTGTTATATTATCATAGCCGAAGTGGCCCATCGTCTGCGGCGGGGTCATCATGTGTGTCGGTCTCGGGCTCGTCTCGTACGGCATGAACCTGAACGACGAGAAGCTCGTGGACGGGTTCATGGCCATGACCGGCGTCGGCGTCGGGCTGTCCATCGGCCCACTCGCGGTGCACGTCCGCTTCTCCCAACCGGACGGCCGCGTCGCCGTCGTCTCCGGGCTCACCCTCTTCGTACGTCTCTCCCTCTCCCCCTCCCGTACACCTCAACTCACCCCTCTCACACAGTTCCGCTGCCTCGGCGGCACCGTCGGCCTCGCACAGTGCGGCGCCGTGCTCAACGCCAAGGTGAACAGCAGCATCCTCACGCTCGTGCGCTCCGGCACACTCGACGCCGCAGACGCCGCCGCGCTCGCGTCCGGGCTTGGCGCGGGCGTGAGCTCGCTGCAGGACATCAGCGGGCTTCCCGAGGTGGTGCAGAGCGCGGTGAAGGACGCGTTCCGGAACGGCTCGCGCTGGGCGTTCCTGTCGCTGCTGCCGTGGGCGGCGCTCGGGATGGTCGCCACGCTGTTCTTGTCGAATATCCGCGACACGGACCGGGAGGCGCGGGAGGCGCAGGCGGGTGTGGGGCAGACGCCTGAGGTCGAGAAGAAGCAGGTGAATGAGGCGACGCTGCCGGTGGTGGTGGGCGAGCCAAGGCCATGAGTGCGGCAGTGGGTATGAACTTACGAACATGTAACGAGCGTCTGCTATCTTAGGTCCTGCTCGGTAATCTCGGACATCTGGTTGACAGCGTATGGTATACCCTCTACGAAATGAAACATCGTTGTATCTAAGTGATAGTGCTGCGATGAGCAGAGTGTTTGTTGTCAGTTATACCACAGTAGGAGTTTCTGTCGTACTCAGACTCAGGATGAATGGCAAATCCCAAGATGCCGCGACGTCTTCTAAGCTATGGCAGAAGTGTGTGTCGCGATGGATCGTGATGAGGTCGTCGCTCGCAAGCAAACGTGATGCTTCTGGTTATACGTTACTGTCCGGTATTTGGACACTCAATATATTACTATACGACTCGTCAAGGATAGAGCGATGATACTCGCTATTGCGTAAATGTCATTCAAACCACATCATCTAAGATGGAGAATTAGGTATATGTACTATAGCGTTGTCGCACGTCGCTGAACGACCTGCAAGGGTAACAAATTTTCACAGAAGGACCGCAAACATCGCACTCTGCACCGGTCACGCCACAGCAAAACGAGAGTTCGCGCGGAGCTTCCCGCCAGTCCTGTAAAAGATAAATCTATGTAGCCCAGTCAGCTTCCATCCGATTCCCCAACCACAAAACTGCAGCTGCAAACTCACGGTAAAGGCGACATGAGCGTCGTCAGCCCCGCAAGCAAGGCAGTCGCCCCAACGGTGCCCAGCCGATGGTACATCTGCCCCGCGAACAGCGGGAACACGGCCGCGAATGACGAGCGCAGCGCGCTGTTCGCCGCCATCGCGGACGCTGCGATCGGCCGGTACGCGGTCACGAGGTACGTGAACACGCCCGTGTAGATGTAGTACATGCCCGCGCCGAAGATGCCCGAGCCGATGATGGGGCCTATCCAGTGCGCGCGCGGGTATGTCGTGAATGCCATGACGAAGAGGCCTATGGAATGAGACGGGGATTAGCTTGCTGCTAGGGGGGAGCAGAGGGAGAGGAGACGTACCGATGGGCGCGATAATGCCGCCGGGCTGGGCGATGAGGAGGTGCACTTCCGGGGGCGGGTGGCCACCGTGCTTCTCGGCCTCTTGACGCACGCGGCTGGGTTGGTAAGATGGATTAGGACTGGGTTGCGAGACACGCGGGGTGGGGGGTATGGATCGTACCTATTCCAGTATGGCTGGGTGGACAGACCAGCGATGACGCCGACGCCGATGCCGATGAAGGCAAGCCCGGTCGACTGGATGTTGAACCCGTGGATCTCCTGGAAGATGATAGGGAAGGCCTGGAAGGCGAGGTATAGGATTCCGAGCAGGAGCGCGGACCAGACGTCCAACGCGAGAGCCATGCGGTCGAACATGAGGAGCTCTGCGAAAGTCGGTTAGGGACTGCCGCGAGGAAGTGCGGGTGACACTTACTGAAAGGCGTTGAACAGCTGAACAAGATCATGCGGGCCAGGCTATCTTCTGAACGTTCCAGCGGCGCATAGTATCTGTTATCTCCGGTGGTCTTGCGGAGTCTGGTGCGAACGTCAGAACGTGACATCATTTTGTTATGGTCAACTGTCGTACTTTTGGGCCTTGCGTTTCACGATAACCGGGGCGTACGTCTCCGGAACACACTGTAAACACCGATGAGCGACAACAGGTGGACAGGGGACGGAACAAACGTACGAAGGTGAGCAGAATACACAGTACGAATTGCCAGATGAGGAGCACCCGGTAGCACCACCTCCAGTCTGCGTTCTGTCGCAGCGATCAGCAAGCCTACTCACCTATGAGGGCGATGTCTCCAAATATGCACGAACCTGTACCACGAACCTGGGCAGGTATAATCAGTGCCGAATACATCGGAACCGGAGTTATTAAACGTACCCCGCCATAACAGGACCTAACACCGGACCGACAAACTGCGACAACGTGTACACCGCCATGGGTCTATATAAACTTGTATCAGGATCGGACGTTCTAGAGGGTGAAACCATCCTTACGTTCCGACATTACGGTTATCGAAGAGGTCACTAACACTCCCTCCTGCCACACTAAAGAATGCGGAACTGCACAGGCCGGTGATGAAACGGAAAACGAGGAAGGTCGCTGCGACACACGGGTTGTCAGCAGTGTGAGCATGGCGAGGTGCTTGATTACTTACCGATGTCTGGAGGGAAGGCAGTCGGCCATGTGAACGCAAAGAAGAGCCAATACGACACTTGATAGATGACGTTCCGCCCGTAGAGCTCTGAAAGCGGACCGACGAACAGGGGGCCGATGCCCAGCCCGAGCACGTACAGGCTCACGCCGAGGATCGTCACTTCCTGCGAGGCGTGTAGATCGATTGCAAGGCCCTGCTCCGTGAACGCCGCCTGGAGATAGGAAAGTATTTAGCATGGCATATAGAAAGGAGGTTTACAGAGAGATCGAACGCACCATTGAGCTATCAAATGTGACGCACAGTGTAGCCGTGGAGATTACGAGAACGGCGAGCCACTTGTGCCACAGGCTCAGGAACTTCGGATCGTCCGCCGGCTCTAGCTTGACTTCGAAGGCGTCCGAAGCCTTGCCATCGTCGCCGGCGACGGGTGCATGCGCCTGGCTCTTCTCGACATCTGCGCCCGCGGTAACCTCAGATTCTTGGGAAGACATTCGGACGTGGTGCGCTGCTATCACCTGGAGCGTAGGGTGCTGAAACCGCATCTCGTCTGCTGCTAGGCCTTATATATGCAGGTACGGCCCCCGAGGCGAAACCTGGGGGCTAGCCGAGCGGGGGCCGCTGCAGCCTAGAAAAATGAGGCATGGGGTAGGTTAATGGTACTTACTACTCTGGTACTCAGCGGTTGATCAGCGGCGTCATCGAGCGGCGGCCAGGCGGAAAACGGTATACTCGATCGGGCTACACGTGGAAGCGGTGGCCTGCGTCCGCCGCCCTAGCGACTGCTCGAGGCAAAAGCACAAACAGCCCTTGCGCGATTTCGCCAAGTCCGTTTTCGCACGGGCCCCGCCGTCCAAAGGGCGCCGGACACGCTCACCGACGGAGTTCTTCGGAGCTCCAATCTCCGGGCGGATCGTTGACGCGCAGGTCCGGCCGCGCAGAGGCGCTGGACTCGGGAGCCGCGGTTTCGTGCCTGCACTCAGCGGAAACAAAGAGGTCGACGTGCCACATAGACTACGATGTGTTGAAGCGTGTCGAACTGCGTTGAGGCAGAGATGCATCTGATTATTGATATTGTCAGGCTATGGTGACAACGCAATGTCACCGGCGGGGTGCGCCGGAGGATGGCGTCGACGAGTTCTAACGCCCCGGGCGACGAGTGCATCGACATCCATATCTACCTAGTGAATCTGTCACGACTGTTAATTCCACAAGAGTGCAAGTGCAGACGAGTGCGAATGTGTAACTTGGAGGAGCTGAGGAACGGCTACCGTCGATCGACTTATGAGTACGCGAAATTGAGGGCGATCTCGGATCAGATCTCGCGTCAGATGGTGCCAGATTAGGCAGGTCCTCCAGTTGGACGACTCTCCTTCTCACCACCACCATGAAGACGTCGGAGGGTATCCTTTCGCTCGATCCTGATTCTCTCCTTCTCATACTGGAGTTTTCTCGCGCACGACGATGTTTGAGCAAGATTTCTGCTACCTGTCATCAGCTTCGTGGCTTGTCCATGCCCGTTCTCTTCGAGCAAATTCGCCTTCTGCCAAGCCATTTCACCCAGGAAACTTTCATTCCCGAGAGTATCAGGCCGCATGTTCGGTGCGTATGAACACAAATGCAGTCTACTTACATCAACTGATTATAGATCAGAACTGTTGAGTTCACTCGCGAGTACCAATTCGCGCGCCTCCGACATGGAGAACACTGGCATGAGCGGCTGATAACCGTTCTCCCCATGCTTGATATTCCTGACTATCAATTTCTCCTTGATGCCCTGCGCGGAATGGGACGCCTACGTAATCTCGTCGTCAACACGTCGTTTAACCAAGGTCTCCCATTCTATATCCTGAACGCTATCCTCTCGACTCCTCAGCTCGAGTCTGTTCAGTTTGGCCCGTCAATGTGCTACCCGGTGAAACTCGATCCAAGTTTCCCAAAGGATCTTCAATTTACGAGTCCTGTTTGCTCTTTGACCTCATTCCGCCGAACCCTCCAGAGCTTTGAGAGATATTCGCGGGCACAAGCCGAGGCGGATCTTCTCCATTGCCTGTTCAACCAATTCCACCATACACTTCAAATAGCAGAGATGCCAAGCGACACTGCGCCTCTCAGAGTGTTAATCAACAATGACTGGCCCTGCCTCCGCGAGCTCATTCTACGTGGCGGATCGCAGCAATCATCCAAGCCGATGGTCCAGATCTTGGGACGTATGCCAAACCTTCGCGTCCTCAAGCTCGAACTAGCGCAGCGCTCTGGGGAGGGTCCTCGCCGTGTGTGTCCTCCGGGTTGGGCAGGCGGCTTCCCATGGCCAAACTTGGAGGTCTTGACCGTATCCTACCCCCACCCAGACGATGGACTATACGCGCACTTACCGAGTAGCCTGCAAGAGTTGACCCTCCGGTGCTTCCCTCGCCACTATGTAGCCACTGCTACGGGAAAAGAGGGCGATTTCATGAGAAGACACATGTACGACTCTGGATGGTGTTCGTCGCTCCCCTCGTCGTCTGCCGAGATACTGGGCGTCCTATGTCGCTGTAGCTCGTCCCTCGTTTGTCTTCGGCACCTCGACATCGAGTTTGAGGAGTCCGACGAAGACATTCAGCTTTTGCGCTACATTGCGACCGCATTTTCGACACTGACCTTCCTTCAATTTCTTCGTTACCGCAAGAGTTCGGAGCACCCTCAACATACTACGTCTTGTGTGAGTACAACTGAGACTTCCATCCATTTATTTCCTACTGATAGTATGCACGGAAGGCTGACCTCGGGCATGCCCTCGCGCCTCTGACGCATCTTCGACTTCTTCGAGTTCATCTCGATTTGGAAGATACGGACGACGCAGGAACAGTCGGAGAGGCGCTCTCCGCGCTCGCGTGACTCCTCGACCTGACCGTACGGTTTATTTGCTCCCTTACGCTTCCACCGCAAGGACCCAATGATTGGAACGCATATCGTATCCTGCGCGATCCTGGCACCGGTGAAATGGTCACACTCGAGGATACGGACCACTATTACGCACGGCTTGACGGGTGCCGGTGCGTGCTCGCATTGTGTGTGCTCACCACCGCCAGCTCACCCGTTCTATCTAGCACATCGGCCGAATGGACTGCCTACCATCGCTCTGTGAGCAGACGTGTACCGCTACAGGTGGTATATCCTCCATATTCAATCTAAACACATACTATCTGTGCTCAAACGCCCGTGTCGTCGTCGCGCCACAATGGAGACGAGTCTTAAATGTCCCGTTACGTAGTTTTACGACTACACTATGTACCCCCCCCCGTTCATCTGCTCCACTCCATGTACCCTGCAACGTGTCCTTGGCTATAAAGATGGATTGTCTTGGGTAACGGTCACAACGGCAAGCGCAGCAAGCTAACCGCTAGATCAGACGAAGATATCCACCGCCTCCTGCCGCGGCGAGATCACCGCAATGACCTTGCCCGCGAAATCGAGCAGGTCGCCGCCCACGGTCGCCACCAGGTCCTGCTCGCGCGCGTCCAGTCCCAGCCCCAGCAGCTTCTCCACGTTCGAGGACACGAGCGCGAACGTGCCCGCCTTGTCGATCACGCCCGGGCCAGCGTCGAGCGCCGCCTGGACATACGCACCGCCCGTTAGCTAACACAGGGCGGAAGAATCAGAGAGTGGGGGAGGCTCACCACGCCGGCGTCGAAACGCAGGTTGCGGACGGACCAGGACGCCATGTCGGGCATGCCGGGGTTGCTGAGCGCGGCGATGCCGCGGGGCCCGAGCCCGACGGTCACGTTGTGCTTAAGGAGGTGTCCGACCAGGCTGTCTGCGCTGAGCGGCGGGCCGGGGAGACTAAGTCAACGGATATTTTGTCAGTAGTGTGCAGGATGTTTGGGTGAGCAGCGCTCGCTTACACTCGGCGGTCGTCCCATGTGAAGGGCTATACAGACAATATCAGTATCAGGGAAAGAGCGTGCAGGGAATAAACGTACGAAGGACCGTGATGGCGTTACGATCACGCCAACGTCCGCCTCAGCTAGTTCGTCCGCGAGCAGGTGCGCCTCCGTTGCGCTCGCAATCGTGAGCTTGAGCTTTGTCCTAGTTTGCGCCTCCACCTCCTTCTTGAGTGCAATAAGCGTAGCGATGATATCCGCGCTTCCCACGTTGACGACCAGCGGAACCTCGCCCTACATAACACAATAAGCCATTCGCCGCGGTGGCCACAGCACGGGACGCACACACCTTCGAGACCTTGCTGAACCACGCAGCCACCTCTCCCTCCGCATCTCCGACGAGGAGCCGGCGGAGCGTCGCAATCTTCGTGCTCACACTCGGAATCGCATCCGCATGCGCGAGCGTAACATGTACCGCAACGACATCGCGCACAATCGCCCCGCGCGCGAACCGGTGCGGCGCCCCAGGCGCGAACGCCACGCTCAGCCCGCTCAACCATGAGTCGTGCGACGGCGCGGTGACACTCAGCGTCACCCCAGACCGATACGCGAGCCTGCGCAAGGGCGGTCAGCATCAGTGAATCTGCAAGAGAGATGCTGGACAGGCATGGGTGGGACCTACAGCGCATTCCGCGTCCCGAACTGGAGGCCGTCCGCCGCGCGGCCGATGTACCCCGCCTTCCCGAAGAGGGACGGCTGATTCGGGTCGAGCGGGTCGACGACGGGTCCGTCCGCGGTCGAGGACTCCATCGCGATCTCCGCGAGGCCGAGCGAGGAGCCGTAGCTGACGAGCCCGGGCTGGATCGCGCCGCCCTGCAGGTCCAGGACCTCCGCGTCTGAGCTTGCGAGGTAGGTCGCGCAGGCGGAGCCGCGTTCGGCGCAGATCACGCGTCCTTGGGAGACGACGACCGTGCTTGGGGCACCCGCTGATCCAGTTGTGGGTCCAAGGGCGAACAGATCGACGAGTGTGCCCGTGGCGTCCTTGGTCCAGAAGCTTGAGATGTTCGTGAACACGACGACGTCCGCGCGCCGTTTGGGCTCTAGAGGCGGCAGGCCCTCGTACTTGACAGCTTCTGCCGCTTCCCGGGAGAAGTCGGGGGAGGTGGGCGCGTGTTGGTGCGCATCGGGCTTGGGAGCGACGTGCGCGTGGGGGAGCTGCAAGATGCCGTCGATAAACACTTGCGTGGGCGTTGCGCCTAGCGACAGCGGGTGGCTGTCCCAGAGGACGACGTCTATCCTCGGCAGCAGTTTGAGCCACAGAATTCTCAAGCATAGCGTGGTCGCGCACCTGCATCGTAACCTGACAAAGTCGGTAAGCGACAGGGCAAGCACTTCGGGTTGTAAGTGCGTACCTTTGGCAATAAAACCAATGCGGTGGTCGAGACCGAGCACCTTCACTGGCGTGCTGATAACAGACGCAAGTGCGATGTTCTCCGCGAGTCCAAAGTGATGCGCGATCGCGGCTTCATGCACCAGGTTTCGGGAGACGATGGCAGAATGGTCTGACTAGAGCAATATTTCAGAATGAAGCCATTCGAGAGCGATGACCCAGCACACCTTCATGACTACATCGATACCTTCATCCGCCAGAACCCGTGGCGCAAACTCGGAGTGGCGGTAGGCCTCGCGCTTGTATCTGGATGCAATCCATCAAGTCAGGCCGGAGAGGGAAGACAGCCATGCTCACCTAGCAAATGTAGAGAACATCGCTATGGCGGGAACATTCTCTGAGAGCAACTCATATCCATAAGATGCCCCGTGTCACAATAGCATACAGTAGACTCACTATATGCTCGCTTCAAGACTTCTGGGACGAGATAGGCCTCGTGTGCGTGATGGAACGCAGCGACCGGGAACTGGAACTCATTGGAGATCTGCAAAGTCCGCCCCAAAACGCGTTAGCACAAAGACGGGAAGGCCCGCGACTCGAATGACTTGCCCTGACGAAGTTGTCGATGTCGAGTGCCTCATAGCAGTGTGTTTGCACCTGCGCGCCCCGTCAGTCACCAGTCCACAAGGTCACGCTAGGACGCCGCATACCTTGACGCGCCCTCTGAGAATCTCGACGAGGCTCTCCCATTGTAGGTTCTCCGGAAAGCTTTGGTCCTTGATAGCATTCCACTCCCCGGCGAGCGCCTTGGAGCAGTATGTGTCTTGTTCCACCTTGATTTTCCGTGCGGTCTCGTAACTTGGAGCGATGAGGATCGCACGCGCACGAAGATACAAATTCAAAATAGGACTCACGCATCCCGAACGGCCCATACCGTGTCCATACGTGTGCTTTGGTAATACCGCGGGTTCTCGCCTTAAGCATACTCTATGAGCACCAGCCTCCGAGCACCGCGAACGAGTGGAGGCATACCGCATGCATGTCTGCGCGCCCTGAGTTAGCGCGTGACATACCCTAGATTGTGCCGACCAACTTACTTCATGTGCCTCCAGCGAGGTGGCGCTGCAGGGTCGACATGGGACCCGTTCAAGCCGAAGGGCGGTTCGAGCAGCATCGAGGTCGGCGAGCGCTCGTGCGTGGGACGGAGCTTGATAACATAGCCCTGGCCAGCTGCACGGTAGTGTGAGTCGGCCGTGAACCATGCAACTCGCCAACGCCACGAACGTACCTATCGCATTGAGAGAACCCGGGAGTACGAGGGATGTGGTGACTCCGCCCGCAACCGCGTGCACATAGCCTGAAAATACGACGCGATCAGAGTAGCGTCTTTCTGGAACCAGAACATACACTGACTCTCATCGTGAGTGTTCAGTGCATCCAGAGCGCGAAGCCATGGCACGATGGGACCCTTGTACGAGTTCCCGTCGTCAGCTCCACTTAGAGCAGGTGCCGCTCCGACGCCAACGTGGGAATGAAGATCGATTACGCTGCGGACAAAGTTCGATGAGATGTCAAGACTACGGAGGAGGATACGCACCCTGGGGTAAGCCATGCTCTAAATTATATTTTGGGTGAGTAAACGTCGCTGTTTAGGAACACTCGTTACGACATACCCATTTGCTTCGATGGTCGTGATGTTGGTATACTTCGCCCATGACTCGGGCGATACGTCAGATACGGACTGTATCAAACCCTTCTCCAAGAGGACGTCTCCCTTCAACACCTGGGCACCACCCGCGCGACCCGTCCAGATAGTTGTGTTCCGGATGAGCACCGGTCCAGTCCCCGGCTGGTACCTGTCGGATTGAGTTCGCATGTGGAAGTCCGCAGGAGGCCCTGGCTGCAGTTGCAAGGACCTGCATTGATTGAGGACCGCCTGTGCGTCCAGAGGGAGGGTCTCTGTGCGGTGCTCCCGGGATAGGCCTTGGAAGACCGTATAGAAATACACGCCAGAAACCGCCGCGAGACAGAGCAGCGTGCTGAGGGGCCTGAGGCTCCTGGAGCGGCGCCGGGAAGGAGGAGCGTAGAGCTCCAAATGAGGGAGCTCCTTGTCGGGTGCAAAGGCCATTGACATGATGTCCGAATGCAGGAAGCTGTCAGAGAAACCAAGTTAGACTAACTAGCACCATGAAAACCAAGATTGTAGTGAGTATGTCAGGCTGCAACGAGGGCGACGATGAAAAAGCTACAACAGCTCCGATAAGCCTGACGAGTTTCTCATAGCACTTGACGTGCACCTTGGGACTCCCGTGGGGCTTATCGTCCTGCCGTCGCGGAAGCTAGGTTCGATACAGTGGAGGACTTACGAACTACGATTGCGACTCAGCACAAATGCGCTGCCGGCTTGTTCGCGAAGACCCAAGCTCGCAAAGTCGTCCTTTGGAAACGCTTGTGAAACGGGACCGACGTCGACGTGCAGATGTGGGTGACGCGAGCGTCGCCATTCGATGCGCCATCCCACACGAACCGCCCGAGCCTGAGAGACGCGACGTGACCCCATCACGCCTCCCCAATCACGTGCTTGTGACCCTCGCGGTTCCAAAAACATGGGGCCGCGACTCTTCCTGCCTCTTCCTCTCCTTCGTCGCGGCGGACCCAAGAGCAACGAAGCTTTGGCGACTTTCTGTCTCTTTCTGCGGTGTTCCAACAATTGCTATCGCGTATCCTCGGCACCAACTTCCAAGACTTGCGCGCGGATCTTTCGATACCGTAAGGTATGCCCACCTCAAACTCGACTACGTGTGACGAGGCGTTACCTATCACGTGCCCCACCCCAATCGCAGTCACTTTCCTCTTTAGCGCTCTTTTTTCGAGCTTGCCGCCCGTACTCAACCTCGAATGGGATCCAATCGAACCCACTTTCGAATGATTTTCTTACTAGATCTTGTAGCCAAAAGGGCCCTCCACGATATCTAGTAAGCAAAATATCGAAAATGCGCTTGGGCCGACTCGCATTCGACGATCTTTGCCGTTTCCCCGCCAAGCGTGACAATTTTGGTCACCTGACGTGGTCGAGTCTGTGGTGGGCATACCTTACATAACCAACGCATGATCCGACCGCGAACATCGACCACCTGCCACCCAGTGCATGAGCCTCGATGTCGTCCGCCGCAAGAGAGCCTGGTTTCAGAGGATATCCTTAGGAGACTGGCGCGTTTTCTGAGTAACCCAGCATGATCTAGCCGTTTACGGTGGCCGGAGACGCAGACCTCCAAGTCGATTGGAGGTACTCCATGGTTTATTCCAACATTTACACTGAGCTCTCTGCCACATCCTCTGCGTATGCCTCTACTGCACTCTGTCCGATAGCATCCCCTCACAGATCATTGATGCACCTTCTCGGTCTACGCAAAGTTCTCGGTGAGTAAAGTTTTCGTTGGCATGCACTCTAATCGTACCTTTCAGAGCTGTACGTGACACCTCACTCGTCCGACCGAGGTGGTAGACAGTGAGGAGGAGCACCGACGCACGGCGCAATGAGCTCGCGGCGCGCGACTTGGCCCCCTGCGGCCACTGGTCTTTTTTTTTGGATCTGGTATTATGTTGTACAAGTACTGCGGCCACTGGTCCAGCGACCGTGGACGCCGTGAAGACTGCGACGAGGAAGAGGAGCTTGCTGATGATCTGCATAGTCGGTTCTTAGGGACGATTGGCGGCGGTTCCCCGTGATGATGCTGCAACTTATATGGCCAGAGGTCAGCAGTCTGCGCCAACATGTCATTCCCCCCATGCTGACATCCGCCCCGGCTTTGTCGCGTCGCGTACGTGACCAGGCGTCAGTGGCATACAGAAGCAAGAAATCGGAACGTAATTTTGCGGTCTATGCTTCAGGGCACTCCGTTATCTGCTTGGCACTTTCTCCAAAACCCCTGATCACATTGGCTGCATGGGTGGGAAGTCCTGCCAGGTACGTCCCCATGCCATGGCGGTGACAGATGCGCGCGCGCTGCCAAAGCGTGATCTCCGAGTCCGACAACGCTGCACTTCACGAGCTGCGGCGCTTGTCATCTGCAGCCTGCCTGGCCGACGTTGACGGGACTTTTAGCTCCTTGCATGTCGATGGGCGGAGAAATGGGACACAGAATCTCAGCACCGCAATCGGTCGTACGTCTCCGAATTTCAGTGCAAGTTGTTACAAATTGATTTACGCGATCACGACACAGATTGTCCCTCAAAGGCGTAGGAGCCGAGCTGAACCGCGCTACATCCGACCGCCCCTCAGCTCATGACGTGCTCCAATATACCATCGGGCGGCTCACCTGTGGACGATGCCTTCGAGGTGGTCATACCACTTCGCGGGGGTTGATGCAGTTCGGCGCAACGCCGCGTTCACATTGAACGTCGCTCTCCAGCTGCGCAGTCGGCGTGGCGACCGCAGACGCTGCGAACAGGGCTACGAGGACGAGGAGCTTGGCGATAATCTGCATGGTGTGGGTTTGGTGAGGCTCACAACGTCGTAGCAGTCTAGTTTATACTCATCCATCGGCGGCCGGGTCCCTCGACGAGCGTTGTCACGAAGGCGTGTGCCAGGGAATGCCGTGGCAGGGCTGAGGTGCGTGTGTGCTTTGGAGCGTCGGACAAGCTCTGTTTTGCTGCTTTATCCAACGCTATGTGATGTGGCCGAGCAGTCAGAGTTCAGAATCTGCGAGCTCAAGTCGACGCACAGATACCACGAGGAGTGAAGATGCTAGTATTGAGTTTCAAATCATGTGGGGGCGTGCAATTGCCTCCAACACCGCAAAAATACTGTTTCGGCAAACATTGCCTTCATGGGCCTCGAGTGTTGGTTACGAGCAGGTGAGTTCGGCGTAAATCGATGAGTATATGCGAAAGTCTAAGCCGCCGGCCCAACTCGAACCACGGCGGAACCCTCGATGTGAACGACACACGTACGAAGCCGCGCCACCTACCGCATGCCGCACGATGCCTGTCGTCCCTGCCCATGTAACTATGTTATCTCCATGTCATCTTGGCATCGCCGGACACCTGCTTCACGGAACCATGGACGCCCTATCTCCCCTAACACGGCCGTGGAACCCGGGCGCCGAGGTGAGCATGCCACCCATATCCTGTCGAGAGCACGCGTAACCGATGTCGACGGCCTGACAGATGGTATTGGGACCGTGCAACCTCGATGTCTGATATGATCGCGGGCGGTCGCGCGTGTCCTCAGCAAGAGTCCACGGATGTCATAGACCCCGCGCGTGATATATCCTCGTTGAACCGGGAGGTACACGGCCGGCGGCATGTAGGCACCGGGGGTTGCTAATCCCCTGCTCGCTATCGGGTAAGTGCTGAGGGTACGACTGTCACTGTGTACATGTGAACGCTTACGGCAAACCTGCAGGCGAACCAGGGTGCGCCCTGGCTGCATGAGGATAACGCCTCGCCTGTGCACTTGCCGGAGGAGCGCTGCCATGGCCGTCCGCGGCATCCGCCAGCGAGATCAAGGTTGAACAAGTGTATGAATTGGATAATGCCATGAACTGCCATTATACCATCCACCAATGCCGGGAAATTATATTGCAAACAGCACCCACTACACGCCCACCCATCACTCCCTTCGACTCCACTCCACTAGGAGCGCACGCATGAAAGCAATACAGGTGGTTCTGAAACAGTACGTCAGACATGTTCAGCAGGCCAGTAGGCATTTTATCAGGCTCTTACCTGCGCTCTCAGTCTGCTCCTATTCGAGTGCGCCGGTCCCGTCGCACGGGCAGGGACTCGTGACACAGACGCAATGAGGTAACTCTGCGTCGTGCGGGACGGCGACGGCCGCTACGGCGAAGAGAGAAGCGATGATGAAGAGCTTCGTGGCGATCTGCATGGTGTGAAGTGTGTTGGGAAGACCGGTGAGGTTCTGTGGTAGGCTCTTTTAGTGACATTCTCACCACGCCTCGTCTAACACTGGTCACACAGTCCGTCTGGCATGACACTCGCTAAGAATATTGGCAACGCATGTCAAAACTGCTCCCCTGGGCGGTGATGGACGCAGGTCGTACTAGGGGGCCGGGAATTTGGCAGGTATTGCAGATGGGCGTATTCATTTCGCCCATTATGGGCGCGAGATACTCGAATGATTCCGAGGTACGTCGGAAATGATGTGTACTAATTTATACGCTCTCATCACGGTCTTCACAGAACTTGAGTGACAATCACTTTGGCAGAAGTAACAAGCCTGAGGTACATAGTCCCATTCATCCTTCCGCCAGGCCCGACGCGGATGGGCTTCGGATCCCGTCAGCGAGTCCTTCCACGACAGTATCAAGTCCTTGCTCCCCTGGATCGGTGAATGTCAGGCTCAAAGTCTCTCGCGAGCTCCCGATGTTCAACGCATACCTCGCACTTCTACTAGCGGCTGTCCCCACACGGGCACGGGTCTATCGCGCATACGGTGCAGCGGGGTGCCTCTGGAGCGGCGATGACGGCAGCGGCAAAGAAGGCGGCGACAAGAAGAATCTTGTTGAGGATTTGCATCGTGCGAGATTCTGAGGTGATTTGCGAGCGGCGATAGAGAAGGAGTAACGGCCGACATACCATTCAGCGGACGTTATATATTCTCCCGCACAAGACTACGAAGGCTCGACCGCGCGCCCGCGCGTGATGGGTGTTGACGAAGAGGGCGGAGGCGTGCATCCGAAATGATCTCATGACAGATACGAGGACCACGGATGTCAACGTTAACGGTCGGGTTTATTGGCAGACACCGCGGTCTACTGCTGCCGAGATTCGCAAAAACCAAAATGTGCGTTCATACTGTGTGTGCCTGAGATACGAATCATGCCAATGAAGGATTCAGACGAGTGAGCAGATGAGCTCGCCGTGTCTCCGACAGCAACTGAGCGGGGCCACGAGTCACTATCCAGAATAACACGACTGTTTGCCAGCACGGAGAACTTAGTATACTACTAGTGGCGGAATATCAACGCCTGCTCATTCCCTCCTCGACCTTTGCTAGGAGATTGAAGCTGCGAAACTATACGGTAAATATTAGCCACGGGCGATAAGGGCCTGCACTTACTAGTACTAGTACTTTCGCGAGTATCGACAATTTTGTCAGCATGGACAGCTGCTCAAGATGCAGGCGCAGTGCGGTAGGTCCGCTTCGAGCGCGATAGCGACGGCGGCAACCGCGGAGGAGAAAGAGACGAGGATGAGGAGCTTGCTAAGAATCTGCATGGTGCGGGGTGTACTAGCGAATGCAATGCCGTGTGAGTGAGGCTTGATGCTGGCGTTCGCCGCGTTATAAAGACCCCTCGAGTTCTGCAGGCACGGCGGCTGCAGTACTAGTACTGCCCACCCCGGAGGTACCCAGGATCACGCAGGGTCTAGACGAAGACACATGTCCATATATTCCCCCTGAAAGATGCGAGATGTCAAACACCAAAAGAAATTGGCAGGTAGTGGAGCCGCGTGAATCCGTCAGATTTCCCCGACTGTATCAAGTCGAATCCGGCCATGAGCATTCGTCGCACTCCGGACACGGATGAAGCATAACTTCATGCACATCGAGGCACACGAATACATTTCATCTTCCAGGAGGACAGTGACACCACTCTCACGCCAACGACTCCTTCCCCAGCAACAGACGTAGCTTCACCAGGGTTCCTATGCACTATACGTACGAAGATCAGACCCGTTTGTGAACGCATTAACATTATACGAACTCACCCCATAGGTCTACAGGCCCGCCACCTGTTTCGCGCAGGGGCAAGGGTCCGTTATGCAGACACAGCGGACGTCCTCCGCGGGTTTCGGGGTCGCAATGACGACTGCGGCGAAGAGGGTGGCAACGAGGAGAACTTTGTTGATGATCTGCATTGTGCGAGAGGTGTTCCGTGACGATAGGGGAAGTTGCTGTTAGGGGGGAAGTGGGGAAGACTGTTCGGCGGGTACTATATACCGTCGCTCTTCCACGCCCTTCGGAAGAGCTTGAGCTTGAGCTTGAGCGCTTGAGCCATGGCACGGCAGACATTGACGAGAAGAGCGGAGGCGTATGTCAGGATTGATCTCTTGTTGAACGGTGACAGATGTGAAATATGCTCGCGTCAATGGCCGAAGTATTGGCAGGCACCGCAGTCGTTCCCCTGGGAAGTGCAGGAAACGAGGTTAGTAATAACATGATGCTTGATGCCTGACATACGACTGTAGAAGCCTCGAGGTGGAGACGAGAAAGTGGGAATAAATGTCGGGTCTGTCGAACAAGTACGAATATTCTTTCCCGGAGAGCTCTTCAGGTGGGCTCTTGGGGTAGCTTCCAGCTGGGATGCTACGGCATACTACAAAGTAGCTTCATGGACGTTATACCCGTTAATAAAGTAAACACGGTCTGGTGGCGCACGAGTCAACGTCACCGCGGGATGTAATCCTAGGATTGTCGCGAGGATTGCCAGCCTAGAGGTAGGTCGACGGCGGTCGACCTGGTTCTCTCCTGTTTCATTGACTCAGATGCATGTGATATATTTGGTGTTTTTCATTGCGCAGATCCGGTATTTCGAGAACGAAGCCATAGTACTTCCAGCGTGCGCATGAGGAGAGAAACGTAGAAAGACTGTACTGTCGGCGGGGAGACCCGCAAAGCCACATTTTTGGCGTCTAATGCGCGTGTCTTGTTTGTAGGGCGCGTCGCGCTCACGTGACGGGATACAGCTTCGCGTCGGGGCGTTGGAGTTTGCTGCGCGACTTGAGCTGCGACTCCCACTGCTGTCCATGTCCCCGCCTCCCTCGCTGTCCCTCTCCGTGACACCCTCCTGAACACTTGGGCTCATCTTGGCCTACGCGCTACCATGGCTGGCCGACGGAGACCCCTCACATATGCCCCGCTCAACGACGAGAATGACGACTACAGCGATGTTCCCCCTCCGCGCTCCTCCGTCATGCGCTATGCGCTATCCGACGGCCCCCTGCCCTCTCTGGACTCCAGCTTTGACTATGACAAGATTGACGCTGCGGTCAGCAACGTGCAGCAGCGCTTCTCCACTATGCGGACATCTCCCGTTCGTCACCCCTCTTTGCCGCCTGTCCCTGAGGTATCGGAGGAAGGTTCCTTAGCGGGAGACCGTGCGTCTCTGTCCAGGAGTAGCACATCGTCTGGTGTGACCATCGTCGGCCAAAGGTGAGCCCCGTACTCTTATGTGGCATATGCTGGGATGCTGCATCAGAAAGTGGCACCATGTTTGCGCAGTCAGGTCTGGTCGACTGAACTTGTCAAACACGGCCATTTATCGCCTGCGACCGAGATTGGGCGTATCTCATATATATGACAAACGACGTTATTACAAGGTATTGCATGTCTGGCAAACATAAATGAACTCGGCGCGAATGTCTTCGTCTGCGGATGTCTCCGCAAACTTATGTGCTGGAACAAGGTGACCTCCAGCGAAGCCTGTTGAAAGGGGGCCTCAATTGTTAGAACGAGCGCGTTTCTACAGCTATAAGGCATATAACGATGTATGCCTTCCCCTCGGGCCGCCGCCCGAATCGGTGGTATTTCTCTGTAAATGCGGGATATTGATTAACCACAAACGACTACATGCATGTAGTCTTCCTTGCATTACGGTTCTTGCTGACTTGACGTCCTTGTACAGACAACTACCGCAAATTGAATACGGTCCTCTTCCCACGATCAACTCCGGGGAACCTCTGGAGTGGGAGGGCATGTACGACGAAGCCCCAGAGGAGGATCCCTTTGCCGATTCTCATGCACCGGTATACCACCAACCCGCCCCTCATCCTCCCGCGCTCCATCCGCCTGCACTCGTCGCCCAGAACACGTCTCGGTCGAGTCTTTACGACCCAAATCCTCCATATTTCACTCAGGAACGCAACTCCTGGGCCGCACCATCCCGGCCTGTGTCTGCATACAGCGCGGTCACTTCTAACCCGACAGGATGGACATACCCCTCTCAAGAGCGTCCAACGTCTGGTGTGTATGCTTCGGAGACCGACATCGATCACTTCAGACACGATACGGAGGCGTTCGCGTCCGGGCTGGCCTCACGTCAGTCGTATCGCCCACCACGCTCGCGCTCGCCGACTCCAGCTGTCGATGACGAAGACTACCAGATTGACGGGGACGGCAGCGTGCACTACACGGGGTACACCCCGTCCCCGCAGCGTCGCCCGCTCTCGCAAGTGTCCACCAACGAGCGTCCTGGGCTAGACCAGTCACCGTCCTTCGCCCGCCTACGCGCTCAGTCGGAGCCCGCCGACCCGGAGAAAGCATCCTTGACCACCTCCTCGTCACTCGTCGAGCCCGAAACCCCGCTGAACACGAGGCATTTCGGACCCGCGCCGTCCGGACGCATCCTGCGGCGGCACAAGACAAAGAAGCGGGTGCAGCTCACGAACGGAAACCTCGTGCTCGACCTCACTGTGCCGCCGAAGCTCGTGCTCCCGCGCCGCGGCGAGCCGGAGACGATGAAGACGCGGTACACGGCGGTGACGTGCGACCCGGACGAGTTCGAGAAGCGCGGGTTCTTCCTCCGCCAGAACGAGTCGCGGCGCACGACGGAGCTTTTTATTGTTATTACTATGTTTAACGTGCGTGCGTGGTGTGGTTTTGTTCGGTTGTACGGGTGCTGATCTGGTGCGCGTGAACAGGAGGACGAGATCCTTTTCTGTCGGACGATGTACGGCGTGATGCGCAACATTGCGCACCTGTGCTCGCGCAAGAACTCACGCACATGGGGACAGGACGCGTGGAAAAAGGTGTGTTCTATACTGGCTTGCTTGCACCGCTTGCTGAACCCTGGACGCACAGGTGGTGGTATGCATCGTCGCCGACGGACGGAAGAAAGTGCACCCACGCGTACTGGATTGCCTGACGCTGCTCGGCGTGTACCAGCCGGGCGACCACATGAAGAACATGGTGAACAACAAGCCGGTCACGGCGCATCTGTTCGAGTACACGACGACGTTTGGGCTCGACGAGAACTTGCACTTCAAGTACCCTGACAAGGGCATCGTGCCGACCCAGATCATCTTCTGCATGAAGGAGAAGAACCAGAAGAAGATCAACTCGCACAGGTGGTTCTTCAACGCGTTTGGCCGGCTGCTTCTGGTGCGTCATTGCGCGAAACGTTAGAAGATATGCGGGCTGAACTGAGCGGCGGCGGCAGCCGAACGTATGTGTGCTCTTGGATGTCGGGACTCGCCCGGAGAGCAAGAGCATATATCACCTCTGGAAGGCGTTCGACGTGAACTCGAACGTCGCTGGCGCGTGTGGCGAGATCGCTGCCTACAAAGGCAAACGCTGGCGCGGCCTCCTGAATCCGCTCGGTATGTTTGCGCTGGAATCACTGTCCGCATATCTTCGTGTTGAACTGGCTCCCGGCAGTTGCCGCGCAGAACTTCGAGTACAAGATCACGAACATCCTCGACAAGCCTACGGAGAGCCTTTTCGGATACATCAGCGTATTGGTACGCCACCACGTTCTTGCAACCTACAGAGATCACAGCTTACGAGGCGACCCCCAGCCGGGTGCATTCTCGGCGTACAGGTACATAGCGTTGCAAAATGACCAGTACGGATCGGGCCCCCTCGCGTCCTACTTCAAAGGCGAGGTTTTGCATGGAAGGGATACAGACATCTTCACGTCGAATATGTGTAAGTACATGAAGTATTACGCGAAGCGGTCTTGTGCTCATGTGTGGACTACCAGACCTCGCAGAGGATGTACGTTGGCACCGTAGTCACATCGACAGCTAACATGCACTGACACTTGTCTCCACAGCGTATCCTGTGCTTCGAGCTTGTAGCGAAAGCGAACTCCAACTGGTACGCCGTCTCCGCGCCTTCCTGAGGTCCGCATATTTCTGACGAATGCATCGCAGGGTACTGAAGTATGTCAAGAGCGCGATCGCGGAGACCGACGTGCCCGAGGCGCTCCCGGAGTTCATCAGCCAGCGCCGCCGCTGGCTGAACGGCTCGTTCTTCGCCGCTACTTATGCGATTGCGCATTTGGGTCAGATCTTGCGCTCGGGCCACAGCGTGGGGCGGAAGAGCATGCTTGTCGTCGAGACGATATATAACGTCATCAACTTGATTGCCTCTTGGTTTGCAGTGGTAAGTCCTCCTACTTCGTCGTTACCATGCGGACAACGGGGCAATATTGACGAACACATGTATAGGGAAATTTCTATCTGTTCTTTGTGAGCGCACTCTACATCTACAATTCAGCTCGCGCGTGGTCTGATCATTTGCCTATTTGCAGGTCATCTTGACGTCCTCGCTGGAAAGCGACTCATTTAACATGCCCGGTATCAAATACTTCAACGCGGTCCTGCAGGTGCGTGGTCCTGCCACGCTCTACATGCTAGCAACGTCCATCCTAATTGACGGGCCGTGGTCAGTTCCTGATGGGTGGTCTCGTTATCGCCTGCTTCCTCTTCTCTATGGGCAACAAGCCCAAAGCGTAAGCAGCGTCTTGCGCCCGCCCGCCCGCGGTGACATCGCTGACCCTGCTGCAGGGCGAAGTGGAAGTACAAGATATGCACGATCGTGTTCGCGGTCCTGATGGCCTACGTGATCTTCTGCGCGATAGAATGTGCGATCCAGGCGTCGTACCAGGGTGGCCCCGCGTACCGCATCATGCTCTTCAGCATCATCATGACCTACGGAGGTATGTACACCTACGGGACCCTCCCTCTCTGTGCAAATGAGGGCTGATGGGATGTCGGTCGCGTAGTGTATGCGGTCTCGAGCGTGCTGTCGTTCGACCCATGGCACATGCTCACGAGCTTTATCCCGTATATGCTCCTGTCCCCGACATATGTAAACATCCTCCAGATGTGAGCAGCTTCATATCTCCCGTCGGAGTCATCCCACCTAATCCTGTCCTTTCGCAGCTACGCCTTCGCCAACCTCGACGACGTCAGTCGCATCCATCACTACAGCTGTGCTCCTCCCACTGACCCGTGACGCGCTCCACAGATCTCATGGGGCACGAAGCAGGACAGCGAGGTCAACACGGACCTCGGCGCGGTCATCCAGAACAGCAACTCGCAGGTCGACCTCGAGGTGCCGACGGACGCGGCGGACGTGAACAGCATCTACGAGGAGGCGCTCGAGAACCTCAAGAACCGCAAGCCGCTCCTGAAGGCGACCGCGGGCGGCCCCAGCATCGCCGAGAAGGAGCAGCTCGCGAAGGACTACTACGCGAACGTGCGCACGAACGTCCTGCTCGCGTGGGTGCTCTCGAACGTGAGTCGCCAGTTTCTTTCCGTAAGGGCAAGTCGAGATTCGTGGTGCTGATGTTGACGCTGGGGGTCTGTAGGGGCTGCTGCTCGTCGCGATCCTGGGCGGTGGCGACGCGTCGAACACGTTCTCGGACAGCGGGAATGACACGTTCAGCCGGACGAAGACGTACATGTCCTTCATCCTCGCGTTCGTGGCCATCACCAGCATTATCGTAAGTCTCCTTGTATTCGGGTGTCCGCTCGCTGCTTACAGCTGGATGCGTGCAGCGCTTCTCCGGCTCGACGTTCTATCTCATCATACGGGTGTTCACCGGATGAGCCCTATTGACTCTGCCGGCCCACATCTTGGACTGATTGACATGTATGATTCCCATGTATCACATCGACTTAGTATGTCTCTATGCCCCCCCTCCCCTCTACGGACTGCAGTACGCCTTCTGCTCGGACATTGTACAGTGTACATATATGAATACATACGCATCGCTATGACTGTCTCGTTCAGCGATATCGAACACGTAAACGTAGCTATTGGAAACCCGGTAACGCACGCCCACCGTTCACGAGTAGAGGTAGTCGTAGAACGACTTGCGTCCGAACGCCTCGCGCACGGGCTCGGCTCCGCGACGCGCCCTCCTCGGTGTGCGCCTCGCGGGAGAGCGCGACGGCGACGACGCCGCCCTGCGCTGCCGGTCCAGCAGCCGCGAGCGCAGCGCCTCCGGCCCCTGCCGCCTCCGCAAGTCCGCGCTGAACGTCCTGTCCGCGTCTCCGTCCGCGTCGCTGAGGTCGAGCGCGGCGACGCCGCGTTCCAGGCGCTCCTCGTCCCCGTCCGGCGCAGACATATCGCCGTCGACGTCCGAGCCGCCGATGACGGACCACCCGTCGTCGAGCGCCGCCATCGAGGGCACCGAGGACCCCGCGTACCGTGCGCCCACTGCCGGGGAGGGCGGGGCCGAGCCGTCGGAGAGCTCGACGATGGCGCCGAGTCCGCGCGCGGGGCCGCGCGCCGCCGGGCCCTCTGCGTCGGAGAAGTCGCGGTCGGAGACGGGCTCGGACTCGGTGTCGAAATCGTGCGCGGAAAGCTCGGAGAGGTCAGAGAGGTCCGTCACGGGCGGGGTATCTAGGGCGGACATCGCAAGGCGGTTCGGGCGGGTGACGTTGGGGCGGAGGAGGTAGGTGAGACGTTGTCCGGAGGTGTCCTTGCCTGTGGCGCGCGGGGTCAGAATGGTAAAAGCGTCGCGGCGAGGCGAGATACGCACTGAAGCTGACCACGTCGTGGTAGCGCGCGCAGCAGTGCACGACGTAGCGCGTGAACGCGTCGTCGGCGATGCTCCAGACGAGCTGGAGCGGGGTGCGCGATACCTCCGCGATAGTGCCCGAGGTACCGATAGGCACGCCTGTGGCTGCGAAGGAGGCCGCGTCGTCGGGCGCGAGCATGACACCGCCCTCTAGCCAGGTGATGATCTCGTCCTCGACCTCCTTGATGAGTATCTCCGTGCTCGGGCCAGACTTGCGGAGCTCGCGGCGCATGCCTTTGAGGCTGAGCGAGAAGCGGCCGGCATTGGCGGAAGACGGCTCGGTAGTAGCTGGGGGGACGGGCGGCACGACGCTGTTGCGGGCAAGATAGTTGGGCAGGGGCTGGGGGAAGGTCGCACGGCTGTTGGGCAGGGGCACCGAGTAGTCCTTCCTGGACGGAGTGACGATATGCGCGTTGCCCACAAAGCGGGCTGTGGGTCAAGATGCCCCGGCCGTTATACATGTGTAGCAGGGCGGGTTTTGCGTTGGCACATACCGTTCTCCTTGCGGCGAATCCAACGCTTGCCCTCTTTCTCGTCCCGCTTGTTGCGTCGGGCAGCGGCAGAGAGGGGAGGAGCGGCCTTCTCTGTGGACGAGATGCGAAGGTGGGCAAACCGGTCGGATAAGCCTGGGTTGCGCAAGATAGCTGGGAAGGACATCGGGAGAGGCCCGTCATCCCTGGGGGAGGTCGATGTCGTCTGCTTGGCTGACTGCATGGCGACGATAGCGGCGTCCGGGATATGAGAGAGTGCGTAGAGACGAGGAGCTGGAGACGGAGGACGTCGAGGGCGAAAGACCGAGTCGGCGTGAGTCCGGCGGCGGGATCGACTCGAACGTCATCCGGACCCGGGCCGCACGCAATATTAATGTTGATGCTGAGTATCTCAAAAAAGTACAACTCTGCTGAGATTATGCACTTGATGCCAGGACATATCGCCCGCCTAGCTCAATCGGATAGAGCGTCAGACTCTTACTAGCGGGTGATCTGAAGGCTGCGAGTTCGACCCTCGCGGTGGGCTAGTCGTTTTGTCGCAGGCCTTGAGGAAGAAGGAAGTGGGGGACAAGTGGGGGAGCCCGCACGCCGCGAGGAGGTTCGATAGAAGTCGCCTCGGCCGAGGGTCATACAGTCAACTGAGCTGAACCACGAGAGGATGTTCAGCTATAGACACGAACACTACGACTCACCCAATATGTTTTCTCGCGCTGTATGCGGGGTTATACAGTCGATATGGTGACGAGATACGAGAATCGGGAAAGGTCGAGTACGCACGACGTGGTTAGGAAGGAGGGGGGGAATATTTGTGGGGTTCATTCAACGGCGGACCCTCGCCTATAAGTACCAGCTCCCGGCTCCGCGCGGCCCCGGAACCGCGTTCACAGCCGGGGGGCCTTCGCGTTTGTCTCTACATATGTCAGAACGCAGTCTGGAAGTGGAAATGGAACAGAACCTACCAGCTGCCCCAGCGCCACACGTCGATCTCGAAGGAATGACTCGACATAGAAACCGAAGCAAAGCGGAACGTAGCACGATGTCTGTCGCGTCTGTCATACGCCACCGATCCTGGGACGCGACGCGTTATACGCGCCTTCCCGCGCGCTCGTGATCGCGGTCTTGCAGCGCTCGCGACAAGCTCGCGATCGCGACTCGACGCGTCCATGGTGCCAGCACAGAGGCGCCCTAAGTACTGTTTTCTGTCTTGTAGATTCCTGTGTTCTAAATCATCCAGTAACGTTACACTTCTGCACTCAGCTGTGTAGAGTGTTAATCTTTGACAGGGATCTGACCTTCGTTGATCACAGCTCCGTCACTGGCATGACAGATAGTAGCAACGGAAGTAATTGGCAGTGGCAAGCAGACTGTTGAATGCACTGTGTTGAATGCTCTACGTTTAATAGGTCCTATTCTTGCAGCACATGTCACGTCTGCCCTATCGCAGGGAGCCGCATCGTCTGTGCAGACTGCACCAGGGAGATAGACAAGACAACCGAGTTTTGCTGCGGCTGCTTCCTGGACCATGGGCATCCCCGGCAGCCACGGCACGCGCTTGTGCAATTCCATACCCCCAGGATGCGGATCTACCTGTTCCCCACTCTGAACGCGGCGAAGGGGATGCTCGCGTACTGTTCCGACAACAGACCTGCAGACGGCGCCTCACCATGCGCGGAGTGCCGTTGCGCGATCAGGCCCACGGAGGCCTACTGGTGTTGTTTGGACTGTGAAGGTCAGTGGTTGACTCTCGCAGCTTTAACAGGCGTCTGACCAACGGTATATGCAGCGTTCACATACGTCTGCGCCACATGCAACACCCGGATCGAACAGGAGAAGCCGTGGATGCGCCAACGGCTTCCCAACGTGGATTACGCACGCATAGTGCACGACTGGTCCCATACGCTTCTTTTCGTCCCTGCGGCTGAAGGTACAGGTGCCACTCACAGTCAGCTTTCCATCGACGAACGGCCCCCTTGCTTGAGGTAAAAATGAATGCGCGTTTTGCGAACCTGGAGGGTATCCTCGCCAAGGTGCTCTCGGGGCTGGGGTCTCTTACCATAGCAGGAGATGCAAAACAATAATCTGTGTACATACGGAATTCGGGGCACAGATCGTGACTGGCTATGAGGATGATTAAATTCGTTCACTGATACCGTTGATATCATACATGACAGCGTACAACTCCGCAAGAACGCCGCGCATCTCTCTATCCTCCCATCTTGTAAATCTCTTGGTGGATGGCACACAATCCAGGATACGGCCCTCTTCTATCAGTGGGTAGCCAAGGACACCTCTACTGTTGCGGGGTGTAGATACGGAGCGAGTTGATTTCCCAGTATGCGTTCGCGAAAGCCTGAGGGTTATTCATCACAACTGTGCAGAACACAGAGTCAGCACTAGGCAGTAAGCAGACCAAGCAGTAAATACACACAGTCATCGCACGTCCCAGGGCATCCAGTGTTAGGGTAGTCTGAGCCGGCCCAGTCGCCCTACAAGAACGTCAGTCAACCAGCGCTTGACATCACACGCCGAAAGGACACCAGACGCACGCAGAATGTGAGGTCGAACACGAACGAGTGTGCGTCAAAGTGGCTGTCGTAGTCGCAGTTGTCGCCGAGCGCGAACGTCGCCTCGGGCTCGCCCCAGTACGCGGTCGGGTACATGCTCTGCGTGCCGAGCAGGCCCGCAGCGGGGCCGCTCCTGATCTCGGGCGGCACGGCGGGGTCGTAGCGCGACCAGAAGTACACGCGGACGCCGTCGGTTTTGGAGCGGGCGAGGACGTAGTACCCGCCCCCGGCGCTGTTGAAGTCGGACCCGTACGACGCGGGCTTCGCGAACGAGGAGCCGCAGCCCTGGTTGAAGTTCACGGCGGCGTCGCAATTCGTCGACGTAGCGGTTCTGCGGGTCCGCGTGTGAGAACAGTGATAGGATGCACGACCACGGACGGGGACTCACCCGGTCATAGCGCGCGGCGGGAGCATCGTGCAGCCCGGCGTTGTGTGTAGTGATGCCAGGTTCAGCTTGTCTTGGTTGACGCCTACGCAATTGACTCCTGTCAGAATCTGCACACCCGATCCCGATGACCTGCCGCTCACCTTCGATGATGTCAATCTCGCCGCCATGAGGCCAGGGTCCACGCTGGCTCAGCGACCAGAAGGCAGGCCATGTGCCACAGCCTTCCGGCATGTGGCTGAGGTCGAGAACGACGACGGCTTCGTCGTATGCCCGCTGCGAGGAGATGCGCACGCTGTCCCTCCCTCGCGAGGTGGGGGAGACGATGTTGTTAGCGTCGGCGCGCATGATGAATTTGTTGTCCGTCGCTGATCATGGTCAGCAAGAATACGGCGCAGCGATACACACGACTCACCATAGGTTAGATTGCCATTGAGCGCGTCTGTCTGTGAGAGGTAGTTTACGCGACCATGGGTGGGGTCGTCGATGGACTCCCAGTTCCAGCTCTGTAGGAAATCGCGACCGACGTACTCGTCCGTCAGCGAGAAGTGTGCACTGGTAGGAAGTATGAGGAGCGACGCGAGAGACAGAGCGGCGAGTGCTGTACGCATTGTACGAGTCGTGCAGAGGTCTGTGCGGTGAGAGGGCGGCGCGGCGGAGGAGGGGGCGCAGGTAGAGGAGGGCAGCACAGAGGAAGACAGTTATAGCGAGAGCGACGCTCTGGACGCGGCATGTTGGGCTCGTACGGCAGACGGAGGCTGACATTGTGCGCGGCGAGTTCGCTTCCCAATTCGAACGCGGGCTGGCACAGGTGACGAAGGTTGAGTGAAGGTAGAGCCGATAAGCCCTGAACGAGCTGCGCCCTTACCTGCTGCACCTGAACGCTCTCTCGTCGTACGCTAAAATAAGCCCGCTCTCAGCAAATTTGCCGAGCGCTGTCGCACATCGTTGCTGTCCGCGTGGTCGTCGTTTGAGCGAGCGAATGCGGAGAGGAACAGCCGCTTAAGGGGAGCAGCACAGCTTCGATTGCGATCGAGTCGAGCCCAATCGGGCAGGTGTTCAGGAAACGCCAGCCCAGCTCCTGCCAGCCTCCCACCCATGTCCCCGAATCAATGTGCGGGAGCGGGGCGATCCCTCTTGGACCCCACTCTTCTCGTGCCTAGACGCTCTCTGCTTCGCGTGCCTGACCATGTCCTCCCAACTCGCTGTGCAGCTTACCCTCCTCGTCTTCAGTCTCTCGACACAGGCCTCGCCAACCCAAAATAGAGACCCGGCAGGCTTCCTCGCCGGTGCGGGATCGTCGTGGATGTGGCCCCGCGACAACAGCACTATCACTACAAGCAATGTGACTGCCGTTCGTATATTCAACCCGGACGGTCCTGTGAGTCTTCCGTGCTCTTCCAGTCCGCCGATGGCTAACGGCACGAACAGAGCAAGGAGTTGAAGAGCGTTATGATCAAATACGCCCGTGCGGCAAAGTTCCTCTCCGGTATCGGACTTAACCCCGACACGCACCCCGAGAACGGGTACCCCCAGTTCCACCCGCCCAACCCGTCTACGTTCACCCAAGTCACGAGCGCCTCAGATGCCGCAGACACGGTGGACGCCACGGACACCGCCGCACAAGGCTCGCAAGGCAACGGGGGCAGCATCATCACCGTGACCCCAGTAGCCGCGGAGCCAGGGACTATCCGCATGCCGCTGACGGACTACATCGGCGACTTCGACGTGATGTACTACGGGCCGATGAGCTTCGGGTCGAAGCAGACGGTGCTGCAGGTCGACATCGATACGGGCTCCGCGGACCTGTGGATTCCTGTCAATTGTAGGAATTGTCGCAATACCGGGTACAGATCGAAGGGGAGCGCGACATACCAGCCGTCCACGGACCAGTGCACAATCAGCTATGTATGTCTTTGCACTCCATATTGTTCTGGCGTCCGTTGCTGATGCGTACTATAGGGAACTGGACAGGTCTCTGGTACTGTAGCCGTGGACACTGTAGCCATTGGCGCGGCGAGCGTGTCCAAGCAGACGATGTGTGCGGTCAGCAAGGTCTCCGACGACCTCAACACGGAGCCCAACAGCGGCCTCCTCGGCATGGCGTTTGGGACCATCGCGCAGGCAAACAACAAAACCACTACCTTCTTCGAAAACCTCCTCGAGAAGAAAGCGCTCGCGGCGAGCGTGTTTTCGGTACACATGACGCGCGGGAAGGAGGAGGGCTCTGAGGTAAGCGTTGCAGGAGCGCGTCAGTGCGCATCGTGTTACTTACACAACCGCGACGCAGGTGTGCTTTGGGTGCTACGACCCGACGAAGGTGGTGGGCCCTGTGACCTGGAACGACGTCGTATCCCGCGTGAGTGGCCCTTTATGAACTTAGGCAACGAACTCACGGGGACAGCATGGCAGTCATACTGGTCGATCGCCATGAACGGGACCTCCGTGAACGGCACAAACTCGGCCGTGGACCTCATCGCGGTGGGGCGAACTCGTTCCTGACTTCCTTATGTTGTCTGATGTGCTCTTGTAGGCCGTTGACACCGGCACGTCGCTCATCTACCTGCCGGATCGTGTAGCTGCGGACTTCTACGCTCTGGTAAGCACCTCGACACCCTGCCCGAGTTACGCCGCTTCTGTGCTTACCAAGGCATGCCGTAGATCCCGGGGTCAGCCCCAGCGGTGCAGTATGGCGCAGGTGAGACACCTCGTCAGCACTTACGATACGGTTGACCGACTCGTCTGCGACAGGTTTCTACACGTACCCCTGCGACGCACTGCCGTCCGTGTCGCTCATCTTGAGCGGAAAGCCGTACGCGATCCATCCGGACGACTTCAACATCGGGCGGCTGGAAGCGAACTCGCCGTAAGTCTCCGCCTTGCATTATCGGAGACACTCGCTGACCCAGGAATACATATCAGCGACTGCGTCGGCGGAATCCTCGCGCTGAGCAAGGGCTTCGCGCCCGACCTCGCCATCATCGGGGACGAGTTCTTGAAGTCTTGTGAGCTTTCTAGCTTACGCGAGCGAGTTGCCGTTCTGACCGCTTTATAGGGTACTCGGTCTTCGACTACTCGGGCAGAGTGGGCTTAGCCCCGAGCATCAACAACAGGTAACCGGCAGAGCATATAGTAGCACACGGCCGCATACATGTCACGAAATTAGATGTTGGAGTACTCTGCTGGACTATTAGCTATCGCCGTATCCAGAATGGCGACAACGACGCACCTAAGCAAAGCGACAAGTCCCGCTATAGCACCGATCCCGTTGAGACATCACTGCGACTTCGGCTTGGCGCCGAGCGTCCTCCCCTTGCTCGCGCCACCAAAGACCTTGCGCCTCTGCTTCATCATGTGCGTGTACATCACATACAGTCCTGTCGACGCATCTCAGCCCACGCCCCTGCGCGCAAAGAAATGCCACTTACCAGGCCACCAGACAAGGAAAAGGTACTGACGCACGTACGTGTGCACCCCCGCCAACAAGTTAGGCGTGAGCGAGTGTCCGAAGCCGAGCCCCGGCGGCGGGATCGTCGCGTAGATGAGCAGCGCCTCCGAGGAGGCCCCAGTCGGGTAGAGCACGTAGAACAACGTGTAGCGCAGGAAGAGCAGCGGGGCAGGCTCGGTCCCGAGGAGGTTGCATGCGTAGAACGTGTACCGCACGACCTCGGTGAGCGACCACGAGAGCACCATCGACGCGTAGAGCGGGTTCGTGTGCGTCTAGCGCGCGCGGTGTGGCGTCAGTACGGCTTTGAAACAGGAACACCGGGGCGCGAGCGACGAGAAGGGGGAGAAACGCACCTGGGGGAACTGCCCAGTGATACCCCACACGAGATACAGACGGCTCGCGACCTGGATGAGCGTCGTCACGAGCGGGCTGCGCACCCACCCGAGCAGGACATGCAGCACCTCGAGCACCGCGAAGCTCTGCACGAACGCCGTCTGCCGCCCGACGCGCGCGTACGCGGTGCCCGCGCGGCGCAGCGCGGGGACGGCCCACGCGGGCAGCGCCGCCTCGAGGCGGGCGGCGGTAGGGTTGGAGGCGAGGGCCCTGGGGAGGAAGGGGAGGCGCGCGAACCAGGCGTGCAGGGGCGAGCCGGCGTGCGCGCCGTCGAGGTTGAAGACGTGCACGAGCGTGCTGAGGAGGACGTAGGACCAGCCGAGGGCGGAGAGGACGTTGTAGAGCACTAGGTAGTACTTGACGAGCGGGGGCGGGCCTGCGGGCGGGAGAGGTCAGTGCACGCGCGTATGCAGGGGGGACTGGCGTGCCTCGTTTCTGCCGGGTCTGCTTTTTGGGCACGTCTACTTCTTCAATCATGGCCATGGCGCGGTCGTGGTCGAGAGTGTCGTGGTAGTCGTGACGTCGTGGCGTACGGTGGGCGTCGTCGGTGCAGGATGCCAACTCACGGTCGAGCGCTGGGCGCGGTCGCCGGCGGCGATGATGCTGGTTTGATCACATAAGCCACATACCTCAAAATGTGGTCCACGATTTGAAGACGCCTCCCAACAAGTTTATGGCATACAGACTTACGGCATGATTGCAGGGAGGAGAGAGGGCCATTGAGGACTTCGTGTTATATCCATAGCATGGCGATCCACGTCTGAATTTACCTGCTCGGGCTGATCACCGCACGTACTGTAGAGACTTCCGGACTTTACAAGTAAGATTGGACGGCGTTTATAGTATACACATTGGCAGGAGACGGAGAGGGAAGAGAGAAGCTCGCGTTAAGCTACGAGAATAACAGTACTCCAAAAACCGGAAAACGACGACAAGCAGGATCAAAGTAGGTCACAGCGCCTCCGCCCAAGAAACGAGGCAACCATGGGGAACAGCAAGAGAATGGAATCACTGACGGTTCTCCTGCCCCTGCCCGTCCATCGCACCGGAGTTCTGCCCGTCCCTCTGTTGCCCGTTCTGTCCGTTCGCATTGTTCTGCTGCTGCTGCTGTTGCTGTTGTTGCTGCTGCTGCTCGGAGGGAGGGTGTCCCTGCATGGGTGGGGGACCGCCGTTCTGGCCATCGGGGCCCCCGGGCCCGGGGTTCATGTTGAGGTTCGCGTTGGGGTTGACGGCCATCAGCTGGGCCTGCGTGGCCTGGCCTGGAGCTGGGCGCGGAGCGTCGCGTTCTCGATCCGGAGCTGATCCACGATGGTGCGGCACTCCTCCCACCTCCGGTTCGCCTCGTCCGCGGACGCGAGGGCCGCATCCAGCAGCTGCGAGCGCGACTCTAGCGTCTTGACGTGCCTGCAGGACAGAAGTGAGACACTGAGACGGGGCTGGCTGATTGGCCGGCGAGACTTACTGGTCGCGCCGTTCGCGGAACGCGCGTTGGGCTTTGCGGTTCTGTTCGGCCCGCTTGCTCTGGCTGAGCGTCCGGCTGCCTGAGCCTGAGGCGAGCTGTTCGTCCGTCTGGGGCTGGGGGGGCGCGCCGAGATGGCCGGGTGGTGGTGGCCCCGGGTGCGGCGGGGGCATCCCGCCTGGCGAAAAATCGCCTGGGGGAGGCGGGTATGGGTAGGCCATATGATGGGCTGCAAGATGGGGTGGAGGGGGATGCATGAGCGTGTGAGGGGGTGGGAGAGCGTGTGGCTGGATCGTGCCCGGGGGCGGGGGTTGATGCATGACGGATCCTGGGTTGGGCGGGCCCGGTGGTGGTGGCGGGCCCGAGTCTGTGGTGGCCGTCGCGGGGGACTTGCGCTTCCTGGAGGAGCGGGGGGCAGGGTGAGTTACCGAGGGGGGGTCGTCGCGGAGGCGGAGTGTTTGGAACGTGCCCGGGGGTTGGGGCTGGGGCGGGGCGTGGTGGAGGGCATTGGGGTCTGCAGTCTGGGGCTGGTGCTGGGCTTGCTGCTGCTGAGGCGGCGGGGGCTGCGGTTGGTACGCGGGGGGAGGATGTCCCAACATGGGCAGCAGGCGGACAGGGCTCTTAGACAATCGTCGGTGTATTAGTAAGAATCGTCGCGTGGCGGACTTTCATTCCTCGACCCCCTCGAACCCGCACGTGACCGTCCCTTCCTCTCCCGTCCATCCTCCTGCTCTCCCGGTCCCGCCTTCCCACCGACTCTCTGCGCCCCGCTCGCCCCGTCTTCGCCCACGGCGGCGATTGTGCATCGAGTCGCTTGTGTTCCGTGTGACCCCGCGAAATCAATGCACATCTGCCCCAATTGTATTCCAACAGCGGGGCGGCGAGTTCTTCGAAGCTCCTCAACGTCTCTGCAAAGCCTATCGCGCTCGGGATACCACGCTCACACTTCGCTCTGGTTCTCATCGTACCTGTGCTGACACATCACCTTCCATCGGCTCCCCGGCGACGTCCTTACCACCGATGACTCGGTCTTCGGCATATGCAGCGCGACGTGCGTAGTAAGTATATACACTGACGCCTCTACTGACGTGCTGCGATGCGTATGTCTATCCGCGCCACTGAACGCCGGTGGCCATATCGTCTAATGTGATCGTAGTTAGCACATACCATATGGATCGTCCAAGCACATTTCGGAAGGTAAGCATAGTCTTTGTATATTGATATGACGTTCTTGCTGACACTACGTATTCGACGCTCATCAAAGATTCGGACGGTCGCGATGAATGCTTGGTCACAGCGCTTCGTGTTAGGACCTCAAGATCCAGACCTCTCATGTCTATGCCTTTTGGAGGTCTGCTGTGTTCGACGTACGAACGCCCCCGACAGGCTCCTCGCTTTGCCGCCGCTCAGACCGCTTCACCAACCAGGAAACCGACCAATCCACCTTGCCCCTTGCTTTGGTTTCACCATGAACGTCATAGGTGTCACCGGTTCACCCCGCGCATCCGACGCGACATAGTTGCGAAGCTGCTCAGGATCATCGGTTGCTGGTGTTGGATAGCTGAGAAGCGTCGTCCTAGTTATTGAGTTAACAACAGACTTCGATCGTTTTGGTGGGGGGGGGCGGCAAAGATAGTCATCATAAAAACTAGGAAAAAGCAGTATAGCTTAAGAAGGTACTGTTCAAGATGCTAGTCGTAATCCTCGCCTCGCCACGCAAAAGCATTTGGGAGCGTATTCCTGCTGGTCACGATCGTTTTGAGGAGCTTGTTGAAGGTCAGAATATTCTGTGGACATTGATCATCTCAACTCACACTTTCCCGCCCAGCTTGCCACAGCGAGCAAAGGACCTCGCAGCATGTTGACACCACACAATCATTCGAGACGGAGTTTTCACGCAAGGCTGAGTACGACAGACAGCTTCCCTCTCTACCTTGGCCGGTGAATACATGTGCCGGATTCGTGGGTAAGCACTCCGGGCTGACAGTTCCGGATCCATTTGCCAGAGTGCTTCAATGAAGGGAGGTTTGCTCGGCCGCCTGCTCAGACGCGCGCGTAGATCACCCTACTCAACATCTTCGTTCCTGGTGTTGTATCGATCTCGAGCGTTCTCGTCTGATGTGTCGATACCTCCGAATTGTTTTGACACTCACCAAGTCTTACAACCGTCCTGCTGCAGGTGCCAGGATTATGCACCAGCTTCCAGCTTGACGGTCCAGTGGCCTCTCGAACGCATCCAATTCTGTCCAAACGTCTCACCACCATGGTGCGGACAATCCATGGTTTCAACAAAATGGCGTAAATACTCGGCTTCTGCAGCGCCAGGGGCGAACTTTGTTCAGGCTCCTCGGGGAGCATCCTGATGGAGACCCGGTGTCGTATATTCCGAGCGCCTTCGAGTATTTCCATTCAAGATGCCCGCACTCTGAGGACGCAACCGGCGGTATGACGACGCAGTTAGCGCCTTCAAAGCGCCTTCAGGCGCTTCGATCCAGGAGAGCTCAAGTTGCGGGCAGCGCTTCATGGATGATACGTCATGTGGTACCGGGGTGCCTAAGCCTGTTATGGCAGTGTTGACACGGGATTTGCACAGGCGCGGTGGTGGCCAAGGCGAAGCGCGAATGACGAGCGTTCGAGGGTGCGTTCGCGCGCAATGGAAGTCGGTGCGTCCATCCCCGACTCCAAAAAAAATCTAATCGTTAGGTAGGCTGCGACTCTGGTACGATGTCCGCCTGTGAACAAGTTTGGACGCTTAGACGGGGTATAAAGACGGGGAGGCCCACACTCACCTACCTCAGAAATCCAGCACACACAACTTTCCAAACGGTAAAGCTCCCCTACACCACCACTACCGAACACCTCCAACTAAACGCGATTCTCCGCAGATACATCCACCCTCTACTCATTCAACACAATGCCAACCGGTCTCACCTCGAAGATCTACCTCGCGGGTGTCCCCCCTGGCCTCACCTTCGAGATCACCAGCATCAAGCCAGTCGCGCCCAACGACGGGTACGATTGGAAAGCATCGTTCAGGCGCGGTGCCGGCGAAGCCGACGTCAGCTGCATTGGCCAGGTACGCAATCTCCCTCCTCGACACCGCGCCTTACGCTGAAGCACTCGCACAGACCGTGTACGACGACTGGCCGATGCCGTTCAAGGTCTCCCCGAGTGACCGCGACGGGCTCATCGGCGAGGCGCACTTCGAGGGCCACAACGGCCTCTGGAGCTCGGGCCCGGGCGCGATGGTCACTATCGACTTCCGCCTGTACGGGACCACGACCGTCAATGGGGTCAGCGTCGACGTAAACGAGGATGGGGTCATCCCGATCTCGACGACGGACTGGGGCGGGTTCACGCGCCCCGACTACGTGAACGTGACGTACTCGTGGCGGCGCCGCACCGCGGACCCGGTGAACGTCGCGCTCAGCGTGCCCTCGACGTTGGTGGGCATGCCGGACGACCTGTACTTCGTCCCGGGGGTCAGCACGCAGGAGGAGAAGGTCGGGCTGGCGACCACGACGGACAGGGCGATTGCTCTCACTGCGGTGGATTATGCGCTGAAGGGTATCTTCTGGATCCATGAGAAGCTTTTCTCTTGGGCTTTGGGTTTGTTGTTCTAGGATGTAGTACAGACTGCGTACGTGACCGCCATATAATGTAGAGCCTATCGTCGTCCTATTTCGGTTGGTCGATCTGAGAGGCTAGGTGATCGCAAGTCTCCGAATTCAGCATTTGTCAGATAACCAGTGACACGATATTCGAGCGATGGGGAATCGTCGGTCGGGAGAGCGCATGGCAAGAGCTGAACACGACGCACTTTGGAAATCTCCAGTTTGTTCCGGATCTTCTACTCTGACAAAGATTGCAGCGCCCTCTAGATTCGCGAAGGAGAGAACCGTTTGGAAGCAGGCACCCTTATTTTAAAGACTTCGAGTCGGATCCGGAGGCGCCAGTGGCATACAACTCGAGTACTTAAGAGAATGCTTAGTACGGAATCAAATGAGTGGTGCCCATCTGGTAAGAATAAGAACATTCTAATGTTAGGCAGGATTTGTTGCTTTTGAAGCAGACATTTGTGGTGAGCGGGAATTCGGACACTCCGCGATCACCTACCACTAGCCTGTCAGGTCGAGAGGCCGAATCGGGAACGACGATAGGCTCTTTACATTATATGGCGGCTTTCCGGTCACGTACGCAGTATATACTACATCCTAGAACAACAGACCCAGAGCCCAAGAGAACAGCTTCTCATGGACCCAGAATATACCCTTCAGCGCATAATCCACCGCAGTGAGAGCAATCGCCTTATCAGTCGTAGTCACCAGCCCAACTTTCTCCTCCTTCGTGCTGACCCCAGGGACGAAGTACAGGTCGTCCGGCATGCCAACCATGGTCGAAGGCACACCCAACGCGACGTTGACCGGGTCCGCCGTGCGGCGCCGCCACGAGTACGTCACGTTCACGTAGTCGGGACGCGTGAACCCGCCCCAGTTCGTCGTCGACACCGGGATGACACCGTCCTCATTGACGTCGACGCTCACGCCGTCCACGGTCGTCTTCCCATACAGACGGAAGTCGATGGTGACCATCGCGCCTGGACCCGAGCTCCAGAGGCCGTTGTGCCCCTCGAAGTGCGCCTCGCCGATGAGCCCGTCGCGGTCACTCGGGGAGACCTTGAACGGCATCGGCCAGTCGTCGTACACGGTCTGTGCGAGTGCTTCAGCGTAAGGCGTGGTGCCGAGGAGGGAGATTGCGTACCTGGCCAATGCAGCTGACGCTGGCTGAGCCCGCACCGCGCCTGAACGATGCCTTCCAGTCGTACCCGTCGTTGGGCGCGACTGGCTTGATGCTGGTGATCTCGAAGGTGAGGCCAGGGGGTACACCGGCAAGGTAGAGCTTCGAGGTGAGACCGGATGGCATTGTGTTAGATGCGTGGAGGAAGGATGGATCTGCGGAGAATCGCGTTCAGTTGGGGGTATTCGATAGTAGTAGGGTAGGGAAGCTTTACCGTTTGGAAAGTGTGCTGGTGTTCTGAGGTAGGTGAGTGCGCGGGCTCCGGTGGCTTTATACCTTGTCTGAGCGTCCGAACCTGCACCGCAGGCGAAAATCGGGCCACAGTCCCAGCCTGACTGGCGAATGGAATGATATTTTGGCGAATCGGCGGCGGAGATACCGACTTCCATTGCGCGCCGATGCATCCTCAAATATGGGCCGCTCGACCTTCGCCTCCTGCGTCTGTGCAAACCCGGTGTCAGCGCTGCCAGAACAGGCCCAGCCACGCCGGTACCGTCCATGAAGTGTTGCTATCAGTGAAAGTCCGCCTCGTTCGAAGCTTTTGGAGGCGCTGTGGAGGCGCCAGTTGCTTTATTCGCCACCTCGTCCACTTTCAGAGTGAAGGTCTGTGTACGCCTCTTGAATGGAGTTCCTTGGAGGCGCTCGGAGCATACGGCACCGGGCCATCATGGTTAGGATGCTCCCCGAAGAGCACGAGCAAAAGCCATCTCTGGCGCTGCAGGGGCCTGACAGCCTCGCAAGTTCGTCGGAACCATACATAGCGTGACCTTCGCAGTATGCCAGGCGGTGAGATGTTTAAACCGAATTTAGGGATTCAAAAACCCACCGCCCCTTTAGGTAAGAAGCTGGTGTGTTCCCGGACACCCTCAGGCGGACGGCTGTGGGACTTGGTAAGTATGAAAGTAACCCCAAGGTATCCATAGACGGGAACGATACAACGGTAGAAAGAATCATGTCGAGTGCGGTGATTTACGCGCACGTCTTAAGCAGGATGCCGAGCAATCCTCCCTTAGGTTCATCGAAGCACTCTGGAAAATAGAATCGTCAGTGGACGCGACTGCTCCGGAGTGCATAATCACGAATTTGGCACATGTTATCACCGACCAACATCGAGGGGAAGCCGTATGTCGTACTCAGCCTTGTGCGAAGACTCCGCTTTGCAGCCTGAATTTTGCGGTGTCAATCAGTTTGTGGGGGGAGCGAAGATCCTCCCCAGAAAGCGACCTTTTAGTGGAGAGAAAACCGCTCATTTTTTTGCGAGGTGAAGGGAGCGTTACAACTCGCACCTTCAACAGCACCTTATCCAGCCATACTGTTTTATATCATCCGTTCGACATAGGCAACCGAAGTGGTTTGAGCGGTAGCAAATCGGGAGCCTGTCGGGGGGCATCCTTGACGCTCTGTATTTGCAGCACGGCCGTGGAAGCCGGTTAGGAAAATTCCGAACAGAGAGTCGAGATTGACGATGGCGAGCTCAAGTCTTTGCAAGCTAGGTCCACTCCTCCCGTTGCAAGGATGACCTCTTCGTCATCGTTCTCATGAGTAGAGAGATCCTGAAGTGCTGCAACAGACTCAGACCCTATGAGTCGACAACCACAGCAGACTTCAAGAGGCATGAGAGGTTGGGATCTAGAGGCCCAGATCGGAGATGGTCAAAGACAAGAGGATCGACGCACCTTGGCAAGGCGCTGGCTCTCAGTATTCTCTGCTCCGATCGGGATTGCTATGCCCACGAGAACGTACGCGTGCGTTAAGTTTGAGGGTGCCAAACAGCACGCCCGCAGGTCGTGTGTTGGCTGCACACCCTCGAGGCTGTGTTCAGCATGAAAGCGGACTTGCGTTAACTTAACCTTTCGACAACTTCATGAGGCCACACAAATACCGCTTGCAATCTCCTGATTATATATAGCCTCTGCAGGCCCAGTGCCGCAGCACTCACGGCTTTCATGTCGTCGTCCATCTCCGAGCCCGCGGTCATTGGATTGCCCTCGACGGCAACTCGACGGTGTTGCCGCCAGACCGGATCACCGGATAGACGTCCCCGACATTAGAACGGCCCATGCTGCCTGTAGCTTGCATTGAACGACGTACGAGCTTTGCCTTGCACAGGCTGTTCCTTCGGTGTGCCCGTCGACTAGCAAGTATACTACATATAGCATCAGACATCACCGTTGTCGAGAATCGAGATGATGAGCAGCGTGAATGATTCATTGTACTTCACAAGCGCCAAGGCGCGTCAGAGTGAGTGAAGCGCTGGGGCAAAACAAGCGCTAGGACGTACTTATTACCAAAAGCCGGTAAATGTTCCCACGCAAACACACCGCAACGCGTCGACGGCGAGCTCGGACGTTGTTCTCGACCGCCTTACCAGCCCACATACCCCGTCCCCCTGCAGAGCTGCCCACCCTCATGGCCACTGCAGCCTCTCCGGATGTAACAGGTACCCAGGTATGTCGTCTACACAGCGTGTTCGGCAGCGCCCTCACCTCTGTCAGTCCGCCAAGGGGAAGGAAGTCGCGGCAGAGCCACCGAGTGCTCAGCCTGCAGAGGGACCCAGCGAAAAGAGCAGCCCTGCAGGAGACGAGCCCGCACCCGCCGACGACGTCGCAAACGGAAACGGCAACGCCAGCATGACAAACCCCGCCGAGTCGCCCCCCAACCCCACAGACAGCGTTGGGCAGGCCCCAGCGCCTCCGCCGCCTGCCCAAGTGCAGTCCACCGAGTCCGTGCAGTCTCCTTCTGCGCACGAACGTTCGGATGAGGGCGAGAATGGTGCTGCGCGGAAAGACAAGGGCTCGGTGGAGAGCGAGCAGACTGGTACGCCGACGTACAAGGGCTCGTCGCCCCGCAAGGATGCGAACAAGTCAGTCTCTGACGGCCTCCACACGTCTTCAACTGCTGCTGAACACCCGGGTCGCTCCGATAGCCCTCACCCGGCTCGTCCGACTTCGCGACGGGCGAAGAACAAGGGCGGCCTGCTTTCCAAGCTGCTCCGCGTGCTTGTGCCTTGTGTCGGACCATCGTCGCGCGCACACCCCATCGACGTCGACGAGAAGCGCCCGACGGACCAGGCGCCTCCGTCGCCTTCGAAAACGAATGATGCCAGCACGTCGGCATTGAAGGAGAAGCAGGCGGCCAAGGAGGCGGAGGACCTTCCACCTGCACCTCAAGAAGCTCACCCGCAGCATTCGGCGGAGGCGACTGCCATTGGCACCGAGACGTCCGCAGACGGCGCGGCTCGCTCTACAGAAATACCCGCACCTTTGCAGCCCATTGAAATACCCCAGGCCGACGATCCCAACGTCCTTGTTCCCCCAACACCTACCAAAACTCTGCCGCGCGAGGAGACGGAGGGCGTGACGTCAGGCGCTGTACAGCCGCCAGGGTCCACAGGTGGAGACAGCATACGTGACCATTCAAGGAGGAGTTCCAGGAACCTGAACGACGACTCTGATGGTTCGACAAGCTTCACAGAGGACGAAGATTTAGATGATGGGGGGACCCCCATGGATGAGATCGAGGACGAAGAGGAACGTCTTATCATGCAGGGTGGCGCAGGAATACCTATAGGACCTGTGAGTGCTGTCCTCGTTTGCTGTCAGGAGTAATCACCCAACGTACTCGGCATCCCAGGACGGCGTTCCTAGACCACTCCTTCCCCCATTATCTCCCAAGCACGCCGGGCGGAAATGCCTAGTCCTCGATCTCGATGAGACGTTGGTACACAGTAGTTTCAAGGTATGAGCTTTGTGTATGCCTTAATCTCTCCGTCCACTGATCGCGTTTTGTGCAGGCCATCTCACAGGCAGACTACGTCGTGCCTGTTGAAATTGAGTACCACTGGCACAACGTCTACGTCATCAAGCGACCGGGCGTGGACAACTTCTTGAAGAAGATGGGCGAAATCTACGAAGTCGTCGTCTTCACGGCAAGTCTGAGCAAGGTATGTTGTACATGATGATCTCGCCCTATAGATGTTGGGCATTGACCCGATCGCGGTGGCAGTACGCAGATCCGGTACTCGACAAGCTCGACATCCACCGCGTAGTTTCCCACCGACTGTTCCGTGAAAGTTGCTATAACCACCGAGGCAACTATGTCAAGGTACATTGACCTTCTTCTTCCCGGTCTTTCGGGACAGCATTAACATATGTCGTGATAGGACCTCTCACAACTTGGGCGGCCAATCGCCGATACCATCATCATCGACAACTCGCCTGCGTCGTACATCTTCCATCCCAACAACGCAGTGCCAGTTTCGTCGTGGTTTAACGACCCTCACGATACGGAGCTCACGGACCTCTGTCCATTCCTGACCGACCTGGCCCAGGTGGACGATGTCCGGGGCGTGCTCGACGGCGGCCTATAACACGGGGTACTGGTCCGGGAGTGAGGCCGCTCGGGATAGGATTTGGCTAGCTCAGGCTAGTGCAGCATTCCGCGCCTTTCGCTCTCTCCATGTCTGTCTGTGCATGCTGTTCGTCTGTCGCGTCTTCGTAGCTCTTTCACGATTCACACGAACGTCGACCGAGTGCATCAGATTGAGAAGACCCCTGTCCATCCCTCACCTCCGGCGCCGCAACTGGACGCCGCGAATCCAGCCACCCCCGCATTCTCATCGTACCTTGTGCAGTGCACAGGCAGCGACCTTGGGATCCGGTCCGCCACCCGTTGTCCCTGTCTCCGCTGCACCGTCTAGACCTTTCCCTCGTTCGCCGTCGGCCCGCTTCTCCTCAAGTCTTCGTCCCCGGGCCTGGTCCCCACGCTCAAGCTCCATGTGCCCCCGCACTTTCCTGTCCTATGGTTGTTCAGTACATACGCCGTCGCTCGTCCGTCATCCAGCTTTCGTATACCCCCGCAATCCCGCAATGCTTGTCATGGTACACTCTACCTCTTCCCCTCCTATCCCAGCTAGCTTATCTACCATAGCTTCTTCCGCAATCACAGCAGCATACACCCGTCCCCCCGCTTGTGTCCTTCGGCCGGGCCTTCACCCTAAAAATAGTCTTTCATGCAGATGTTCGTCACGATACACCCGTGCAAACCCCTAAACATCCAACCCTCTCAACAGACATCTGAGACTCCTGCGCACCCTCCCGCCTCGGACCTCGGACATGCACATTTCCCTCCGCACCCTCCACGGTGTTTGACTCATTTCTTGTCGTTCTCCTCACTCCCGCTCCGTTATATTCTGTTCGTTCGCATCCACATCTCCTCTAATTCTCAACCCGCGGTTGTAGCTATTTCGCCCTCTTTATTGCGGTCCCGCGTACGCGTTCGTCCTCTTGCATCCCCTTCTTGTGCCTCGCGCCCACCATACACGGACTTGCTCCTTCCCCTTCTCAGGCTCCGGCTTGAGGCCCCCCACGCTCGTTCCCCTTCCCCTTCGCACCTGGTCTCGGTTCAGCTTCGCACCCTTCCCCGGGAGCTTCGCCTTCGTGCCTCCGATCGGACTCCCGCGCCCCGTCGTACACCCCGCCCTCGGGCTATTAATCGGCATCCTCGGACCCTATTATTTTCTCTTTCTGCAGTGTCGCGCTGTACCGTTGTGTATCTCTTCGCTCGCCGTTCGTATGTTCCTCCTCCCCCTCCCGCATGACTCCCTACTGTTACTTTGTGGTGCGGCGGGTGCATCTGCGCCTGCCGAGCCTTCTATGACGAACATATACGAAATGCGATGATATTCAGCTGCTGCTAGTACCGCTGCTTTAGGAATCGAATACGATACTTATTGTCTTCTCCGGATCCCAGGTCCACCGTCCCAGGATGCGTGACAAGCGTGGCCACCCCGAAACCAGGCGTTCCTCGCCCCCGACGACGGCCACTCCTATGTACCCTTCTCGAACAAGTTCCTGTGCGGTCATCCGCAGGATTTGATTTTGTATGTTGCGCAACGGGGCACTCGTGCGCCGGACGGGGTAATTACCCACGATAGCCGCCACGCGAGCGGGAGGTGCAGTTGCAGGGGTGTCGCGCCATATTACGGCTAGCGGGTGCAGTGCCTGAGCATATTGAAGAAAGTGGAGCTCGGCAGGCGCGATGTATTTGAGGCCAGGTACTCGCCGCTCGGACCGACGCCGTGCTGCGGTCTCCGCCGGGGATGGGAAGCCCCGACGAATGTGGCAGTGGACGGTAAAAACACCAGATCGGGCGCGAAAGTCAGTGCGTTGTGCATATGCATCTGGAGTCTTGACCGCGTATATGTCTGTGGCAGAGGGAGCTAGAAGAACGCCATGACGACTGTTGACGAACGCTGCGTGTTGGGGGTGATAGGGTGATGATGGTCTGGACAGCATGGGTCAGCGCGATGCTCGATGGAAGCTGTGGCGATCAGCCGCGATGTTTGGGTTGTGTACAATTTGAACGCTGAGGGCTGTCTGGACGCCGGCGGACCGCGAGGAACAGCGCGGGACGTGATGAGCACTGACCGACAAGCCTTGTGTGTTCCCGAGTATGTCAGGGAGAGATCCGCGAATGGGGGTCGGGCGAGGACCGGAGGCGGCGAGAGGCAAAGACGGACGCTGGGCGCTAGCACGTGGCAGGCGTTGCTCGCAGAGTCGCTGATGGGCGACTGGGGCACTTGTTCGACGAGCACTTGTCTCCATCCACCACTCCCGCTCTCTTCTTCTAGGCGCAGGATAGCCGTCCTCTCTTCCTCTCTTCCCCCCAATCCGCCCGCGCGCACTGCTTCGCCCCCACGTCCCCTCTAGCCCCAGCGCAGGCCGCGCGCGCGCCCATCGGCTCCCTACTAGCCTTCTCTGGCCGCTAGACATTCGCAGCAAGCACGCACTCGCGTTCTTGGCATCTCTCTCGCCTGTGGACAATTGTGCCTGCGGTCACTCTCTGAACAATCTGTCTGCACCTCCCGTCTTCCCATCAACCCATGCTTGCCACCCTGCAACCCCCACATAACCCAGCCATGAGCAGCTACATGGACAACCAGAACGGCGGCCCTACGCAAACTCTGCTGACGGAAGATAGGTGCTGCCCCGGGTGCAAGAAGTCGGTCGTGGATGAGCATGGCGGTGTCGTGGTTGCATTTGGGTAAGTCCCTTCTCCGGATCTCATACATCTCGCGAGCTTGCACGGCGAAGTCGAGATTCGAGGGCCCCGACAATCCCCTCCTTGCTCGGTTGCATTCCTAGCGGTCCTCTTTCCTCCTGCAAACAGACGAAGCTTCTCCCTCAATATCGCGCTCTCTCAGGCGGCAGTGTACCCCGGTATCTCGTAATCCCGGGGGCACTCACCTTTGTGAACAGCTACACTTCCAGGGAGCAGCCTCGGTCTCCGCGCCCAATCGACGCGTTCAACCCCGATGACCTTGAGCCCTCCCTGCTGCGGGTAGCGTTCTTTCCACCATTGCAACTACTGCTGCGCGCCAAGTCTGCGCGTCGCTAGTCCGTTGCTATTCATGGCTGCTTCGGCCTAGACCTTGCGAATCGGGGCTTCCACCCCCGGAAATGCGCTCTACCGAGACGCACATAGCTGGGGATAGGCGTAACGCTTGTCGGCCTTGGTCAGCAAAGCAGCAATTGTAGTACAATGCGATCTTGGAAGCGCTTTTCCCGTGCGTCATAGTGTTATCGCCCCTGCCCGGCATCCATGCGGCTAGGCAGAGGAGGCCGTGGGTTGTTGAACCCTCTGTACATCTTGTCTCTTCTCGCTTCGGTTTGATACGCCCGAGTGCCTTCGCTGACCATGTCTCGCGCCACTAGCCAGTCGTTCTTCCACGTCGATTGCTTCAAGTGCGCGAAATGCGGAAACCAAGTGACGGCCGACACGAACTTGCTACTCCTCTCGGATGGATCCCCTATATGCGCCAACTGCTCCTACAGCTGTAATGTCTGTAAGCAGCCGATCCTCGACGAAGCTATCATGACAGGAGACGACTCCTACCACGCCCACTGCTTCAAATGCAAGGTGTGCAAGAACCGCATCGACGAACTCGTCTTCGCCAAGACCAGCCAAGGCATCTATTGCATGAACTGCCATAATGAGCGGGTCGCGCGCAGCCGACGGCATCAGGCGCGCAAGCAGGAACGGGCAAGGGAGCAGGAGAAGGAGCGAGAGCGCGCGGCACAAGCACAGGCCGCCGCTGGCAGCGCGAGTGGAAGCATGAACGGTAGACAAGGCGACTCACGAGATGGTCAGAACGGCCGTCCATCGGCGACGGTGCGTGTTCGCGTCCGTGCTCACCTGCGGTGATGAGACTAAGAACTTTGTTGTGAAATGTGCACAGGCCGGCGCAGAGCAAGGAAGACCACACTCACAGACATCAGGGGAGGGCTCGTCGCCGGACGTCACCTCCCCACAAGGCGCGCTCTCCCGCTCTAGTTCCAATCGCGCGCCGGGCTCGTCGGACGACCATTCGGCGCCCTCGTCAGCGAGCGTACGGCGGGGGTCGATCCTGTCCAAGCTGGTGGCGACGGAGTCGCAGCATCGCCAACAAGACCAAGGTGCATCCTCCGTCCCATCGCCGTCAGCGGGCAGCCCGCCGTCGTCACAGTTACTGGGTTCTCCCGCGGAGAAGGCTTCCATACGTCTGTCAAAGAGGCATTCGGGCATGTTCATAGGCCTCCCCGCCTCGCCCTCCATCACGCGTATCAACCCCAATGCAGGCAGGCCATCGACCGCAGGCAGCTCTACAAACAGCTCTCCCATCGAACACCTGCGCTCGAATACCTCCCCCACGTCTAGGATGGACTCACTCTCGGTGCCCAGCTCGAGCGACAACACAACCGGCGGTCATTTGACTAAGCGCAGGAGCTTTGACGCGCGGATACAGCCCCTCAACGTGCTCCGTCCGAGCTCGAGCAGCGTCTCGCTCAATACGAGCAACGGCACCCCCGCATCCGAGCGTGTGCGCTCCCCGCCTGTCGTCATTGATACCGACCCCCACTCCGCGGGCAGGGAGTCCCCAAGCCCATATTCTCCCTTGCGCGACTACTTCAGCCCTTACGGCTCGGCCGAACCCCAGTCGTACACCGACAGCGATCACCAGGAATCGCCAATCTCCCCTGCGGTACGCAACGGTCAGGAGTATGACGCACAGCGCGCTGCAGCGGGGCGTGGGCGTTCCGCGTCGTCGAGCGTCCCGGGGCCGAGCGCGAATCAGGTACAGGGCAAGCCACCGCGCCCCACACTCAACCTGGACAAGATGCCCTCACGGTCGTCCAGTCTCGCAATCCCATCGTCGTTTGAGGCTCTCGAAGCTGAGTCACCGTCCAACCTCGTGCTGGATCGCAGCCCACGGACGCCCGAGCACCGCCCCCCGAACTTGAACCTGAACGGCAACAGTGTCCGCTCGTACGATCATCTCGATGGGGGATACAGGAGCCCGGACTATATCCGCCAGAGCGCGTTGTCTGGCGTCGAGTTCGAGGTACGGGGGAGCGGGAGCTCACTGCCATCTTCCCCCGCCCACTTCGTGGACGTCCCCCATGGCATCGAGAGCGGCACCGACACAGAAGCGGAGTCCGACGAGAACGGCATGTCGAGCCGCCACAGCGAGGCGAGCAGCGACCGGCCACCCTCGCTCCCACCCAAGGACGCGTCCCCGCAGCCGTACCAGCGCCCGGGAGACCTACGCATCGACGTCGGCGCGCGGCGGCACGGGGCGGAGACGGAGGACAACTCGGCGGACGAGGCGGAGTCGTCGCCCGTGGAGCGCACGTCGCACTCGACGTTCATCGCGCCCGCGCTGCCGCCGATCCGCATCTCCATGGGCGGCGCAGACTTCTCGGACCTGATACGCACGATGAGCGGCGTGCCGAAGGGCGCGGAGAAGCTCCGCGACCTCGACTTCACGCTCACCCCGCCGGATTCGGCTGGGCAGCCGACGACGCCCCGCAGCGACATTACTGTGCTCGGGTTCAACGACGGCGCCAGTGCGGAGGAGGCGACCCCGATGAAGCGCCAGCCACCGTCGACGGACAGGAGCAGCAGTGGCGCCACGAGCCCGTCGTCGACGTCGTCGCACGATTACTCGTCGCAGGAGGGCGCGCGCCGGTCAAACGACCGCGAGCGTGTGCGATTCGACTCCCTTGCGCGGTCTGGCACGCCACCACTAAGCGTGGCGCGGCGGCGCGTAGACTCTAACGCCACCAGCCAGAGCATGAACGGCCAGCGGAACGGCGGCGCGCGCATCACTGTCACTGCACCGGCAGATGGCGTCGAGCATGCGCGACAGAAGCTGCAGGAGGCTGTTGTCACCGCCTCTGAGCGCGGGACCCCGCTGGTTACGCTTGACGTCGGGTTTGTGCAGACGGTCCTGACGTTGCTCGAGCAGCAGCAGCATGACTACAGTGCGCTGAAGGGCAACTTGGATGGCATGAAGGTACGTACTGCGCCTACCTTTCGGGAGATTTGATCGGCTGACATGATGACTTGTGGCGTGTAGCGGGCGAGCAAGCAGTACATGGACGGCCTGACCGTCGCTCAGACGGAATACGACCGAGAGCTCAAGGCGCGGCGCGACGCTGAGGCTGAAGTGACACGCTTGCGAGTGCTGTTGTCAGGTCAAGCTGCGCGGCTGAACGCTATCTCGGGCGAGTCCAAGCGTCAGGAGGCGCAGAAGCAGCTGTCTCGAGAAATCACTGACCAGATGTCGACGCTCGAACGCGACTTGTCGAAGCTGAAGGTCGAGCGCGACATGACATTGGCAGAGGTCGAGCAGCTCTCCGCGTCCCGAAAGTGCGTGATGACAACCCCCCATACGTCATTGTTTTGCTCACTTCGCCATTGTTCACCAGCTCCCCCGCCGTGGCTAATTTCGAAGACGGCGGCGCCTCGATGACAAGGGCGCTCTCGATGCGCTTTGACAACATCAAGACGCAGTACCAGCACGAGCTCATCCCCTTGACCGAACAGCGCGAGATCCTCGTGCGCGAGCTTGCGGAGCTGAGAGCCTCACGGGACGCTTTCCTGGAGGAGACCACCGTCCTCAACCAGCGCAACGAGGAGCTCGCCCAGCTCAACGCCCAGTACCAGCGCCGCCTCGAGGCCGCCGCCAACCCCGGCCCGCCCAAGGAGGACAACGTGCTGCAGGAACGCCGCGACAACAACTCGTTCGACCGCGCACGCTCGCCCCCAATGCTCAACGCCTCTGTATCGTCCACGACGCTCGCCGCGACCGACGAGTCGGCCGAGACGAAGTTCATCAAGATCTCGAAGCCGGACGTGCAGGACACGCCGCAGCCAGTGAAGGCACGGTTCATCAAGTGGCCGGGCTCGAAGGCGGCGCCGAAGGAGAACGTCGCGGTGAACGGCGTGGACCAGGGCAAGCCCAAGTGGCGCACGGAGCACATCTTCCAGCAGGTCAGCGTGCTGCGCGTCGCGCGGTGCGACCACTGTGGCGACAAGATGTGGGGGTCGCAGCTCCGCTGTACTGGTAGGTCGTGCGGATGGTATTGGATAGTCGCGATGATGCTGATGAAGGGATCGTAGCTTGCAACGTCGCGGTGCACACGCGTTGCATACATAGCGTGAACCTCGCATGTTCGCAGCAACAGGTATTGCGTGACGATGGACAGCCTCTGGCGCCCCTACGTACGTGTTTATAAAGCGTATATGAGTGTCAAGACTCAAGACTAACCCTCTTACAGCACCCTCCATGTTCGGCCGGGATCTCATCGAGCAAGTCAGTGCTGACTCAAGGGAGGAGCCAAGAGTACTCCCGGTCATTGTTGAGAAGTGTATCGACGCAGTCGACTATATCGGTACGCCAAGAAGGTCGCGTTCTATGATTATCTCTCTAACACGCCCTATCAGCTCTTGACCTCGAGGGCATCTACCGCAAGACTGGCGGTTCAGGCCAGTCCAAGATGATCACGCAGCTGTTCGAGCGCGGCGACTATACATCCTTCGACCTTCGGGACACCGAACGCTTCAACGACATCTGCAGTGTCACATCTGTGCTCAAGTCGTACCTGCGTGCGCTGCCAAACCCGCTCCTGACCTTCGAGCTGCACGATCAGTTCATCAGCGCTTCCACTCTTCGGGATCCGTCTGTGAAAGCTAATACGTTCGCCGACCTCGTTCATGAGCTTCCGAGGGAGCACTACTACACTCTGAGGGCACTGATGCTCCACCTCAATCGGTACGCCTATCGCACCCGTTTCTTGTGTACGCGTATTGACGAGGTCATCTGTAGTGTATGCGAGAGAAGTGAGCAGAACCTCATGCACGCAAGGAATCTCGGCGTTGTTTTCGGACGTGAGTCATATCTACCGGAAATGACAGACCAGCTGCTGACGCGTTCGTATAGCAACATTGATGCGTTCGCGCGACCCCGGCGCGGAGTTCAGCGACATGGCAGGCAAAGCACTTTGCATCGAATGGTTAGTCGAGAACGCACCACGGGTCTTCGAGCAGCTGCCGCCCGTCTCATGAGCCCCAATTCCCGTCACGATGTGCCCCTATAACACTATCACTATCCGTATTTGTCCCGCGCGCCCGCCTCTCTCTATCTCTCTCTTTCTCCTTACATCACGGTCTGTAGCCCTGTAGAACCCGCACCGCCGCTGTACCAAAATATCCCTCCCCTCTCTGCATTCCCCTTGTTTATACTCTCCACCATGCCTCCATTCTCCATTCTGCGTTCCCCTCCATCTGTCTTGGGTAGCCTCTTTCTTTCCACCGGGGACCTCTCGCTTCGTTTCTCTCGTCTGTCCCACTACTACTACTACGCGTCTTCGCGGTATGTACGGCCGTAGTAATGCCCGCTCGTTGCATCCTTCCACACTTTCACGTTCTCTTCTCCGCAGCATTGGTATAACGCCGCAGCCTACGTATCTATACCCGAGCCCTTATAAATATGTATACCAGCCTAACTACCGAGCCCTGCAATGCAGACCGTTGTCCCCCGGGAGCAGGGGGTATGGAACGTCGCTCATACTACCGGAACTTACATAGAAGATGTATTGTGCATCTCAAGCGTGCGAGATATACACCCATGATCAAAATCCACATGATATATTGTCCAGAAGAACGAACTGGAGGAAGCGAAGGGGAATAAGATAGTCGAAAACATGGATAACAACCAAGAACAAGATATCGTCATATCGGAGCAACCAAACCCGCGGTCACGTCTGCTCGCGCGACCGCTTCGACCGCGCCGGCTCGTTGTGCAGCGTGCAATAAAGGAAATGTCGCCGAGGGCCCAGCGTCGCCGTCCCCGCGACAGCAGCTACGCGCGCCCCGAGCGGCGCGGTGTCTGTCCCGCTGCCACGTACGCCCAAGGAGAACATGCGGTCGAACACTGCAGAATGTCACATGTTAGCATGCGGCCCCGCCTTAGGCTTGGGGAAAAGATAGCTTACAGGTAGCGACGAACGCCTTCGCGGTCGTCTGGCAGCTGAGGTGCGTGAGCGAGAGCGGCGGGCTGACGCCCTCGAACGTGCGGAGGTACCGGAAGACCATGGACGGCTGGCAGGGCCCAAAGCGGAACACAGCCTGATACGCCTGCTTCCACTTCTCCTCGAGCAGGCGTGCGCAGTTCGCTGGGTCCGGACACGAGAGACACTATCGATGCGCGCGACATTAGTCAGACCCTGGATGATCACAACAGACGGCAAGCACATACACATTGGTACTCTTTCGCGATCTGCACGAGCCCGAGCTTGAGGACGCGCTCGAGGAACCACGTACGGCGCTTCTCGAGCTTGAGCAGCGTCGCGGGGCTGAGCGTGCTCAGCTCGTCCTCGGACCAGCCACCGGGGTTGTCTAGCACGAAGCGGCTCGCCTCGCTGTAGAGCGCCTCCTCGTCGAAGAGCTCCGCGATGCGCATCGCCTTGAGCGGGCGGCCCGCCGCGTGCGTGAGCAGGAACGTGAGGCACTCCGTCTGCAGCGCGGGGACGTGCAGCTTATGCGAGATGTTCATGAGCCCCTCGACGTTGTTCCAGGTGATCGTGCACACGAGGCTACAGCGCGCGTGAGCGGACGGCGAGCGGGGCGCGAGTGGGCGGGTACATACTGGGGATAGATATATTTCAGGAAGTCGTGGAAGGTACTAGCCTACGCTGTGGTTAGTGCACTCGGTCGACGCGGCTACCCGACGCTCCTACCTTCTCTTCCTTGAGCACGATGATCGCGTCTGGCCGTTTGTCCTGCAGTCGCGTCTGCCGCCGCTTTGATGTTCGGGACGCGAGCGACGCCGGCGGTTTGCCGTCCACATCCGGGGCCTTTGCCTTGCCTTTCAACGTCGTATTGGGACTGGTCGGCGTCGCGGGGCTTGATTGCTCCAGCTTGCTCAGGCTGTCCTCACGGGCCTTCGCCTTGTCCTCGGAGCTCAGCTCGCTCTCGCCGTCGGTCAGGTCGTCGCGGATGATGTCGACGTCAAACGCGAGCTCGTCCGGGTCCAAGTCTGGGTCCATAGGCGCGAACGTGATCTCGGACTGCCGCTGTGAGGAGGCACTGCCGCCGGGCACCGTGGGTGGCTGCGAGATGGTGATCACAGAGGACATGGACTGGGGGCGCGCTGTATCGCGCTCCGTTTCGGCCCAGCCGCCGCTGAGCGCGGCCTGGAAGAAGGCGGAGGCAAAGTAGAGGACCTCTTTATGAGCCCTGGACCGAGCGCACGGGTGCTCAGCCACAGCACGGGCGCGTGCGGAGGATGCGGGTGCGGGGGTACTCACCAGAACGTGGTAGCTTCGACGACGATCTTGACGTTCCCGGGGAAGCTGTATGCGCTGGTGAAGGTCTCTTCGATCTCGATGGGGTCCTCCATGTCGCCGTTTGTGCTGAGGGAGGAGGCTATGCCATCCGACTCGTACTCTTCGAAGTACCAGGGCGGGGAGCCGGCGGACCTGAATATCCCGGCTGCAGCGGCGTGGGTCTCTGTAGGGGAGCTGAGAGAGGCGGAGTTGAGGTTGTTGGGCCCTCGTGAGTTGCGAGCGATGAGGATATGAGGCGGGTTCATCGTCGTCGTCCAAGTCTCAGTCCAAGCATCTCCGAGTCCTGGCATTCCGTTTCCTGTTAGTCTCGTTATGCGGGGTCAGCTAACTATTTAATATTGTTTTGTTTTTTAAAGACATCCAGTGGCGCTATAGTGTAGTGGTTATCACTTGGGATTCTGATCTCAGTGTTCCCAAAACCCAGGTTCGAGCCCTGGTAGCGCCTATTTACGCCTGGCTTCTGCTTTTTCCCTTTCACATGTAGTAAGTGCTTCTCAGACCTGTGAATCAAGCCTCCCACCGTTGGCCAGTTGGGCTTGTATGTTCCGTTTCATTCGACCCCTATATATGTAGCTGCCATGAGAGGGAAACGAACTCTGCTCGACTCCACCTAGGGTAACGCCATCTTAGAATGAACCCGCCCGCAGGTCGAGGGCAATATTTGCTGGGAAATGCTGCGATGGCCTTCTGCAACCATTCCTAGTAGCTGTGATCAACTCTTGGCTGTCCCCACATCGCGTGCGGTCGTATGGGTTGTCCTCACGCACCACTGCAGAGCCTCTTCGAGTCCGAGTCGTCGCAAGCTTTCGCTCAACCTGCGAGCTTTGTGCAAACCCCGTTCAACCAACGTTTCAAGCGGCAGCCATCCTGGATTATCTCGTCACCACAAAAATTGCACTACAATGCAGCAGCCCGGCTATGTAAGTGCTCACTCAACCCTTGGCTTGTACACTCGTCTCAGCTTCCAGTTTCAGGAAACGCGCATGTCCATTACGGACAGCCCAGTACTATCTTTGCATATCTTGCCTTCGATATGGCTCCGCGGAAATTGAGGCTGCTACGACCCTGCAATGCACAGCGCAGGTTATAATCCGCACATCGCGCTCTACGTCCTCAGGTCGAGCCTGCCACCTCGTGCTCTGTCCTACAGTGCTTCTCCTCGGGTTCACTCTCGCCGTGCGCGCTGGTGCAGATGCAGCCCGTTTCTTTCTCACCGCTCTACTTTGTCTTGGCATTTCTGGGATTGCTGTCGGGGACGGTACTCTCTGCCAGTGCGCCTACCCGGGCAAACAGCGGTTCTCCGAAGGCTCAGACCGACATCTGGCCAGCAAACAAAGCCTCCTTAGGGTCTGGGAACACAACATCTCCCGCCTCTAGAAACTCGACGTCATCCGCAAACAATGTGGTATATGGGTCCACACCCGCATTTGTCGTGTACACCGACAGAGTCACTGGCGGGGACGTCCTCCCGCCTGTCTCCAAGATAGAGGTAAGCTCTTCAAATACCTGACCACCCACAGAGCTAATCATCATCTCGTGCATCTCCCCAGGGTTACACTGTTGTGTACGTCCGAGGAAGACAGAGATTTCCCGAGAGCACGGCTAACTTCCTACAGTGTTCTCTCCTTCCTCCTAGTCTCGGGGGCAGCGGACCAAGCCGCCGCCTGGGCTGCATTGAGCGCTGACACGAAGGCCGCTATCAAGACGGAGTACAACGCGGCGGGTGTCAGCGTCATCGTCTCCGCGTTCGGCGCGACGGACGCTCCGACGAGCGGCGGCGTGGACCCTGTCGCCACCGCGAACGCTATGGCGCAGTTTGTGCTCGACAACCAGCTGGACGGGATTGACGTGGACTATGAGGTGCAGAGTTACCCCACTGAGCAGCGGCTGCGAGGGAATTTTCTACTAACGCCTGTTCTAGGACCTGACTGCGATGAACGCGCGCGACGGCGGCGCGGAGGCGTGGCTCGTATCGTTTACTCAGACACTCCGCAAGAAGCTGCCGAAGGGGCACTACCTCCTGACACACGCACGTAAGTATAAGTGAACTTCTCTCGGTAATGTTGAGCTCATCTATTCACCGAGTATAGCCGTTGCTCCTTGGTTCTCACCTGTGTTCAACACGACTGGCGCATACTTGACTGTCCACCAGAAAGCCGGTGACTTGATAGATTGGGTAAGTCCCCTCCGCTACCTACTTCACGATACCTACACTCACTTTTGCACAGTACAACGTACAGGTGACGTCCACTTCACTCATCAGCACGCACTGTTCCGCTTACACGAGTCCCCGCCCATCGTTTTGCAGTTTTACAACCGTAAGCCCGCGTCTCGCCTTGTACATTCTCCCCGTCTCACTTCCAGACCACAGAGGGCGACGGCATGTACACAACTTGTGACGGCCTACTCACCACGTCAGGCGGCTTCTGGCCAGGGTCCGCGCTGTTCGAGATCGCACAGGCCGGGGTACCCCTCGAGAAACTCGTCATTGGCAAATACGCCGCGGAGGGCGGCGGCGCGTCGGGCTTCATGGACCCGAACACGCTTGGCGAGTGCGTCGCGCAGGCGCGTGAGTTGGGTTGGAGTGAGTACCGCTTTTAGTGTCATCGTTTGTGTAGTTGAAGGGGATGAGTGCTGACGGGCGTACGGTTCAGGTGCGGGCATCATGACTTGGGAGGTATGTGTGGTGTTTGGAGTATCTTACCGCTGTTGACTAAATGCTGCCGTGCCGTACGACAGTACCCCGACGCAAACTCTGCGTGGATTAAGGCGGCCCGCGGCTCTGCTTTCCCTCTGTGAAGGATTTTGCTACTAGCAAATCGTCATGCTGAACGTCCCCGTAGTCCCCGTGCCTCCTTTTTGTATCATACGGGCTGCTGATATCCGCGATGGAGCTCACGAAGATGGCCTGTCACGCGTGAGAGGGGCATAGCTGATAGTCCAAGAAAGCACAGTACAAAGCAAAGATGCCGAGTCAAACAGGAAGGCCGCCAACAGCTGACGAGCTTACATGATCTCGTCCAGCGTCATGTCGCCCTCCCCAGCGACCTCGTCCGCATCCCCAGCCGCCATCGCCATCTCCGGCACGCTCGCCAGCCTCGCACTCGCACCCGCGCCCGACACAGATCGCAGCTCGCTCTCAGCCAGCCCAGCCGGGACACGGCCGACGCGCGTGATCGTCGTGCGCGGCTTCGCGTCCTGCGGGACCGCGACGGACTTGTACAACCCGAGCTCGCGCTGCAGCCCGTCGTTGTCCACGAGCGCTCCGTCCCGCTCGCGCATCGCCGCAAGCAGTTGCTGCGCCGTTCCATCAGCATACGTTCCGCGTCAATGGGGAAGGGGGAGAAAGGGGAAATGGGGACGCACCTGCTTGGTGTCGTGGAGCTCGCGCCGAATGCGGTCGACGTACATGATGCGCTGCGCGGGGTTGTGGTGCCCGAGCAGCTCGGCGTTGTGCTTGCTCAGTGCCTGCGCCTCGTCCTCGGCGAGCGCGTTGCGCAGCACGAGCGCGTCGACCTCTGCCAGCAGAGCGTTGTACGCCTCCTCGTACCTTTCCGCTTCTGCAAGGTCTGTGCTGAGTCTGTTTGCGGAAAGGCGGGCATCGTCAGTACTTGTAGGCTGCAGATGCTACGAGTCATGAGACACGCACTGCTCGACTTCGCTGCGGAGGAACTGCTCGGCCTGCTTCGCCTTCTGGACCGCAGCGCTCAGACGCTGGCTCCCCTCCTTCTCGCGCTGCAGATTCTGCTCCGCCCGCGCGAGCTCAGAACGGGCATTCGCCTGCGCGGTCTCCAGCTCCTTCTTGATCGTAGCACTCTGCACCCTGGCCTCTGCAAGCTCGGCCGTGTTCTCGGCGAGCATGCGTTGTGCCTCGGCGCACTCGGTCTGGGCACGCTGCAGCGACTCGGAGAGCAGAGCCTGAGTTGCTTCAGAGGCGGAGAGCTCCCCCGTGCGCTTCGTCAGCTCGGCGCGGATGTCGTCGAGTCCCTTGTTGAGGACCGATGCGTGGAACAGGAGGGAATCACGCTGTGAGCGATCGAGGGCGCCCCAGAGCTGAACGTCGGCTAGCACGGCCTGATGTGTTTCGGCTTGCAACGCGAGTTGTTCCCGAGAAACGGTCTCCAGCCCGCTGGCGATGTCAGCTACTGAGTCGGGAATGCCGAGCGTGTCCGCAGCAGAAGCAAGTGCGTGTCGGTACGTATCGACTTCGTGGCGCGCCTCGCGAAGCTGGGTAGAGAGGAACACGTTCTCGTCCTTCACTTGGCGGATGAGGTTCGCGAGCTCGACGACCTGGCCTTCGCTGTTCGCAAGCTTCCTCTCCAGACGGTTGCTGCGCAGCTGCAAAGCAGCCGTATCTCGCTTGGCTTGTTCATGCACAGACAGAGCAACACTCGCGGATGCGAGGCGGCCGTACTCGTCCGCGACACGCGCAAGCATGGCCCGGTGCTGCTCGAGCTGAGCAAGGAGCTCTTCCTCAGTGTCCTGCGAGCTGGCTTCGAGTTCCTCCAAAGCCTGTCGTGCGGACTGCGCCTCCTTCTGTGTCTCCTGGAGTCGCGCCTCGAGATCCTGCGCTGCTGCCCGCGCTTCATCGACCCTGCCGTCCGTCTTAGCCTTAGCCTCCTGCCATCGCGCCTCTGCTGTCTCCCGCTTCTTGCGCTCTGCAGATAGCGTCTTCTCCATTTCCGCGATCTTGCGGTCACGTTCGCGCAGGTCATCCTTGCGCCGCGCCTCCGCCGCCTGCAGCGCCTTGCGGGTCTCCCCGGCATCATTGTGTTTGGACGCGAGCTGTGTGCGCTCGTGCTCGCTCGCGCGGAGCTTCAGCCGGAGCTCACGGAGCTCGGACTGTTCTGTGGTGCTCGCTTTCTTGAGCTCCTGGACACGGACGTCGAGCGCGTCGTTCTGCTTCCTGAGTTTATCGGCGCGCTCGGTCTGCTCGGTGGCGGTCCTTTGTGCGCGGTTCAGCTCGAGCTTGAGCCGTTCCTGTTCAAGATGATGCTGCGCGAGATGTTAGGTGAACGGATTGTAAAGTTGAGATGGAACAGACTCACAGCTTTCTTCTCTTCGACATGTATCCTCTCCAGGTCCTCCAGCTTACGTTGAAGAGCTTGCAGTCGGTCGGTGCCTACGGGTGGCTTCGTGGCGGGTGGCTTGTTCTGCGCGTTCGTCGGGTCTGTGTCATACGCTCCAGGTCCTGCACACGGTCTGTCAATACTTCGTGAGTCCAACAATTATCGCGCAAGGGCTGACCTGGGACGTCTGAGGGCTTGTCCTTGTTGAACCTGTTTGTCTTCTCGAGGAACGCTCCGCGCTTGTAGGCATCGTACTCCGGGTCTTCCTCTGCTATCAGAACAGACTGTAAACGCATGTCGTACATGCTTACCTTGAGGGTTATATGCGCCTGGTCCTGGCACCTCGGAATCTGCAAGCGTGTTAGTGCAAATTCCACAGCAGAAGTAGGTGAATCAGGACCTTTAGCGGCTTGGAATCTGGCGCCCCTGGGAAACATAGTGTGTATGTGCAAGTGGTCGTGTCGAGGTCGTCAGTATCGTCTGTATCGTCGAGGTCGTAGCCACTATGAGGACGCGGTGGCTGAGGATGTTCAACTGGCCCCTGGGTCTGTCGCGTAAACACGACCAAACACCATCGACGCGACGTCGGACGCGCTAGAAAGGCGCCCACGTGACCGTCTCATCACCCGCGACGGTCCACAGTCGGCCGCAGTCGGTCCACTGCTCAGCGTTCAGGCTCGAGTTCGTCTTGCTTCCGATGTCCGTCAGGCAGTTCGCTTTCGAGCATGCATAGGATGCAGTAGGTATTCTGTGCGACCTTCGAGGGCACCTACACTCATCTAAATATTGTGGAATATCCAGCAGTTACACGTCGAACTTCTCGCATCAACTGTACCAATCGAACAAGCCAGTGCCCGAGGCTTGGGGACGGAATCGTCTTGGATCGCATTCGCTGGCCAGTACGGTTTTTCAAAAGACGTCACCATGTAGCATCGGACACCATGCATCGTGCATCATGTTGCTTGGGATGCATGCCTTGAATGACCCGCTCCTGCGCGCGTGTTCCCCGCCTGCGGCCCCACTTCGCCGACTTCACGACCACCCGTGACGAGTTCAGAACGCCAGACGCCACGAAGGAGCACCGCTATGATCATTTTTTCCTCATGCAGGTCGTCCTCGCCCCATCACATAATATCGCTACGACTACACGGTGCAGGTGTGCACCCGGCCGACAGCAAGGCTCCTCTTCCTTCTCCATGCCGTCACTAGGCGGCGGTACCGAGCAGGTACCCTCTCAGCCTCGCCGTGAGGTGCGCGTGTGAAAAATATCTATAGCGTCGGATGGTATGTATAAAGGACGTAGACGTTTGTGTGTATTCTCAGTCAACGGTCCCTCTCCTTTCCCTCATCCACCACTCTCCCCTGAACTTCGCCACCCTCCTACACCACCATGAAGGCCGTCTTCGTCGTTCTTGCCCTCTCCGTCTCCGCTCTTGCCCAGGGTGTGAGCATTACCCAGCCCCCCGCCGGCTCCACCGAGAAGCAGGGCCTCCCCATGACCGTCGTCGTCCAGAAGCAGGTGCGCTCAGTGGCGCCGCACGCCCCTCTCCGCCCCGCCGCTCGCTCACCGCGACTGCGCCTGTGTTATATAGAACTCCCTCACAGGCTCGCAAGACGTCGCAGTCGCCATCGGGCTCCAATCCTGCGGCACAGCGAGCTGCGACAGCCTCCCGAACGAGTCCGTCGGCCCGCTGCTCTTCACGGGCGAGTACGCCCCCAAGGCGGACGCGTCCGGGAACGTCACGCAGAACTACATCGTGCGCGTCCCCGCCGACATGGCCCCCGGCCCCGCGCGCCTCTCCGTCGCCCACTTTTATATCCTCGGGGTGAGTGTAATGTAGCGTTCGGGAAAGTCGTGCTGTGCTGAAGTACTAACGCTTGTGCTAGGCTTCGGAGATGGCGACGATGGACGTGGCGCACACGACCCTCAATATCACTGCTTGAAGTAGCTCATGAACGTTTGAAGGAGAGGATTAACATCTCGTCGGAATGAGGCATTCGCACACGCATTTTCACGGACGCTATTACACTCTTACGTCTTCTAATGCACATCGCAATCGCACGCATTCTTCGGAAGATATATGCTAAGCAGGCATCCTGAGTTACAAACGTCAAGTACCGTGCACAGCTCGTGAGGTACATTCAATTCAGGGTAGGATAGACTGGCAGTCAAACAAAAGCCTACGACGTACTCTAGCTTTGGTGGAGTCAACAACATACACAATACTACATAAGATTAGAGAAGAATAACACCAAGCATTGCGCATAGCTAGGGGACATCAGAGACGACAAGATAGGACTGGTAGGTACGTAAGAGTAGACGAGGTAGTTGTCCAACACAAGAAGGTCGGCAGGAAAGATGATAGAAATATACAATAGACATGTTATGTCGTAGTCGAGGAGCAAGATTTCGTCGTAGATGCCGTCATGGAGCGGTCGTATACAGATCGTAGGATGGGATAGTCGGTCATCTAGAGACCGAAAGCGGACGCGATCGACGGCGCCGCAGAGCCCTGCCTGAGAGCGTGGCCCAAGGGAGAGGCAACGGTAGCGCGAGGGAAATTGGCGGAGGATGAGGGGGCCATGGACGAGTCGTGGCGCTGGCGCTCCCAGAGCTTGTCCTTCGCGCGGATCTCGATGTTTGCAAAAGGCTCAGGCTGATCGAGCTTGACGCAGTCGCGCGTGCCGAGTACGAGCAGCTCGAAGAAGAAGGCAGCCGCAGCACGACGAGACGCCTACATGGAATGCGATACACGCTTAAGAGCGCTGCACTACCAGACACGGGAAGGAGCACATACCTTCTGTGCCATGTTGTTGAAGCTCATGTACTTGTCTTCGGCCGGCTCCTCCGCCGACGGCTCGAGGTCCTTACGGATGATCGACAGCGCTTTCACGGTGTTCTTGCTGTAGCCCTTGCCGTCATCGCTTGATGCGGGCTCCGTCCGCGCCTGGCTCTGGCTTTGACTCGATGCGACACGATCGTCGAATACTGCGATCGGGCATGTCACATCAGCATGGCTCTCGTCGCCCTCCTCCAACATCACGTCGGGTGGTGGGGTCGAGAGTCGGCTAGAGGGGGCCAAGGACTTGCTTCGTGCACGCTCGGCCTCAGGCCCAACGGCGCCGCCTTCGAACTCGGGGATGTCCATGTGGAAGTCCTCGCCCATACCGCTGTTGTCGCCGAAGGCGAAGTCCATGCCGGGGCCCATGCTTGCGCGCCCGTACACGTCGCTGCCCAAGGCGAGACTGGGTGCGCGGCTGCCCTCGCGACGGGCCTGTTCGAGCTCTTCTTCGTCGCCCGCGACGCTGCCGTCCACTCTTCGCTTCTTGCTGGGGGGCTTCTCAGGCGATGCACCACGCCGCTTGGAGGCGTTCAGGTTCGTAACCGGGCGCATGAACATGTCTGCGAGTTCTGGCACGAGACCTGGCGGTGCAGCAAAGAAGAAGGTACCCTGAGCTGTCGTCTTCGTAGGCAGGAAGTGTGCGATCGGGTCGTCCCTGATTTCGAGCAGACGCATAACGAGCGACGAGCGGGGAAGGGTGGAATGCTCTGTCACAATATCGCTAACATCTTTGGTCACCGGTGCACCAAGACCAGCATTGCGGCCCCGTCCGACCTGTGCTCCGGGGCCGTCTGCAAGCTCAGTGACAGAGTCGATGATCTGCTTCTTCTCCTTTTTCTTCTTCGTTGCCTCCTCAGCAACCGCCTTGGGCGTCAGCTGCACATCAGGAGGTGGCGTCTGCGGAGGCTCAGTGAGAGGGGAAGCTGTTCAACGGTCAGCCGCAGCAATATAAACTTGAACACTCAGGACTTACATGCACGCGAAGGGGTGAGGTGGGGAGTGGGTGCGTGATCGCTCAAAGGCTCGTCTCCAAATGAGATACCGAGATCGACGTCCATGCCGCCAGCGTCGCCGAAGCCCATGTCGATATCAGGTCCACCGAATGGGTTCTCCGATTGGGCTCTGCTCCGCACAGACAACAGGTCGAAGTCTCCCTCAGCGTCGTGCGCACCAAGCAAGTGCGAACCCAGCGACTCTCTGAAGGGACGCGGCGCAGCCGCGTCTCGTCCGACCTCTACGCTCATTTCGTCATCTTCGTCGCGAGGAGTTGCGCGGTCGGCCGGGGCAGGTCCGTCACCGAAGTCAAGGTTCAGATCTATGTCGTAGTCTTGAGAGCCAATCCCGTCCGACGGACCGAGGTCGAATCCATATCCGGTGTCCTCTAGGTCGAACGTGAAATCTGCGTTGCCCAGGGTGATGTCAGCCGCACGAGCGATGTGTTGCCCTCCTGGTTGGACGTCTCTGCTCTCGAAGTCTGCGGTGTCCCTGGGGCGGCACATTAGCCACAGTCACACGAGCGCAGTTCAAACGGCATACCAATCGAGGTCAGGAAGAAGAGCATCGAGATCAAAGTTGTTGCTTTGCAGCGTGATGGCATTTTGGTTGACCGTGAGCTGGTCTTCCGTCATGTCGACCAGGCCGGGCCGGAATGCCTACAGGGCATGGTTGGAACAGAATTTGAGGGCAGCAGATGAAGGCGTACCATCTTGATCTTGAGCAGTGCCTCATTACAATCATCCAAGAGGTATTTCGCCTTCCGGCTGTAGATACGAACGACGCCGAGGAGCAGTTGGCCGCTTAGCCGCAGGGCCATGACCTCGATTTCCTGGTGCATGATAGCGTCTACGAACGCGTCAATCCCCGCGGATGGATTCGCATACTTGATTGCAGTACATACCGACAGACTGCTCAATGTCCGTCTGGAGTGTTTGGGTCTTGGAGAGCTTGCGCTCCATATGTGCTGCGAGCCATACCTTCGCCAGGGGCCCGCGGCGGGAGAGGATCGCTTCGGAGTAGAACTGGCCACGGGAGTGTTACCAGATGGCCAAGACAAGCGAGGCGAGGACGTACCATGGGTATCCAAGAAATGCTGAGGAGGTAGCACGCGTCTGCGCGGGGGAGCGGGAGGGGGAGGGTGTCGCGACGCGGTGGTTTGGAACATGCCTCGATCCACGATCCCGCCTTGGCCCCTTTAGGCCCACGTGGCAGCTCTCCCACGCCTTCTTTATTCGGACGCCCGTTTTGAGTCTCTCTCAAGCGCGCAGGCGTTGCTCACTGGCTCGCGCTCGCTCTCGCTGTCTTTCCTGCCGTGCTCGCCATCCCAATGCTCGCGTCTTCTTCACGTCAGGCTCTCAAGAGGGCGCAGCACAAAATACGCTATGCTGCCGCAGAGTTGAACGCAGTTACTTGTACGTGCTGTTCTCCGTCTGAACGGACATGCCCCGAACTCACCCGTACTTACAGGCGTTCGCGAACAGCGACGATATGCCTCCGCTGCTCAGCTCGCTGTCGATCTATCGGCATATCCTAGCCCGTCTGTCATTGTAGCTAACAATGGGATGCGCCAGCGCTCCGAGGGCAAGTTTCGGGGACCGACGAATACGCCTCTCGCCCAATACAACATGCGAATGGCTGCCCACCTCGACCACGGCAGATCACATGCCGTCATGACCCTTGCGAAGCGCATGAAAGATGAAGGCATAAAGCCCGATACGACCACCTACAACCACATGCTAAATGCGTGCGCGAAGGAGGGCTTGTTTGTCGAAGCGCGCGCCGTCTTCGAGGATATGGTAGCACTGGGAGTGCGGCCGAGTCGGGAGACCTTCCACCACATGATGAGGGTCAGTTCTGCTCCATATGATCCTCGCTTCGCGCTTGCTTAGAATTCACAATCTACAGACATTAGCACTAGTCGAACAGCACCCTCTGCAAGAGCTCCTCAAGGCGATGGGAGAGTGGTCTATCCCTCCAAACGAAATCACGTACGAGATCATCATCACGCGCCTCGCAGAAGCAGACCGCCTAGAACTCGCCCTGCAATACCTCGCGAAGCTTGCGCCAGCCGGTCTTGCCCCCACGCTCAACACCGCGTCCGCCATCATTACTCGTGCTGCCGCGCTTGGGTTCTCGCGTCTTGCTCTTGACCTGGCGGTCGCTTTCGAGGAGACTTCTGTACGGCGGTTGGACGGTGAGGTTTGGGTGGATGTGCTCGTTAGCTGCGCAGAGGGCCTCTATGTAAGCACAGTCCTTGCAATCCATATGTCTTGCGCTGACATAGTCGGCAGCCGGAAGGTACTGCTCGCACATGGCAAAAGGTCGCCCACGACCTCCACATCCTTCCAGACGAGGGATGCTGTCTCCAGGTCCTGCACACGGCCGCGCGACACGGGCTCTCGGACCTCGCGCTAGACGTCATCAGCGTTCTGAAGAAAATCAACATCGTCTGGTGCGAGTACCACATCGCGCCCGTCCTCGAGGCCATGTGCCGCCACGGCGACCTCAAGGAGGCGCTCATCATGCTCGACTTCATGCGCAAGAGCGACATCACGCCCTCCCTCGAGACCGCCGAGCCCATCCTGCAGCTCATCAACAAGGACACCGAGGCCGTCGACAACGCCTGGGGCCAGCTCGAAATGCTGCACGAGGAGGGCTCCCCCGTGGACGTCGTCGCGCTCAACGTCGTCATCCAGGCCGCCGTCGCCCTGAACGACCTCCAGCGCGCGATCGGCACGTACAAGGCGAGCGCGGCCCTCGGCGTCACCCCAAACATCGACACGTTCAACCTGCTCCTCCTTGGGTGCGTCGTCGCGCGCCACCGCGAGCTCGGCGACCGCCTGCTCGCGGACCTCAAGGCCGCGGGCATCCGGCCGGACGAGACGACGTACGAGCGCATGGTGCGCCTGTGCCTCACGCAGAGCATGTACGAGGACGCGTTCTTCTACCTCGAGGAGATGAAGTCGCTCGGGATGGTCCCGCCGCGCACCGTGTACGAGGCCGTCATCCGCAAGCTCGTGTCCGTCGGCGACGTGCGCTACAAGCTCGCCGTGGAGGAGCTGCAGGAGTGCGGGTACGAGCTCTCGCCGCGCTTGAAGTCGTTCATCGACTCGGGAGGCTCGCACGACGTGCAGTCGTCGGCGCAGCCGGAAGTCCTGTTGTAGGCGGACCAACTCCCCACCGTCAGATTTCCGGTGATAGCTGGAGACCCTTCCCGTTTATCGTAGTAATACAGTCTATTTGGGTATAAACCTGCTCCTGCTCACATATGCTAGCCGCCTATCCGCTTTGGAACAGCCAGACTATATAACATTTATAGGTGAGCTGTAAGTAGACGTTGGACTCGTAGCAATCTCGCGTCGCAGTATCAGGCGTGATGAATCTGAGTCCAGTGTCTGTGCTGCGTCAGCGTTCTATCTGAACAGGTCGGCTCGGTGCCTTGAACATGGCCCATGTGTTACCATACACCCTTACGACGTTCACGACATCTCTGTCTTGCCGTCAGTACGGCGTAACGATTACCTGAGCCTGCGAAGGGTAGTTCTGCGACTCGAAATTCGCGAGCGCTAAACCCACCCGGCATACCCCGACTGCTCATCCCGACTGCGCCCGTGCAGCGCGAGTTGAGTACTTTTCAACGCGACGGTAAGACGGGTACTTGGGAAGGAGAGCGCGACGTTTAAAGATATGACAATGCTGAATTCGCGAAAATTCGACTTCGGCTGAACCTGGGAAGACCGGGCGCTATTTTCCACCAACACACGTGCACGCCGCTTAAAGCTGTTCATTTCGAGAGCATTCGAGTAACAAAACTGTCCACCCACATACGCCATATCAGGTAGCGTACAACGGTGCTAACGCAACCTGATGGAACAGGTTAGAGGCGGTAGGGTTCTTTCCGTATCCCAAAGATCTCGTCGCGCGACGGTCCTTATTCGAGCGCCCGCACCCACCACACACATCGGTGCGAAAGTACTGACTCATGCAATATTAGAGAAATAAACCTAAACTGGCCCTCGCACCATGAGTACAGACATTTTGAGTTGTCGACATATTAGAAATAATCAGGCTCAGGTCAGTGCCGACGCTGAGTCGGCACTTCTAGTTCACAACGTGGCCAAAACAAAACAATTAGCCCACCGCGAGGGTCGAACTCGCAGCCTTCAGATCACCCGCTAGTAAGAGTCTGACGCTCTATCCGATTGAGCTAGGCGGGCGATGTTGGATTATTTCTCCAATTGATTATATCTCACTCGCGAGTGTATCCAGCCACATAACTAAAGAGATACATACATTAACCACCGTCTAATAACTTCGAAGGCCTTATACAATAGTCCGAAGGGCCAAGTTTGCACAGAGGGTCAGTCAAGCTCCTATAATTCGAACGAATGAGCCCCTTTGGTACGCTCATGCAGCCTTGCTCTTCGCAGCTTTCCCCGCGCGTTTTGACGCGATTTCGGCGAAGATGCTTCCGTCGAACACCCTCCGAACGTCCTCCCTCTTCATGACGCCGTCCTCCGGCCACAACAAAATATACGTGGCAATCCCTAGGAGTTCAGACAATCGTGAGCGCACATTCGGACAATACAAGGAAGCACTGCTCACACTCAAAGAACGCGCCAAACCATCCAATGGGGTCCATGATTACGCGCTGCCCCTTCAGCGCCTCCCACAGGTCCGAGAGGGTCAGACCATCCTTCCCGTTACTGTACTTGTTGAAGAAGTCCTCGAACCTGCCGGACAGCCCGTTCAGCCCCGGCGCGCATACACGCAGCACTGCAGTAAAGACACTCACTTCTGCGGCACGAACCGGCCCTCGCCATCATACGTGCCCGAGTCGCTCCCGTGCTTCGCCCGGTGCACGTTGTCCAAAAACAGACGGAAGAACGGGTCCGGCAGCAGCCCCGGGCACGTCGGGTACGAGAAGTTGAGGTGGATGACGAGCACGGCGAGCGCGCTGAGGAGCACGCCGAAGCCGAGCGCGTGGAAGCCGCGGAAGGTGTCGAGCGGCCAGATGACGCCGTCGCCGTCCGCGTCGAAGAAGGCGCAGTGCTGCTGGAGCACGGTCTGGTGCGCGTGCTCCTCTGTCCACTCGGGGCTGCCGTCTGGGGCGGATGTGGTGGGGGCGCGGTTTGCGCGCGGGGTTCCTGTGATGCAACTGGTTTGAGTCGTGTTCGAGGGCGGTGTGGGGGCGTTGCTTACCGGCGTTGGGCAGATGCTTGCGCACGGCGGGGACTGGATTGAATGGCGGGCGAGTGATCGTCACGCGTACCTCGGGGACAGCGGTCTGCACGACGACGTTTGCCTTCTGGTCGGCCATAAGTTCGCGCTGCTCGTCGTTGCTCTGTGGCGTTTGGTATGCAGCGGGCGTGGTGGTAAAGGGGGGAAAGCGATTGGTTGATTGACGCGTCGTGTTCGTTCGTTCGAGACGCATTTAATGCAGCCCTGCGCTACCGTCGGTGACGTCAGAGTTGTGTCGATGCACGTCGAGCGGATCTATTCGCGCCCGTGCACGCATGGTGCATACTGCACGCGCAGCCTGTTGATTTCCCTGTTATCAGCGTAGTACTTGCAGGTGATATTATATACCGGCTCTCGTTAGTATTTTGCCTCCGACCCGTATGTCTGCCGGTGGCGCAGTAGGCGGTGGTATGACATACGAGTCCACCCACCCAAAAATGGGAAATGTTTGACCATATGTATCACGCACAGCAAGTCAGCGATACTCCTAGAAACGAGGCGGCGAGGGCACGAAGCTACGATGAGCAGAAATCCGTCTTGAGACTCTGAAACGGTACGAGCAGCCATTTACCTGAAACGAGAGAAAGGTTAGCACGGTCATGCGATGAAAATAGGTGTTGAATAATCACTAATACATACATACATGAGCCAACCGGCTAGAGTGCACGCCTCCGGAATCAAGCAGCAAAACGTCATCTTCGTACAAGCCAGCGCAGCCCCAAAGCATACACACACTATGAATGGCCCGTCGCGCCTTTCACCGCGGCCTTCAACCGCTGCCTCAGCCGCGACCCCTCGTCCTCTGCAGGCTGCACGATCTCCGCCGACGCCGCAGCGGCGCCCGTACTCCCCGGCAGATGTGCGCCGTCGGTAGGTTCTTGTGGCTGTGCCTTCGCGTCGCCGTTCTGAGCTGGTGTTGCGACCGTGCCCGCATCGTGGCCGTCGGAGACGGACGTCGACTCGTCTCGCTGGATGCCCAGCTCGCCGGGCGGAACCAGCTCAACGGTCTCGGTGAGCACGGCGACCCGTGTCCAACGACGATATCGGGTGTACTGTAAAGAGAATATATGAGTGCGTTCGTACACTCGCCTGGAAATCTCGTACCTTGCCCATCCCACCCTTGCCGCTCGCGCCCTCCCACTTGTTGTCCGCATACACCCACCCATCCGGGTCAGTGTACGGCTCCGTTTCCTCATCATCGTGCTCCGCGCCATCCTCCGCCGCCTTCTCCCCATCGCCCTCCTTCTCGCCCTTCCCAGCATCCACGCTCGGCTGCCGCATCTTCCCCGCCGCCTTCAGCAGCCGCGTCGCACTCGCCGCCGCCGCGCTCTCCTCCTTCGCGCTCGGCAGCGGCCTCTCCACACGGCTCGTCCCGCTCCCCTCGCGGCGCACGACCACGCGCCACTCGTGCTCCTCCCACTGCCACCGCGCCGTGCGCTTCAGGCGCTGCTTCCCATCAGGGGCCAGCGTGTATACTGTAGTGGGCGCGGGCAGCGCGAACGCACTCGGGGGCGCGGCGGGTTGTTGTGACGCCGAGCACCAGGAGGGCCGCTCCCCAGGGAGGAGCGCGGCCGTCCAGTCGAGCCCCATCCACCACCGCTGGTTCTCGTAGATCGTGAACAGGAAGCGGAAGGACGAGCCGGGGGCGCCCGATGCTAGGGACAGCGAGGACGACGATGCGAGCGAAGCCACCTCGGCGTCCGAGCGCGTCTGCGGGGAGAGCGTGATTGGGGGGAGCGGCTGGCCGGACATGACGGACCAGGCGCGGTAGGCGGCCCAGCGGAGGTGCGCGCTTCGCCAGAGGCCGCGCCGGACGACTGCGGCCCAGCGCGCGCGCCAAGTGAGGAGGATGGTGCCACTGATGGCGAGGAGGATGCGGAGTCGTACGAGGTAGGTGAGGAATAGATAGGGGGTGTAGAGTACAGCAAATACGCGGAGGAGAGCTAAGAGTGGGAGGACGGCGCTGGCGGAGGAGACTGAGGGGAGAGCAGGGAGGAAAGCGTGGATGGTCGTTAGATCGGCAATGGCACGTTGGATCGTGTCTTCCGTCACTAGAGCAGTGTTTTGCTGTGCAGCAGATCTTGAGCGCAATACTAGAAATAGGATGAACACAGCTGGCGGTAGGAGGTACCTGTTGAATCAGTTAGCAAAATGTAGAGGGATAATTTGTTCCCTTAAGCATGCGGCGGGTGGGGGCAGGGAGTAGGTCAGCTGGGTAGTACAGCCTGTGCTCAACCTGCCCCATCCCACGAAGGAGATGCCCCAACCATGCTAATTCATCGCGTGCTGGTAAAATGTGGAAGAACATACCTCAAGCCGAGCTCCGGTACAAGACACACCGCCCACCACGAGGCAAGAGCCAGCCAACAGTCCTCCCATGGCGCCTTCCAGCTGAGTATTTGTACAAGGTACCGCGCTCTAGCTATGGAAGGGGCGAGACCGACCAGAGTAGTCGCAAGCGGCGATGGGAGCGCATTGAGGAACTCGATGAGCGGGGACGTGTGCAGAGCATTGTCGAGCGGTTTGGACATCATGTACAGCGGAGTTGGGCGTAGCAGATCAGCCTGCAGAGGACATTAGACGTGGTGGTACGAGGGAGAGAGGCCAGACGCGGGGTGCAGAAGAGAAGAGAAGGTGCAATCACAAGCTTCCCCGCCGCGCTCTGTCGGACGGGATCCCTTTTCGGATGACGCGAGAGGCGTTGGTAAGCGCCCGGGACGCGGACCGTCTCGGGAACGGCACTCCGAGAATGTCGGACAGCGTCTCACGGGCGTCTACACGCTCGACCGTCGACCACCATGATCCTCTCGCGCCCAGTCCTTCTGGCCGGCTCCAGGAGACCTGCGTATTCGTGCATCAACTCTACATTTGGGATCTCGACGCGTTTTATAAAGCGTATGTCAGCTTTGCGCATCCTCGTCTCCGGTGAACGTAACGGATTCCTCTGAGTAGACCAGGCATCCAGATCCAAGCTACCTCCGCTGGCCTTCGCCTTTGACATAGTAGGCGCCATGTATACCCATGACTAGTTAGCGTACTAAGCTTTTCAGGATGGTGTTTTGCTAAGAGGTCCCCATACGATACCCGCGGCTCGGCGCGCCCTAGACATGCTCAATGGAGCAAATCCAATGGGAGTGTGAGTGGACATCCAGTGAAGGCGTGTCGCGTGTGCTTACATCCCTGGAAAGCAAGCTGCCATTCATACTGGTCAGTATCTACGTTGATTTCTCAATTACTATGACTCACGAAAGACACTGCAGCTCACCAATGGGGGTGGTGTCGGCGAAGAAGTCCGCAGGCGCAAGCTGAGCTCGCAACTCGGCGTCGATGTATGCATGTCCATTCTCTCTCAGAATTGTTTTCTCATGACGTTTGCACAGCTCGAGATCAACCAAATTGTCCAAGCACACACCATCCTCCAGTCTGTCTCACACAAATACGAGGACAAGCCTGTTCTAGTCCTCGGCGGCCGCAACGACGACGTTCGCAAAGTCGCAGAAGGGTCGGTTCAGTTTCCCGCACATTCTAGATTCCTCATTTGTCTCATTGCAAACACGTTAACTCTCACAGGTACGGTTTTAAGCACGCGTACACGACGTTGGACGTCCTCGCCTGGAAACCAGAGTGAGTAGCCCCCAAGTATGAATGTCCGATATTCGCTTAGCCAACCGATCCCTTTCACAGGGTTTGGCCGTTCCACGATCTCTCGCCCGAAGAGCGGGCTACCGCGAAGGTAAACCTTCCCTTCGTCACTCTATACGCCACTCAACCAAGCACTGCGAGTAGCCCGTAGATTTCTCCCGCACGCCCATCTCTGCCATCTTCGTCTTCCACGACCCGCGAAACTGGTCGCTCGACATCCAGGTCATGGTCGACGTGATTCGCTCGCGCGGCCTCATCGGCGAGTCCTATCTCGACACGCCCGCAGATCAGCAGCCGGTAGAGCTCGTGTTCTGCAACCCCGACCTGCTGTGGAAGTCGGACTTCTCGCAGTCACGGTTGGGGCAGGGCGCATTCCGGGAGGCGTTCCAGGCCGTGTACAAGGTGCGTCGCTGATTTCTTAGCCGTGTGGTTGATCGTGTCAGGATTTATGGATGTGTGCGCAATGTAGGCGGTCGTAGGCAAGGCGTATCCGTATGTGCAGTACGGGAAGCCGACTAAGGCGACGTACGAGTTCGGGGAGATGTTCCTCCTGGATCAGTTGGAAGAATTGCACTGCGAGGGTATAGAGCAGATGCCACCGGTGTGAGTACCCCAACACCTGCCGATGGAACTACTGACAACGGAACGGACGCCTGCAGATATATGGTCGGCGGTATGTAGACTTTCTCTCTAGCCATCCCGTATCTGCTGACCCGATACACTGACATCTCAGATAACCCGGAATCTGGTGAGTCTCTGCGGCCGTGTATTATACATTAACCTGATGACATCGACTATGCAAACAGACATCGCAGGCGCGAACGGGGCCGGGTGGCGGTCTATCCTCGTGAAGACAGGGGTGTACGACCCCGCGCGGGGTCCGCCGACGCACACGCCAACGCACACGGCTGAGAATGTGGCGGAAGCCGTCAAGTGGGCGATTGACCGCGAGCTGGCCCGTGGGGCGAGCTGAGAGTGGGACTATCCGTGTGCCAGGTCGCCTCCTGGCCGCTTGCACCTCTCCCTGCGTAATCTCTCCCTTCTCACTCCGCGCGAAATTACATTCTATACACGGTAGTATACACAAACAGTCGACAGCCAAGAACAATTTTGTCCGCATAAGGCAGGAAGTGGGGTCAGTTGCTAGAGGACAAACTTGTCATGCACAGGTGTTTCAAAAGCCACCCAACTATATTCCAAGCCCGTGGCGAAGTTCGTGCCCGTATCTCTGCTTGTTGGGGAAGGTCTGAAAATCGGTCACGCGCAGCATGATAGGTGCTGTCTGATCGCAGGCGTTGGTGCAGGGACGATCCGATGGAGGAGACCGAAATGCGGGGGAAAGGGTAGAGCGAAGGAGCGCGCGAGGGGGCACCAGCGGGCGAGGGGGCACGAGAATACGAGGAGGCACTAGAAGGCGAGGAGGGGGGCCTGGAACGCGAGCGGGAGTGAGAGGTGGAAGGGGGGCAGGAGCGTGAGGACGAACGGAGACGATGACGGGACGTTCTGGATCTGGATGTGGACCGGGATCGCTGGGATATCTCGTACTGCTCCAAGAGGGCGGTCAAAAGGATGGGCCCGCTGCCTAACTTATCAGGGGAATATGGAAACTCATCGTGGACGGCCTTCGGCTGCACGTTCTGTCTTGCATATGAGCTTTTTCCTAGCTCTGCTCGTAATGCGTCCCGTGCGGCGACGTGTCGCTGTCCCCGTAGTGACACAACTATCTCATCGCCTCCCTGCCGCATATGCGACCGGTCCAGTTCGGGGCTGGAATCATAGGCGTGCGGAACATAGACACATCCTTCGAGGACCAAGTCGAGGCAATACTGATCTCCGGTCGTAGTCGTCCAACGCGTGCAAGACACTCGAACCGTCCTATCCGCGTCTCCAAAAGTCTTCCACCCGTTGCGCCAATACCGCACACAATGTTTTAATGAGCTCGGATGTGACCCGTCGCTGAGCGAGTCCTCCTCGAAAGCTCGGGGACGCCAAGGGAGCTGCTCCGGACCTAACATGTGAGGCTGGTAATGCGTGGAGTAGGCTAGGTGGGAGCACGGATAGATAGACACGGAGACGCAAAGCCACATGTGAAGTCGCTCCAGATGGACGACGAATGCCTCGCCTGTGAGTTTGTTCTCGAACCGTATGTTTCGTGGAAGGTCGATGGTGTCGCCGTTTGGAGGTAGGTTGTCCTTGAGCCCAAAACCAAGGCTTTGGCATTGATCGGCAAACCATGCGGGGAGAAATATCTCCTGCGGCTCAGGCTCTAACAGCCGCAGCCATGGATGAGGGGGAAGGAAAGAGAGGTCTCGACTGATGTAGATTTTTCTCCGCTCCGCAATGACCATATTGTTGGTCCCATGCACGGCGATGCTACGCTCCAGGAGGATAGCGAGTGTGTGAGGCCTGATATAGAGGAGTCGGTGCCCTTCTGCCTCCCGCGCTGTCGCTCGGAGGCCGGTAACATGTTCTGGTAAGGCGCCATTATCGTTATATACCGCTCCGACCAGATAGTGAGGGCGATCGCTTTGTACATCGTGACGTTGGTGCAGAAGAAGACCTATGCAGTCGCCGTTGGCTGTCCGACAAGCTAACAATGCAAGCGCGAAGGGCTTGAAATCGACGACGAGAAGTTGACACCTGATTCCGGCGCTCGTGACGGCGAAGTCCGGGTCGGTCTTTGAGGAGAAGTGTTCAGCACAGTTATGCGGGAGATCTGATTAAAAGCACGAGATTGTCACTAGATGGAACGCGTATGATTCCCTGGACCGCGTCGGCAATTCTACTTGACGGGATAGGTCGGTAGCGCGCAGATGAGGCGAAACAGCAAGGCGATGGAGCCAGGAGTGTTCCAATAGGATTGGCGATATCTCGAGCCAGCCGTCTACGACACGCACCGGGCGGCAGAGCTCTTCCCCATGCGAAGAGACTCTGGTCTGGGGATTGTTTCATGATCTCCTCCTGTAGCCGCCGGAAGGCTTTCCTGCCTTCCCCATAGATCGTGGGCATTGTGATTCCGAACAGTCCCATGAGCGAATATGCCTCGTCCTCGACACGTTTAGTCTCCCGTCCGGAGGCCCATGACATGCGACGCGCGACGCTGACCTGCCGCAGCTCCCGGCGGAACGTCAAGACTTCGACATCTATACCGGTGACTTCCGAGAGGAGGGGCGCCAGGGAAGCCTTCGTCCCGAGATATGTCCATTCGGAAGACATGAAGACTAGGCAACGTGGCGCGATGAGCTCCTGTAGGGTCCAACCGCGGGAGAACCACCTGCTTGTGCGGAAAGCGGATTTTGGGGAGTGGAGGACGCAGGATTTCGGGACGTCGACGAGGTAGGCGTAGCAAACGGAGGCCTTCTCGTACCAGCTAAACATCGAGTTGATCGCCTCTGAGAGCTCCGCGCTACTCGTCTTATCGATGCAAGAGGCATCGATCCAGAGCCAGCCGAAGCCGTGCGCCTTGGCCGTCTTCACGCATCCATGGATTTTGTTAGAAATGGGAGGGGTCGCATTCTTTAAGGCCTGGTTCGCGCCATCCGAGTGGTCGCCGTCGCCGGTAGAATCGTAGCTTACACCTTCGGAGCAAAGCTTCTGAATGTCTTGAAAAGACTGCTCGGAGTCGTCCCAGACATGGGAGAGGATGGCGTATCCGCCTTCGATCGCGTCGACGCGATCGAAGTAGACGAGCTTGAGTGAATCGGTTGACAGAAGCCACATGTCTTCTCGCTAGAACTGGGCGAGGAGTCCTTGTCAGAAACATCGTGAAAGAGGTGTACGAAGACTCACGGTGCAGTTGGGAGAAGGGAGATGGTCACGATAGCATGCGTCTGCGTTGTATATAACTCCCAAAAGGCGCTAGCGTACTAGGGTTCTGGACACATTACCCCGGTAGGCGTGGTATGCGCACACGATACGTACTTCTATTCTTTCGAAGAGCAATACCGAAGGGACGTCGTAGATGGTAAGGACGCATAAAAGTTCTCCCAGGCGAGCAATTGGGCATTCAACAGAACGGCAAGAGCCGACGCGCGGCTTATCCTGAAGGCTTCGAAGACTTAGGTTGCAACAACAAGCTGGCAAATCTTTAGGTAGGCGAGCGCACCCTGTTGATCGCGTGTCAAGCCCGCGGACCTAACAGTATGTCCACGTCAATGACAATCAGTATGACATTCCAGAGAGGACCGAATCCGTAGATGGAACCTGCGGTAGTGCCCTAGCTCGCTTCCAGCTTCAGGTCGTCCATCCTCCGGCCCACACCCTCGATCCGTTCCTCGAGCTCGCGCACGTTCCCTCTGACTAACGTCTCGTTCTCCGTCAGGCTCTTCTCCACGCCCTCGACGGCACGCTGAAGCTCCTCAAGCGCACCCCGCGTGCGGCGCTGCTCTTCCTCGAGGCCTTCAAGCGTCTTCTGGAAGCCCGCAGCGGACGTATGCAGTGCAGAGAGCGTGCGTAGGCGAGTAAGGATGTGGGGGATATGCGGAAGGAGCGGCGCCAGTCGCGATAACACTGGGGCTAGCTGCTCTTGCAGTACAGCCGACGACGCAGTCGGTGCGGGCGGGGTGGCCGATGCCGGGGAGGAGACAGACCCAGAGGCGGGTTGGTGGTGCGTGGACGCACCGCGCCGTTGGGACGCGTTGTGTGCCTGACTGCCGCTCGCGCCAGATGTGCGTTCCAGCTCTGAGTTGAGGAGCTTGATACGGCGCGAGATCGAGTCGATGTGGCGTGGTTGTGTGAGGAGCGTAAGTTGCGCACTGAGACGTGTCAAAAGTGGCAATAGAGGGGGCGGCAATGGTGCAAGCTATGAAAAAAGTTGAGCTGAATTTAATGGAGCAGCGAGCAAGAGGCGCACCTCGTCGAGGGCGGTGCTTGAGGAGCCCACCAGCTTCTCCAGCTCGCCGACCCGTTTGTCCATTTCCGCGATATCTCGGACTTCTGGGGCTCTTGGTATCACAATGGCAGGCACCGGCACAGATTCCGCGCCCTCAGCGTTCTTTGCTGCTTCCCGTTTCACCGCCGTCGCCGCCTCAGACGCGTCCTCAGTGTCGGACTCCCCGAGCACAGCGCTGACTAGCTTCCCTCGACCCTCCCGCGCTTTGCTGATCTGTTCAATGCGTCGCTTCACGTCGACCATGCCGCGGATAAGCTCGCCAGGATCCGCATTCCCGGCTTCTTTCTCCTTCCGGAGTAGGGGATTGGTCGGGTCGGAAAGCTCAGTCTCGAGCGACGCTACTTCCGCTTGCAGAAGACGCAGGCGTTGTGACAGGGGGATTGAGGAGCGTGTTGGGGAGACGGGACGAGACTCGTCTTCGGGGGACGGCGAAGGCGGGTAGACGTACTGTACTTTCGGGCGATGGTGCTCTACCCCCGCCAATGGTGTTCATTACGGAGAGGCACGTAACGCGAGAGGAAGGGACGCACTCTTCTCTGCTTTCTTGAACTTCTTGGACGCCTCCTCGGGGTCTACGCTGCTCGCGTCGAGCTCCTCGCGGCCAGACGCCTCCCCGCCCTTTCCGCGTCCGTGGCCGCGAGCGGGCGCGCTCGCTTCATCGTCGCTCGAGTCGCCTTTCTACCAAAACGCGTCAACTAGTTGGTCACGCCCGTGTTTAGTGACACTGACGCTGTCCTGTGCAGTGGGAAAGGTGTCCTCGGTCTCATATACGTCTTGGGCTGTGTCCTGATATCGATGCGTTAGCTGGGAAAGATACGAAGCCACCTGAGAAACGCACGATGTCTGGGAGATTGGCATACTTGGCTGCGCTCATCCTGAAGAGGTCAAGGTATCAAAGTGCTCGAACTGTAGGGGTATAGGTTAGAGGTCAAGAGAGTACGCTCGAAACGCGACGCGGAGACACGCGAAGACGCCCGCTCCTGACTACCAGGAAACAAAAATGCGTCACCTGAGCGATTCGAACACTCGCGGGCAAAGCCCAACCGCTAGCAGCTATGAATAGCAGGCGATCCCGTTAACCACTCCGGCAAAGTGACTTTGTGATGAAAGTTTTGTGTGCCCACCGAAGACCAATCGAAGTCGGACACTGTAAGTTGACACTGACAGCGTCCGACGAACAGCAGCAGCCTCTACAGGATGCTGCAAAGCTCGCGCAGGTTCCGTGACGCAAAGATTGACCAGAGTACAACCTAATGATCAATGATATTGGATGTATGAAGAAATTGTGGGGTGTGTGTGGAAATACATATTCATGGTGCTCCTCGAACACGGTACGTCAGGCCGCGGGATGTCGGTGGGGGGCAAGTCGAAGTGCTCGTTGATGCGCGTAAATAATCATTGCTAGGATGGAAGGTGGCCTGAGATAGTGTTCCTGGATCTTTCACGCTGACCGGGCCCCAGCTAGTGACTCTAGAAGCTTTTCAATCCTCTCCATCTGCGCTGAAAGCGAAGCCAGTTTCCCTTCGACGGCCGAGAGTCGCTGCTCCGAGTTCCGCGCCGCATCCCCTTCGCCCTCCGCCTCGACCTTCTCCTTGCAGTGCACGAGGCTGTGCGTAGCTTTGTGGTCCCCGGCATCGACCCCGCCTTTCTCGTCGCATTCTTGACAGACGAAGACGTTCGACTCGGCTGTGTGCACTCGTCAGTGGAGAATAGGCATGTCATTAATGCTGGTAGGACATACCGGGACAGTCGATGCAGTACCAACACGAGTAAGACACCGTGGCGGAACACGAAACGCAGGTCAGCTTCTCTGGCTCCGCCTCTGATTCTGAGTCCGATTCGGAGGCGTGAGCACCCTCCCGGCCTTGCTTCGTCATCTTCGCCTCGGCTGCCTTCTCCCCCTCCTCAGGCTGGGCGACCTCCTCCGCTTGTGCCCGTGCAGCCTTGCTGAGAAGCTTCCTCGCGCGCTCGAGGCCCGCGTCCGACAAGCGAAGGATCTTGCCAATCTCGCGGTGCTGGTGGAATGACCTTCGGACTTTGACGAAGTCGTGGGTAGGTAGATGGGGTTCGGTGCAATCGTCGCGTGTCTTGACGGCTGCTCTGCAGCTGGGCTTGTCACAGAAGTCGAGTGTCCATCGCGAGCCGCACTTCAGGCACATCAAGCGCGCGCCGTAAATGCGCTCCCCGCATGCATCGCAGTCGGCGCTATGCACGGATAAGCAAAGCAGCACTGACGGACGGGCTTGGAGGTACTCACAAGTGCGAAGGAATAGGCCGCTGCGTGTAGTCTTTGAGGACGTAGAAAGAGCGGACTTCCTCGCAAGTCGCCGTGCGGTCCAAGATGGCGAAGCGGTCTAGGTCGTCGCCCGTGGACATGTTGTCGATCTCGCGCTCCACAAGTTGGAGATATTCCCGCCTGATATCACGTCGCTCCTTGAGGTACGACCACGAGAACATCTTCCTCCGCACTTCGTTGTGGACCGCCGTCAGAGCATACTTCCACAGGGCCCGGACCTTGTTCTCCTCGAATTCCGCAGGCGGTGGTCGGGAAATGAGCGTCTCTGCAGGGATGCGCTTGAACAGGAAGCGGTAGGTTTTCTCGTCGTCCTCGTATCCCCAGCTACCGGCCAGCGTGTCGCCATCTTCGTTCAGCGTACCGGTGAAGTACATCTTCTTGAGGCGTGCTGCATACGTCCTGGTGAAGTTGTATTCAACCGACCCGTCCTCTTTCTTGGTATACCCGCCAAGAATGGTGTAAGCGGTTCCGTGCGCGGCGGTATCGCTCGCCTCGTATGACCCATTGTCCGCGGATGCGTGGAAGCAGAATGTCACGATTGGGGTGGTGACCCAGCGTTCTGCGCCAATGAGTCCGGTCCATCTTCCAAGACTAGAACACTTTTAGTTATTACGGCAGATTGGAAAGTCTGCCCGACTTACATGATCCTGACGTCGTCATCCGCTCGTGTGTCGTTTTCGGTCACAATGTCTTCAATCTCGTTGTAGAGATTGTCCGCGGCCGAAGGATAGTTCAAGAGCTTTGAGGTGTCGACCTCCTGGTCCTCCTCCGCGTCGACGTATTCGTATTCCGTGAACGTCCATTCGCGTAGATTCTCGAGGGACCAAAATTTCTTGCCGTCGTGCCAGTACTCAAGCTAGGCGGTGAGCGTCAACAATGAAGGTGGATAGAGAGCTCCATAAGATACGAACCAGCTCCTTTGCGTGCACCTTAAATTGCTGTGCGGGATCCAGATTTTGCTGCTTGAAGAGCACTAAGAAGGTGTACATATCAGTGACGCCCGTGAGCCTACAGATTCATCGTTTGACGTGCCTTCTAGCTCGTTATGACGAAAGTCAACCGCGTCAAAGACCCAGACCAACGTATCGGCAGAGTCCCACAGCTCATCTTTATGAACGACCATCTTGCGGCACACGCGGAAGATCTCATAGTCGCGCTTCAGGAGCAGGTAGAGAACGGGGAACAAGTACTAAGGGTCCGTTAGCCGCATACTTGAGACCTAACGTCATCATGAATGCTTACCTTCTCGATCCTCCCCGGCCCGGTGATGAGTGTGAGTGTGTCCATAGCGTCTATGTCATACCGCACGGTCTCAAGGCCCTCGCGTAGGCGTTTTTCCTCGTCGTCGACGTAGCTTTGGAAGCGCGCCTTCAACGCGTCGGACTCATTCGCGCAGACGAAGGAAGACGTGAGGGTGCAGACGCGTTTGTACACCGTCTCGAGATACTTCTCCACGGCCTGCGCATTTGCGGGACGGATGAGCGACTGTATCGCAAACATCTTCCCCATCAACTCGACGACCTTGTTTCGATAGTATGTCGCCGTCATTTGCCACCCTGCGGAAGATAACATCAGCTATATCCACAAAACGTTGACAGAAAGTCATTGCCTATCGCCCAGTAGGCAAGCCAATGTGATAGACTAGAACTTTGTTAGTTAAGGATAGCCACTAGCCAGCGTTGCTACTCACCTCCATCCTTTCGGACGTGCTGCTGTGAACTGGTTGACTTCGGCGACGGTGATGAAGCCTGACGCGTCGTCATCGAAGGCCTCGGCGATCGACTGAAGCCTGTTGATACTGATCCACTCCAGCGCCCATTCGTCGTCGTCGCCGATACGCGACGGGTTCTCTTCGCCCTTCGCCCTTCTCTTCGCCTCGATCTGCTGGCGGTAATAGTCGCGCAAGGCCAGCACGAAGTGTCGCGCTTTTACGTGTCCTGGCCATCGCTATATAAAACTCGGTCAGACATAAAACGTAACAAAATGTTTGACGAATGCTGACCATTTCCTTCCATATCTCGTGGATTTCCTGAAAAGGGGTCAACCGTCAGCATTAAACCCACGAGGATCGTCAATACGTACCGGATCGATGATTCTGTCATGAGAGCCAGATGTCACGGCCTCAATGACACGGTCGCCCTCGTGGTGAACCGCCCGCCGCATCTCCTCAGCAAGCTCCCTCTGCTGCATCTTGAACTTACGCTCGAATACGTCCAAGTTCTTCTTGATGGCAAGCTCGGGGCTCTCGAACAGCTCCAGCTTGAGCGCATCCAAGTTACCCTTCCCTAGATAACTGTTGTGCTCTGGACCGTCATGCTCCGCCCGTTTCGACGTCGTCGCCGCGCTGGAAGCCTTGAACTCGAGCAGTTCGTTGAGTGTCTCGTTGCTGTCCATCACCGCGCGTGCCCCGCCCTTCTTCTGCACGAGTGCCGCGAGCTCCTTGAACTCCGGCGTCACCGACATCGTGAAGAACTCGATCAAGACGTCCATCTTCGAGTCGAGCGAGTCGAGCTTGCGGTTCGCGTCGTCCACGCCGACCCCAGTATGGATGGACAGCGCAAAGGTGAACTCTTTTCGGCGCTTTGCGAATACGTCGATATAGCCCTTGAGCGTGCCGTCCCAGAGCGAGCCCTTGATGACCTTGACAACCAGCCGCTTCTTCGAGTATGCGTCGCAGGCGTTTCCGCATGCGGTGATGTCGTCAGCAGTCTGCTTGACGAGGTCTTGCATGCGCGCCTTGATTGTCTGGCCGCCAGGGCCGATGCTTTCGTGGTCCTTGATCGACCGCAGTCTGCCAAAAAAAAAAATGAGTGGACATTTCATTGACGGGAAGACGCGGACGGGCATACTGGAGCAATGCCTCCATCATGTCCTTCATCTGGAGGAACAGCGCCGCGATCTTCTTGTCGTTGTCCCGGCGCTTCAGGTCGAGCTCGACGACGATCCGGAACGCTCCAACGGCGACTGCGCGGTGATGAGAAATTATACTTGGAGTCAATTGGCAAACCGGACGACGAACTTCCGATGAACGGATGCAGCTTCGCGACCTCGTCCAGGGCCTTGACAAGTCCTGGGAGGCTGTCGACTAGCGCGTTCACGCCGCTCCGGACCACTTTCATGGCCTCGCTTTCGTATACGGGCTTGAGGGGTGAGGAGAAGCTCTGTGCACTGGCTACGTCCGTCTTGATCGCCCCAAGCATATCGCCTGAGGAAATTAAGGTCGTCAGCGTAGTTCTTGGTGGATCTCACTGTTCAGACGCAATAAATCCTCACCTGACTGATTGACGAGCTTGACGACAGTCGACCCCTGGTACTTGCTGTACCCATTTTGCGCATCGCCAATGACCTTGAATGCACCATCTAGCCGCTTAGCAGTATCGAGGTCGTCTGCATTTTCTGGCTCTGGGACGTTGATGGTAGGGTTTGGGCTATCACCGTTCGTGTTCAGGGCTTCCGGAGAGGTAACTAGGGGAATGGGAAAGTCTACAGTCTTGGGGGCCGCTTCTCGCAGAGGTTCTGGGGGGCTGGTATCCTTGTGTTTGTTGAAGAATGGCGGCATGGGTGGAGCGTGAGGGGGAAACGGCAGATATCAGGTGTCATCCCGGCCTAGCACCACTTGGTTTTATTAGCCTCCAGTCTACTGCGCACAAGCAAGCGCGCTTTAACGCGACAGGGACGTGCTCGGGCGCGCATCGAGGGCGATGCAGAGGCTTCTACTCGGTGTCGATAGTGATCTTCAAGGATTTGCAATTAGGTCAGTAATTCGAATCCGAAGAGGGCGCGTGTGGTCTATCACTGATCGATCGCACACACCTGGCCGCACCGGAATGATCTCTGCGGGGGAGAATTGGAGATGCCCTGGATCCCGCCCTAAAGCAGTGCACTCCAGGACCCCCAGGCTCCCATCGTTGAAATCCGCGAAGCGCGAAATCGGGTACCGTCAGCAGCCCGAAAGGATTATGGCTCCGGGTCGGAGATGAGGAACGACTGACTTGGGTAGATTGGCTGGACAACATGTCAACATGCATCAGGCCTAGGGCGGTCGGTCTATTGAATGTGCGGTTCGTGCTCCCACGTCGTGCATGGTGTCCAAGCGACACTTTCAGTAATGACTGGCACTAGTACCAGGGATGATGGGAACTGGACAGGTATAAGTCGCTGATCGGGATACGCCAGTACTCAGGGTATGTGGCGCATGAAGCAAGAGACCCCATGAGAACTTGAACTTCGGAGTACTGTCGGACAGTGTCCTGCTTGATGAGTGTCAAGATGTGCGGCGGTGTTCAGTGCGCGTGAATATAGGAAGCTTCCTGAAGCACATTCACACCAGCTGATCTGTCCAGTGCTATGTATACAGTGCCTACGTTGGATAGAACAAACGCTGCATCAATGCATTGAGCTTGCACTAGAAGTACTTGCTCACCTTTGCATCGTGGCCTGCATCCGCTCAAATCGCATGATGGTGGCGGGATGCAAGAACGAGGCGATCGGGCGCTTCTTTCAAAGACTCTCTCTCCTTCAGCAAGCGCTCGCTGCACCTCTCTCCACCCTTCCAATCAGCGGTGTCTTTTCTCGATTTCGCTGGTGTCTTGGCTGTTTTTCTCAAACTACCGCCTGTCTTGCTGTTCGACTTGCTTCGCTCGGCAGGAATTAGTTCTTGCTTGCTTATGTCTCGGGAATCGCGTCCTTACTAGGCCCGGGCCGTGTATCTTACACTGAGCTCGCGATTGGCCATGGTACTCACGGCTGACTCTCCTTGTGGCAAAGGTGCATTTTGGAGGGTCCATGATCTCTGCCAGGGATACAGCTCTGTTGGGTACGATAATTGCAGCACTTGCAGTACGTTTTGCCACAGAGCTTAAGGTACCATGTGGCATAATCGGGGAGATAGAGATAAGAAGGGTAATGTTATAATTACTGTCAGTGGGCCTTTCCGGCTTCCGATGCGGCACGCCGACTCGTACGTGCAGCTGCTTGCTTCAGACCACCACCATGTCCTCGCACGAGAAAGCGCCCCTCCTCTCGCACCCGCGCTCCGTCGATGGACGCCCGAAATACACTCTCGTCATCCATGGAGGCGCGGGGACGATGGACAAGTCGCGTTCGACCCCTGAGCTACGCGCGCAGTACAAGGCTGCACTCGCGCGTGCTCTCCTGGCAGGGCACGCTGTTCTGAGTGCGGGGGGAGAAGCTATGGATGCCGCAGTCGCTGCCGTCTCGTCCATGGAAGGTAAGTAGCCGTGTACAAGTAACTGGTCTTGAAAACTGACTAGCGCATTTACTTCAAGACTGCCCACTGTTCAACTCGGGGAAGGGTGCTGTGTTCAACGTTGCCGGGAAGGTAGGCTTCAAATCTATCTATGCGGTCTGCATGCTAATGTACACGCAGAACGAGCTCGAGACTTCCATCATGCTCTCGCGACCTCCCGCAAGCCACCCGAGCATTCCCCCCACCCGCCGTGGTGCCGGTGTCACGCTCCTCACACATGCGCGCAACCCGTCCAAGCTCGCGCGCGCCCTGTACCTCTCTCCGGCAGAGGCGCCCCACACGATGTTCTCTGGCGCAGCTGCGGAGAGCATTGGTGCCGCTCAAGGGATAGAACTTGTGGACGAGAGCTACTTCTTCACCGACGCGCGCTGGCGCGAGCATAGGCGGGGTCTCGGGCTACCTGACGAACCTTCTCCTCAGCCTGGAGATCACAAGGGTGACAATTCCTGGGTTCCTCTTGACCAGCTGCCTACCGGGACCGTGGGCGCCGTTGCTCTGGATGAGCGAGGATGCATTGCATCTGTCACGTCAACCGGCGGACGCACGAACAAGCTTGTGGGGCGAGTTGGCGACACGCCCATAATGGGCGCCGGCTTCTGGGCAGAGGAGTGGACTGTCAAGGGATGGTTCCGCAAAGCATGGCGCCGTGTGCGAAGGCAGAGCGAGACGGTTGCTGTAGGTGTCAGTGGCACAGGCGACGGCGACGTGAGTTTACTCGCAAGGCGGAGGACGTATATCATTTACTGATGGCGGCGCCCAGTATTTCATCCGTCTCGCGACGGGGTCGACTATCGGCCGACGGATGAAGTACCTGCACGAGCCTGTCGAACGTGCAGCAAAAGTTTGTGTGGAGGAGCTGCGCCGTGACGGAGGCGTCGGCGGCGTGATCGCGCTGGACAACGCTGGGAACGGTGAGTGCCATGATTGAGTATGCCGAGTCAAGCTGAGAACTGATTGATATCGCCTGGCAGTCGCGATGCCTCTGAACTGCTCCGGTATGTACAGGGGTGTTGTGCGGGAGGATGGTGTGCCGAAGACGGCGATCTTCGACGACGACGAGCTCGACTAGGTCAATAGCAACATGCCTTAGTGGCGCCGATGCATTTTGGGACAGTTGTCCATCGGACTGTGAAACTGACACTCATCCCTCGGGTCTCTGGACAGTGTAAGCAGTCGAGAAAGACGAAGAACGGGTATTGCACTTCCGCAGAGCATAATGGATCCGACGCGTACGATGGTCCAGAGCCCCGAGACCTTCTTCTTCAAATATAACCATCTTGAAGACTTCGTCTGCGCGCGCGATGGCCGCCCGAGCCCACGGAAGGAGTTTGGAAAGCTCGCGTCGCCATCCCACAAGACCTGGGATCTCAAGCATGTCGTGTCACCGCAGCACCGGGACCAGCGTGGGGCAGTGCGAGCGCCCGATATTATGGCGAATCGCGCGTTATAGTGCCCAATACACCTCGCTCTTCCGCTCTCTTTCACTCTTCCGTCCAGCTGTTGTTTACAACATGCTCTCTCAGCTATCCAACATTTTCTCCTCTAAGGGCGCTCCCTCAGCGCTCCTGGTTCTCAGCATCCCTAATGTACGCGCAGTCAGTATCCTGCATATCATTCCCGAGGACGGCGCCACCGAACAGTTCAAGCTCTCCAACACCTACACTCCCTCCACCATCCGCTTTCGCGGTGCCACAGAACAATCTCGAGAGGAAATTGGCACGGTGATGCTTCATACCGGCGATGGCGAGTCGTCCCTCGCTTTCCTCGAGAGTGTGGCAGACAGAGCCAGCAAGATCACGGACCGCGCCGCCACCAATCGCTCGACGCCCGAAGAGATTGGCAACGCCGAAGTCTCACGATGGGTGGACGATGTCCTCAAACCGGCGGCACACGATGCGATCCTCGCCATCGAGGGGCGGGCTCCCTCTATGAACGCGATGCAGCTTTACCACGTCTCTGTCGTTTACATCAAACGCTCGAAGCCGGGGAGGATCAACAATCTTGACGATTTCACGAGTATCTGACAGAGCCTGCTGCTCTCGCTCATATTGTGTCTCGATAATATCATCCGTACGTATCACCATGACTTGCGCGTCGCTCCTCCTGACGTGTATATATCATACAGGTCACCCCTTGTACCAAGTTCACCACTTATCTCCCCTCATCTCCTCAATCAAAACAGGATGCTCATTCGACACTTCTGGCGCTCAGCGCCCAAAATGATGGATATCATGGAAGGTCGAGCGCAAGATCATGAGGCCTGAGGTCAGATGCTCCCGCACGAGGACTGAGTCAAATTCATATAGGGCTTTGAAGCGTAGGGGACAGTCCCCAAGGTTCGCGCTCACACGCGATTCTTCAAGCTTCAGGCTCAGTCTTGAGATCTGAGAAGTTGTTTATGCCGAACTTCCTTGCATACATGCACAGCCTTCACGGCATCTCCGCTGAGCGAGTACTTAAGTCCCTCCTCCCAGCGGTTACACTGTCACTTTTCCCCCCGCTAGCATAGCTCTCCACTCTTCACCGCCCATTCCCCATGTCTCCATTAACAGAACGGTCTGCAGAGATTCCAGAGTTCTCTCGAGTGACTTGGACGGCCCTCCCGGACCTTCCGCGACTGACAGGGCCGACCATACTGCCTATTGGCCGCAGGTTTTTCCTGGAATCTCCTACTAGCATACTCAAGCTGGGAGTCTACGATGGAGAGGACGTCATGACCGCCTTTGCCCACTCCGCCCTCGGAGAGTGCGTCCCGCGCGTCATCAGTGTCGTTGCGCTTTCGCTCGAAACTACCGACGCCACACAGCCTCCTTGCGTACAGAAGGGCCTCATCCTCACACTCAAACCAGGAAAGCCGCTTGAGGAAATCTGGCCGTCGCTCTCCTCGCCGCAGCGTGAGACGGTCAAGTCGCAGCTCTGCGACTTGCTCTTGCGCCTGCGCGCGCGGCAATACGACTATTACGACCGCCCCGGCCGCAAGCCCTACGTGCTGTATTTCATGACCGGGCCGAGGACATACACATGCTGCACCTCCCGCGCGGAGTGGGACGAGTCGCGTCTCTGCGCATTGCGCGCCCCGGAGGGTGTGCCCGTGGATCGTGTGCCGCTGCTGGGGCAGGTGCAGCGCGAAACCCGCGGCGCCGACGGCTGGGACCGCCCTGTCCTCACCCACGGCGACCTCTCCGACCGCAACATCATCGTCGACCCAGACACGCTCGCGATCACGGGCCTGATCGACTGGGAGCGGGCGAACATCATGCCAGCGTACTTTGAGTACGTTGCCGCGCAGTTGATGGGCGGACACGAGCCCGAGTGGAGGGAAGAGCTGCTCGAGGTCCTCAAGACGGTCCTGCGTCGGGAGTGCGAGGCGACGTGTAGCGAGGATGGAGACTTAGGGGGTGGAGTGCCACCTTGCGACACAGGCGTAGTCGACGCAGTGGAGGCGAGGTACATGAAGACGATGGCAGCTTGGGATTATATATGCCATCGTCGACGTCGAGAGATTCGTACAGGATTATAACGATGACTGGTAAATCGTTGGACTTTCGATGCCGGACTCCCCAACTCTTCGAACCGGACCGTCTCTGTGTTTCAATTTGACTCGGATGTAGCGACTCTGGAGACTGGCGAGGCGTAAAGTCAGTCCGGTGGGTGTCACATTGGATGGTGTGGTGTATCTGTTGGCCAATGTCCAATGTTCTGTAGCGCACCATGCACTAATCGCCAAAACTGAGAACGAGAACCGACAAAATATACTCGTCAACCAACAACCATGATATTTCCTTGCAACCTGCGTTGTTTGCGATCCATGCATAGTTGCAGTTACTCCGGGCCGTTGGTCAGATATAAATCGGGCACATGAACAAGCGCCCACGCGGTGATTCTCGCCAAATGTTGTCAGCGCTTGATGTTCTTGCTCTTGCTCGTCTCTCATCTCCACCCAGCCTCTGCCATCTCGTGCTGTACTGGTGTGCACGGTCTGCATTGCAACCGCCCTCAGTATGCTGGCGCGCAGCTCTGTTTCCAAAATATGTCCGTGTATCGGAGGCAGGTGCCTAACAGGTCGGTGATTCTGCTGCCTATAGCTAGCTCGTCATGCGACCTTACTCCCTCAACCCATAGCCTCCTTCTCAAAGGTGGGAGAAGGATTCAAAAGAGGGATGCATAGCAAAGAGCCCTCTACAGCAAACGCGTGAGTGTCAACCAGTCGAGAACCGCTTGCGTCGCTGACAAGCCACCGACAGCTCGCAGTCCATATTCTCTCCTCACGTGTCCCCATGGGACCAGGTGTTCGAGGACATCAAAGACATTCAAGATCCAAGACCGCCGACGAGCAACCCGCGTTCCCTGAAGATGTCCGCTGGCCTCCGTGCGAGGAGTCCCCGTCAGCAGACCGCGACCGCACGCGAAACCGAGGTCCTCACCGACATGTTCTCCTCCGTCTTCAGCGCATCCAGTAGACTCAACACGCCTGGCACGCTCGGCATCGGTCGTCCGCAAACGCGGAACGACATGAAACAGCTGTACGGCAAGCTGCGCTCGCACACCCAGCGGCTGCGGTGGACGACGGAGGCGGACCAGGAGCTCGACCGGAAAAAGGAAGAGATGGAGCTACTGGAGACGGACGTGGCGCTGCTTGAGTGGGCGATGCGCGAGGTCTTCGGTGAGTCGCAGCGGTACGAGTCCGTGACCACGCCCACATCCGCGGAAGACGGCGTAGCGGAACCCGCGCAGCCGGAAGAGCCCGTGTTACACCCGTCGTCGTACCCGATCCTCCTCGCCGCGCTCATGCGCACATTCCGAGACAAGTACAAAGACCCGAACCTCGCGCTTTCCATGTTCGACCACGCACGGCACCTGTCGATATCCTCCTTCGTGTTCGGCTGCACGACGCCCGCCTACAACGAGCTCATTGAGACGCGCTGGCGATGCTTCCGCGACCTTCGCGGAGTGGTCGATGCGCTGGAGGAGATGCGCGTTAACGGAATCGAGCTCGACAACCGCACGCGACAACTCGGGGAGACGGTCCGGCGCGAGGTCGGCGAGCGCGACCTGTGGCAGGAGGACAGCCCACTCGGAACAGGCGAGGTCTGGGAGCTCGTCGCGAGTATCGAGCGGCTCACCGTCGTGAACAAGCCGCGGCGGTTCAAGGGCTCGGCACGGAACTTGAAGGAGGATGTCGGCCACGTTCGCAGGCGCAAGTGGAGTGCGAACCAGGAGGCGTGGAAGCAGAAGGTGCTTGAGGACGGCGGGAAGCCCACGTACCAGTTCGAGCGGTTGGCACCGAGGAGTACGTCCCATGCGTCGTCGATACCCTCGTCAGAGGGCCAGGCGCTGAAGGACGCGCTGATGAGGAGCTCATGAACATGTCTGATATCGAGGAGCGGGCCAGAAGTACTCTAGTAATTCCGTTATTAACACATGTGTTATGCTGCTCATCATACACCATCTACGCTTGTGTCTGATCTATACTCTGTTCATGGTCATGCATCTCGAGCTTTGACAACGATCTTTAACCGACGAGCCACGAGATATTTTACGCATTCTTGACTAGATCGTGATATACACCGGTCTGCGTGTCTCCTGAAGGATCGTGTAGGCATTAGAAAGCGTGATGGCGTGTCTCCGCTCGTAAAGTAGTATACATCCCTTCGAAATCATGGTCGTAATCCCCAAGCTGGACGGGCTGCATGCGTGGGCGCATGTATGAAAAATCTAGTTCAAGCCTTTTCGCTCAGGTCGAGGGCACGCTGGTGTGCCTTGCGTCGGCGGAGAAGTATAATCGAGACCGAGAAGCACCCGAACCCGGCGAACGCCACAATCTATGGGTGTACGGTGCAAAAACCAAGACAGTCAGCGTCGCTGTCTGCACGTGCTGCGTAGCATAACGTACCCCGCTGAAGAGCGCAGGGCGCCACCAGTGATACTCTGCCGTTAAGAGCGCGCCAGAGATGGGGGTGCCTGCAAACACCGAGAATAAGTTTCGGGCGGGGTATAGAGGTGGTGGCTACTACATACCTACGAGACTGCCGATACCTGGGATAGCATAACGTCTCTTGAGCATGTAGGGGCTCGCAGGAGGCGGAAGGGGGGCTTACCAGCACACGCGAACGCTATTCCCATTCGCGCACTGTACCCATCATGTCAGCAACAGTAGTGCTGGGGATGCGGGGGAGTAACAGCTTACCCAAGCTCGGACATATCGTCCGTCAGGTGCGCAAGTAGTGGCCCGAGCATTGCGATGTCTAGTGGGGAGCAAGACGTCCGAGTGAGCACTTCAGAAGTGCACCGGAAGGAAGGTAGCGGTACGTACATGTTCCGACAAAGAACCCATATATGACAGCGATCACGACGACGCTCGCAACACTGCTGATACCGATCATGCCGAAGATGAGGATGGCGCAGCAGAAAGTCGCAGTGACGATGATATTGTGAGACCCAAGCCTGTTTGCGAACCACCCTGGCGAAAGCCGGCCGACGAAACTGGAGGCATTCATGATCACGAGCTATCGAAGAGAGAGTCAGAGATATCTGCAAAATCCGAGATTCGAGAGGGTACGGTACCGAGTAGAAAGCGAAGGTCTTGTCAAGCCCGTGTGTGAGCGCGTCCAATTGGATGTAAAACAGGGGAAAGTAGAAGCCCGTAGCGAAAACCGTCATCCTGCCACCACATGTCAGAAAAAGCGTCCTCGTCTACGGCGGAAAATAGTGCACGGACCCAAGAGCCGCAAACACGTATGGCAAGTCCTTAGAAAACCGCTTGGCGGACACCCAGAGGTCTGCAGGCTTCGACTGCACCGTCGTGCGGGTGCGCATCATGAAACACGCAATGAGCAGCAGTCCCGAGATCAAGCCCGCGTTCGCTCGGGCGGCAGTGGCAAAGCCGATCTTGGGGTTGTTCAGCGTATTGTTGAGCATGATGGGATGGACAATCGAGCCGAGCGATGAGCCTGAGGCGACGATGGTCATCGTGAGCGCACGCCTCTTGTGGAAGTATTGCGAGATGATAGCGACGCTCGGGATGTAAACCATCCCTGCACCAAGGCCGGCACCTATGCCTTGACTAAGGAGGACCTAGAGGACAAGAGCGTTAAGCATGTGGCACGCATGGAGGTGTGAAAGAACACTGCCCAGCACCTGATAATACTGGTTGGGCTTGGCCAGGGACAGCATGAACAAAGAGAAAGCTAGGAGTAGAGAACCTCCGTAAAGGAGATGGTAGCTATGCAAGGCATAATGGTTCAGCAATGAGCAAACGGTCGAAAACGAGGATCTTACGCACAAGTATCCACGGTCGTATAGACGACCGGCTATCAGCCCCCCGGAGATGACCAGGAATGCATTCAAACTTCCTATCCAGCTATGTACGATTATTTCGTTAGCATACACTCCTCATTAGGAGTAGATGGGTAACATACGAGATTGCAGATGACGACTGATTACTGAGATACACGCGAGTGTAGAAGTCTGCGACTGCGAGTGAGCAATACTGCCTAAACTTCTTGGTGCTTCAACCCTACCTTGATACACTCCGAAAGAACCGGTGTACCTGCAAGAAAATATGAGATTTGTTGGCTAACTTCATCTTAGCTGGGACACGCACCCGAATCCACACATCTGACACAAGAAGCTGTAATCGGTGGCGTCAGAACAGAGCTTGGCGAAAATCAATATGACTTACGCTCCAGCGACGGTGAGCCATGCTGCTAAACCACCCTCCGGGACACCCAAACTCGGTGCCTGCGGAGGACCCACATCGTCCGGCCTTGCGGTAGGAGGCCGGGAAGACTCTCGGACCGTTGCGCTCGCTTCCGACTTGTTAATCGAAGCCGCGGCGCTGCCCACCTCCCTATTCGACTGTTCGAGCTGTGACGTCGACATGGAAGCCTGATAACGATAAGACGAGATCTAGTGTGGCGACTTGGCGACGACAGGAAGGCGAGATCGCTCGGAGTCGATTTTGAGCGGGTTAACCCTTAAGTACGAGGGGTCGATGGGCGCGAAGACGGAGAACGGGGTGTGGGGCGAGACGAATTCGAACAGCCTACGGTGAGATTAGATAAAGGGGGATCCTACCACCTATTGCCGGCCGACGGTCAGCAACTGTCGTCACCCGTGCTTGCGCTCCGAGGTTGAGCGGCTTTGGGAGATCATTGGACCATACCCGCTCGCCACGCCGGGTAATCCAACTTGCATGGTTGCCGGATGCGGTGCACAAGAGCAACTCCCACGGTTTCACCTTCTTTGCGGGTACTCCGCGAGAAGCGCATAGGTTTGTAATCCGCTTACATGTTTTCGTTGTCCTCATCATTAAACTGACGGTACTTCTACGATTTAAAGGCCGGTTCTTCAAGCTTCAAAGCTTGAGGCCGCGAAGAGTTCGCCCGTGGCGCTTTCTCTTCGCGTTATACTCAAACATGCAACATTCGACGCAACGTCCGAGGTGGCCGGTGAGTCGCAGTCGGATCTCTTCGGACGATTAATGTTGTTAGTCAGTCAGCGTTCCCCTGGCCTGTTGGCGCACGGCCAGTGGATGCCGGCGCGTGCGGTGTGGTCGCCGTCAAGTCATCGGACGTACATAAAGTAGTGGCGCCACCAGCTGCTCGTTGGAGTCACCTTGAGTTCGAGTCTAGACTCGTCGATATTGAGTCCAACGCCGCTCCCGATGCTATTGGACCACAACAAAATAGACGGCTTAGGCATCCAAAGAGCCTGGCGCCCCAATATCGCAAGTACTGCGCACATCCAGGAGATCTCCTTTTCTTCTCTCACTGTCAGATGTGTCTAGCAAATCTAGCAATGTACGCACCGAAACATGACGGTCCGCATCGCGGACGACACGCGTGTCGGACGTCCCTCCCGTACAATACACCCGATCAAACACTTCAATCTAAACGGCATCGCCACTACGCAGTATGAGTCAAGCAGCCCAGTTGGGCAAAAGTACTCCTCGTTTCCTACGCCGTCCACGCCGAAGAGTCTTCACTTCGGACCTCCAGCCCACTTGCGCTGCGGATCCCAGCGGCTCGTGTCGATCACTGGAGGTGCTGTCGGCCGACAGTTGATCGATCGACGCAGTTATGGCTCAAGAAATGCCGGACGCAGTGGTCAGTAAATGGTGTCCCTCTGCGTGCATGAAGAACTCGCAGCAACGAGGTCTGTGCTGGCTATCATGCACCTACGTTTCCCAAAGGCACTTGTCGCAGTTCACTCACCGGTCAAGGAGCGCTGAATATGGGCGTGTCGCCGTCTTCTCCGTACTGGTCGGGACGATGGCAAACGCGCCCTGGCTTGTAAAGCGTGGTAGCGCCTATCGATCTTTCGAAGGCTTGTACAAGGCCAGTCTCCGATAGTACCGCCTGCAACATCTTCGGCCGAGGAGAAGGTTTGTTTGTGATCCCTGCTGAAATATTATCATCATGCTGAGGGTGCTCGTCTAGCTACAAGCGTTTCTAGGAGCTGCTCTATCTTCGATAGCTTGTCGTCCAAACCATCGAACCGGTTCGAAAACGTAGCCACTTGACCTTCTAGCAACGAGAGACGCTCTTCCACGGTCAGACCGCTCCCCGGAGGTAGCGGTAGACAGCGCAGTAAGATATGTGTGGCCGCGTGTCGGTCCGTGGAGACTCCGCCCTTCTGCGCATCGCATTCCTCGCAGACAAGTGTATTACCTAGGGTCATTGGTGAGCAAGATCAGGCGCTGGTTAGAATAGAGGGCTTACTGGTGCATTCCAAGCAATACCAGAATGGCCGCCGCACCTGCGAATGGCACGAGATGCACTCTAGAGATTCTGTGTGTCGTTTGAATGCACCGGTGAGTCGTTCCCGTGCCGTCTTCACCGCTCGCAACACCTTCCCTATTTCTCGATAATGGTAAAAATCCCTCCGGATCTTGATCATGTCGTGTGTGGGTAGATGAGTCCGGTTTGCAGTGAGCGTCACGGTGGCTGCGAGGCAAGCAGCAGCTGTGCATATGTCGATGGCACCGTAGGTACTGCACTGCAAGCACGTCAAGCGCGTCTTCGTTTTCCTCGAGCAGGAGCTGCACGTAGTTGACCTGCAAATATTCATAGATCATATAAAGGTTGGTTCTGTGGTGCAGGTAGAATGATATAAGAACTTACACTGGCCCAATGACAGATCGCCGCCGGAAGGCATCTATCGTATGGAAACAACGCATCTCGTCGAAGGTGCACAGGCGTTCGATTGCCGAGCGCGCCTCTGCGAGCTCACGCCGTTCCTTGGGAGTCCTAGTCTTCGGGTTCACTTTCGCCTCCTTGAGCAGGAGCTCGAGATAGGCTATCCTCCGTTGTCGCCGCTCTTTGAGGTACGACCACGAGAAGAGCTTCCGCTGCACTTCTCTTCGTGTGGCGGACAACGCGAAGGCCCAGAACGCACGAGGCCTATTTGCCTCGAACTCCTTGGGCGAAGGACGGCACGCCAAAGCTTCCTGCGAGATGCGCGAGAAGTAGAAGCGAAATGGAAGGCGTCTGACGGAGGTGCCCCACGAGCCGGCGAGGGCCATATCTCCGGTCGCCAGCTTGTCCTCGAGGTCCTGCGGGGATCTGCCATCCGCGAAGACGCGAGTGAACGTGTACACACCCGTTGGACCCTCTTCGGCGTTGAACTGTCCGAGGATGGTGTATTCCATGCCGTACGCGGCGATGGTCCGTGCCTCGATTATGTCCACATGTGGGGAGGCGCACAACTCGAATGAGATCATGGGGGAGGCAGGCCAACGTGCATCCCCTAGAAACCCGTTCCATCGGCCTAGTCTAAACAGAGCTCGGTGAGGAAGCGAAAATAGCGCAGTGAAGAGCCTCACATTTTCTTTAGAGCGTCAGGTAGTTTGTTGGCGTCCTCGGGGGACGAGAATGGTTGAACGACTTCCGGGCAATACAGGAGGTCGGTTGGACATGGATGGTTCAGGATACTTAGATCGGGGATCATGTGCGCTTCCTCTCCATCATCGAGGGACTCGCATTCGGTAAACTTCATCTTCTCCAAATTCTGCAGAGACCAAAATTCGCCGACGTTATTCCAATGTTCGAACTGTTCCTATATCTTAGTTAACGCGTCAGAGTATCAGCGCGAAGAACATACCAGGCCGAAAGCATAGTTTTTGAATTTCTCTAGGGGATTGAGATTTTGCTGTTTAAAGAGAGCTGGCAGATTTTCATGAGCCTGAGATTAGAATGTTCGGATGTCGTTCGTACCAACGAGTCCGTCATACCGCTCCTGTACTCCGTCGATCACGTATAACAATGTATCCGCGGAATCTCCGAGCTCCTCCTTGTTGAGGATGACCTTTTGGGACAGACGGAATATATCCAGATCCCGTTTTAGAAGCAGATATAGCAGCGGGAAGAGACACTAAATAAAAAAAGTCAGCTTTCTTTATGACAGTACTTCAAGTGTTGGGCTTGCCTTCTCTATTCTCCCAGGACCCGTGATGAGGCGTAGCGTGTCCATGGCGTCGATGTTGTACTTTATTGTGTCCAGACTCTGCTTCAGACGTTGTTCCTCCACGTCGACATAGCTCTGGAACGTCTTGTACAGTACGTCCGGGCCAACACCGCCGTTGAACGCGGCGTTCAGCGTGGCTATTGATCTCCACACTTTGTCGAGGTACTCATAGGCGTACTTCTTGTTCTCCGGGCGGAGGTGCGGCAGGAGGGCGAACATCTTCGCGAAAATGTCGACGATGTGGTTTATGTACGTGGTCGTAGTGAGCTGCCATCCTATGCTACAAGTAAGCAATCTGGGCTCCAAGGAGCATCACAGTCGGGTTGAGTTTGTACCTATTGCCCAATATCCAAGCCATCCGGCAATCCTGCACGAATCTATCAGTCCTCCCGATGCGAATGCCAAGCTGATAAGATGCGTACGTGTAGTTCTGTGGGCGAGAAGACGTGAACTGGTTCACCTCGGCGACGGTGATCAGGCCCGAGGCATCCTCGTCGAACGCCTCTGTGATCGCCTGCAGCCGACTGACGTCAAGGATCTCCAAAAATCCCTGGTCTATCTCTGAGATGCGCGAATCTGTGCTTTCGCCTCTCTTCCAGTCTTCAACCTTTTGGAACCAGTAGTCGCGGAGTGCGAGTATGAAGTGGCGGGCCTTCACATGGCCACGCCATCGCTGTCACGGCGAACGGTGCACATCAGTAGCCGAAAACACAGAGACTGAAACATCTCATACCATATCTTTCCAGATCTCGTAGATATCCTGCATGAATACCGCATAAACAATGATTATAATCGTCAGTGGCAATGTCACTCACCCGGTCCTTGATCTTGTCATGAGGCCCAGATAAGACCGCATCGATGACTCTATCGCTCTCATGCACGATGACGCCGTGCGTCTCGTCCGCAAGCTCGCGCTGCTGCATCGCGAACTTGCGCTGGAACAGCTCAAAGTTCCTCCGCACCGCAGACTCGGGACTGTCAAACAGGTCTGCCTTCAATGCGTCGAGGCTATCCGACTGCTGCCGGGCGTGCTCAGGCCCTCCAACTTCATGGCCGTCATTCGACACCTTCGCCCGCATCAAATCCTCCAACGTGTGGTCGTCCGCCACGACAGCCGCAGGCCCCCCTCGACTGCGTACGATCTCCCCGAGCTGCCGCTGCTCCGGAGACACGAGCGCCGCGAACATGTCCAGGACCCCGTCGAGCTTGGCGTCCATCGCCGCTACCATGCGGTTCACGTCGTCGACCGTGCGCCCGACGTGCATCTCGAGCGCGAACGTGAACGCCTTGCGGCGGTCCGCGAAGAGCGCCACGTACGCCTTCAGCTTGTCGTCCCACATCGCGCTCTTGATGACCTTGACGAGCAGCCGCTTCTTTGCGTATGCGTCGCACGCGTTCGCGCAGTCCTTGATGTCGTCCGCGGTGCGCTGCACGAGCGCCTGCATGCGTGCCTTGATCGGCGTGCCGTCTGCGCCTGGGGTCTCCTCGTCCTTTACGGACCGCAGTCTACATCAACAAGTAAGCGCGACGAAATCGGAAGGAGCTGTCGGGGGAGGACGCACTCAAGGAGGACGGACATCATGTCCTTCATCTCCAAGAACAGGACACTGATCTTCTTGTCATTGTCGCGCCGCTTCACGTCGAGCTCGACGACTACCTTAAACGCGCCCACCGCAACTGTGTTCCACAAATCAGATATGGCTACATACATGATACAACGGAGGACACTGGCAGCATGGAAGCTTACCTGCAATGAACGGATGAATCTTCGCAACCTCATCCAACGCCTTGATGAGCCCCGGGAGGCTCTCAGCAAGTGAGCTGATGCCGTTCCGCAAGCTCTGCAGGGGGTCGCTCTCATAGACCGGTTTTAAGGCGGTCCCCACGCTTTCGGCGGCTTCGGCGGCTCCACCGACTTTTTCGACGATCTCTCCTACAGAAGGCGACGCATTGAATGAATGCTAGCATCCGACCATGACCCGTATCATGCGTACCTGTCTTGTTTGCAATCCTGAGGGAGCGCGCAGCCTGTGCCTCCTGCTGGCGCTTCTCAGCCTCCGCCACCGCTTTAGACGCGCTATTCATCCGTTCTGTAATGTCGGCGTCCGGTGCTGGCCCAGGGTCGTTGGTCATTTCAGATGGAGACGGTTGTTCATGACCGTCAGCTGACTGCCCTCCAGCGACAGCACTATTATTTGTGGCGGAGGGCGGCGCCGCGCTATCACCCGAACTCTCAGGCATCTAGAGCAAGAACATGTCAAACGCGGTGTTCCCCAACTCTTATATCGTCATCGCACTCACACTGGATACGATGACGCGCGGCCTTCAGCCCGAGCAGGGCGAACGCAGAAGCAGTGGCATCGCAGATATATAGCCACGCGTCGACGGCTGCAATACGCAGCGTGCGGTGCAGAGAAGATGGGAGGGAAGCGCAAGCATCAATGCATGCTCGATGCGCGGGTGATACTGATCGTGTCATGAAGACAAGTTGACGGCTCCGTTGATGAGATGGGCGTATTTTGACACTGTGTACGGACCGTGTGTGGAGGGCAGTGCTCGTCTGAGAAGGTGGGCGAAGAGGTGCGGATGCATTGCTGGTACACTTAGAGTATGATAGCTTCTAAGATATATCAGTCGTGCTGTACGGCAAGGTCAGATGAACATTGCTCAAGCATGCTAATCGCCGCCCCTTCATACTGTGCATCACGCACTACCTCATTCGTTGTTGAATATACATAGCTTCAGCGCTTCGCGCCTCAAGACCGTGAGCGGCCCATACGCTATGCGACTCACGACGAGCTTCGGGCTACAGCATCGCATGCATGCAAGTACAAGTTCTAGACTCGTGGACGGTCGTCAATACATTTGATCGCTACAGCGGCCCAGCAGGGGTGAACCTAGCAGGACAGACGCACCGTGCCTAGTCTGCAGAGCCACCGACCCCAGGCACAGCCCGTTCGGAAACAAATCCCCTCCCGCTCGATCGATCGCGAAAAGGGACTTAGCCGCATTCCGTCTTCGATGCATCGACCCCGGACATGGCGTGCCTGGTGCCCGTAATTTACAAGGGGCGAGAGGGACGAGAGGCTCAGGGCAGCAAACGAGCCGTGTTACCGCGAACAGACTGCATGGTTTTCATACATATGTCGACGGTTCCTGCTGGGAGGTGGATTAAGTAAATTGAGACATCGTGCGTAATTGCTATATCTCGAAGCAACGAGTGGTCGAACGTGATAAATGTACCACTCACCTCGACGCCCGTGTCGCCATGCCCATTCAGCGCACCGGCGTATACAACCAGGAACCAGGTACGAGCTCCCGGGGGGACGCGCCCCTGCCTTCGCCTCCAACCGGGGGAAACACCGCTTGCGTCGGACGCCCGGACTCTCTGTGGTATGTCTTTATTACTGTACCTGCCGATCGACAGAGTGAGAGAGGCCGGAATGCAGAGATTTACAGGCCACGGAGTGCGCAAAGGGCCGGATGGCGGGGCTGCATGAATGATGTGTTGTGCCGCGGGTCCTCCTGGGCCCTACATCAGCCACTAGCTTCACGGAGCAGCGACGACGGCATCGGCCGTGTCGTTGGATTGTCGTTTGATGGGATGCTGGGAATGTCACTTCGTGTGATAGCGGGGGGACGCTTGGGAACGAGGTGCGAAGGTCGGCCGATGCGCTCGGCACAGCACTCGGGCATCTACAACCTCGAATGGCAGTGAGGGGTGTGCGGCGTTTGTGGGCAGGGCAGTGTAGCAAGCATCGAGCGAATTGGTTGGGACAGGTAACATTGTTGACAAGGAAGGAGATTCGGTGCCAAACTTGGGCATGATTGAGTTGGGTTTGGAAAGCGTCCCCGAGACCGAACGTTAGACAAACGAACAACAACGAAGAAGGGTGTTTGCGACGGTAGATAGATGGAGATGTTGAGATGTTAAGATGCAGAGACAAAGGCACGCACCGAAGCCGGCCAGCTGAGGACCCTGCATATGTATATCCGCGGGGAATTGACTGTGGAGACAAGGAGACGCCGCACTCGGGCCATATGGTGCTACGATCAGCTTCGTTGCAAGAGCAGCGTGCCGCGAATGGCTTGTTCCCAGCGAGACAAAAGAATTGAAACTCAAAGCAACGTACGGTCTTGCACCAGCTGACCGTGTGCACCCACACTGCGAGCTGCGGTGTGGACATATACAAGGCAGGGTGAGACGGTTCGTGATCATCATCCGGCCATCTCGACAGCGGGGTTCTGCGCGGGATGGCAACAAGCAACACTCGAGCCAAACGCCGACGGGATCTTCGAAATGAGAGGTGGGAGCTCCCGAGAGGCGCAGCAGCAGTCGCAGAAGGTTGGATCTCGAGGGGCGATAAGCTGATGCGAGAACACCGAAAAGGTTCGTCGAAGCACGCGCGCACGCTTCGTCCGCCCAGACCGGTGCTTAGTGCAGATATGCCCGGTGCGTGCACGGAGAAGAGAGTGGGCGCGAGCTAGAATGCCTCAAGGCGGCGACATGTGCGGCGAGATCAGGCAGGATCAGCCAGCATCAGGCAGAGGAGTCCGATCCCTACGCAGGTGGATGGGCGAGACGCGCTGCGGGAGGGCGAGGCAGCCCGGAGGCGCAGCTTCCGAGCGCGGGGGTGGACGAGAGATGGAAGGAAGACGGGGCAGCGTCGAAGGAGAGCACAGCCTGGCAGTTCCTGTGATGATGGTGAGAACGCGGGATGCAGGTGCACGGCCCAAGCTAGTGCGATGGCACTCCACAGGGTCGCCATCTCGACAGCGCTCCCTGCTCGCTCTGCGGGGTGCGGTGGTGGGTGTGGAGGGCGCTGTGAGATCAGAGACTTGGAGCTGCCTAACCGGCTGGACGCATGGAGAGCACGAGCATCGGAAGACAAGGAAGGCGGGGGAGATGAGGGCTCGGAAGCCAGGGTCTGCGTGGCTCAGGGAAGTGGAATGATATATGCAGCGTGGGCGGGCGCACGAGAGGACGAGATGGACGTCGTGGGCGACGGCGAGCAGCGAACCGGAAGCAGTGGACGTCCGAAATGGACAGATTGCGGGAGGAGGCAAAGAATCCCAACTCTCCATCCCCGGCGTCTACTCCAATCCCCCCCGGCGCCTCGCACTCCCGGCTTCGACCCCGCCCGCATCCCTCCTCCGTTCTCCTCCTCCTTCTCTTTCTCCAACCGCCATCTCCGACCCCCCTCCTCGTCCCTCCTCGACTGGCGCACCTGGTCTTACCGCCACCGCTTTCTCCCTGTCTGGTGCCTATGATCTGAGCCCGTGCCTGGCCGTCTTCAACGGGCCCGACAAACAAACGTTTTCGGCTAGCCAGCATCTGCGGTATCGCCAGATCTCCGTCCCCCACCGATCCCTCGCGTATCCTCCTCTGCCCTCGGGGCATATGAACTCCTCCGCTTGAGCTCGTTCACCCTCTCTCCCTACCCCTCGTACTTTCTTCCCCTATGCCTGGTGTCTCTAGGTCCCAGCGCGCGGAGGCAAAGTACAATGTAACCCTTGACTGTACGGAACCCCTCTTGCCACTGCCCTGCATTCCCTTGACCTTTCTCCACAGATCCCAACCTCGGGCTTCACTCTGCTGCATCGTCTGGAAACCTTGGCCTCGTAACCTATGCGATTGACCACGGTCAACCTGTGAACTCTGTTCTCGACGGCGTCCTCCCCCTCCATGTCGCAAGCTCAGGGGGGAACGACTTGATTGTTCGGCTCTTAATCGAGCGTGGAGCAGATGTCAACGCCCCGAGGTGAGTTCATGACGCTTCCTATGATGACGCCTGCAAAAATAAACCGCGACCATGCGTCCCTCCGCAGGCTACCCCGCAAATATTCCAGCGACAGACACAGAGATGCCTCCGCACCCATCGTAGGAACCTCCGGCGCGACGCCTATGCATTTCGCAGCTGCAAACGGACACGAGAACGTGGTCCTCACCCTCCTCCTACACGGCGCACACCCCTGCCGCGCGGACAAGCATGGCGTGACCCCGGAAATGCTCGCGCGCCAGAACGGCTGGACCCGGTGTGCCGACCTATTGAATCAATGGACGCACGAAATGGACAAGGACTTACGCGAACGCGAGGTGCTTGGCGGCGCCCCCGCGCCGGAGGCCGAGCCATCCTCGCGTCTCGAATTGCTGCTTGAGTGCAAGGTCGCCGAGAAGAAGGTCAAGGTCAAGCGCTCAATTGACAACGCTCTACACATGCTCAGGCCGGGACTGCCGACCCCTCCGACGTCGGGTCAGCTCCAGTCCGATGCCTCATACACGACGTCACCACCTCCTATGACGGAGAAGACGTTCTCAGATCACTCTGCAGACGCCAATGAGCCCTATCCAAGGCGGCCCTCACTCCCGCACATATTCGACCCAGCGCCGTACATGCACAGTTCACCGCAGAGCCAATCAAGCCACCAACATACCAAGTCATCAGGGCGGCCCTCATTTTCATCCTCACGCAGACCCCGGTCGGCCGGCACGGACGCCGAGCCTTCAGCCTCTACCTCATCCACCCCAGGGCGACTCAGGGGCAAGATCTCCCTCCTGCATATGTTCAAGAAGTCGGCCGGAGATTCTCCTGCGTCCACAGCAGGTCTCCCGGCGACCCCGGACAGCAGGGAAAGCCTTTCTGGGTATGCATCGTCGAGCTCTGCGTTGACGTCCGCGTCCGCGTCGCCGGCGCCAGAGCGGGACACCGATCAGAGCAGAGTACCGTCGTCACAATCGCCGCTACGCGCGCGAGCATCGGAGTCTGGGCTTTTGTCCTCTGCGGGAGGCTCGCCCTATCTCACGACCATCCCGAGCAGCCGGAGCAGGCTCACGAGCGAGAGCGCGTCCATAGCGGAGCCCTTCCAACCGCCGCTTGCCGTCGAGTTGCATCGCAAGCTCTCCGCAGAACGCCTTCGTGCCCGATCCGGATCGGGCTCCAGCTCGAATGGCACCACAGAGGGTCTCGGCAACAACTCGTCGCCCCGTCCGTCCCAGCAAGCGCTCCCATCGCAGTCCTCACTCCAAGGCCATCGAAGTCCGCCTACGCGCCCGGGGATACTTCGCCCCCATCATAGGTCTACCTCGTCCGGCCAGTCGCAGGCACCGCCAGTGCCGCAGTTACAGCCGGAAGGCTCCATGCGATCGCTGAGGTTCGATTCAACTGCGTCCTCGCAGCCCATGTCCTCGAAGCGGTCAGCTCTCAGCGTGAAGGTTTGCAACAGCGTCAACTCCCTCCGAGGGCGGGTCCAAGGCGGCGAGAGCCCGCGGTCGCCGCGGCACCCGTCGACGTCACGGACCAACGTCCGTGAGTCCCCGAGCTTCAGTGATTCGGTACGCCGCGTCCCGTCGCAGGCTGTCGTCGACGACGATGAGGAGGAAGGATACGGAGAGGTCATCTCTCCGCGCCTGGGCCTTGGTCTGGTACTTCCGGAAGGCAAGTCGCGCCTGAATGAGCTCCGTGCGGACAGGCCGCGCCGGCCTTCCGCAGGCTCGCAATTATCGCATGATTCTTCACCTGTCCCGTCCCCCACTGCTGCCCAAGGCGAGTCGACGTTCGACTGCCCGTTCAGCATAAACCGGCCCCCACCCCAATCATTCCCGTCCGACGGCGCACAATCACAATCGTCACGGCCGAACCTTCTTGGCATCCATGGTGTCGACAATCGTGGTCGCGGCGATAGCATTGGGAGCATGAGCACGAGCACCGACGCAAGCGCGAGCGCGCCACAAACCCCTCTACCCTCTGCGGGCTCTGCGCTCGGCCTCGGGCTGCAAATCCGGTCCCCCGAAGCTCTCATGCTAGACCTCCCCTCGTCGGCCGACCTGCCCCTCGTCTCCTCCTCCGAAGAGAGCGACAAGGACAAGGCGCGCAGCCGCACGGACTCGTCGGTGTCCGGGGTGTCCGGGCTCTCCGAGATGTCTCCGCGGATGCGCGGCGCGCACCCGCTCGACATCGACATCCGCGCGATCAGCTCGCACGCGCAGGCGGAAGCCCTCGTGCAGCGCGCGCAGAAGAGCATCCTCGAGATGGAGGACGGCGACCTCGAGCTCCCCGGGCTGCTCTCATCCGCGGGGAGCACTACCAGCGCCACGACGGGCGGCGCGAGCGCGCGCACGCCGCTGAGCGCGAAGCTCGCGGCGTATGGCGAGACGCTGGCGATCGAGCGGCGGTTCAAGGAGCGTGAGCGCGAGATGGGGCGGAGCGTTAGTGGGAGTGCTGGGGGCGAGACGCCGTTTGGGAGCCCGACGACGCCGAGTGGGCGGAGTCCTGGGGGCGAGCTGAGGCCGCGCCATTCGGAAAGGGGGCTGAGGAAGTTCAGTCTGGAGGAGAGGCCGGCTGAGTTCAGAGCACCCAGGCGGTCGAGACCGCGGAGACCGCATACTGCTGACGGTCAGTTTCTCCCCTTCGGAGTGCTCGCGTTCGCAACTGATGCACGGTATGCTAGGTGATACCCAGGATCCATCGCCAGGCTTCCTCTCAGCCAGCCACAAGCCTTCGCTGTCCGGCAGCGCAGTGCTTGTCTCGCGCTCGTCTAGTTCGGCCGACGAGAACCACCACATGCACGCACGCGTCGCGTCGACACCCTCGTCTGCGCGCACCCTCCCAGCGATCTCCACCCCCTCCCCCACACGCAGCCCACCGCGTATCGTGCGCTCACGCACACCGGACCCCGCTTCCCGCTATCTCGCGGCCAGCCCCTCCTTCCAGAACCCATCCCCCGCGACGTTCGGCGTACCGCTGTCGCGCGTGTCGACGGCGCCGCCGCGGCACGCCTCCCCAGACATCATCGTCAGCGAGCGCGAGAGGGAACGCGCGCGCGCGAACAAGCTCATGAAGATGGGACTTGCCGCGCACGACGTGTTTCCGCGCACGCAGTCGCCGTACGGGCATGTGCGCAATGGCGGCGGGAGCGGCGGGAGTGGCGGCGTGGGCGTGGGGAAGCAGCGGTTTGGGGGGATCAGGGGCTTCGTGCAGACGCTTACGGGGAAGAGCTGAGCGTGAACGCTGTGGCCCCCTTCTTCCTCCGCATTACCCCGTGCAGACGCTGTCGCGGATCGCTGAGGCGTCCCGCCACCGCCATGCCGTATCGTCGACGTCGATTGTCGCCGCTCGCCGTTATTTTCGTTGCCACACCCTTTCTTGCAACACCCGCCGCCCAGTCGGCCGTGCGTCGTTCAACCATCCCACTTGCATCGCTCGACCATCCAATCATTATCATCCATCCATCCACCCATTCATTCATTCGTACTCACTCGCACACTCACTGACTCCGGGCGCGCCACGCGCCGCCCGCCCATCTTGTCGCATTCGTTTCGCTCTCGCCTCGTTCGATCACCCGGAGGAGGAAGCCGCAGGGGGAGATCGGTTTTCTTGTACGATGTAGCGTGATAGTGTACCCCGTACCCCGCCCGCCGCGGCTGGTGTTGTTTGTCGTATACGTGTTCCATATCCCCCACTGCCCGCCTGTTCCCGTCCTGGGGTGTATTCTTCTGTATCACTGTGTCTGTGCCCTGTCCCTTGTCTGCGTCGTCGTCGTCGTTGCACGTGTTTATGTCGTATATGTTTTTATTATTCGCGCAGAATGGCATGGCGCCCGTCGTGCGCCCGCTGCAGCTGGTGTCGTCTGTTGTCTGTAAAGCTTGCTGTCTGCGTGCGAAGTGTGCTCATCGATATCCCAGACTATATATCTATGGTCAGATGCCGTCTGAATGGTCGAAGTCGGCTGGGCGTCGGTCCCCGCTGCCTCTGGTAGTTGAGCGGCTGCAGTTCTGTTGATGTAGCATGTGTATGCTGATATGTGGGTTACGGTGTGGGTTACGGTGTCACTAGTATATATGATGTTTACGGCAATATCAATGCAGTGGGAAGCGGCGAAAGGCTGGCTGGCAGTGTTTACCCACATCCAAGAAGTCGCGCGTCCAGAAATTCGCACGTCCAAAAAATCGCGCATCCAAGAAGTCGCGCATCCGAGAAACCGCGTATCCAGAAAACCGCGCAGCTGCGTACTCAATTGGTTGTCTGTCGGGATGAGTGTGGCAAGTTACGAGGCAAGTGGGCGCTCCGACCAGACCTGGGGGGGATATAAGCTGGGCTCCTCGACGACCAAGGAGTTTCTCCAGTCCACCATCTCACAACTCCAAAGCTCATCTTCCACTCAACTCACCTCGCAACTTTTCATCATGTACTCCGTACGTGCACACGTCTCACCCTTACCCTACATTGCATATGCTGACCACCGGTGTGCTCCTATGTAGACCACCGACGCTCCGAAGAACGCGGCCGCTTGCGGCATCGACTCCTGTAGCTGCGGCGAGGCGTAAGCATCACCCACATTGAAGAGGGCTTGGCAACTCACCTTCTCTTCTAGTTGCGGCTGCAAGGCCAGCGAGTGCAAGTGCTGAACGCCTCGCCAATGCAAGCCGTCTCCCTATCCCTCGTGTTCAGTGATCACATCCCTCTACCTCCCCGATCAAGTCTTGCGTGGGTAGTACAGGGTCAGCGCGTCGGATAGGCTGCATGCTTGGGACTCTGTAACACCAGTGATTGTACTATCCCGTGAATGTAAGCCAATATGTGCTGTACCGCGAGGGCGAGACTGCTGCGAGGTCGTGCTCACAAGTGGGGGCGATCTGGGTACCGATCCCATATGAGTGTGCTAGATTATGGTACACGCGAAGCATCTTACGCTGCGCGGAGGTTATGTCAGTCTGCTGTCGTGAGGGACATGACTAGACGCACCGATATCAGCATATCGTTGCCTTCGGTCGGGGTCGATGTCCTGGAGCTTGTTCAGGAGGTCCAGGCGCTCGCTTCCCAGGTCGCGCTTCCCCTCACTAGTCATCACATCTCCGTATCTCTTCAGAAGAAGCCTCTCTTAGAAGACGAGCGACTCCATGCACCCTACCGTGTGTATTAGTCGGCTGAAACGAGGAATATCTAAGCTGAGAGCGAGAAAGGCACTGACACTTACTGTCCGGTTGCTCATCCAGGAGCTCTTGGATGGAGGCGATCTCCCTCTCGAAGATATTCCGGGCGTCGCCTGCTTCTAGATCACTGCCTGCCGTCTGACATTGCAGACAGAAGCGTCCTTGGTCTGATAAGTCACCCTGACTGGCTCTTACAGTTACGGGGTCGGCGTTCAGCATCTTCTCGACGACGAACAGCTCTGATAATATTGCCGCTAGCCATTAGCGTTGGTCTCGGAGGGGGGGGGGGCATCAGGGGGCATCAGCATCAGGGGGCATCAGGGACTTGTTGCAGACACCATTGACAGTGGTTCCATATCCAATATACCTTCGGGTGTTGCTTGGAAAAAGGTGGTGGTCAGCAATAGGTCATTGATCGGCGTAGGTGTGCTGATATACCTATCGTCAGCGGGTAGATAGCTCAGAAAGTGAATAAATAGTACCGGTATGAGAATCAACCGTTGAGGAGGATGTTCCTGCAGTAATTCCAGACGATGTAGAACTGAGGATTGACATGGAGCAACTTGGTGGTGAGATCGAAGGGTTCAGGGATCCAAATCTTTTCTTTCCGCTGTGCTAGTACGTGGTCATATAACTGCGAGTATGAAGTACGGTCGCGGTCAGAACTCACTCTGGGGAGGACCTCCTCGGTGAGTTACGCGCGCTCCCGCTCTTTCTTCACAGCGGGAGCTTCACGTAAGTATTTGACCTGTTTAACGCCGTGATGCACATCTATTAGTATGCGCCAGAGGATATGGTGGTCTGAAGGATATCATATCAGATGGCGGAGGAAAAATGAACGGGGCGAATGAGCAAGAGCAGGGAGAGATGGTAGGCTCGTAAACCAGCCTCACGTTCGGAGGCGGAAGACAATCGTTCCTCCCGAAGGGAGGCTGGAACCTCTTGTGAGGGGGGGTGGTGGTGACCCCCGTGGGAACGACGCGCCAAAAAGTGTCTCGAGGCCTCTCCTCGCCTCTCCTCGCACGCCGATCTACCCAGCGAATATTCTTGAAAATAAAGGGGCGGACTCACAGCACCGACTGTTCGTGATAGAATATCTTTTGTCATGACATTCTGCACATAGCCCGCCATGCAACTTTCGACGACGCAGGGCTTCAGCCACCCGTTCAATGTCCGCTGACATCTCTCGCCCAGGAATTGCAACTCAGCCGTTCCCACGGGGGTCACCACCACCCCCCCCTCACAAGAGGCTCTAGCCTAAGAGATGGTGCAATAGGGTGCAATGCATAGACGCCCGCGATCAGAAGGGGAACGTCGCCGACCATGCGAACAAATAAAGCCAAATTGTGCACGCGCCCGCGTCACATCAGGGATCCCTTCGCAAATTTGGACCATTACTAGCTACCATTCGCTGCTACCTGCATGCGCTCAGCACAGACTCTTCCTTGTTTCCTTCAGTGGCGATGTGGAGCCGTGAGCGGATTTTTTGAGCTATATTCGCAGGCGGACGTGACCGTCAATAGAGTCGGCGTGTTGCAAACTTACGGAGGTACTTACATGCTCCGTCGCAACTCCACCCGGCGTAGATTACGCGTTTTGCTTCGATGTGACCGCGCAGAGCAAGGTCGCCTCAAGCGACGTTAAGCGTGCGGCGGCTATGCGCAAGTTTGATGCTCCGAGTACGGCGGGCATTTGCAGCGCTGAAGGACCGGTTCGATCGGTAGGAAGGCGATAGTGATTCACAAGACCCACCATCGGACGTTCAAAGACGAACACAGTAAGTCCGATTGTTCTACAGGCTTGACGGCTACTATGCAGATGGACTCTCACATCAGCAGCACTTCGAGAGCCTAATTCGCAGCATGGGGGCGTGGACGCAGTGATGATGCGCGACCCCGCGCTCACGACGCTCATGAAGTTCAAGCCGTCGCGTTCGGATTTGTCGGCGGCGCAGCAGGCTCCGAGCTTCCAATTTGACCTCCGCCTGAGAACTGGCGGACGAGACGCTCTTCAGATCCTTAAGAAGAGTTTCTGAGAGCGCGGACGTCGCCATCAAGAGAAACCTAGACACTTTCGAACGCAAGTTCGCTATGCAAGAGCGGCGGATCTACGAGGAGATGCAAGGCGTCGTCCGGCACGAAAGCGATCGGGTCATCAACAGCGTCCTCGGAGGCCCACACACTAAGATACAAGACCCCGTGAGTGGTCTCAATTTCACGCGAGTTGAGACTTTGTTGTCTGACGTGGTATGCACTGTGATGTAGATCGTCCGCGAAGTCTGGAAGGGCATGGTGATTCGCTGCCATGCTAGACTTCAATCAACCTCGTTCTTGCACTCACAATGTCTTGATTATAGCGATGGCGAGGCCATGTGAAGACCCACGAATTCATCCTTGTCCTCCGCGACTACTATCTGCAGCGGATCGATCAGGAAGACGTTGTCATGTCCAGTGGTGACTCTCCAATAACAGGCGGTGACGACAAATGGGCGCTCGAATGCCTCAACGTCAACTACATCTCAGCCATCTCGGAAGCACTTGACGACGATGGCTCAGGCTTCCTCACCATCAGTAAAGTTAATCAATTCACCTCGTCTCGTCCAGAAGGCTGGAGGTATGCTACCAACACGCAATAGCGCACACTGCGTCGATTTTAATCTTCGTCTAATCGCAGCTTGCTCCACTGGATCGCGTTCTGGGCGAAAGGTGTGTTTACTATTACTCAGACGCCTCAAGCAACTTTTCAGTGACAATGGCTTGCAAGGATGGAGGATAGTCACGACCCATTACAATAACAAGTTGAACGCCCTTGTTGCGGAGATGTTTGCGCTGATCCCCCACCTCCGTGTCGAGAACCGCCTGAAGGCGTGCTGGTATCTTGTGACGGTGTGGCCGGTCCTCGCCCAAGTCCTGGCAACGTTCGACCGCGTCGAAGTGGACATCGAAGGCGAGCTCTGGGGAAGGTTCCAAGGCTACATCGAATCCGAAGAGAATAGGCTCGAGGAGGGCCTGAAGACCTTTCACTACTTCATCGATGCCGCGGACACGGTAACCTTGATCACTGGACCCGGGAGGATCGAGCGGGTGAGTTTCAACTTGCCGTGTTTTGCTGACTGGTAACCCTGTTATTGTTCAAGTTCTTGATGCCCCTCTACTACCTCTTGGTCCGTCGGGACCTTGAGATACTGCGGCTCTGCCATGAGAAGGTCGTTATCAACCACATGGAGCTCTACCGATCTGCCACCAGTATAGCGCTCGCCGTGGCGGAGGTTGCGCAATCTCGGATTAGGGCCTTAGAAGGTGAGTAATTGCTTATGGCTCTCAGGTTTGGTGCTAGTATTCAGGGTCAACGTTGGGCTATAGCTGTTTTTAAGCAACGTAACTTGGACCCAGAAAAGCAAATGAAAGGCTTCGCATATGGGCTGGTGAGTTTGTGTGCCACAGGGCCATACACGTACACACCCCGAGCACGACTAACTGCCTTGTAAAACCCAGTATTACGCTACCTACAAGTCTGAACGACTCTGGTCCATGAAAACCCGGGTGACCTTCAAGGAGCGAGACGCCGGCACATTCGAGGAAGTCGAGCCTGACCTGAAGGCCTGCCGTGCATCAGCAAAGTGCGCGACCGTGATGTACGGCACCACAGGCCCCTGCAGTACGTGTAGTATCTTGTGGAACAAGTGGCGAGCTGCTAACTTCTGCATGCAGGCCACGGACCCTACTGGCACTGGGTGGCACGCTGTGGAACGTTCGTGGCGCGCTGCCAGACGTAGCGCGCAGCTCTGCAGAGCTCCGCAGACCCTCAGGCGCCGTTATGCAGGGCTCTACGAGACCATGCAGAGGGCCAGTCTCACAACCGGATAAATTATTGCTCAGATCGTCGTGCACTGCGGGCACCCAAAAATGCAAGATAAATGCGGCAGTAAATCAATGATATATTGAGCGTCGCATGATAATATCGCGGGATATTCTACGCGTGAAAATACAATCTATACATGGCCCGCAGGGTCCGAGTGTCCGACGTCCAGGCCCGGAACGCAGCCCACGAAACAGCCATTGGTGAGACACACTCCCAAGAGTCACAGACCCAGAAGTAAGCCGGATAGAGACCAAATCGACGTCTTGCAAGGCGGATAGACAAGAGAAAGAGCGCATATATGAATCAAGGGAACGAGGGTGACCTAGAGCACCAGACTGCAGGAGAGGTTCGTTCAAAGTCCGGGGTGTGAAGGTCAGTGCGCGGCATCCCTGTGGCAAGTCAGCGTGCTTGTGGTCCTCATCGAGGGAGTCGTTAGTCGCATGGGAGTCAGCGTGAGCGTGGCCGTTTCCGTGCACATCCACATAACTCACAGTGCCGTACGCACCTCATGATCATCAGCAGCGTCCATGTCACCGGGGTCCATGTCCTCCTGCTAAGGGCTGCGATCTTGGCGATGGCGCGAGATGGTGGTCGTAGTGGGAGAAGAAGAGGATGGGGGAAAATGGGGCGCTCCGAGACTTTATATACGACGCGGGTCCGCAAAGAAGGCGACGCAAGTCAAGGACGCGTCAAGGATCGCGCATACGTCATTGGACTTGGGGCGCGATCGCCGACGCGACGCGACGCGTCCGCCCCATTGGGCCGGCGCTTATTCTTTCGTCTCTTACCCCCGCTCAGGCGGCTTGCGCTAGTACTCTCGAAGCCCGGGCCCCTCTGTATCTCGTCGTTACTCTTATTGACTGGGTACCAGCCACTTTGCTACCAACCTTGGACGACAACAACAACGGCACACCCTGCAGTGCACACTGCCTGAAGCTGAAGGCGCATATAACCAGGGCGACGAGGTCAGCGAGGTCGTTGTGGTGAGTGACAACGAGGAGGCGTAGTAGGTGCGCTTGCGCTATGATGATGGCGACAATACCTATGAGGTCGATGCGCCATGTGGGATGAGATGAAACACAGGACCAGATGACCGGTGAGGGTGAGTTCGTGCGCCTTTAGGACCACGGCGATGGCGGAGGGCTTCGCGCTGTATCAAGCAATGCTTAGTGATCTCGCGCGGACGTCCGCTTGCCTCGCGTGCCTACTGTGAGCTTGCGGGAATGATTGAACCCAGTACGAATGTTTTGTACATTCTTAATGGCCCGGGGAGGCTTCCGGGGTAGCGGATGTTCGGGCTACGCTACTTCAGACCATGTAGCTCTGCATATATTCCACTAATCCGCTAATATTACACATGACTACGTAGTACACTCGTGGCACTCGACGACGTACGGCATGCCTTTGTAGCGACTTCGCGGCGCGATGCATTTCGCGACTAGGACCCTTGGTGTAAGACCGCTCCCTGCGGCGCGCTGCAGGCGCCTGTCAGCCTTTCACCTGGCACGGCTAGGCGCCTACAGCGCGCTGCGTATCTCGTGGTGCCATGCATCGCCATGCATGTTGCTTGCGCTTTTGCTGATGTGATCCCGGCGAAATCCTCACTCTGTCCGCCCCTGCCGAAGGGCCATCTGTCACGGCGCGAGATTCGCTATCGGAGACCGACCTGCTGGAGCCCGACGGCGCTCTCAAATCCATGTAAGTGCCTGCGGCCTTCGTCAGAACAAAATCGCGTGTGCTCAAACCATACAAGGCTTGGTCGATGGCATGGCTTTTTTGGACACGGCAAAGACTGGCCCGACTCCGCCATGATCTCGTTCTTCCTCCACGCGTCCGGCCCAGGCGCGCTCTCGTCCAGATCGCGAACCGCCGCGGGGGTCTCCTACACCATCACGGCTCAGTGCGCAACCCGCAAAGACGGCAGAGCTGGATTTACGGCCCACTGGGAGCTCGTCGGAGTTCAAACATGCCATCGCTTCCTCCAGGGCACAGTTTCCGAGGACGGCCAGTCGATGTCTGGCGTGTGGAGCGCAGTCGAAGGCGAGCTGGCTGAGTCCACAGACGAGTTCTACTTCACGCGCTCGTCGCCGGAGTTGCTCACTGTGCGGCCGCGCCCGCGGGTCCTCAAGGCGGGGCCGAACAAAATCAAGGCCCTATGGCGCTTTGCGCTGGACGCGACTATTCTTCAGGTCCGCAGGGGGCAGCCATGGCGGTACATCAAGGACTTCATCCAGAGATGGAACGCATACCTCGACTTGCTCGCCCCAAGTACCAGCCTGAGCCCCGAGCGGCGCACGGATACGTCAAGCTCCGAAGACACAGCCCACACTCCCCGCGGACGCCTCAGCGAGATCGAGCGGTCGTTCACGTTCGACGAGGCGTGCTTCTGCCACATCGTGCTCGAGCTCCGCAACAGGGCCTCCGCCGAAATGCAGTCCGTACACTCCCTCCCTCGCCCTCGCCTCTGATGAATAACGAACCTCTCCACAGCTACTACTACTTCTGTGACTTCTGCGGCGCGACGCACGGCCCGCGCGACGCGCGCTACACGTGCATCCCATGCTCGATCGCAGCCGACACTCCCATCGACGTCTGCGAGACGCCGCGGTGTAGGGGCGCGACGTTCACTGCGGGCGCCGCCGTACACCGACCCGCACACGACATGCTCAAGATCCGTGGCCTGGTGATCTGGCAGCGCGAGCTCCCCGAGCTCATTCGACGTGCGAAGGCGGCGACTGCGCGCGCAGACGAGGCGCTTGAGGGAGATGAGGGGGGCGAGAGAGGTCGGCTGGGGTGTGCGTCCTGCTCTGCGGTCGTGGGGTATCCTTTCTTCGCCTGTTTGGACTGCACAGGTACGTCCATATCTCCGCGCCCAGGGCGCTGTACCGCCCGAGAATTTGAGCATGCGCAGCTGACTCGCCTTCGGCCTCCAGGCGGTTCGGAGGACGTCTATATCTGCGCCACATGCGACGAACATACTGGAGGCATTTCCGCAGGAACGCACACCCCGCAGCACACCCTCGTCCGGTGCCTGTCGCCCGCGGAGTGCAGCGTGGAGGAGCCGGAAGGCGTGGAGGAACGGCTCCGCGCGCTCGAAGACAAGGTTGCGTCGTACTCGGAGAGGATGGGCCGCATCGAGCACCTGCTGGAGGGCATGTCGAAGGCACTGTTTAGGCTCGCTCCTCCGTGAGTGGCCCACTCGGGTGCCTCCTGAGCAACTCCTGAGTGTGTTCGTATATTAGCTTCGCGATATACTGCGCGTCATGCATGGTTCATCGGCCCCACATGTTCTCAAAGCGCTATTCAACCTACAGTAAACATCGGCCGCAGCCTATCTTGTAGAATTAGACCTGACTGCGGCGTGATGGTGACGGACCTCGACGCTAGCTAGCCTCGGTACCGGGTATGTAGCACGCGCGAATGGACGAAACACGAGAATTGCGATAGATTCCAAAACAGTGGCGCAATGCAGCGTTACAAGTACAGATAGGATACTGGAGGTATGTTCATCAGCACGACGCGAAACTCGATTAAGTACAAGTTAAGAGGAGCGCATGTGATCAACTGTGGATGTGCGGAAGAATGTTCGTTGTTCGTGACTATTTTCGTGCCGGTCGTGTTTTCCGTTATGCGAAGGCGAAAGCAGCATACGCTGTTCGACTAGTTGATGAGCGGGGCACGCTCCTCGTCGAGCGAAATGCCGCGGCCGCCACGGCGGAGCTTGAGGCCAACGCCGATCGCAGCCTTGACGACCCAGACGAGGGAGAGGATGGCGAAGGCGAGCGCGGACCAGTGGATGAACGCGGGGTGGCGCTGGCGCGCGAAGATCGCCCAGAGCGACCACGCGATCGCAATGCTGGCGGGGAGATCACCCTCGGCGGACGAGAACGCGTAGGTCGCGGCGGTGGCCTCGAGGAAGAAGCTGGAAGGAGCGCGTAAGCAATTGATCTTCGGAGATGACGGCAGGCAGGTATACATACAACGCGAGGAAGGCGAAGACCTTGGTCCAGATACCGGCGGGCTCGACGGCCGCGTTCTTGCCGAATGCCTCGAACGCGGTCAGGATGACGAGAACAGTGGTCCAGCCATGGTAGAGCGAGAACGGCAAGTGGACGAAGATCTCATCCGCAGTGCTCTGCGGCTCATGGTACTTCTTCACGACGTAGTAGATGTGCTGCGCCACAATTGAAGTAAGTTTCGGGTGCCGGGCCGCAGACTGAATGGATGGCACATACCGTCACTGCGGAGCTGACGAACAGGGAGAAGACGAAGGCTGCGCGAGGGTAAGGTTAGATGGTGCGGAGACGGTGCGTAGGAGGCGCGACATACCGACGACGTAGTAGTGCCTCGCCCACACGTTGACGTAGATGGCGTTCAGGACGGCGAGGAGGGGGAGGCGCCAGGAGATGCCGTCAATGATGACTTGCTTGCCGCCGTCGAAGAACTGGTAAATCACGGTTCCGAGGAGGAGAAGGTGGATGAGGGACCTAGGACGAGTCAGCTCGCGAAACAGGAGACAGCCACAAAGACCGCGTACCAGATGAGGAACGCCCATGGCGCGGGGGTCACGTAGGTGTCTTTGCCGTAGTAGTAGATGTCCGAAGGTGCAGCAACGGTGTACACGTTCGAGCCGAGGAAGAGGAAGTATGCGACCACATTAACGATCTGTTCGGACCGTTCTGAGCACCGTCTACCTAGAACAAAGGCGGAAGACCACACATACCTTGAGGAAGAGACCGTCGGTCCAGTTGCTGTGGGACGGCATTGCTGTTGCGACACTGGCGGACGTCGAGGGGAGGGGGAGGACAAGAGGGAGATGCGGGAGTGGGGCGAGGCGGTCGAGGCTTTATAGGGCGCTGCTTGGCTTGGGGCAGGAGTGACAGGATGGATGCACGAGTGTATGCACGTCCATGGCGCAACGCCCGCTGCGGTCCTGACGTCACCCACGCCTCCCATGACCGCTCCTGGCTCCGGCCGCCCACGTGGCCCCCACGCGCGCCTGCCCAATCGGGCGCCAGACACACCCGTCCCAGTCCCCGTGCACGCGCCCCTCGCGTGCGCACACAGTCTCGCGGCGCCGCCCACAGCGGCAGCGTCGAGGATGTCCACTTACGCGCCCCGTCACTCGCCCTCCGCGTTCTCTACCCCCGCCTCGACCACCCTCTTCCGCAGGCTCACATGGGAGGGCACTGTGCCGCTCGAGATCCGTGTCGACTCCAAGGAGCTGCCCGCCAACTCTGACCGCGGCCTCGAATGCTACTACATCCAGGCACCTCGCGTCAGCTACCTCCCGCTGCTCGTCCCAGAGATCAAGCGATACCTGCTTGATGTCGTCTTTGACGAGGCCGCAGCACGCGTAATCAAGGAGGAGGACTGGTGGTTTGAAAGCGAGGACGGGAATCTGCTCAAGTGGTACGCACACCCGCTCCAGCCTTCACTCTACATCATGCTCAATTCTCGCGTAGGCACTGGCCCATCGGGCTCATATACGACAACCACTCCATCTCACAATCGACGCGGCCCAATGCCGTGCAGTCCGTCTTCACTCCGCTCCGTCTCGTCCTCCATCTGGTCTCCCCGCCAACGGAGAAGCTTCTGCTTGCGCCAAGCGCAGAAGCGTGCAAGCAGGCGTTCATGGGACAGCTCAAGGAGGCCGACTTCATCCGGTGGGGCAACACGAAGCGCATGACTGGCCTGCGCAAGGCTGAACAAGACGGTCTCTGGGAGGGGATCAAAGAGCGTAAGCCTGAGCTCTGCCACTATAGGTTTCCCCCGCTGATATCTATGTAGACAACTTTGACGAGTACTGGCGTGTCGCTTCGAAGATCACGCCCACGACAACCCCTACGCGCTCACATTCTCCGCCACCTCCCGCGGCTGCGACGTCGCTCCACACCCGCCCGCCATCCGCAGACCCCAGTTCCAATAACACGCCGCCCGACCGCGATGGCGCTTCAAGCGTGCGGAACGTACCCGTTCGCATATATCTCCCCGACGGTCCGGTCCTACAGGACCTCGTCCCGCCCGTGCTCGAGGATGGACCGATACACACCCTCGGCACGTTCCTCTCGGCGCGGTTGCCGTTGCTCTTCCCGCCCCCGGAGACGGGTAAGCATACGTTGGCGTACGCGCTTCTCCAGGGCGTACACGTACCTCCCGAGGCAGAAATGGCATGGCTCGGTGCGTGCATGGCTGGTGCGGACGGATGGGTGAACGTGTGTGTGGGTCTGCTGAGGGAGGCCGCGCGATAGGCGGCGGCGGCGGATGCGCTGTACTGTATGTATACCCGTATATAGATTCTACCCTTCCATGCTTTTCAGACACACGAGGGATACGCAACTAGAACATCATCGCAGTAGATTGAACCTACCTGGCGTCCTGCGCAGCTCCCTACGCGTGGGAAAGCGTTTTAGAGACGATGTTACAGACTATGGGCGTCTACATACGTGTAAGTGGCAGCGATGTCGATGCTGCCCCTCCCCGTCACCCTCTCCGCCTCCCGCCGCGACCACTCCCGACAACATCCAGGAGGCTTGCGCCACTACCGGAGCACGCGCGACATCCTCCTCACCCGTGCGCGCGTCACCAACCTCGGCTTCTTCATCCTCGCCGCCTTCGCTGCCGTCTCCCTCCTCGTCAACCTCGTCTGGTACTTCTCGGAGCCAGCCGACTATGCGCATGAGGGCACATATAAAGCCCCGCGGGCTATCTGGGAGACGCTTCCGCGCGAGCGCGGACTGGCGGAGCTGGACCATTTGATTATGGTGCCGGGGCATGCGATTTGGAAGGGCACGAACTTGGAGGCGCGCTTTGACGAGGACCAGTGGGTCCTGGAGCCGTACCAGCGCGGCGGAGGACGGATAGCGGCGTTCTTCAAACATATCACTGCAGCGTATGTTTTGCCCCATGCATTGTGCTCGTCGCATACTAACCGTACGCAGTGCCGATCTCGCACGGCAAGACGAGCACTCCCTGCTCGTGTTCAGCGGGTACGCCGCCCCTCCCCTTAATACCGCAACCACGCTGACCCCACGCACGCAGCGGCCAAACACGCCCAGCCTCCACCACGACCGAAGCCGAGTCCTACATGCGCCTCGCGCACGTCTCGGACCTGCTCCCCACGCTCACCTCCGCGCCCGGCGCGCCGCTGCGCGCGACGACGGAGAACCACGCGCTCGACTCGTACCAGAACCTGCTGTTCTCCGTGGCGCGCTTCCACGAGTACACGGGGCGGTGGCCCGCGCGCATCACCGTCGTCGGGTACGCGATGAAGCGGCGGCGGTTCACGGAGCTGCACCGCGCGGCGCTGCGCTGGCCGGAGGCGCGCTTCGCGTATGTGGGCATCGACGCGGAGGGCGAGGACGCGGTGAGCGCGCAGCAGGGCGAGGTATGTTGTCTGAACCTAGCGGCGTGGAAGAGAGCGTTGGCTGACCGTGTGTCGCAGCTGCAGAACGGGTATTTGCCGTACACACAGGATACCTATGGGTGCCACGGGACGCTCCTCGCGAAGCGGCGTGCGCGCAACCCGTTCCTGCGCTTCCACTCGTATTACACTTCCGCGCCTGAGCTCGGCGGTCTGCTCAACTGGTGTCCGGATCGCGCCCAGGGCGGGCGTGCGGCGCTGTATCCTGGGTCTCTTCCATGGGACAGCTTGGGGTAGACTCTTGCACAGAAAATGAACCTCTTTCGTTGGACTTTAGTCTGCCTTTCGTGACGCTATCATTATTGTCTTGCCGTCGTCATCCGCGACGTTATTGTAATCAATTCACGCCACTAGTCCTGCCTTCCTGTCTTCAAGACGAGTGTACACGAGAGGTGCGATCCCGCCTGATCAAGACAATGTTCTTACGCATCGCGTTCTCCTCAGATCCTCCAGTTCAATGCGAGAAAGACGTTCCCCATATACGTCGAGGCCGCTTTTCGTCTTTGAACCCCCATCCAAGCAAGCAGAGATCTCCCATCGCATCACACCATCTTCTCTACGCGCCGCTTGCGCCGGTCTCCTCCTCAATCTCCATCCTCGCTTGGCGATGAACTACGGTAAACTATATACGACGTGTATTGGTGAGCACTGATGATTCTGAACCGGAAAGAAGCCCCGCTACGTACCTGCCTCGCTATAATCACCGCTGCTGACCATCCTACGCCTCCGCACGAACTTCTCCTCGAATTGCACTTGACCGTCGGCAAGCGTCACTCTCCTCCAGCTGTCTCGGGGGCCGATCATGGTGATCTGACCGCGTTGCATTGTAGGGATCTCCCTCATGAACCGGCGCATGTAGTCCTCGAGGTCGAACGTGTCCGCAGAGCGTTCAGCGGGCAGCAAGGGGTAGTCGTCGGGGTTGAGCGGGGGAGGCGTCGGCAGGCGGCTCCACCTGCGCGGAACTTGTTCATTCTTCGAGTGGATGTTGGGACGGGGGTCGAGATTGGTTACCCAAGTATCCAGCTGGAGGTCTTGGAGGGGCGCGCCCAGGAGTGAAGACAGAAGATCGTCCTAGAAATTCGGTTGGTATGGGTTATAGACAGGTGAAGGGTGTGATCGAACACGTACGAGCACCGCGGCAACGTCGACATTTGCAGCCATCTGGGCCCCCGAATCGGACCCTATTTCGATGTCCATGTCGAGAAGCTCAAGCCTAGATCCGCCCTGCCCTTGAAACACTGCGAAAATGTCGGTGTCCGGGGCGTCATGTATCCTGGGCCACCGGAGGCACTTTAGCTGTCTGGGACGGGCGTTGAAGAGCACAGGCGCGAGCATGAAAAGGACCTGGTCGTGCAAGTCGCGTAACTCCACATCCCCTATGGGACAGGTCAGGCCCAGCACATAGAGGTCGGCTAATATTCCTCTGAACTTTCCCAGCTCGCTCCAGGTGAAGCCCGAACCGACCTGTTGGGCGATGTTAAGATGGCGGCGCAGGATGCAGTGCTGTATGTCGGGTCGCCAGTCGGAACCGAGATCGCTCTCCGTCAACTCTAGATGTGCCAGGTTGGGATACGCACGGGTATACGACACCGTGAGCGGGAGGAGGGCTCGCTTGTGGTAAACTTCGCGCATCCTTGGATACACAAGCGTAGGGTCAGGGCCCGTGCTTGGGTGTGTGAACCAGCGGTAGGAGGTCAAGGTTTCAAGAGTGGACGCCGAGTTCTGAAGGACAACGGCAGGATGATACAGCGGCCAATCATGTTCCGGTACAACGTCGAAGAACGCGTCCTCCCCGTCGCTGCTGAAATTGATGTCCGCAGAGATGAGCTCGGATCGGAGGGACCGAAGCATCCCCATAGCATGCTCGTCGGCATGGGAGATGGAGAGATGACGAACGGAGGTGAGCATGGCGAACGCGTTTGATACGCCAGAGTGAGATAATAAGGGGCCTTCGGAGTCGCACCAGATCGACAACTTGTTGAGGTTGGAAAGCAATGGCAACGCAAGGATCAACGCCTGATTTGCTTCCTCGCTAAGGTCGAATAGATACCCGAATGCAAGAGAGCGCACGAATTGGAAGCGAGTGCCCTCCGGCGTGCGCAGGTAGGAGAGGAAAGAGAGTAAATGTTCCTCCGCGTGAAGCGTGACGGTATCCAAGAGAAGCGCTTCGACTCCATGCGTATAGAAGAAGCGACCTGTCTGCGTAAACCGTGCGCAGTCGGGTCTTGGGCAGGCCTTCAAGACCTCCAGCAGGACGTCGTAGTTCAGAGTGGGAGTTGATGTCATGAGTACTAGTGATACTTGAGAGGTTTGTACGAGTGTATTCGACTCGTGGATATGCTACAGCAGAATTCGTCAGCTTTATGGCTATATCACCATATTTCAACCTTTGAATGAGCAGCAAGACATGCAAATACTGCCATATGAATGGGACACTGGCTCGAATTGAGTGCTCGCAACCGATTCAAAGACGTACAAATTGAAAGTTCAGCGGTATACGGGCAAACGGGTTGAGTTTTCAGTGCTGTGAGGACATAGAAGACTCGAAGGGAGTGGAGGTTGGACCTAGCCTGTAGTACCGAACGCGACTCATGGGAAGAGAGAGAGCAACTCAGCGCGGTATTCGCAAGGCACGGCAGTATGCGTGCGTGTAGTGGCACAGCCACAACTTCACATCCTCCTCGATCGTGATCGACTGCGCTCTCTAGTTACATGGTCCTCACACCGTACCCCGCGGTCTGAAATCATCCGAAAGAAAGGAATAGTAAAAGCAGTGCAAACAAATGAAAGGTGCTATAAGGCGTCGCGCCTAGGTTTGGGCGAGAAAGAGCTCAAGCTGCTCATCTACTTACATATCGGACTCACAGGAATCTAAAATTCATCCAAGAACATAGACACCTCGCGCCGCGCGACGCCGTCCTCGTCCCATGCCGCTTGCAGCTTCTTCCTCAGCCCCTGGAGCCGTGCGCGTTTCTCGGCGCCGTCAGGACCGAACGCCTGGTCGAGGACGCCGCGCATCTCCTCTTTCACGGCGTCGATAGTCCCCACGGGCGTGCGGCCATCGCGGAAGATCTTGCCCAGACCGCAGCCACCCCGGACCTCGATGAGCTCGTATGCCACGTTAATGTCGTCGGCGAGGTAGATGGCGTTCATTGGCTGGTCGGCGTCGATCGGCCACACGATCCTAGGAGGCGCGGAGGTCAGAAGTTGGGGTAGCAACGGCAAGTGGAGCTGAGGACTTACATGGGGACGCCAGCTGTGATGGACTCGAGGGTTCCATTGTGCCCGCCGTGCATGAGAGACCACCCTGTCGCCTGTGGAGACTCGTAAGCAAGGGCCGTACTACAGGTTAGCCGTGCGAATAGATTACTCACTGGATGCTCAAGGAGGGCTTGCTGCGGGACCCAGTCGGAAACGATGGCGTTGCCATACTTCTCGATCCTCGCCTTGACGTCGTCGGGAAGCGGACTCGCCATTGACGCGCCATGGCTCATAACCTATGACGCCGCGGATAGGTTAGATGACGCAGAGGCTACATGTCCGGATAGGTTCGGCATTCGCGAACGAGACTTACAAATGGGATGTTCTTCTCCATAAGTACGTCTAGTACCGCCCAGAGCTTGGCGGGATCGGGCGGCCAGAACAGGGAACCGAAAGACAGCTGACGGCGCTGCTAAGTCGGGATTTACGATGATTGGGAAACGAGGAACACTCACGTAGAGGACGGAGTGTTCGCCGGCGGACTTGAGCTTCTCATCCAAGAAGGCCATGATTTCACCGCCGTTCTCCGAGTTTATCATCTCCTTCGCCGCGGCCTGAGCGCCGGATGGCATGAGAGGGCCAGCATAGAAGGCTTTCTGCGACTTCTCTGCGAAGTGCTGGCGAATCGCGTCAGTCGCCTGGGGATGGTAGTCGGCGGCGTCGAAAGTGATCAGTCCGTCAGCTTTGTTGATGGCTCTTTTAGCCAGCGTGTATGAGTGCCCGTGAAAACCAGCAAGGCGTAACAGGTCACTCACCCAGCTATCCTGATGATCACGTTGGCGACCAGCAGTTTTGGGAGCCTGAACTGCGGGTCTACGGGTTAATGTAGAGCTAATGATAGAAACAAAGACGTACGCCCTGAGGATGCATCTCGTAGTCGTGTATCGTCGGCAAACACGGGCTGTGCATCAGCGCCCCACTAGTGCGCCACATCATCTATTACGACGCATCTTGGCGTCAGCGTAGAGCCACGGGTATCTCACAAATTGCATACCAACCTCATAGGCGACATCCAACACCGGCCGTCCCGTGCGTGCAGCCTCCGCCGTCGCCTGAGGATACTTGTCCTCTGAAAAGGCGTGGTAGAAGGCATTGGTCGAAAGTGGAAACCAAGTGTATACTTTGACTGTGTCCCCACTAATCTCGCGCACGATATCGTGGGCGTCGACAGCGAACGACTGCGAGGGGGGCCACGACCGTCAGCACATATTCACATTGCACGATATCAGAGCACGTACGTCTAGTAAGGCTACACCCGGGCGAACGGGGAGCGCTTCGAAGCGCGTCCCCGTCTTCGCGCACGTAAGCGCCTGGTCGTTACAAAGCCTGTCCCAAGCCGCCTTGAAGACCCCAGGGGCGCCGCTTGTCTCGTCGGCTTCGGTACCCTCGTCCAATGCGACAACTCTAGAGGGCGCATTTTGAGAGACTAATCGCCAAAATCATACGTAAACGGGTGAGATACCTTATCCTGTTCACGAGGTGTTCTTCTCCTGGCTGAAAGTCCCGCGCGAGTTCTGCTACTGCTCGACTGTGTACGCTATGGACGGTCAGGAAGGTGACCAGGATCGGGCGCAGTTTGACTATGCGCGCGACGAGCGTGCACATGGGGCGAGAGTGTCCTGTGTTGCACTCCGTCAGCATATACAACATGTTTTGGGTCGATACAATATACGCACCCCAGAAATGCGTCGAAAAAACGACAAGATGCTTGTAAGGCGGAGCGGACATGATAGGAGGTTGTATGGGAACTTGCTCAATGGGCTCCGAGTTGGTCGGTGGCTCCGGGCCCTTACTTATACTTATCCCCGGTGGTGCTCCTGGGAACTGCGAATACCGGGACTGCTATCGCAATTGCAAGCTCGCGGATATCAAGTCCGCGAGTAAATCGGAGTTTGAGTGCAAGATGGCCGAGTCTATGAGGGTGAGCCGTAGTCAGCTTAGGATCGGTCACCCTATGTGGTTACTGACATGCGGCAGAACTCACCGAAGCCGCCGCCTCCTTGGCTTCTACCCGACGGTTGCCGAAGATGTAAGAACGCCAAGATAGCGGGCGGGTGTCAGCCGCTGCGTGTCAATGCGAAGAATGCGAGTCTAACGGGAGCGAGGAAGCTCTATTGCAGGCGGCTGTGCCTGGACGTTGTTGAAGGGACACGGCACGCGTGCAATACCGATTGCGGTGCCGTTTAGGCGTAGTCTCACTTTCGCAAGAATGCAACGAGTGAGTCTTTCTGCAAATGAGTGATGGTATATATTTGGAGATGCGCTCGGATCGCGAGTTGCAAGTCAAATTAGCAAAGGGGCTGACAATCGTAGTCCCGAGCGAACTACTTACTTCGGGCAGAAGGTCGGAGTACTGTTGGATTTCTTCTCACGAGAACGAACTATCGGTCAGCTCATGACGAGCCTCGGAGAATATTTCCTACTCACGATCTTGCATAACATATCCCCGTATATAAGGGTACGGCCACATAGCATCGGCGACCGATGGATGGGTGGACTGCTGGCAGCGAATGTAGTAAAGTACTGCCATTGCAAGCGCTACTCGTACCTGGTGAAGTGAAGTGAAGCCGCCGTTACTCGTGGCGCAGCGACAACAGCCGCTAGAGTGTCATGAGCACAAAAAATTCCTTTTCAGCAACACGAGAGGACAGCGGTTATTCTGGGGTAGTAGTGCGGCTAAGTGCGCAGTGGAATCGTACTGCATGGAGGTTACGTTGAAGTCTAACTCACTGGGCGTCTCTTTGTCGTTACTGGTGCGCAACGAGTTTCTCACGGTATTCTCTCTGCATCCCCTCCAATACATGCCCGACCTAGAGGCCCGACTCCTTATACTATAGCTCGACCCCCGTCTCCCTCCACCAGGCTATCCGCGCGCAGTACTGCCAGTAGTAGTAGCACAGCGGCACCACATGACTTCACACCCTAGTTGGTGCCACTAATGGACTGCTGCAAGTTTATCTGGACACTCATCCAGACTACTTACTACATAGTACTACGGACTTTCAGAAGTCTAGAATCCATCCAAGAACGTAGACACCTCGCCCCGCGCGACGCCGTCCTCGTCCCATGCCGCTTGCAGCTTCATCCTCAGGCCCTGGAGCCGTGCGCGTTTCTCAGCGCCGTCCGGACCGAACGCTTGGTCGAGGACGCCGCGCATCTCCTCTTTCACGGCGTCGATAGTCCCCACGGCCCGGGGTGTGCGGCCGTTGCGGAAGATCTTGCCCAGACCGCAGCCACCCCGGACCTCAATGAGCTCGTACGCCACGTTGATGTCGTCGGCGAGGTAGATGGCGTTCATCGGCTGGTCGGCGTCGATCGGCCACACGATCCTGGGAGGTGCGGAGGTCAGAAGCTTGGGTAGCAACGACAGCGAAATCTGAAAGCTTACATGGGTACGCCAGCTGTGATGGACTCAAGGGTTCCGTTGTGACCGCCGTGCATAAGATACCACCCCGTCGCCTGTGGAGACCCGTAAGCAAGGACAGTACTACAGGCTAGCCGTGCAAAGAGATCACTCACTGGATGCTCAAGGAGGGCTTGCTGCGGGACCCAGTCAGAGACGATCGCATTGCCATACTTCTCGATCCTCGCCTTGACGTCGTCGGGAAGCGGACTCGCCATTGACGCGCCATGGCTCATAACCTATGACGCCGCGGATAGGTTAGATGACGCAGAGGCTACATGTCCGGATAGGTTCGGCATTCGCGAACGAGACTTACAAATGGGATATTCTTCTCCATGAGCACGTCTAGTACCGCCCAGAGCTTGGCGGGATCGGGCGGCCAGAAAAGCGAACCGAAAGACAACTGGCGGCTCTGCTAAGCCGGGGTTTCGACGATTGGAGAACGAGGAACGCTTACGTATAGGACAGAGTGTTCGCCTGCGGACTTGAGCTTTTCGTCCAAAAAGGCCATGATTTCACCGCCGTTCTCCGAATTTATCTTCTCCTTCTCCTTGGCCTGCGCGCCGGACGGCATAAGAGGGCCAGCATAATACGCTTTCCGGGACTTCTCTGCGAAGTGCTGGCGAACCGCGTCGGTCGCCTGGGGCTGGTAGTCAGCGGCGTCGAAAGTTATCAGTGCGTCAGCTTTGTTGATAGCCCTTTCAGCCCGCATGCATAAGTGCCCGTCAACAGCGACGAGGTATGAAAAGTAGAAACCCACCCAGCTATCCTAAATATGACATTCGCGGCCAGCGGTTTGGGGAACCTAAACTACGGGCTATGAGTTAGTGTAAAACTGAGTCGCAGATGCAAAGACGTACCCCCTGCGGATGCATTTCGTAGTCGTGTGTTGTCGGCAGGCACGGGCTGTGCATCAGCGCCCCACCAACGCGCCACATCATCTAGTACGTCGCATTTTGGGGTCAGCGCAAAGCCATGGGCGATTCACTAACGATAGACCAACCTCATAGGCAACATCCAACACCGGCCGTCCTGTGCGTGTAGCCTCCGCCTCCGCCTGGGGGTACTTGTCCTCTGAAAAATAGTGGAAGAAGGAGTTCGTGGAGACGGGATACCAAGTGTACAGTTTGACCGCGTCCCCACTAGTCTCACGCACGATATCGTGGGCGTCGACCGCGAAGGACTAAGAGGGGGCCACCACCGTCAGCACATATTCATATCGCACGATATTGGAGCACGCACGTCTAGTAGAACTGCATTCGGCCGAACAGGGAGCGCTTCGAAGCGCGTCCCCGTCTTCGCGCAGATAAGGGGCTGGCCGTTACAAAGCCTGTCGTAAGCCGCCTTAAAGGCCCCAGGGGCGCCGCTCGTCTCGTCGGCTTCGGTACCCTCGTCCAATGCGACGACTCTATAGGGCGCGTTCTGAGTGACTATTCGCCGAATCATACGTTCAACGGCTGAGATACCTTATCCTGCTAAGGAGGTGTTCTTCTCCTGGCTGGAAGTCCCGCGCGACTTCTGCTACCGCTCGACTGTGTACGCTATGGACGGTCAGGAAGGTGACCAGGATCGGGCGCAGTTTGACTATGCGCGCGACGAGCGTGCACATGGGGCGAGAGTGTCCTGTGTTGCGTCCAGTCAATGATTACAGCACAGCACCGTCAACACAATATACGTACCCCAGAAATGCGTCGAAAAAACGACAAGATGCTTGTACGGCGGGGCGGTCATAGTAGGAGATTTTCTGGGAGCGTGCTGGATGGGATACGGGAATAGTCGGTAGTTCCGGGCCCTTACTTATACTCGTCGCCAATGGCGCTCCTGAAAATTGCGAATGAGGCCATATCATATCGCAGCGGGACCGCTATCGCAAGCTCCCGCATATCAATTCCACGAGTAAGACGGAGTGCGAGGTGGCCGAGTCTATGGAAGTGAGCCGTGGTCAGCATAGTATCGGTCACGTTCTGTGGTGACCGACATGAGGGAAAACTCACCGAAGCCGCCACCGCCTCGGCTTCTACCCGACAGATGCCGAAGATGTATGAGCGCGAAGATAGCGGGGGGATGTCAGCCGCTGCCTGTGAAAGCGACGAACGCGAGTCTAACGGGAGCGAGGAAGCTCCATTGTAGGCAGCTGCGCTTAGACGTTGTTGCGCGCGTGCAATGCCGACTGGGGTGTCGTTCGGGTGTAGTCTCACCTTCGCAAAAATGCAACGAGTAAAATCTATCGGAAAATGACTGTTGTCGCATTTTTGAAGGCGCACTCGAGTTGCGAGTCGCGAGGAAAATTAGCAAAGTGGCTGACGTTCGTAGCCCCGAGCGAACTACTTCGGGCAGAAGTTCGGAGTACTGCTGGATTTGTTCTCACGAGAACACACTGTCGGTCAGCTCATGACGAATGCCCGGGAGTATCTCCTACTCACAATGTTGCACAGAACATCCCCGTATATAAGGGTGCGGCCTCATACATACCGGCGACCGCTGCATTGGGGGTGACGGCTGCTAGCAGTGAATGTAGTTTGAAACACTACCACTGGCGCTTCTTGGCGAAGTGATGTAAAGCCGCCGTTTTCGTGGTGCAGCAGCAGCTAGAGTGTTTTGAGCACAAATGTTGCTTCTCAGAAACACTAGAGGACAGCAGTTATACTGAGGTAGTAGCAGTGGAATCGTACATGCAGCACAGATACGGTCATACTACATGGAGGTTGGAACGTTCAAGTCCCTGGGCGTCTCTTTGTGGCTCATTGGTGCAACGAGTTTCTCACGGCACCGATCCTCCTGCCGCATCCGACGCTCCAGGACGTTAACTTTGCATCCCGACTCCTTGTACGACTCCCGTCTCCCTCCACGATACACGCTCACGAACTAGAGGAGGGAGTGTATACAAGTCAACCGCTACACCAGCTAAATTCATACCCCAACTTCACAATCACCAATTCTCGCCATCGTGAGAGCAGTATGATGTTCCTGGCAGGCTGTCCGGCAAGATGTTGCGCAGAAACTTCCCAACATTCCGACTCCTCGTCAGGCTCGTGTCTGATCGGACTGACATTCGCAGCGCCACTCATGCCATCAGGCTTTAGCGATCCCTGCGCTTTCCACGGACATATCAACCTGTCCTGAGGAAAGATGGGGGAGTAGTCGCTGTCTCGCGACCCCCACTCAGGCTTTCTTGCCACTTGCGCACCTTCGCTCTCGCGGCTCATCGCAGGCGTGTTGCAAACTGCAGGATAGGTACGTCCTGGATCCCTTCTTACGAGCTTCGGACACTCCACTAGTGGCTAGGTTAGAGCATTGGCTTATTTACGGCTGATCCATCAACGAGCCCAGCTCAAACATCATACCAGTACTAGTCCTGGGTCTCCATCAACACTGATCCCGTCTCAATCAGCTCTATTACGATGCAGCGCCCCGGGATGTCGCGCAGAATCACTGACGCGTAGGGGTATAGCGAGAGCACGTCGGCGAGCTCGCTCGTCGTCAGAGCTTGCTCTCGTCCTCCACCACGCGCGCCGCGTCCACCTTTCCTTCCGACCCTCCAGCCCGAGGCTGTGGTCTTGCTTTTGTTTTCATTGCTCTAGACTACAGTTGTCTTTAATCTCGCATCTCTAACGGTACCCTACTCCGGCGACAGGTCGTCTTAATCGTGAGGCCCGCACATTCGGCCGTATATACCCCTTCGCGTGATGGAACAATCACTTTCTTTATCCTCGTCTGTCTTTCACGACTTGGCAGCCACGCGGTACATGTCCGGTGAGTACGCAATGTATACCTGGTTCAAATTTCATGAGACTAATAGTGTGCGCAGCGATCGGCTTGGTTGTTCTGTTTTACGACCATTGCCTGACCTTCGCGGACGAGGTGGAGTACATTTGGCCTGCCCCGACCACTTACGCAAAATACACCTTCCTCCTCAACCGCTACACGGTTCTAGGCACACTTCTGGCGGTAGCATATGGTGCGTACGACGAGGGTCTCTGACACATGTTGTTCAACTCCGCAACTTTCAGAGATGTGTGGCTTTGTGCCCAATCCATTCTCAGACCTAGTGAGTACACCGTGCGCATTCTCTCAATCTTCACTAGATACTGACACCTCAAAATCACAGGGGCAAGTCATTCGATGTCCCTTACGAACGTAACGCTGACGTCCCCACAGATGCAAGCACTTTATCTTCACGTGCTCTATGCTCGCAATCGTATCCGTCGGCATTGCGAACCTGCTCATCCTGCAGCGCGTCGTCATTCTCTGGGAACATCGCCCCGTACGTCCCCCATGACCTGCGTCCCGTGTTCAACTGCGAGCCCGTGCTAACGCTTACCTCGCCGGTCTGGCAGATCATCTTGAAGATCATGACGGTTGGCTTCCTGCTGAGCTTTACGCTCCAGGTGGTCACAATGGTTCTCACGCTCGTGAACGTACTGCGTGAGCATCTGACCGCCCATCTCGTCGCATCCACGATACATCCTAACACCTTGGCAGCAAGCATCCAGTGGTCGGCGCCGCTGGGCATGTGCATTGCGACGAAATCCTCCCACATCCTCGTTGCAGTATGGGCATCCCCGGTACGTTGACTGGCCTCGTGTGTAGAGAGAAGTCGCGAGCTGATCATACCGTGCGCCACAGCTGGTGTTCGAAATGTTCGTTCTCACATCGACTGCGCTGAATGCGCTTGACCGCCCGCGCACTGTCGAACTGCCCATCATCAAGGCGCTCCACTCGGACGGACTGGGATTCTTCCTCGTATGTACCCCGTTCTGTGGCGCGTTCTCTCCTCGCTAATGGGCGAATCATGCAGGCCATCACCTGCTTCCGTATTCTCAACCTCACGCTCGCCGCTCTTTCACGACCCTCTCTTACTCTCCTGGGCGTCTTGTGAGCTTATCAGTGGGGTTTACTTTCTGTTTAGCTAACGGCACGCCTTGTCACAGTTTCTGCTGGGCGATGACCACTACCGTTCTAAACCGCCTCCTCCTCCACCTCCGGCGTGCCGAGTGCCGACAGGTCTCCTCCCTGGACGCGGACGAGGCGTCTGGCGATGAGGAGCTGGCAGAAGCCGGGCTCTGGGATCCGCGCCGTAGCCGCGCGATCTCGCCCTTCGGCCTCATTCCCATTAGCAAGCGCATGTCGAGCGGGAGCGACCACAGCGCCCGCTCCGACGATACCGACCACGAAGCAGGACTCGCCGGGCACAAGCGGGGGCTGTCGGACTTCGATGGGCTCGCGCCACTGCCCTTCACGTACCATTACCAGAAGCACGTACCTGATCCGAGTGAGTCCGTCCTGCTCCACTATTCGCGCGCTGTCGCAGGATGGATTGACTGATGCGATGAACAGACCTTCGGCCGTGGGACTGACTGTTGCGGGGAGGACTGGACTCTCGGACTCGCTAGTATAGTACACAGCGATTGTACCTGTATGTACGATGGATGGCACGGGAGTTGTCTGTATTGCATTCTGATCCGTGAGGATGTTCGGGGTGAGGTGTACCTGCTTCGATATCGTCTCTCGCTATGTCTGAGCATAAAGTACCTCTCTCAATAAGTGGGATGCGTGATCGACTTCAATAACAAAGTGCGCAGTCATCTGAAGACCAATGAACTCAGTACTAGTCGGGGTGTCCCTCGGCCCTCAATGGCGTTCATAGTGACACAAAGTACTTGAACCATGGCGTGCCCCCCAAAACCTCGGGAAGGAAGGGTGGTGAACCTTTTTTAAGGCGCTATAGCCAAGTGGTTACGGCGATTGATTAGAAATCAATTCCACTTTGTGGGCGCAGGTTCGAATCCTGCTGGCGTCGCTTTGGGGATTTCCTCTTTCTCTTTTTTCTCTCTCGAATTTCAAGGGGGATTGAGTGTGCACTGAGAGGAACAGTCTAGAGGACGTAAGCTGACGAGGGGAAGGTCGTGCATCCCGCGTGCCGCGTTGGCATTGCCACCAGCGAACATATGATTCGCGACTCCGACACGGCGGCCAATGTTACGCGCGTACGCCTGGATCAGTTCTCTCTTGCCCCTGCACTCTGCGCTCATTCTATCGGGTCATTTGGGTAAACCTGTATAAACATAACAAGATAAAAAGTGCGCCTCCTTCTCGATACAGTACGTCCAAGCCACCCGGTTTCGCTCGCCTGATCACTGCACATACTTATTACACTAGGGTTTCGTTCAACCTAGTATACTTCACGTCTTCGCCCTCCAACATCGCCCCCGATGTCGACATTCCCCGTTCTGAACTACGACATCTTAATGGAGGTCTTGAGGGTCTGCCCAAGATCCGACTGCGCACGATTCATGCAGACAAACCGCTTCTTCTACATGCATGGATTTAAGACGCTGCTCTCCGATACCGTGCATTTCGACACGGAAGAAGACGTCTCTCGTTTCTTCTCGTATCTCACAAAGCTGGAGGGCGCTCGCTTCCAATTCGTGCGCTCTCTTCACTTCGACTTATCAGCCGACCTCAGCGAGCAAGCCGCTCGAGCGTTGACCATTGCGCTACCATCGCTTTCCAGCCTCGACGATCTATTCATATCATGCATCGAGGACTTCTTGTCATCGCACCCGGGCTTATTAGATGCTTTGGCAATGCTCACCTCCATCCGACACCTTCGTTTGTCGTACATAGGCCCCCTTGCTCTGAAGATGCTCCAGTCCCTCCGATCCAAGCTCACATCTGCGACGCTCGGATTTGAAAGCAACTTCAATGAAGACGACAGTTTCTTTGACTTGCTGCCTCTGGAGGAATGGCAACCGTATCACCCCACCGTACTTCTGGCGCATTCGCAGTCCACTCTGGAAAAACTAGAGTCTCACCGCTGGGATACGGACCCCAATATGATCCCCTGCCCCACAATCGTCTATCCAAAGATGCACCGGCTTTACCTCAATCGACCCGTTCTTCCTCTCTCCGTTTCGCTTATCCGCGCCTATCCGAGTCTCGCGCAACTTCTATTTTACTACAGCGTCCCCAGGCATTCCTCCAGTAATCGACTTCGCTATTCCACACGCCGCTCTTTAAACATCTCTCAGCAAGAGGCTTTGGGCAGAACTTGGGAGGAGTTGGGAAAGTACAGAGGAACCCTAGTCGATCTCTACATGCTGGGCCTTACTTGTCCCATCGCTGAAGTGGAACTGCTCGACTGGCAAGGCGAAGCGCTGCACATGCTCGGCCCTGTGCTCTTTGATGCCCGTCCCCGACGGCTCACTTTGAAAGAGCGTAGCTGGGAGCTGGAAGGCTCGGGCGCCGACATGTTCGCGGCTTTTCGAGGGCGAGGAGGCACCCGGCTGGAGTTCCTGCGCGTAGCTTTCGGGGTAGGACATTATGAGCGCGCTGGAAACTTTGATGTTGCCGTCGTTCTCGTGCGTGTTTCATGTTTATCCCTCCCTATCTACCACTCATACCACTAACTTCTTCAGGAGAATTTGCTGTCTTCGGTCCGGAGCATCCCTCTCCAGGATCTGCAGTTGAGGGTTGTAACAACAAGCCTCGACCCTCGGCCACACACCCACTCGGACATCGAACAATTTAAGTGCAAGATGATGAGCCTTCCTACCCCTCCCGCACTTGACCCAGATCAGTATCCTCTACTGTTCGCCGAACGCTCAGTGAACGCCTTCGACCTCGAGGATTACATGCAGCGGTTCACAAGGGGAATACCTACACTGAAACACGCTGAAATCACCATTATCGGCCCTCGGGACGGGTGGAGGAGAGTGGTGCTCAGTGATGGTCAACCACTGCTGGAGGAAAGATTTGTGCGGAGGCGCAGGATGAACCCAGGTGAGACCCTCGATGCGGAGCCATGATACTGTACCATTTCGATCAATTCGACATGTCACGGGTCACAAAGCCCTCTGTCGGTCGAAATTTCCGGTCGTGTCACAGGTCACCAAAACGGCCGTCGGGGGGGTCAAACGGGCGCCAAATTTCCGGCGCGCTGACGCGCGCCCAAATCGGTCGAAAGTAGCGGTCGGTCACACCGCCCGCCCGGCGCCGTCGAATCTGTCGGTTGTTCGAACCAGGTCACCGGTCACAGGGCCTGTTGAATTGATCGAAATGGTACAGTACTAGCAAACTACATGACAGGTACGTACGGGAAAGCCCATCTGACAGCGATATTGAATTATCCTGACCAGAACACGATGGGACAGGTGGAGGAAAGCGATCGGGTGTACCGAACCTATAGCTACTGTATGTCTCCTGGAAACTACGATCTCCTGCAAAAACAAAACCAGTAGCCCACCGCGAGGGTCGAACTCGCAGCCTTCAGATCACCCGCTAGTAAGAGTCTGACGCTCTATCCGATTGAGCTAGGCGGGCGATGAACGCTAACGCTTCATGCTTAACAGATTCGGACTAGACAAAACGCCTCGGGCGACACACCGTGCAAAACATAGCGAAGACAAAATGACCGATGAACACGACTAACTCTTCTTTTTCTTCTTGCTTTTCTTCTCTCCCGAGGCCTCCGCCCCATCCCCACCGTTCTCCTGCGCTTTGCTCTCCCTCCGTTTTCGCTTCTTCTCCTTCCGTGCGGCCTCCTCGGCTGCTTCACGCGCCCGCCGTTCCGCCGCCTCCGCCTCGTCGCCCAGGCGGCCCAGCTTCTGAAACGCATCCTCCTCAGAGCTGTCCTCAGCATCCTCAATCAGCGCGTCCACCTCCCGCTCGCTCATCAGCGTAGGATCATGACGCGCGGGCCGAGCGGTTGTCGTGCTTGAGGTCGTAACGGCGGCCTTGGGGACGTGTTCCGGGGAGAACGGATTCGGTTGGATAGACCCAACTAATGAGAGCATTTGATTCGCAATTGTCAAGCTATATGATTTGGCGTGAGCGGACGCGAAAGCGAGGAATATGGAGATCACGCACCCGACCACGGTGAACTCCAGGGAGGCGTCCGCATCGCCCAGCTTGGTACCGGTGACCTTGTGTACCCAACGACCATCGCTCTCAGCTTGTCCCTCGGCGCCTTCTGCAGGAGCGTTCTGCGTGGTCTCCTCCGCGCCGCCCGCACCAAACTCGGGGTCGTTCTCCGCGGGTCCATATTCGAACTCGTACACGTCTGTCGTAATGTGATGTCGGGGTATCGAGACGTTGAAAGTGCGGTGGACGAGCAGGGATATGTGATCCGGGGAGGAGAGGTTGATTTTGCCCACTGAATCCGCCGTGTCTGTTAGCGAGGTTCCGAGGACAGCTCGGTGGGGTCTACTCACCTAGTTTCATCCCCACTTGGGGGCTCCAAACTGTCGCGTCGAACGTGACTTTGCATATGGTGAATGGGCAGTCTGCTTTGATGGTAGCGACTGTGTCCAGGAACTCCAGGTGGTCGTGCGCGAGTACTACGCCTTGCAGCGCGGGGATATACCTGCAAACACACGACGGCAGACGCGACAGGGCACACTTCGTATTCAATCAACCTGGAATAAGCTTGTGTATAAGGTGTGCATACCTCATGAGCGTCGAGTCCAGCATCTCCTCCACACCCCCGCGGAGGTCCGCCGCGAACACGGGTGGGACGGCAACGCTGAGTGTCGCGCGCACGACGCGAAACGCGTCGTCGGTCGCGCGCGACTTCCCCTTGTCGGGCTTTGCTTTCGCCTTCACGACCCGCTTCGCATCCTTGTCCTTCTTCGACCGTTTCGTCGACGGCTCGCCCACGGCCGCTGCGACATCTGCGGCGGCCGCAAGCTTGCGCTTTTTACTCCTCTGCTCCGCTGCAAGCTGGGACATAACAGAGAAAACCAAGGGCCCAAGAAGAGACTAGACAGTAACACAGATGCAGCTGCGCGAGCGGACAGAGTCGTGGAAATACAGCAGCGGTCGCCGAAGAGCAGGTGTTGGCGGCAGAAATTTTGGCGGAGTTTCGCAGGCGCTCGCGACTCCGAGAACCGAGCTCAGCGCGGGCGCCTCTTCGCGCGAGCGCGCAGTGCCGGAGGTCGACGGCACGTCTCTCACAGTTCTCTGGTTCTGTCACCATCGTCTCGGGCTGGGTCGTCGGATATGGTGCGTATCGTTGGAATGGCTGGTGGCTAGGTTGCGCGCTGATGCATGTGTGTGATGTGTGCTGTAGAGCTCGCCAAAAGTCATCGTTCAAATTGCGATCGCTGGCGCAAGGATCTTTGGGAGGGCGTTCGCCGCGGCGGGGAGACAGGCGATACAAAGTGCGTCCATTATGCGCCATATGTGCTGTAATGCGCTTTTGAGTACTCATATTGACCCCTGTGCACTTGTAGATGCCAAGTACCGACCACCCGGTGCTGGTGGGGCAGACGTCGCGGGTGTCGGGAATGCGACCTCTGGCTCGCTGACGGACCGGTTGACGAGGGAACATAGGATGACGGCGGACGAGGCGCGGCTTATCCTCAACGTCAAGAAGGAGGACACGGTTGAGCGGATCGTCCAGGTGCGCACGCCTCTCTAGCCATGCGCGTACGCAGAGCTGACAAACGTGTGGTCCCGTGCAGAACTACGAGCACCTGTTCAAGGCGAACTCCCCACCAGAGAAAGCACCAAAGCCCACGCCCGGGAAGCAGCCCGTCCCGACGAACTCGCACTACCTCCAGTCAAAAGTCGTCCGCGCGAAGGAGCGGCTGGAGGCCGAGCTCAAGGTCCCCGAGGAGGAGGCAGCCGCGCCGCCTCCCCCACCGGACGCGCCTACGACCCCTCCGCCCTCGTCATAGCACCCGCCTCCGCTCTCGCCTGCGGTCGCCCGTTCGCATTTGCGCGCGGCGACCCTTTGTCTTGCGTCCCCGCACATACCTTGCTGATATCATAGACCTAATGCACTGTACAACCCCCACACTATTAGCATTATCCCCCATTCACCCTCACTCAGGCGTAATGCAGACTGTTTACGATGGGATCGACGCTCCTTGGCGAATTTTGCATCAGCGGTGAACGTGTCCGTAAATAAGCGGGCGGACAAGGCGTATTTCAAGGTATTTAATCTTTGAGCTCAGTGCAGCCAGCGCGTTTGTAAATGATACCGTCCGACATGACGTTAGCACGCTTCTGAAGTACTTTCTCGTCAACTTGGCTCACGCAGAAAATCGGGTCTTGGTTGCCGGCCTCTGCCAAGTCGATGCCCGCACTGGGCTCATCCATAGGCACAAATATGACAACACAGGATTCTATCTTCGTCGCTTGAACAGTCCGACCCAGTCCGACATATTCGCTTTAAGCCGGTGGATCCTCAATATACACCGCTCACTGCTCTTACCGTGGACGAGTAAATGACGCAGCGAACATGGCAGTCGAGGATTCGGAAGAACTTAAAGGGGGCTCAGCGGCAGCGTAGGGGCATCGCATCAAGTGCCAGTAAATATTCGCACTGCAGACCTCGAGTACATTGGGCACAACTGGCTCACACTCGCGATGATTATGAACAGACCGTCAAGATTATTATATAGGTTGGGGGTATGCTGCGATCGGAAGTAACTCGAAATGCATGTCAAGAAGATGCCGCGTAGACCGCCTGCAAGAATTTCGGAGTCGGTGAGGTGCACAGTCGTAATTTCAGGCTTACTGTACGAGCCCTCGGCTCACCCGACGCACTATGTCCAAACGGAGATATATATGTCCGCTAAGTGCTTGTGTGCGTTGGTGTTTCTAGCAAAGAGGTCATCCCAACATGAGGCATCGTTCTGTCAGCATGCGAATCTCCACCTTTCTGGACTGAGGGGCGGAAACATGCGGGAATGGACTCATCCATCAGAGGCTCGCGGCGCATGAAGATCAGCGCAGCGTTTCCACGACTGAAAACCTGGCTTGTGCCGCGGCGATATCAGAAATCTCGATGGCGAGTGCTGTGCCTCTGCATGTGTATCCCGCATCGATGCGAAGGTGCAGTTCTGTGCAGGTACGCTGATGTACCACTGCCAGGGCGGTTGACTCAATCATACAAAACAGATAACCGCACATGCCTGTGAATGTTTCCTGGGCACCCTGTAGGCTGTCAGCCTCGAGGCGTTTACAGATAGTCAGACGCTCTTCTTACCAGGATGAGATGTCCGTGCATCTTCTGATGAGTGCATCATCAGACGCGCGAACCGGTCGTGGGTTCGGAGAGGCCTGCGCGTTGTGTGCGTCTTGTGAGCACCCTGTAGACTGCACGAGAGGAGCCGCAGGCATGTTGAGCAGTACGCGATCGATCGCATGCGATATTACCCCAAGTAGCGGGCGATCTTGTGCATGCAAGCTACCCGTCGAGCGACACGCTGCATTGAAGGCGGATTGCTCGCGGATGATTACGATCCGCCGGCGTTCAGTCGAGCACTTCGCGATACAGCAACGACCCACGAGGGGATCAAGCGACACCGCACGGAGGCCATGACTGCACCGCGGCCGCGATGGCATCATCCACCCACTCGATCTCGCATCTCATGCAGCGCCAGGCCCGAGGATCCGGCGAGAAGCGCAAATCTCCGGCGCTGGTGGGACCAAAGGAAGGCTCCCGATGGGCCTTCTCACTGGACGGAATAGGCCTAGGGTGGGTGGAAGTGGAGAGCGGGAAAGGGATGGTCGCACTTTATCTGTGCACGGGGACAGCGACGGTATCGCGAAGCGCTGCAGGGAGCGCGGGGGTGTTCTCAGCTGAGCGCGATGGGGAGATCGAGTGCATCGTGGCTGGCGGAGTGCGATGGGCGCGTGCTAGGATATCTCAATTGAGCGGCGGAATGGACCACGCCTGTGAGACAGTTGTCGTGGCGGTCGCACCCAGGACGCTGTGGAGGACAGCGCTGGCCCGGCGCAGAACGGACAGCAGCGAGCACGGTAGACGAACGGCAGCTCGATGGTCGGGCGTCGGGCGGGAGAGACATCAGACGGAGGAGAAAGCCGGAGAGCGGCGGAGAGGCCGGGGTCATCTGATCTGCAGCAGCCGCGCGTGCTCGCCGGATCGGGAAGCGAGACGGGGGCGCATTTTCTGCGTCTGCGCGAGTTCGTCCTCGTCCGCCGTCCTTGCTCGGCCGTCCGAGCTCTCCATCCACCACCATCCTGTACAACACACCACCCCACCAGCCCCGGGGACGTGCACGCGCACTCCCCTTGCAACGTTGACTACCAAACTCACCCATCACCCGCATTCTCCGACGCAGCGCCGCATAGCCACTAGGCCGTCGCCCAGCCCAGAGGGGGCACATCCTCTCCTCCTCATAACCACCATGGCGCTCGGCGGTCTGGGGGCCGTTCTTCTCTCTGGCCACCCCTCCCTCTCGCTGGGCCATGTCATCTCCCAGGTGGATCTCAGTTCGGTCTTCTTCGCTGTGGTTTTTGTCATAATTGTTTTGGTACTCGGTGCGTAATTTCCCTAACTCCCCTCGTGCCTTCTCTTACCCCCTGTATGCGGACCGTTCGACCTCTCGCTGCGCCTGGATATCCTGCCTCTACTCTTCATCGCCCGCCTCTCTGAACCATCAGCGTATCTCACCAATCCATCCGAAAACTCTTTCCGGAACTATCTCACCGAGCAGTCATTCAAGCAACATATTAGCCGACTGGACGAAGGCGGGCAGGAAGACGGCATTGCATCTGACGATTCAGGCGTACACTTCACCCTTTCTCGCAGAACGCCACCCAGCACTCGCAAATCAGGAAGCAACTTCGACCCCACCTCCCCCTTCCATTTCGTCAGTCGTGCTTCCGTATCCCTTCGGACTCCGAAGCACGTCTTCTACTCGTTTGGCATCCTCACGATAGCAGCACTCTATCCGACGGGCCGTCCGCAAGACCGTGCTCATGGCCACGCGATCTACTCCGGGAACCTCGTTTCATCTGTCTCAGATGCGTGGTTCGTCGGCCTGTTTGGGCGCTGGTGGCGGGGAGGCATCATTCAAAGTTGGTGGTACGACATGCTCGCTGCTACGGAGGAGGACGATGAGGACGGGCCTCCGGGTATATTGAACGTGAAGGCACTGGATCTACTCGAGGGATGTGACGGTGAGTCGGAATCTCTTATTTGTCTGCTCTTTGTACAAACCCCTACTCCAGGTCTACCGTTCCCCACCCCTTCGCGCCTGCCCTCCGATGCGACTGCAAAGCTCAGGGGAACCGAGCGATCTACCGCACGATCTCACAATGCCGCACCTCGGAGCAACACTCCCCCTCCACTCCCTAAATCAGCGTCTCTGCCGTTGCACGCACCTCGTATCACCATCTCGACGCCGCCGAAAGGCAGCTCAACACATCTTCAGCGTCTCGCGTCGTCTCCTGCACAGAGTTCGGCGCCCTCGACGCCTGACACAACGCGACCGCCCGCGCCTCGAATGCTTGCGTACTCGCCCTCGTCAACATCGCTCTTTGATTCGTCTCCCGTGATCGCGGAAGTGCTGCGCCAGATCTCGCAGTCCCAGGCCGCGGTGAAGGAACTGAGCACGCAGCTCAGTGACGTTCGCAGCAGCGCGTCTGAATCCCATACGAGCATCCAGAAAGAGCTCGAGGAGCAGCGTCAGCGCAAGCGTGACGAAGATACCGCGCGCGCGGAGCTGAAGACGCGCACGAAGACGCTCGAGGACTCGAAGCGAAACGCAGAGACGAGCAAACGCGATGCGGAGAAGCGGTTGCGTGCGGCGGAGAGCGCGCGAGATAGCGCCGTGGTGCGTATTGAGAAGCTGGGCGCAGAGATCGGAGCACTGCGGACGCGCATGTGGGAGGATGAAGAGATCGTACGATCCAAGGAGGAGGGCGACGCGCAGGAGGAGGAGACGCAGGCGGAGCTGGAGCGGAAGAGGAAGGAGATCAGGGTCGCAGAGGAGGTCGTCGCCGCGCTCAACTCGCGCGCGAAAGAGCTGGAGGAGCGCATTGCACAGGAGGAGGAGCGCCTCCTGAAGGCGAAGGAGCAGGCGGAGATCAAGAAGCAGGATCGCTCCTTCTATCCCCTGACCGTCGTGCCAACCGTGAACGAGGAGGACCTCTCCATCCCGTCGTGGTCGTCTGCGGCCTATCCGGAGCCCCATCAAGCAGAAACCCTCACGCAGGAGCTGCTCGACCATCACACCTTTGACTATGCTGAAAGTCAGGTAGACTTCCCCATGCCCATCCAACCGCCCAGGAGTAAAGGTTCGTCCTCGTCTGGTTCGGCCAACAGCGACAACCGGGAGCCTTCCGTCTCGCCGCGCCCTGCCCGCCTGTCCCTCACAGGCATCTCCAACTTGCGCGAGCCTATCCAACGCGTACTCCCCGAGCCTGATCCTAACGGTCAGGTCTTGGTGCGTCCGCACGCCTTCCCACTCTTCAACGGAGACCTGCCTAGCACGCTCTCCACTCGCTCTACGTCGACTCGCTTCTCGCCTTTCAGCGACACCGAGGACGCTAGCGAACTAACCGTCCCACCCCATGTGGAGCCGAACACCGCGAGCAGCATATCGTCGATGAGCACGTCGCTCATCCCGACAGGCCTCATCAGCTCGCTCGACAGCACGGGCAGCCTCGACGGGCTCGGCCTTCCACGCTCTTTCCAGTCCGAAGACGACGCGGTGCTCGCGCGCGACTGGCGCAAGACCGCACGCTTCCCGCCTCCGCCCCCTGTCGAGAGCCCGAACGCGGGGCGCACTGGCGCATACACGACTTCGCCACTCTCGCTTACGTGCCCCTCGTTTGACGGTGTGGACAAGGACGACCCGTTCGAGGTACGCCCGCCGCCCCCGCGCCGCAGGCTCACCTCAGATCTTGCGGACCAGCGCGCGTCCTTCCCGCCGACACGGACGATATCTGACCCGCCCCTCCCGCCGCCCGGCATCGCCGCCGCACCCCAGCAGCAGGAGCACGAGGGCCCAGACAAAACGGGCTCCGCGCACCGCCGGTGGTTCTCGCAGCAGGACGCCGCCGCGGCGAAGGAGCGCAGGGGGCTCAACCCAGAGGCGAAGGCGTTCTCACTCACCAAGAAGTCCTTCCCCTCGCTCTTCTCCGCGCCCCAGCCCCAGCCGTCCGCGCATGCGCTCGCCGCGTCCCCGTACGACAGCGCGTCGTACGCGAGCAGCACGAGCCTCGCCTCGTCGCTGGCCTCGCACCCCAGCAGCAGCCTCTCCACCGCGTCCACGCTCAGCCTCCCGCCGTCGCTCGCGGGCGCCGCCGACGCCGACACCGTGTTCGCGTCCGTGTCGATGCGCGCATTCGCGCCGTCCCCCGCGGAGCGCGAAGCGCTGCAACGCGCATTTGGGGGGTCCGCGAACACGAGCCTCGAGCGCCTGCCGACGCTGAGCGAGGTCGCGTCCATCCCGCCCTCGCCGCCGCACCCGCACGTCCACGCGAAGGACGGCGCGCTGGGCACGGGCCGCACGCTGCTGCCGCCGGGGCTCGCGTGGCTGCACTCGCTGGGCCCGTTGCGGAAGCCGAAGTTCAGCCCGTGGGAGGACGAGGAGACGAACGAGGCGGGCGTCGCGGACGGCCGCTAGCTTGCTGCTGTCCTGCGCGCCGCGGCGAATCAGACTATCTATGTATGTAGAATTGAAGTGCGCGAGGGGGCGGCCGCGGGGTTCTGCTAGAGCGCGTGTGGAGGCGTGTGCGGTGCTTGTGTATGTACGGGGCGAAGGCAGTGCTAGTGCAGCAAGAGTAGGAGCAGTGTAGTAGGAGCAGAAGGGGAGAGCGGGAGAGAGGGGGGCGGTCGCCTCCGTGAATAAGTAATGCACCGTAACGATCCCAAATGACAAGAATATCTCGGCCCTCGGAAGGTGTGAGCATGAGCATGTGTGCACGGGCTCGCGTGGCGCCCTTCCGCGCTGCCAGCAGCAGCGGCCCACCCCAAAGCCGAAGCTCCCTCCCGCCGGCCTGCTCGAGCTCGAAGCTGCGCCGGGCCTGCGGGACCAGTGCAGTATCGACACAGCTGACGGACGGGAGAGCGCGGCGCCATATGTTCAGGCACGCCGTCGAGGCCTGTGACTGTGCAGTTTGCGCGAAGCAGCGGGGACAGGGTGCGCAAGATGGCCTGCGGGCCAGTCAGCGCCGCCCGCGCAGCGCCGGAAGCTCACTGCTCATAACGCAATCTCGAATCTCGCGCGCCGGAGGAGAGAGGATCTCGGCCGCTCCGTGGAGGAAATGGGGTGAGAAGCACGCGCATGCCGTACGGACATTGCCTCGATAGACGGACAATGGCCGCGGCAGACCTACTTACCGGCACTGGGGCTCTCCACGTATACCGGGGACCCATGGACGAGCGAAACCGACGCGGACGGGGCGGGCAAGAATAGGCTGTGGTTCGTCGCTATATTCGTCACGGGACATCGTGGTAGACCAGGAAGGAAAAGACAACAGAAAGGTAAACCGGAAGGGGAGGGAGAACGCGGGTATAGCATAAATAGATGCGAAGTAAGCAAGTTTTGGGCGACTGCGAAGACAAACCGGGCGGACGTCAGCTAGCCGTCAAGGGGATGCCACGAGTGCGGGTCACGTACGCGTGCGACAGGGTTCACTGTGTGGGAGCAGTGGGGACGGCGTGCCGGGGTGCGCGTGCTGGTGCTGGTGCGCGCGAAGGGGTAGGGGGCGGTAATGAAGACAGAGCGCGACCCGCGGCGGGAAATCCGTCCGGTCCAGCTGGAGACAGTAGCTGTAGTGATACACGTACAGTGCGGGAACAGGAAAGCGAGCTTGTGTGTGGGAGAAGACGTTGAAGAGAAGGAGCGAGTGTGCGGCTGCAAGGCGTGCCGAAGAGACCGATGCGAGAGACCGACGTCGATGCGGGGTATAAGATGCGGCCTGGTGCGGGAGGCGGGGCGGCGAGTGGAGAAGGACACGGGGCGCGGTAACGAGCGGTGGGTAAGACTTGTCGTCTTCTAAACGGGATCGGAGAGGAATGCATCATCACGCTCTTGTGGTGAGGATAAGGGGTCGGCGCCCCGTCGGTATAGAAGCCATTGCGTGCGAGGTATGTCTCGGCGCGGTTGGCGACGCATACAAGCAGATGTCGCAGTAGGTATTGTGAGAATGGTATCCAGGATTATACTGCGGAAGAGTTGAGAATGCCGCGGACGTCATCAACGTGCGCGAGGTCGCTCAGGAATGGACAGAGGTCCATTAGCTCGGTGTCGTGGGGGTCGTTGAACCACGAAGACACCGGGGCGGCATTATGGGGGTGGAAGATGTACGAGGCAGGCGAATTGTCCAATATGATCGTGTCCTTGACGGGCCGTCCAAGCTGTGACAAGTCCTGCATAGCCGTTAGTAAGGGAAGCGGATGTAGGGAAACATAGAAGACGTACCTTCACATAGTTGCCTCTATGGTTAAAACAGCTCTCACGGAAGAGTCTGTGCGCTACTGATTTGGTAGGGTCAAGTCTGTCGAGTACCGGGTCGGCATACTGCACAGCAGCGCGACGGAGCGGGGTTTGGTCACAGGGAAAGGGTAAAACTAATTCTGGAGACGCACCTTGGCTAAACTGGCGGTGAAGACCACCACTTCGTAAATTTCGCCCATGCGCTTGAGGAATTCATCAACGCCGGGCCGTTTCAGCACGTAGAAGTTGTGCCAGTATGACTCGATTTCAACCGGTACGATGTAATCGGGCGAGTTTACAGGCTAGAGCGGTGGAACCGTCAGGAACATGAAAAGTAGATGCAGCGGTGAGTACGTACCCTCAAACTGCTGTGCACAAGGGTCTCGTCCAAGTCGAGCACCAAGCATTTCCGCCCAACGTGTTCCGGGGCGATGGGCGGTAATAGAGGCTTCGGCTGTCCGTCCTGTAGAACCACGGCACAATTAAGGGGAGATTGCGCGGAGATGAACGGCGAAGAGCACTCACAGGTCCGGTGGGGATCCCGGACCCACCCAGTCGGATCAGCCGCTGCTCCTCGTCCTCAACTTCATCCACCGTAATGAGCTCGTGGAAATTCCCGTCGTCCGTGAAGGAGCTATCAGACTCTTCGCCGGAGTCGCGCGCGACACGGTGGTGGAGGACGGAGTGGGAGAGGTTCTCACCTGTCGAGCCGGGCGGTTGCACCGCGCCCGATGTAAGGCCGTCGGTCTCTGACAGCGGCAGAAGCTGGTGCGTTGGTGTTGGCGGCACCACGATGTCTACGTCCGGCATGGCAGATGTTGGAATGCTCAACGGCTGCAGCACAGGCGCGTTCACTGCTAGTGTCGTTTCAGCATCACAAGAAAATACGCGTCGTGGCATTAGACACGTACCCGAAGTGGAAGTGGAGGATTCTCGCGTCCCATGCTGCGCCGTCTCCGTCTCCTTCAGCGTCTGCTTCTCCGAATCGATGGGGTGAGATATACCCTCGTCGAGGTCGATGGGGTGCGAGTCTTGGGTTTGTATGCACGACTTGCAGAGAAGCGTGAATCGCGAGAGGAAGGACCTCTTGACGCGTTTGGAGGGCGACTTGGATTCCTCTGGTAACGATGGAAGCTTCGTCAGGCTCGAGGATGTCAAGACACCTTCAGAAACCGACTGCCCATCTCGTCGCCGTTTCCCTACCGGTGCGGCATACGCGGTTGTCCCCGCCTCCTTCTCCTTGTCGCTGGACGCGGACGCGCTCTGTGCAGGAGGGTTCTCGGCCGGGGACGCGATTGAGACTGCGGTGGCAGACATGGTGGGGAGCGTGTCCGCGGCGGTCGTGAGATCAGACTGGGTATGGTGAGAGGAGGACGGGTCCTGCCCGGTGCTATGCGAGTCGCTTGTGGCTGAATGAGCGTCCGCTGCCGGGGGACCGAGCTCGGCAGGTTGGGCGAGCGGGGGGGCCTGGAGGTCACCGGCGGATGTCGCGCCGCTTCCGTCGCCTGTGGTGATCTCGGGGGCAGAAGGGGAAGTGGGAGAGTTCCCCGCATGGGTCCCTTCGCCGTCGTGGTGCACGGACTCGTCATCTGAGCGCAAGCCTGCTTCTGACGCCTTCACGGGAAGATATGAAGATCGTCCGTGAGCTGCTTGATCTGGAACGCGCTTCGCGGGGCGAAGTTGGGGGAGCACACACCTGACCGTTGGCAGAAGAACGCGAGGAGGCGGGGCTGACCATGGCCTCACAAGCACAGGCGGCGGAGAGGAGGGGAAGCGGAGGTGGAGGGAGAAGGTGAGTGTATGCGATCTGCCAGAGCGAGACTCTGATGGACTTAGCGCCTCAATATGGGCGTCTATTCAATACTCTCGGCTTTCCTCTCGGTCCGTCTCCTCCTCCCAGGGTCCTCCACCCCAAAGCCGACCGGTTAGTGCTGTGTAGCGTGCGCGCACCCGCCATGGCCTCGTGTGGTCGGACATTGCACACTTTGTTCCCGTGCAACGCGTGTCAGGGACATGAACAATTCAAATGCATCCTAGGAAGCGCCCATCGCTCTGTGGTCGGTCATTCCGCGCTAGGCTCCGATTTCGATTGGCCCTGGGGTCACACTCTACGAGGTAGCATGGATTTGTGGGCACCTTCTGAGCGATCGAGTGAGCCCTCGCATGGTCAATCCAGACAACTCAGAGCAACGTGAAGAGGTCGTCACCCGCAGACTCGCTTAACGCGAGACGTGGTCCGTGCGCACGTATCTACCGGGTATATAAGACGCGCTCGGTCTACGCTGATCCCCATTCTTGTGCTCGGGCACGTACTGTCGCCAGTGAGGTCTTTACCGAGGCACAGTCTTTTGCTGATTGCAAATTACACATCCGAACACGTCTGTTAGCTTCGGCTTCCAGCAATTTTTGGCAAACCCCCTTCCCAATGACGACCTTCGTGGTCCGAGGGTCCTGCAGTAGACAGCATAGCGTAGCGCGATCAATACATCTTGCTTTCTACCACCATCTTCCTCGTCTGCGTGCGCGCGCTGGTCTCACTCTGACGACTGAATACACTATGGCCTTCATCACTATCTCGGGATACCCGTGTTCTGGCAAGACACAGCGCGTCGAGCAGCTTCGTGCACACTTTGAATCTCGGCTGCAGGATGCTTCCTACGAGGGTCCGCCACTAAAAGTTGTTGTGGTCTCAGACGACAGCTTGAACCTCTCGCGGAATGTGTACAACGGCAAGTGCATATGATACCTTTGCTCCGTCGTGCCTAACACAACGAGTAGATGGGCGTGCTGAAAAACCAGCGAGAGGAGCCCTATTCACTGCCGTACAACGACAGATGGGCCAGGATACCATCCTGATAGTAGACTCGATGAACTACATCAAAGGCTTCCGGTATCAGATGTACTGTGCCGCAAGGGAGCACAAACTACGAGTATGCACAGTAAGTAATCGCCCGATTGGTTATCAGAACGGCAGAATCATGAGCGCGAAAAGTAGGTTTTCGTGGTGGCCACACACGAGCAGTGCAAGGAATGGAATGCGTCGCGAGAAGATGGTCGAGCATACACACCAGAGACGTAGGTCACCAGTTGTATACTATTTGGCCCACTCTGATGACGTACAGACTCGAAAACCTGCTAATGCGCTACGAGGAGCCGTCATCCATGGTGCGCTGGGACTCCCCGCTATTCACGGTGCCGTGGACGGACCCAGACGTGCCCATAGACGACATCTGGAAGGCCGTCACAGAAGGAAACGTGAAGCCACCAAACGCTGGGACCCAAGCCGTGCGCACTCCTCCAACTGTTTCCGCCCGCACGAACTGACGCACTGGTCCGATGACAGGTACCGAAAGCCCCTACCGATGCGCTCCGGACGCTCGAGCACACGACCACGACGATGGTCGCCGCGATCATGGCCGAGCAGTCCGCGTCCGGCGGCCTTGGCGGGCCCGTCACGCTCCCCCTTTCCGCGACGTCGAGGCCGCGTGTCAGTCTCCCGCCACGCAACATAACGCTCTCGGAGCTGCAGCGCTTGAAGCGTCAATTCGTCACCGTGCACAAGAAGGCGATCACGCTCGGGACGACGGAGAAGGGTGCGGTGGACTGGAGCGAGGAAAGCATAGCGGACAAGTTCGCAGTGTACATCGAAGGCAATCTGAAGCCGTAGCTGTGCGTTTCCGCAACAGCATCCTCGTGCGATCTCTTCGGACTGTGTTTGCAGGCCCGACATTCTGGTTCCGTACGTGGCTCACTCTCCATTCTGCGTCACAGACACTAGCAGCGCCCCAGCCTCAGCCCGCGCGTCCGGTCGGGCTCGATCGTAAGTCCCACATGCGGCCATGGACCAACGCCCCAGTGGGCGGATGTGCCGCATATAGCAACCCGATTCGATATCCGCCTGGGCGAGCTTCGCGAAGTCCAGCCCGTCCCTGTGTTCCTGCAGGGCGTCCCTGCGGATATCCCGCATAAGGGTGCGGAAAGGTATCAACAAAAGCCCGGGCCCGCGGGGCGTGCAGCAGCGCGACACTCCCGCACGTCCGTCCCTCGGCATAGCGCGCATTTATGAGCTTGCCCCCGCGCATGGGTCGGGCCTCTTGTTCGCCCTCGCGCGGGTCGCTGCTTAGTTCCCCTCCTTCTTTCACACTACCACTATCGCTGCCACTATCTTTGATCTGGTTTAGCTGCAACGACCATCATGTCGAACACGACCACGACTACGCACCACACGGCGACGCACTCGCACTCGATGCGCTTCGAGACCGTTGGCTTGGAGGTGCTTAGCGCGGTGATACATCTATTCGGTGAGCACACCCCTCTTCTAGTCTGCGCAACCATATGTGCTAAGACATTTTGGTGCTAGGTGTGTCGGTGCTTGCATTCCTTCTTGCTAAGAAGTTGCACTGGTCAGACTTGTCGTCGCCACAGGCAATGGCCCGCATCAGCTGGCCGCGCCTCTTGGTCATCCTGACTATCTTCGACTCGTACGTTACCCTTACAGCGTCCCCTTTTATCACAGCAGCTGACCGCCTTACCATGACAGATGGCTCTTCCTTTTCTCCAGTAAGCCCACTCGTCAAACCCGTTTGTACACAGAGTCTCACAGACTGCACAGCCGGTCTCCTGGTGAACGGCACGGGCATGGAGCTCAGCGAGACCGTATGTCTCCTGGGCATCCTGAACTGCATCATATTCTACGCGAGCTCCAAGATTCTGATATACTTGTTCCTCGGTATGTCTACTGCTCTCTTCGTCACGAGCTGCATGCTGAACTGCAGGGCGCAGTGGAGAAAGTATATGTTGTATGGGGAGGTGCGGCTAGAAAGAGGAGGCTGCAGTCTCCTGTATACCTGGTGTGCATGGGCGTTGTCGCACTATACGTCGGCGTCGCCATATTCCTCATCCTCGGTGGGTACCCTTCGTAACGTGCCTTCGCGACGTATCTAATCTCTAGGCTTGCAGGGCGCATATCGTATTTCAGAGACGATGGTTCTTGTGTGATCGGCTTGACACGCCCGGCATCGCTCACCCTTCTCATTTACGACCTGTACGTTTATCTCTCTTGACGCGCTCTTCTCCATCTGATCGTTGCATACAGATTTGTGAACGTGTTCCTCACGTCACTCTTTGTTTGGCCTTTGTTCAACCAGAGGTTCAATATTCCTCGGCTTCGTCGCGTCGCGCTACGGACACTATGGTAAGTATCATTTCAGCGGACCAACATCTGGTATCTGACAGATCTCCAGGGCGGCAGCAGTCGCGCTCACCACGTCGTGCATCAACATCCTCATCCTCACCATCATGCATGGCAAGCAGCTCGGCTGGGTCTGCCTGGCCTCTTGCGGCTCGGACGTAAGCCCTTCTCGCTATTGTCCACGCCCCATCCCGTACTCACGTACATCCATCTCATAGGTCGTCATCAACGCCGTCGTCCTTAGCTGGGTCACCTCCGGGGGCGGCTCGAGTCAGAACAACTCTTCGTACGAGGGCCCAGACACGAGCGCAAAACCGCTCGACAGCAGCAACATCATCGATTGCAGCCAGATCTCCGAGACGGACAAGTACCGTCGCATGTCCGCGGTATCCACGTTCTCGCGGCGCCGCGCGCTGAGCGAGCCGCCGCGCCCGAACTTCCGCGCGCGCATCCACCGCCTCTCACGCCTCTTCGAGCCGCGCATCGCCGAGGCGGACCCGGACGTCGAGCACGCGGGCGACCGCCACGTCGTTGTCGTCGTGCGCGAGGATGAGGACGAGTACGCGCAGGAGTCGGAGGAGGACCGCGAGAAGGACGCGTCGGATGCAGACGCGGCGGAGAAGGAGCACCACCGCGGCGTCGTCGAGGGCATGTACAAGCATGCGAGCGCGTCGCGTTCGTTGTTGCCGCAGCCCGCGCAGGCGTACAAGTCGATGATCAAGCGCAGCGACCAGAGCCTGCGGACGCACCTGAACGAGAGCCAAGTCGAGGTACATTGCCCTGCCATGCGCGCCATCCGAGAGCGATGCTGACGGTGTATTATCTCTTGTAGATCCAGGTTGTGCAGGAGACACGGATCGTTCGCGACGATGTCCCGCCCCCGCGCGCGCCGAAGGTGCGGAGGTGGCAGATACGGCACCGGAGCGGGGACTCTCCTCGCGGGTCTAGTGCGATCAAGGAGGACGAGTAGTGTGCGTCGTGTGGCAATTAGTGATACCGCTTTTTCACGGATGGATTTTGTATTTGTAGAGATTACGGGGCGCACCCAATGCATATCATGACAACCCCACCATCGCCGCGACCATTGTCTGTTTGTGTCAAGTTGGACGGGTGTGGGCCGAGCACTCAGGCGTGCGTGACGTCCTCCCTCAGCCTGTCTCTTTGACCGGGGACGATATTTGGCGGAAGACGTCCGCAGCATGGCGGCCGCGTTTGACCCGTGTCCTTTGCGCCAAAGAGACAATAGCTGCGGACGTGTGATAGCCATCGAAGGGACGCGTAAGCATATCATTCCGGATTAAGGCAGCAATTGGTTGTCGGACGACTCTACTTAAGCCTGATCGCATAGGCGCTTAACCCAGCTTCCTCCTCTTCCCCGACCACCACCTTCCTACCCACAGGTCCGCGTTGTGTGAACGCACTCTGCACGCTGTCCTCGTCAGGGCCACGACAGTAGCCGTATCGATTCTTTTGTCAGGTCTTTACGGGTGGGTCTTCAATTGATCGTTCTGTCAAGTCGCTGAAGTTTAACTCGTGTGGCTAGGTCTCTTTACCTACCCGCTGCAACCTCATCCAACCTGAACAACACTTTCCTACGACAATGCAACTCACGCCGAAGCTTAACTATGACATCCTACTGGAGGTCATGAAGGCGTGTTCTAGGGACGACTGCGCTCGTCTCATGCAGACATGTTCAAGCCTTCGCAACAATGGACACAAGGTGCTGCTCTCGCATCCTCTCCAGTTCTACGTGGAGAAAGACGTCCTCCGGTTTCTCCAATACCTCCAGCCACAAAGCGACAGGCGAGCGAAACACGTGCGCTCGATGCACTTCTACATGGGCGTCGTTGAGCTCTCTGAGTCGACAGCGCTGGCGTTGGCGGCCGCCCTCCCAATGATGCACGACATACAAGAGCTATGGATAACAGATAGCGAATACTTCTTGTCTTCGCATCCGGTCCTCTCCCGCGCAACGGGGGCTCTCACTAGCCTCCGGTCTCTACACTTGACTGACATGGGCGAGTTCGCAGTCAAGATGCTCCGGTCTCTTCGTTCGGAGCTCACGGACGTTCTCATCGACTACGATGTCGAGACCCTCTCGTACGGCTCGCAAGAAGAATTGGTTGGCTTGTCGGAACTACTGGCACATTCGCAAGCGACGCTTCAGGAGATTGCCATCAACCGCTGGTACGCCTTGCCCGACACCTGGGAGTCGGGCGAGTTAGGAGTCGCGTTTCCGGAAACACGTCGACTTATTATCGGCCAATCACTCTACCCACCTTTCGCCCTGTCATATGCGTGCGCATTTCCAGCACTCTCCCACCTCTCTGTCAGAACGGGAGAGAGCGAGATGTTCGACGCCGAGGATGTACGCGAATGGAACATCTCCCAGCTGCGCGACCCGGGCTGCGCTTGGAAAGCACTGGAAGATCTCGACGGGAACCTCGTCGAGATATACGCGCTCGCGCTCCCCTGTACGGTCGAGCGCGTGCATTTGGGCGAGATCACCCCGGACCACCTTTTTATGCTTGGCCCGGCGCTATCCGATGCGCGCCCTCGCCATCTCCGGATGGACAATTGGCCCATCGGGCGGACCCTTGAAGGCGCCGCCTCCGACCTATTTGCAGCCCTCCGAGGGCACGGCGGCTCGCGGCTTGAGACTCTTGCTATGGAGGTTGGGTTGAGCCATAGCGACAGCGACGTGGACGTTGCTGCGGTTCTAGTGCGTACCCGTTTTTCTCAGGCGGTCAGTGACGAGACTTACCCGGTTGATCACCGCAGGAAGAACTGTGCGCCGCCCTTGCTGCGGGTGCGCCCTTACGAGAGTTGCGACTGGACGTCAGACTGGGCGAGGTTGATCCACGGCCTATGAAGGTTATCACGCGCCCGGTTCCCAAACGCTCCAGGCGGAAGCGTGGGAACCCCTTCCCCGACATCAAAGAGTACCCCCTCACTGTCGCGGAGCAATCGGTCGTCAACTTCGACGCGCGGGACTACCTGTGCCGGTTTACTGCTGCTGTTCCCAAGCTGCGAATCGTCAAGATGACATTCGGTGAAGTTCGTGGCCTACGCAAGGTGATCACCCTCGCCGACGGCGAAGTTCATGTCTATGGCAGTTGGTAATGGAGGATGCGACCGCAGGAAACGGAGTGCAATGTGTACGAGTATCTCACCTGTTATAGCATAGTATACCCTGTAGAATATCGCGATATGTAGCATAGGAACTTGTATAGGAGACCGGAGGGCAAGTCCGGAATGGAGCGAAATCAGGCGCGAACGAGGCCGTTTGGTCTGGCGTAAAGTACTTATGCGTGAGGTGTAAAGTCGCTGTCGATGCATACATATGATCTGCGTGACGCGTCGATCCACACGAAGGGCACAGCCACCATACAGTCAAAATTCTGCATTCGGCTCATTCCGCGCACCGTGCGACCGCGCGTAACCATCAACTTCTACTGGGTCTAGCTCTGTCTTCCACGTTCTGCAGGCTTCAGGGTAATTTACGAGGAACCGGAACATGCGCTGAGCTAGTATCAAGTTGATACAATGCCTCCTCGGAAGAAACAGAAGGATGGTGCAGCTGTTCACGCCGACGAAGCGCCCGGAGCCGCGCCGAAGACGGTCGCGACGGTCAAACCCAAACGCGCCATTCGCGGCCGTCGAGGTTTTCTCAAGGATATACCCAACCTGCCACTTGACGTGCTCCTCGAGGCAAGTTTGTCCAGTTGTATCAGGATGCCAGTGTCCAGACCCGCGTTCGCTCACCTATCGCGTAGCTTTTCAGCTTCCTGCACCCGCGTGACCTCTTGAGCATCGCTCGCGCGAACAAGGCCCTACGTGCGGTCCTTATGGATCGCAAACATGCGTACTGCTGGAAAGCCGCGAGAGCGCAGCTCGGTGACGAGTACCCGGAGACACCCTTGTACCTCAGCGAACCCGCCTACGCCGATCTCCTGTTCTTCCATCACTGCTACGTGAGCATCTGCACCCGCTAACTCTTGATTCACTAATCCTCGAAGCTAATAGTACCGTCGATAATACAGAACTGCAAAAAGACGAATATACGGACCGTGTACTGGGTGTTCTCCGCCCGTTACTGCAAACCATGTTTCGCAGCCATGTGGGTGTTCGCTCTTCCTGCTATTTCGTTCCGCGACTGAGGCTCACCCTACCTACATTGTTTCAGGACCTGTTCGTACCCAAAAGAACTAGTGAAAGAAGTGCGCGACGCGCTCGAGGACTTATCGGAATCGCCTTTCCTCAACTCGCTCTGGAATGATTAGTACGTTCCTCCTCATGCCTCCATCGTGAATCGCGCGATCGGGCAGTGAAGTAGACTTACCGAGGACGGCAGCCGCGTGCGAGACCCGCGACACGAGCTCCTGGTCCACAAACCTGAGCTGGAGACGTTCGAGAAGACGTGGAAGGCGCTTTCGGCCGTCGCAGACAAGCGAAAATTCATCGAGGAGCTGCAAACACGCGTCGAAGCAGCTCGAGCTGTGAGTATTTCTCGGCTCGTCATAGGGGACAGCATGCTAAACCCTTGCGTCGTGATAGACGCATCGCAAACTTTACGGGCGAAGTGAGTTGGCCAGGCAGGACACCCGATCAGGCATGAAATCCCAGAGGGATGCCCGCTTGAAGGCGTGAGTCGTTGGAATATTCCCGCATCCACGAGGTTGTGCTCATCCTGCTCCGTGTATAGTATCATGTATCAGCTGCGATCGGACGGGTGGAAGGAAGAACTGGAGTTCATGAAGAAGGAGAAGAAGATGGAAGTGCTGTCCAAGCACAAAGCCGTATTCAAGCAAGATATGCTCACCGACGACGGTAAGTCCCGAAGAGAGCTTCCCGAATTTCCTACCGTCTCACATTCATACAGAGTGGGCCAGTATCCGAGACGAGGTTGTGGCAGTGGTGGAGCCGTTTCGCGAAGCCCTGGAACAAAGCGTAGAGCGTAAGGAGCTCTTCGAGGACAGGGTCCAAGACCTCAAAGCGGCGTATGACGACCATATGCGGACCGACGACGGCTACACACGCAGACGCAGACGCATATTGGCGAGCGAACAGGTGGCGCTTGTCTGTGACTTGGCATATCGGCCTGAAATTAGATCGCTCATCGAGGCGGCGTCCGACGAGGAAATCGACGAGGACACGTTCAAACCGCTCATCCAGAACAGCATGGACAAGTGGGCGGCGGAGCAAAAGGCCGTCTTCGAAAAGGAAGCCAGGCGCGGACTCAAGAACCTGAAGAACCCCGCCGCACAGGCACCCGACATCCTCGACCTCGCCATCGTCTCCTTCCACTGCACCGACAAGCAGTGCGTCTCGCCCTGGCCCCTCCGCTGGCCCGAGGTCCTTGCGCATCCCTGCCTCCGCCCGAACCCGTGGCGTAGCATTGATGACCTGGAAGCAGGGCCCGACTTCGACTGCGTCGTTTGCTGGGAGGCTGAGTCGGAGGGATTTCCCTTCAAGGCGGGCGATAAGCAGGTGTGCTTCAATAAGCACGTCAAGGAGGTGCGGGAGGTCATCTCCTGCTGCGAAGAAGACCCGGCCACAGTGTTGTACAAGACTATGGAGGAGTGCCCAGTCCGCCTGATGTGTGGGCGATGCGCTAAGCCCGACCGGCGTGAGGTCTTTGACTGGCTGGGAGCGGTAAGCCTCCTCGTCGCCCCATCCTTTGCTCTGGCATCTCATCTACGGCTAGGCTGCGCACGCGGTCGACCATCACAAGTCGAGCTATACCGACTGGACCCGAGACGCTCTCGCTCGCGGAGAACCCCTTTGACACGCCTGCGGCGTCCCGCACGTCGCTGAACATCCCCGCGCATTCCGCGCTCATGACGGAGTCCGAGAGCGGCCCCGGAGACTTCGCGGCGAATGCGCCGAATGCACGCACGCAGGGCGCGGCGACGCTCGAGGTATCCCGCCGCGGAAGGTGTGCGCGGAGGGCGGGCGCTCCGGCGGGCGCGATCGTGTACGTAGCCGCGAATATATTTCATTGTGCGGAACGAGCTGCGCGCGCGCGGGAGTGCACGCGGGCGGCGGACGCGGCGTATGCGAGCTCACCACCGCGGCGAGAATCAAGGACTCTGGCAGTGGAGTGATGTCCTATGGCAGTGGAGTGGGGCTCTATGGGACGGGGGGGTTCTCTGGGACACGGGGGGGTTCTATGGGACACGGGGGCTCTATGGGAGAGGAGGGGTGGGGCGAGGAGAGGGGTGGCCGGCGAAGTCGTGGAGAGTAGAGGGCTCAAAATATATTTCGTACAGACTCTACAAGGCCGGGAAACACATCGTAGCACGTCCACCGACGAAGGCGCACGGAAAGTCGAAAAACGGGGAGGCGAGGGAGTCTCCAAACGGGCGTACGCGCTGAACACCCTCGGGCGCTCGAATCGCCCGCCGCACCGCCGAGAGTTGCACGAGCGCGCCCGGAGCGAGACTCATGCCCTCGCGAGAACGGCGACGTGCTGCACAGAGCGTTCGCGCGAACAACTCGGCGCAGACTCTGCGAAATCCGAGTTCGCGGAATTCGCGCCCACGCGGCGATCGACACGGTCGCCCTTTTACTCCTCACCTTGTCCCGTGCGCTCCCAAGCCCCAAGTTGTGAGAGCGCGCCAGAGGCGAGAGATACGTCCTCGCGGCGTATAAACACGTTACTAGTGCGTTGGCACAGTGGGCTCCCCGCCCGCAGACGTCGCAAAATGCGAGTTCGATGAATTGGCGCCCTCGCAGCGCTCGACACCGTCACCATGTCGTTCCTTGCCTTGTCCTCTGCGCTGCGAGTCTCCGCACAGCTCGTTCGCGTCCGCTCGCGCGGTCTGGATCTACGAAAGAAGGGTCAGATATCTCGGGAAGCTTATTGCGGCGGCACGTGTGCACTTGACCGCCTCCCTGCAGCACGGATCTTCGGTTGTACTCCCGCCCACCTGGTCTCCTGCCCGGCCGGTGCGCGTTGTCGGAATTCGGTGCGTGGCCCTCCCACGTGCTGACGTAGCGAAATTCGCGTGCGCGGCATTGGCGCCCTCGCCGCACTCGACACAGGTCCGCTCGCGCGGTCCGGGCCTGCTACATACGAGTCAGACGTCTCCAGAAGATCAATACGGTGGCGCGTACTCAACTTGACTCCCAGCTGTCGTTCCAGCGCACGGGAAGTGGACCAGGACGGTGCGCGGCCATCTGCGATCGTCGAATCTCGCCTCGTACGTGCCACGTCGATATTCTCCGTGCGCTGCCAGACTTGACTGCACCGTCCCCCCGCCGCGAGTCGACAAGCACGTCCACTGTGATTAAAAAAAGCACAAGTAAGTGACAGTGTCTACGACACATGCGACCGTGCCTGCGTACCTTCGCCATCTCGTGAGAGAAGCTTGATGATCTTCGACGCGGCGGCGCTCGCGTTGAGTGTTCCGCGAGCCTGAGAAGCTTGGCGAGCTTCCAAACGGCAGGGGTCTTGATTGCGCCGTCACCGCGCCGCACCCGCACGAGTGTGCCCACTGCGACCTGCAAAAGGGCGCAAGTAAGTGATAGTGCCCACGATGTTTGCGAGAGCGCGTGCATACCTTCAAGTGACCAGCCGTCTGGCGCGTTTGCAGTCCGCCGCGGGTGAATCTCGTGATGCACGCGCCAAGTTGACATTCTTCACGCGCTGCGGGACTCGACCGCGCCTGAGCAAGGATGTCCACTGTGACCTGAGAAGCACAGGTGAGTGACGGTAGACGTCATGCATCCGAGCTCGCATGCGTACCTTCGATAGCGTGATGAGACTCCCCAGCGGAGAAGCTTGCCGAGCTTCAAGACGGCGGTATTCGTTGAGCGGCTTCTAAACCTATTTGGACGCTTGAATAGCCCGCTGCGAGCACAATGGTATCGTCAGCGCCGCACAAACGAGATACGCACCTTACAGACCCGCCGTTGCCGTCTCGAGGCAAAGAGCCTTCCCAGGGAGCGAGGCCAGGGCGCGGGACGGCCGAAGTTCCAGGCGAGCGGCCCAGTGGCATGCGTTGTCGTCCAGATTGTACGCGGAGCGTCCTAGGCGGTCCCAGGCATTGAAGATGCTCCTCCGCGGCGGTCCGTTTTGTGCACAAGGCCACGACATGGTGGTGGGAGGCAAGAAGAGCACGGTGCCGATTTTGGCGCCCGGGACTCGAAAGTCGCTTCGCCCGCCCGTGGCGGCCCTTTGCAATCCTGGCTCTCTCCCGCACCGCCACCACCCCCACCTTCGTCTCCCCTCGCTTCTGCCTCTTGCTTGGCCCGCGGTCTCGACTCCCCTGTGCAAACGGCCGATTGCCGGCGGCGCGGACTGCGGACACCCAATCCATCAAGGTACGCGCGTACAGAACACGAGGCTACTCACCTCTCTCGTCAACAGTCGCTGCCAGCACTCCGCCTGCTCGCGTTTTCCCGGCTTCCGTTCACTTCGTCGTCCGCCGGTGCCCTGGTACGTCGTGAGGATGAGTACCAATGCAGTGACTGAATACTCACTTTGACAGCCGAGCCGCATGGGCCGGCAATACCGAGACCCGCGAGTCTCGCGCCTCCTGATGCGCTTGACGCGTCTCTGCTGACACGCCCACGTCACGTACTCTCGCTATGGTATGTGTCAGCTATGATCTCCTTTACGACGCATGCAAGCTCACCTTTTCAGCGCGCCCTCGTCGCGAGCCAATGCCGAAACGGCGTTCGCGTCGTCCTTCTGCGGTGGCGACCCTATGATACGGCACTTCTCGACGCGGCCTTCTCCTCGCGCTCGCTCGGCATGCGCGGCCCTGAGAGAATGCGATCGCGGTGAGAGTGAGGACTACGCGTGTGCGTTCTTTGCCGTAGAGCACCTACGTACTCTAGTGACGGCGCTGTATGTGCCCCGCGCGTTGTGTGCGCGGACACTGCACCGTTGGCGTCACTCGTGCCTGCTGATGCGGTGTATGACTGTGACAGTGAGTGGTGTGGGAAACGATGAGCACGTCGTGCATATGCTCACCTCGAGAACACGCCCCGGTCGTACCCCGCTCACAGGCAGAGACTTTCACAGCACACCCTTCCCCTCTGCTACGTTGACTGCGCCACACTCTGCTCTACTGCACCTTCATCGTACTCCTCTCGTCTTCTGCCGGTCTTTTGTCTTCTGCCTCTCGGACTCGCCATCAGATGGCCTGAGAACGATGTCAAATGGCGCTCTCGAAGCTGCACCGTGCAGACACTTACCGGCTCTTCGACGGCGATCTTGACTCGGGCCGACTACGTGCTCGACCTCGGCTTGTCACTGTCTTCGCTGGAGTTTGCTCGTGTTTGAACACCGTCTGATGCACTTGCATTCGCTCTGCACAGAGTCAGTTCTGCGTCTGGACCTGGACATTGTCTCCCACCTCGTCCGACTACACTGCTGACGCCTCGCCGACCTGAGCTCTGTTGGGTGCTGGCTGGTTCCGTGCTTGGGTGCTGGTTGGTCCTGTGCTCTGCGAAATAACTGGGCTCGTTCCTGGGCGACGGTCTTCGGGGCTGTGGGTGCGTCGCATCGGGCGATGTCGGCGTCGAGGAGATGAGGAGGGGGAGGGACTTGACGGAGACTGCATTGCCGGGAGCGCGTCGCGGCGGGCTGATAAACCGCAGCAAACGTCGAGGAATGTCAACGGCGGAAGACGCTGAGGGAAAGGTGAGGGAAAGGGAAATCAGGGAGGGGATTCTGTGCGTAGGGGGAAGAGGTGGTTGACGGGGAGGAAGAACAGAAGACGGCGGGACGGGCACCGGCCCAGACTTATTATCAAGGTAGTCTCTTTCCCGATTGATCTGTCCTGCGGTGTACGCCGTAACGCCAACTCATATCTCACTGTCAGGGTGAGGCCAGCCGTCGGCGTGGCATGGCCTCGATCGGGCAGTCTCAGGGTAGGCCGGCCGGAGCGCTTGAACCCTATGCACGGTCAATTCCGCACGGACGGCCTAGAAATTCCGCTTGCGGCATGTCTAGCACGATTCGGTCAACGCCATGCGGTCGCCTTGCCATTTATTTGGAAGGCGGACGGCAAAACGAGCAAAATGAAGCTCGAGCAGAGGAGTTGAAATTGGCCAGGCATGCCCAATTTGGTAGGTAGCGTGGTTCAGAGCGCTCGCACGCGCGGACTTCGCCCGGCCGATCTCTTGCTTCTCCACAACCACTGCGCCCGACTCGCCACCTCCCCGACGTCTTCTGCGCTCCCACATCGATTAGATAGCGGAAATTATACGTAGATACGCTAATCGAGTGCAATTCGGAATCTGTCAATCCGCCTGAACCTGCCATGCCGCCGCTCCCATACCTAATCCGCTCCAGCCGTCTCAGGCTCCCACTCGCTGTCCGATGCGTCCTCGATCGGGTCGTCAGAGAGCTCGCCGCCGAAGGAGCGTGTCAGTTTGAAATCGGGGTCGGTGATATCGTCGTCCAGTGCGTGCGCCTCCTCAAAACCCTGCTCACCATCGCCGCCGCCGCTCACCTCGTCCGCTCGTTGCAGTACGCACGGCATGCTTGTGACCCCCGTCGTCTGCCGCTTCTTCCGCACCCGCGTCTCCATGTCCGATGCGCGTGCGCGCCGCTTCTTCGTGTCCTGCCGCTGCTGCGACTGCACCTTGGGCTCTGGCATCGTCGACGTTGATTGGCGGCCAACCCGTCGCATGTCGCGTGAGCGGAAGACGTCGGACTCGACCGGGAGGGCTTTGGCCTTTGCCTTGGCAGCGGCAGCTCGAGCCTTGAGCTCCGGGAGGTGCTGGGGCGTCGGATGGACGCTCTCGGGGTCGCGCGCGGCGTTGGCGTAGTCCTTGCGCGAGGCGGGCTCGAAGCGCAGCTTCTCGGGGTCCCCGTCAGGCAGGTACCACCGCCGACGGATCTCGCGGAGCGTATCGAGGCCGCCGCCGACCGAGCTGAGGTCCGTGAACGGGACGTCCTGCGGCCACCCCACAAGCACATGGCCAGTCCCGAGGACAATGTCGGAGGCATAGCAGTGCGGAGCGTAGCGCATGCGCTTCTGGTTGCCGTGCGACCGACGGTCTGCGTAAAAGGGTGAGCACTGCACGAGCGCGATGTGCGAATGTTGCTCACCGATATCCCCGTTCAGATTACCCTGCATCTCTGCCTTGATGTCGCCGCCTTCCCAGCCGCGTGGGGCGTCCTTGCACTTCGAGGGCATGTCGTGGAGAGGAGTGGGGAAGGGGGAGTGAGAGGGAGAGGGAGAGGGAGAGGGCGCGCATCCGGTGTGTGCAGAGGATTCTTGAGTGCACGGTAGCGGCCGGCGAAGCAGATGAGTCCAGAGCATGTTCGCGCAGATCCGCGAGGCTAACTCCGTCGATGTTCCGCAGGTCGCCGTGTGCGCACGCACGGGCGGTGGACATCCGTGTGAGTATGCCGCAGCTTCACAAAGTGGGTCACTCCAATTTTGCAGGGCCGCCGGGTGATCGTACTGTCTCAGTAGTACACCAGCAGTGGCTCCACCGTCTGTTGTGGACGGTGGACAAAAATAGTCTGATCATACTAATGTGAGCGGTGGTCCTACAGCGAGTGAAACAAGATGGAAATTCAACCGATGGCAGCGGGAGAAGACACGGGTCGCCGCGGGATGCCTAAGGGCAACCTGGCCGGGTTCCGAGAGCTTGTGAGTGGGTTCGAGGCCGTCGGAAGTGTCGGTGATGCGGCACAGCGGGCACACACGAGAGAAGCGAGACCATGAGCGGCGCGCCGCGCCAGTCTTAGATGCGATATGATCACTTAGTGGGCCCGACGCCGTCGCAGCCCAGCACTCAGGGCTGGTGGCTCAATCACGCGCCAGAGTCAGCGGGCACTTGTGTGCCCGCGGCGTGTCTATACCCAAGCCTGAGTGTCGCCTTCGATACGGTGACGGTGTGCTCCCGAGGACACCGCGAAGACCCAAGCCGCCCGGTAGATGGAGCTATGGGGCGGCCTGGCTCTTCGCCGCTGCCCTCGGGAGATACGCACCGCGGCCACGAAGCGCGCTCGCGAAGCGAAGAGAAATGAGATGGGCGGGACTCACCTGTGAGAATACAGCGCGATCCGAGGCCGCGGCGCAGACGAGTCCTCGCGTACTCGAGGCCGGCTCCGTTAGTCGGCCGAGGTCATCGTACGATGCGCGGCGCGCGGTGGTTGCATTCGTATATTTACCCATACGCACACACATGTCGCGCGCATTGTCCCCTTCCCCCTCCTCCGCCCTCGCGAACATGTTCGCCAATACGCCCCACCCCCACCGCCCAATCCTCCAGCCAGGCTCGTACAGCCCCCAGCCCCCCAGTGGTGCACCTGTGAGGAACCAGACAGGTGAGTCGTACTCGCGCTCGCATTCCTGCATCCTCCCACATCACTTGCACAGCTGCAACACGGTCACGGTCCGTGCAAACGCGCCACAATGCGAACGGTACGCACCTCTCCATCCGCGGACTCGTCAGACGGTGTCTGCCATTGATTAGGACGCGTCTAGGTCCTCCCTGCGTTCCGCCCATGCTCACACCGCGCCAGAAGGCTCGTCTTGGCCGCATTCGTCCGGACATTACGGGGTTCAGGTCGTTATCCTATCACACATATGGCACACGACTTACGCACCTCGTTTACCAGATCTGTGCACCGCGCAAGTGCGGGCTGCGCGTCCACGAGGCGAGCGAAATACAGAGAGCCGTAGGTATGATTGCAGACGGTCTGCGGCGAGAGGAGTGCGGGGCACGAACGACGTCGGCGTGGTGCCGCAGGTGAGTAGATCCGCGCCACGCCGTACAATACTGACTACTTACATCATCAGACATGCAGTTCCTCCGCGCAGGAGCGAAGTTTTGACGGCGCACCTCACGTAGTGGAATTCGCGCCGCTCGGAGTCGAACGGAGCTGCTCACGCCGCCGAGGGAAAAGCCGTGCACGCACCCCCGCGACGACGTGTCCGCGGGCCCGCGTACATCGCGTGCGCCCGTGCGGGTGTCGTAGCACGTTCCGGAAGCGGGTTATGATGTCCTGCGCTCGCACATCACCAGGTGAGTGATCCCTTGACCCCTGTGCAGCGTCCCATCTCTTGTAGCCTGCAGGACGACTCGATTCAGCGCGAGATCGCCGTGACAATACAGTACGCACCTACTGCTGACACGTCCAGACTGCTCGTACCGCTCACAGGAGTGTGCGCTCGGCGCCACATGCAAGCACGATGCGCGTCGCCATGTGCACACGACGCTAGCTACTACAAGGTGAGAGAGGGCAGCTCCGTTGCGTACGCTCTGGATACGACGGGCTCACCTGCTACTTCATCCGAACAGATACGGTGCCGCGAAGCGAGCACGATGCGTCCCGGGCCGGCGCACACAGCAGAACAGCGGCACTACAAGGTACGGAAGTTCAGTATTCTGGTGGTACATCTCTGGACGCGACGAGCTCACCTGCTGCTTCCTCAGATCAGATACGGCACGATCCCGACGCGGGGCACGCAGCCGACAAGCCGGCTTGGGCGGGGCTGCAGGAGAGTAGTTAGTGCCGTGTATATCGTAGTAGCCGGCGTGCACGGTGTCGCGCGAGGAACGGGCGTCGCGGGCCGCGGCGCAGGCGTCGTGTCTGGCGAGGCGCGGCTTACGCGGCGGTGCGCACGCGCCGTGGAGGGGTGCGGAGGCGCGGAGGTACGTCGCAAAGGCTGCATTGAGGGGCGGGATGCGCGGTAAGTACATGACGGGACTAACTACGGTGTCCATAGCGCGGACCCCCTCCACCGCGGCTTACCGCGCGGACACGAGCCCCCCGCGCCGCCCACGATTGCAATCGTCTATGTCGTCGCGGGCAGCCCCGTACACCCCAGGGCACCTACCAGACTCTCCGCCTCCCGTACGCGCCCTCGAGAGCGCGCCACACACCTCGCCGAGCCCGCCGCACACACCCGTGCATCGTGCCTGACGCGTACGCGCCCCACTCACGGCCCACCCCATCTCGGAGTGCCCGGACGCCCCCAAATCGGGCCCGCGGCCGCGATATCGCACAATCCCCCACGCGTGCGCGCCGCATCGCATCGCCCAGTCCCAGGCGTCCGCGTGCCGCCAGCACGCGCAGCCGGCGCGCTGCACTCGTTAGGGTGTGTGGGCGGTGCGACCGTCCGCGCGGAACGTTTGTGCGCAGTGCGAGGGGCGGGTGTGCGGAGGTGCGGGCAGTATGTGCGTGGAAGCGGGGAGGCGTGCGGTGCGTAGGGGGGCGCGCTGGCGCAGGGACACGGCGGCGGGCCCGCGATGTTGACGGCGGCAGGGCGCGTTCTGGCGGTGTGCCCGCGTCGCGGGCAATGTCCTGCGTGCTTCGGGTCGACGGGGGCGTCCGGGAGAGCCGGTATGGGCGGCCTGTAGATGCGAGGGGCGGGTGCGGCTGGCCTGTGAAGTTGGCGCCGCGGTCGTCTAGAATGCGACATGGTCAGTGCTATTCCCGTGCGAATGTGCCCAAAACTCACCACATTCGTCCTGAAGCAGTCCAGGCCCAGCCAGAGAAGATTCGCGCGGGGGAGTCGCGGAATACGCGAGATAGGCCGTTGGTGGGGCGCTCATTTTCGGGTCGGCGCCACACCGTCCGAGGCAGAACCGGTCGCACGCGTCTGGAAGCGGTTGGGGACGGCAGGTAGGCCCCCTGGGACTGTTCAGGTCAAGATGCGAGGCGATAGGTGGCGGGACAGGCGAGGGACACGCGATACAATGTACTTTGCACCTGGAAACCAATGAAATGAGCGAAAATGAGCGATATTTTTTCTCCTCTGATCGCGCCCAAACTCACAGGGTATGTGCTCCGGTGTTCATGAAGCCCTCGCGTCGCATTGACGAAGGAATCAGGTGCATCGTCGAAGCGCGAGGTCGCCGTCATGTTGGCGGGCCTGGCCCGAGTCAACGACGTGGGATGCGCCCAATAAACCTCGTCGCATGGCCGGGCCATTAGTACGGGCCGTCGAAAAGTGTGCAGGAGAGACGGAAGACAGACGGAGAGGCCTGTACGGTCGGTTCTGGTTGGGGCGCGCGCATATTTGTGGCGGGGGGGTCTGAAAAACTGTCACTGTCGACGCCATTCGCATGGGCGCGGGCTGCAAACGCACCTGGCACGAGAACAGATGTGGTACGACCTGTGGTGCAGCGGTCGCGCGCTCCAGACGAGGCGTCCATGCGGGAGGAGATATCGAAGGCGGAAAGGGAGTCCCCGCCCACAATCCGACCGAGCGGGCGAAGGACGCATGGAGCGGCGTCGCGCGTGCATAGACGTCATGCTCAGCGTTCTGTTGGCATCATGAAGGTGTTCCGGAGTGGGGCATCGCCGGCGCACGGGCTGCACGATGTGTTGTATAGGGTACATGCAGGGAGACCTGTGAAGCGATTGTGAGCGACGTTTGCATCGAGGCGAGCTGGAGACTGACAGGCTGTGAGATCGGATGGATATCTACGCTATAGCATGCATCCTGCGTTGGCCAGATGCAAGCGGATAGCGCGAGGGACGACGGAGAGAGGTGAGCGTACATACAAGAGTGGATCGAGCACAGCGCACGAACGACGCTCGCGGCGGCTTAGTGCTCGTGGCTGCGGTAACATCTAGTTGTATTCTACGGTTTCCCAGAGTATGGGGGCGGGACGTCGAGATGCGGAGGAGGCTCGATGTATTGACGTCGCGCGGAGGAGGCTCGAGGTATTGACGTCGCGCGGAGGAGTGCGAAAGATCGTGTTTGCACACGCGGTGGGTGCATGCGTTTGCGCCGGAGATAAATGCGCACGGAAGCGCGGATAGCATCGAGCGCGGCCAGCGAGTCGATCTGCTCCGAGGTGCAGGGGACAGATGGGCGGGAGAGCCTGAGGGCGGGCTGCGGGGGAGAGACACAGCGTGAGGCAGGCACAGGCAGAGCACGAACGACGCGGGCACTCACTCATCGTTGGAGTTCCCTCGCGCCCGGGTCCTGCACGGCAAGTCTGGTAGTGAGTGCTATGGAGGCTTGTACTTGCTAAGCTCGAGTTGCCTGATCGCAGACGGAAGACTGAGGTGAAGCGGCGAGAGAGCACGGTGCACGTCAGAGAAGCGCCCGTCCGAGCGACAGGCAATGACGTCACGCGCGCAACCACACCCTTGGGCTCTCTCTCCCAGCGCCGCTTGCCTGTCTGTCCTGTGCGCCTCCGTCGATCTGCGTCGATCCACACGAGGGGCCCAGCCACCATATAGCCAAAACTCTGCATTCGGCTTATTCCGCGCACCGCCGGTCCGAGCGACCGCGCGCCATCATCAACTGTGAACCTGGGTTTCGGTCTGTTTCTCTCTTCCACGCTCTGCAGGCTTCGCGGTCATTCACAAGAAGCTTGCGCATGTACTGAGTTCTCAAATTGACCCAATGCCCCCTCGGAAGAAGCAGAAGGATGGTGCAGCGGTCGACGCTGACGAAGCGCTCGGCGCGCCGAAGACGGTTGCCGTAACTCAGGTCAAACCCAAACGCGCCGTTCGCGGTCGCCGAGGGTTTCTCAAGGATGTACCCAGCCTGCCGCTCGACGTGCTTCTCGAGGTAAGCTTGTCCAGCTGTATCGACGCGTCCAGCACCGCGTTTGCTTACCCACCGCATAGCTTTTCAGCTTCTTGCACCCGCGCGACCTCTTGAGCATCGCTCGCGCGAACAAGGCCCTACGTGCGGTCCTCATGAGCCGCAAACATGCGTACTGCTGGAAAGCCGCGAGAGCGCAGCTTGGCGACGAGTACCCGGAGATACCCTCGTACCTCAGCGAGCCCGCCTACGCCGATCTCCTGTTCTTCCATCACTGCTACGTGAGCAACTGACCCTTGGTCGATCCAATCAATTCCGAAACTGATACTACCGTCGACAATACAGAACTGCACGAAGAAGAATATACGGACGGTGTACTGGGCGTTCTCCGCCCGTTACTGCAAGCCGTGTTTCGAAGCTATGTAGGTGCTCGATCTTCTTGTTATTTCGTTCCGTAACTCATGCCTGCATCGTTTCAGGACCTGTTCGTACCCGAAAGAGCTAGTGAAAGAAGTGCGTGCCGTGCTTGAGGGCTTATCGGAATCACCTTTCCTGAACTCGCTCTGGAATGATTAGTACGTTTCTCTTCACGCCCCCATCGTGTATCGCGCGGTCAAGTAGTGAAGGGGACTTACCAAGGACGACAGCCGCGTGCGAGACCCACGACACGAGCTGTTGGCCCACAAACCGGAGCTGGAGACGTTCGAGAGTACATGGAAGGCGCTTTCGAACGTCGCAGACAAGCGGAAATTCGTTGAGGAGCGGCAGACACGTGTCGAAACAGCACGAGCTGTGAGTATTTCTCGGCTCGCTACCAATCACAGCATGCTAACCCCTTGCATCGTGATAGACGCATCGCAAACTTTACGGGCGAAGTGAGTTGGCTCGGCAGGACACCCGATCAGGCATGAAATCCCAGAGAGATGCCCGTTTAAAGGCGTGAGTCGTTGAAACATTCACTCCTCCACGCGATTGCGCTCATCCTGCTCCGCGTGTAGTATCATGTATCAGCTGCGATCGGACGGGTGGAAGGAAGAACTGGAGTTCATGAAGAAGGAGAAGAAGATGGAAGTGCTGTCCAAGCACAAAGCCGTATTCAAGCAAGATATGCTCACCGACGACGGTAAGTCCCGAAGACAGCTTCCCGAATTTCCTACCGTCTCACATTCATACAGAGTGGGCCAGTATCCGAGACGAGGTTGTGGCAGTGGTGGAGCCCTTTCGCGAAGCCCTGGAACAAAGCGTAGAGCGTAAGGAGCTCTTCGAGGACAGGGTCCAAGACCTCAAAGCGGCGTATGACGACCATATGCGGACCGACGACGGCTACACACGCAGACGCAGACGCATATTGGCGAGCGAACAGGTGGCGCTTGTCTGTGACTTGGCATATCGGCCTGAAATTAGATCGCTCATCGAGGCGACATCCGACGAGGAAATCGACGAAGACACGTTCAAACCGCTCATCCAGGACTGTATGGACAAGTGGGCGGCGGAGCAAAAGGCCGTCTTCGAAGAGAAGGCCAGGCGCGGACTCCAGAACTCGAAGAACCGGGCCGCCGCACAGGCACCCAACGTCCTCGACCTCGCCATCGTCTCCTTCCACTGCACCGAAAAACAGTGCGTCTCGCCCTGGCCCCTCCGCTGGCCCGAGATCCTTGCGCATCCCTGCCTCCGCCCGAACCCATGGCGTAGCATTGATGACCTGGAAGCAGGGCCCGACTTCGACTGCGTCGTTTGTTGGGAGGCTGAATCGGAGGGATTTCCCTTCAAGGCAGGCGATAAGCAGGTGGCGTTCAACAAGAACGTCAAGGAGGTCCGAGAGGTCATCTCCTGCTGTGAAGAAGACCCGACCACGGTGACGTACAAGACTATGGAGGAGTGCCCTATTCGCCTGATGTGTGGGCGATGTGCTAAGCCCGACCGGCGCGAGGTCTACGACTGGCTGGGAGCGGTAAGCCTTCTCGTCGTCCCGTCCTTTGTTTTGGCATCTCATCTACGGCCAGGCTGCGCACGCGGTCGACCATCATAAGTCGAGCTACACAGACTGGACCCGGGTCGTGGGCGCTGATGCCGCCCAAGCGAAGGAGCTCGCCGAGGTTCTCCACCTGGATGTGGTGAAACAGGCGTACCGGCACCCGCTCTCCCGCCTCCAGTGTGCGTGGTGCCCCGAATGGACCATAGACGGCGATGGCGACGCCTACGACCAAATGCGCTACCACGTACACTCCCGGTAAGTGGGTTCACACCGCTCCGATGCTCATACTAACCAGCGCGCGTGTAGTCATAGGATCAAGAAGCTGGTCCTCGGCGAGGATCTCTACATGGCGGTAGACCTGCGCGCGCGCGGCGCCCCGCCCGTGATGATGTTCTCCCCCACCCTGGCGGGCGATCCGGACGTCGAGCTGCAGGTGAAGGAAGGCAAGGGCTTTTTCAAAACAAATACACACATGTGATAGTATGCTCTATCCTTAACGATATCTATGTGCTCGGGCCGAAGACGCAAGCTGGATAGCGTAGTGGATATCCCAGCTTATCGGTATGCTTACTACGATGGCTGTGAACTACATGACCCGACAACTTAACGGATGGCGTATTTACTGTTCGAATTGCAATTGCGCAAGGATGTCGATATGGCTTACGCGCCCAATATGACATGCCATATGCAGCGATGTGGCACTCGTCCACCCCGCCTCACTAAGCAAAAACGCCACCCCGAACTCCAGAGCCGGCTCGGGCTTTCACCGCCAAGGCTGCTTTGTGAGCATGGCCACTATGTTCGACGACACCATGGCATTCTGCTCGCCTGGCAGGGCGGACTGCGCGACTGCGATGCTTCTGTGATCCCAAATAGGGGTGTGCGCACGGCGCCCGCCATCGCGCGATTGGCAAGCGGCGTGGGCGGCGCGAGGGTGCATAGACCTTTGCGACCGTCGGCGCGACCATCGCGCGACATACCCGGGACGACATTGTCATCCAGGGCGATATGTGTGCAAGACGTACGCGCTGAGAGGGGACGAGACGTGGCCCAGGTATGCGTGACGCTGGGCAGGTGAGGACATAAATACCGCACACTTCACGGTGAAGGGTGCAGTACTCAACCTCTCAAACATACAACCCTCAACTTCTCAACCTACAAACAGCAATCTCCCAAGACATGTCGTCCAGCACTAGCACCAAGGCCAGCATCGCTGTTCTCGGCGGCACCGGCACACTCGGTGAGTGCAATCCGTGTCTTGCAAGTTGTTCAGACACTGACCTGGGTCTTCTGTCTTACAGGCGAGGACATCTCCACCGTCCTCCTCACGGAGTTCAGGGAGACCTTCCCTACTGTCCGAGTCTTCACTCGTGACCCGTCGTCCTCGAAGGCGCAGGCTTTCGCGCAGAAGGGCGCCGATGTCGTAGCACTCGACATCGACACTCTGGACAAGGCGCTCACCGGCATCGACGTTGTCGTCAACGTCCTCCCAACCTCGCTGTCCGAAGAGGTGAGGAGCAAGGTCAATGAGGCCGTGATCAAGAGCGGCCCGAAGGTGTATTTCCTGAGCGAGTTCGGGCTGTAAGTCTGCTCTGCTTGGACGTTGGTGCGGGAATGCGGGGTGCTCACGATATGCATGACAGTGACCACAGGGTAGCAGACTTCTCCGGTTATGAGCACCCAGAGTGGGCGGGCAAGAAGCGGCTCGCAGCGGAAACGCGCAAGTTGGCTCAGGGCAAGACGAAGGTCATCGCTGTCTACAGCGGTGTCTTCGTCGAGTTCCTTGTCAGCTCGTTCCTAGGACCAATCCGTACGTCTCTCTTCACCACATGCGGCTCGGCATCGGTCTCACTGATACCTTTCACAGTGGGCTTCGACCTGGCCAACAATGTCTTCACCTCGTATGGACCTGCGACGTCGAAATTCGGCTCCACTGGGAAGAGCGACATCGGACGCACCGTAGGGAGGCTCGCTGTGCTGGCGCTCGACCCTTCCACCTCTGCTAGCGTCCCGGACGAGGTTCGCATCGCTGGGTCGACCACGAGCTACGAGAATGTGCGCGACATCACCGCGCGCGTCAAGGGCGTGCCGAAAGGCGAGATCAAGATCGAAGACCTTGACAAGCTCGAGCAAGACTTGCGCGCACAGAAGGGCAAGGGCGACTTTCTGTTGTACATTCGGTAATTCCTGCTCATAGCGCGATTAACGGAAGTATGCAGGGCTAACGCAAATACCGCAGGCTGGCCACTGGAAAGGGCTGGGGAGACCTGAGTGAGAACGCGAACGAGCTCGTTAACCCCGGGCAGAAGTTCTGGAAGTGGAAGACTGTGGAGGACGAGGTCCGCACAGTCACTGGCGCGTGAGATTGACATGCCATACACTTGAGGACATCCTGTACAGTAGCCAACGTATTCATGATGCAGTACGCTTTCTTACCTGGTTCCGTATAACGAGATCATCTTCCGTCTATGGTACGGGTATATTTGACGAAGCATTCGAGACCGCCTGAGCGACACCGAACCTGTTGCGAAACTGCGCCTAATAGCACGAGAACTACACAGACAAGCTATGCATTGGAACAAGGCCATGGATGAGATAGCGACCAGAGAGAACATGGTGGTCAGAGTGAGAAGTAGATCAAAGGGATAACGCGCGTCTACATATACGCATACATTCTTGCGGACGTCCGCCACACAGATGCCCTCTCTCGCACTCACCCGCGCTGCCAATGCTACTTTCTCTCCTACCTACCTCCCCGTCGCCATTTTCGTCGGCGGTACCTCTGGCATCGGCAAGGCCACCGCAGAGGCCTTCGCGCGATACACCAAGGGCAATGCGCACATAATCATCGTCGGTCGCAACAAGGCTGCAGCGGACGCGCTCATCGCGTCGTTCCCGAAATCCACCGCGCCCGAGGCCAAGCACGAGTTTGTCGCATGCGACGTCTCGCTCATGAAGAACATCCAGGCGACGACTGCCGCGCTCCTCACACGCCTCTCGAAGCTCAACTTCCTCGTCCTTTCTTGCGGCCTGTTCAACTTCAGGGGCAGGGACGATACTGAGGAGGGTATCGACCGCCGGCTGGGCCTGCACTACTATGCAAGGTGGAAGTTCATATATGATCTCCTGCCGCTCCTCCATAGGGCGAAGGATGCGGGCGAGGACGCGAAGGCCATGTCCGTGCTCGCGCCGGGTTATAGTAAGCCGGTAGACCTGGACGACCTCGGGCTCAAGAAGGCGTACTCATTCCCTAAGGCTGGCGTGGCGTCCCCCACATACACAGACTTGGCAATGGAGGTGCGTGGTAATTCTTATTCACGTACCGCTTCTCCGCTCACTCATCCTTGCAACAGTCTTACGCAGAACAGAACCCGGGCATTTCGTTTGTCCATATACACCCTGGCGTCGTGCGCACGCCCATCCTGCAGACCCGCCACCCCCTCTTGCGCGTGCTAAACCCACTCACGTATGCGCTCCTCTACCCCATCTCCAACGCGCCTAAGGACTGCGCGGAGCACATACTCTACGGCCTCTTCAAGAGCGGCCCGGGCTTATCCCGCCGCAACAGCAAGGGCGAGGATATTGGTAGGAAAGGCTTCCACGGCGATGAGGACGCGAAGACACGCGTTTGGGAGCACACCAAGGCGAAAATGGAGTGTGCCGTCGCTGTCCCCGCCAAGTCCTCATGAGCAACTTCGCATGTCTTAGACGCGTAATGTTGATTATATGTGCTTGAGTACAGACAGCAATTCTATCCATTTCTAGAGTGTCCCAGTAGTACTCCATCACCAGCTTCCATCGATCTGAACCTCGGCGTCGACAAGGGTGACCGTCCTATGTCGCCACCGAGGACCGAAGAAGTGGATGCTGAGCTGTCGCAGCGTGGGCACAGCAGCAGTGAACCGCTGTACGTATCCCCGCGCGTCGAAGTTGACGACCGACTCCTCCGCAGCATTGAGAGGGTGTTCTTCAAGGTCGGGAAGGGGGCGAATCGGATCCCCATGCTGCCATCCCAGCGAGAACGGAGGACAGTCCCGGCGCCAGCACCGTCTCGGCCGGGGATCCACGCGACTCAGTTTGATCTCCACGCGCAACTCTTGCAGGGGCGCACCCGCCGCAAGGGCGGAGAAAAGTCCTTCCTGTGGAACGGTCATATGAGGGATGAGGGGTGCGCGAAAGCCTGAACGGGGTACGTACCAAAACCGCAGCGACGTCCAGATCGCTGTCGCTCTTCTCCAAGTCGCCCTTCATGTCAAGCATCTCGAGTCGCGAGCTGCCTGGTCCTCGGAAACACGCGAATAGGTCGGAGGTCGGATCATGAAGCTTCTCCGAGGGCCATGTCGGCAGCGTGAGATGTCGGGGACGGGCGAAGGAGAGCACAGGCCCGAGCATGTAAAGGTATACGCCGGATAAATGGCGAGTCACTTCCAAGTGCTCGATGGTGCAGGTCAGGCCCAGCACGTAAAGGTCGGGAAGGCAGCCCTTCAACCGGTCCAACGACTTCCAAGTGGGGCCTTCGTCACGCTGCTCCAAGATGTTGCGAGCACGGAAAGTGTCCATGCCGTCGACGCCGTAGGTTTCGATGGTGGAGGCGGTGTCGAAGTGCAGATGCGTCAGATTTGGGTATGCTACGATGTACGAAGTGGCCCTCGCAGGGGAATGGGGCCGTGCCAGCGTGAGGCGGCGTACGTTCGGAAGTGCCTTCGAAGGTGGAGGAGGGGTCCCGGGGATTCTGAACCAGCGCTGGATGGATATCTCCTCGAGCGTGGACTTTGAGTGTGCTAGTAGAATAGCAGGGTGGAATAGGTGGCGGCCGTCGTCGAAAGCCTCTCCATATGCGTAGTCTACACCAAAGGAGACGTCAAGATAGATGGAGGTGAGTTTGGACCGTAGGAACAGGAGCATGTTGAGGGTATAGTCGCCAGCGTAGATCAAGCGGAGGCGTCGAAGAGACGTGAGGTGACAAATAGCATTGGAGAGGTCTGGGTGGGACCGGATAAAGTCTTCGCTGTACATAATCCGCAGGTCCTCGAGCGCGGACATTGAAGAGAAAGCGCGGGCCAACTTCTCGGCGGTGGCTTTGGTGAGATCTTGGACGTCGAAGGACAAGGAGCGCACAAATTGGAAGTGATTGGTGCCTTGCATCCGCAAATAATTAATGAATTGAACCAAATGCGCATCCCGACGAAGGGATTGAGGATGCGAGAGCAATGTCTTGGCCCCATGGTCGCGAAAGAAGCGTGCGGTGCGCATGAAACGAGCGCAATCGGGCATAGAACAAGCCTTCATGACTTCCAGGAGGATGTCGTAGTTGAGGATAGGTTGCGTGTCCATTTATAATGTTTCTTGAGAGAGTCGAATCCAAGAGATCCTAGAGAAGGGGACGACATGCGCTTAGCCACACGATCCGGGCGGAAGCGTCTCGTCCAGACTTACTGTACTTGAGCTGGATGCGGTAGGATTCCGACGCGGTTTCCCTTGTGAGCTCTTGCTTGTGCCTTGGAATAGATGTTAATGCGAAGGAGCCTTGTGTGTAGTGAGCTTGTGGTAGTCGCAGAAGTCGGCGGTGGTGATAGTGTAGGTAGAAAGAGGTACTAGAAGAGCCCTGGCTAAGCGCCGATTATATGAGCTCCATTGTCGGCCGTTTCTAGCCTCAGCTTTGACTTCAAGTTCCGCACGGTGGCTAAGCCGGGCTACCTTAAACAGCATACGCACTTCTTTCACTAAAGGCAGTGTGCGTTCTACATATGCACGGTAGTTATGATATGCTCGTCCGCGGACCGCTTCAGCACATTATACGGGGTCAAGAAATAGACCTATCTTGCAACGGTCAGAGCAGTTTAGAAGCCCGATACGAGGAGAGTTCAGAAGAGATGGGGCAGAGCATTTGGCTTTTACTGGTGTCCGTCGACTGAAAGGTACAAACGGAGTGGGCGACCAGAGGAAGAAGTGCGCGTCCCGGGCCATGGTAAGCGCCTGGATCCTCCTCGTACCGATCTTATCTCACGAGCGCCAACCGCCCTCGCTGGATGCGAACCAAGCTTGAGTCCGTTCTGTGATCGTTGATGGCCCCCTAGGAGTACTGAGTGCCCGTGGTGCATGTTTATAAGTGATGATATGTATATGGAGTCAAATATCCACCGCGGCAAGGCCATTCACGTAGGTCACACGCGGACGCCCTAAGAGTCGCCATAACACGCGGCACACACGTCGCCGCTACAACTATGATGATACATTGAGGCGGTTGGCGCGGACAAGATAGAACTGGTACATGATGGCGATCACAGAGCCTAGATATCTGAAGCAGCGGGTACACTGTCCTCGGAAGCCTCCGCAGGAGAAGTAGCGAAGAAACCCTTGCCTTCTTCAACCATACGTTTGATATAATCGTTGTCTGCGAGATCAGCAGAGCAGATCCACACTGGCGGCAAGCCACTATACATCCGCATAAGTGATGCTTGGGATTCAGAGTAGTCCACGCCCTCGCGCGGTTCGTCCTGTCCATGCCTACAAACGTGTACGCAAACGGCGCCATGCTAAGCTGGGGTAGCGACCGGAGATAGGATGGAACGGACTTACTTCTTTTTGAGGTGCGTCCTCACTTGTTCTACGTATCGTGAACAATAGCTGGTGCACCAGGAACACGCGATGTTATAGCTCCCCGCGAAGCGATGTGAATTGTACCACTCTGCCTTGTTCAGAGCATCCAGAGCTTCCGCGAGCTTTGTAGCCTTGGCGGCTTCTTCCTCTGAAACGAGCTGCCATCGTGTTGCGCCGGTTGCGACCTCTCGATAACTATGGCGTTTGCACATGTGGTCGAACTATTACAAGGACGGTGAGTCGCACCACACACCTGCCAAGAAAACTGGTCACTTACCGCTGCTCGCCAATCGAAAACTTGATTCCTATCGGGCTTCAGACACCAGTCCTTGCACATCAGACGCGCAGGATTCGGACGCTCTTGCATCGCCTCCCACGTCACCATATCGGGATCTTCCCCGCACATATTGATTATGTCGCGGAATTCCTGGATATACGTGCCGCATCGAGCATAGCCGCTGTTGAAAACATCGCAGGAAGTTGTCGATTTACGCACAGCGAAATCGAAGTCGGTCTCCGTGGCGCTGTTGGACCGAGAACGAAAACAGCCATGGATAAGGACGAAAGGCCAGCGCAAGTTGCCTGCCTGGCACCTCAAGCAACGGAATGTTGCTATAGCAAGGTCGAGCACCTCTTCAAAATCGGCCGCTTTCGTATCCTTGAGAGCTGGCAGCAGCATCTCCGTGAAATGCGCCTTGTGCTGAGCTGTCCAGCTTGCGGAGAGCTCGGGCCAAGACGTCAACAGTGGGGCGAAGGATGCTTTGGTGACGGCCACTTCGGACTTCGCTTCGATGACTTCGCGGAATTGAGGCAGGTACGCGACATCACCGGCTTGGGGGGTGAGATCGTCGGCCATAGTCCGCGGTCCCTCGCATTGTCGCATGAGTTGAAGGTGCTCCGCGAAAGCTTCGCGCATCAGCCGCATCCTCCTGACCAGCAACGAGCGCCGCTCATATACCAACCGTTCGTTACGATACCCCTGCATGAGTGCAACTACGTCGTGTTGCATACCCTTCCATGCTGTTACAGCATCAATAACAATCATACCGCCATGAACAAAGCACGCACCCCGATCTGTAAGTGCTGCCGGCTTGCATACAGCCGGTAGGCCGTGCAAGCGCTCAAAATCCTTGGAGTTCATGAAGGCGAGCTCCTTCTCCCAGCCTTCATCGTGAAGACGCGCTTCAACTCTGTGGGTGCCAATGATCAGATGTAATGGCCCCTACCTTGATGTGGGTGGAAGGGTCGATGACTTACGCCTGTATCCTTGCGGCTTTGAGGTCGTCCCGTTCTTGCTTTCTGTTCTCCTTCTGGTCTGAGGCCCACTCCTCAAGTTCACGAGAGATCTAGCAAACAAAGTCAATGTGATACACTGCTGTCGGGAAATCAGGAACAAGACTTACATCTAGACAGACATCGGTGTCCTTCTGACACTCCTGAACGAATCGGATCTGCTCCTCTCTATCGGAAAGTTCCGCCCACTTGCGGCGGAAATCATCGATTTGAGGTTTGAAGTAAACATACCCACCCCTGGGCGAAAAGTGTAACGTCAGCGGTGTACCTGGCATGTGAACTACAGTCACGACTGACCGCCGCGAACGACCGGCTTCCGGAACAAGGTACGGGTCTTTGGCATGCTTCCCCAGCTCTCCCTGTACATCATTCAGTAGTGGTTCAATATGTTTGCGCGGTACGCTGAAATACATATCGCATGATCAGCACATAAAACCACTGCATGCTGAGATGAGCTCAAAAGGGACCTCACATGTTATCTTCGCAGCGGTCCTTGCAATAGCG